TATACTTGGTAATATATAAAATAATTATCACTATTAATTTTAGTAAAATTAATAATCTCTCAATTTTACAAGTATAAATCACTTAAATTAAATGATGAATTGAGCGCTTCGATTGTTATATTCTAAAATATTTATTTTTCAGTAAATTTTATGATATTTTTGTAATTAAGATAATTTTATATTTTTTTACATGTAAAATAATTGTCACTATTAATTTTACGTTAGTAAACAGTAAAACTAATAATTTAATTAAAAAACATTAATACCTTTTTATTTTAAAAAAAATAAACAAAATCGTTAGACTAAAACTAATATAAAATTTTAAAAAAAAATTATGGATATAGACACTTTTATTTTTTCCACCGTATCAAAGAGGATAATGTTAATCAATAATTCATCATTTGGTAAATGAATAAGTGGGTCCATTTCTCAGTAAAAAAAACGATGGATTATGTTCAATGATTCGCAAGGGAATCCGATGAAAAATATATATATATCGGCAATATTGCATGCACATATATATAAACACACACAACTCTGAGAGTATCATGAGCTGCAACTTGGCGTCTCATCCACGATCATGTGTTTCGTTTATTTTATATTTTGTGTTAATCAAAAGACAAAGATTCGTTTGTTCCAATTCTAAAATATGTTTTCCTTTATTTTCCCTCTTTTTAGGAATCCTAGTGCAGTTTTGCCCCTCCAAATCCAATAAACAAAGCATCTCAATATATCATCATGCTAGCAACTGTCAACAATTAAAGCATTAATTTTACTATAGAATGTTGTAGCCTTTACAATGAGTTTATAATTTATGTGAATAATAATTTTGGATTACTATTAACTAGCAATGAATTAATAGATTAGTGTCTTAATTTTGTTGATTAATTTGAACTATGCAACTTTTGAGTTCAAGTTTATAAAAATGTCTGAATGATACAGATAAACTTGGTTGAGAAAAAGAGTAAGTTAGAAAAGTGACAGAGGTTTCGTCACGTTGCTTGGTGGTTAACGTATTGGAAGTGCACAGTGACCCTACACGTGTCCAATCACGCATCAGAGACGCAGGCGCACCCGTGACCGTCACCGAATCCACAGTGTACGGTACGAGGCACTCGCTTTTTTTGAATGGTAAATTAAAATAAAAGGAAAATGGGAATTACGCAACGGTTGAATCTTCCAAACTTTGAAATGGAATCCAATGCTCACTCGCTTTTTTCCCTCGACAATTGAAGCTTAAATTGTAACTTTAAGTAATGGTTCATACAACATGGTTAGTCATCAACATAAGTTTATGACCATAATTAGACATGACCCTGTGAAATTTTCTCAAAAAGACTAAAATTAAATGTGATTATAATAATAACGAGACCAAATAAGCCTAAATTTATAAGACTTTTACACCTAATCTTCGATGGCAAAAAGAGATACTCAAGTGAGAGTAATATAAATAAAACTGGGCTTCATTGTTATATTTTGGACAGGTTGAAGGTCCATTGTTGATCTTATTGAATCAAAGCAACTTTCTTTAACTTTCTCCAATTTCTTCTTTAATTTGTTCTTTTTATGTTTTTTTATCTTAGAATAACTTTCATTATTGTTCCTTTACACAAAAATGTGCTTTTATTTGTTATTGCACATTAAAAGATAGACTCTGCCTTTCAATGAATGAATCAGAAAGCGTTTTCTTAGAATAAAAATGTGCATTGCCAACAATATGTGGTGTTGGTTTTTCAACATCATCTATAATGCATAAACAGAGCATGTTCTTGTGTCAGTGTCGGTGTTCCTCTTGAAGGGCGCATTTCCATTACCCATCTTCATACAATATGAGATTCATATGAATTAAAATATGTCTGGTTCTAATATCCCAATATAAATGTGAGCCTCAAAGACAAATGCAACAAAAGATTGGACACAATAAAGAAAAGGCAAAGCCGTAAAGGTATTTATACAAAATAGACTTCATCAAATTATTGCGCTTTTAAGGTCCTATAATGGTGGGCAAGTGGGAAACTTTTACTAATGGTCCTAGAAAGCTTCTTGATAGGATTGAAATAACTTGTATTAGAGGTGCATATGGTATATGCCATATGGAAAAAGGGTAGGAATACATGCTGGAATTTTTCATCCTTTTAAGGTTCTTTTATTGGTAAAATCTTTTTAAGTTTGCAAATGATCGCTTTACCCCCCACATAAAATAAAAAGGGTCCATAAGGAATCATGATCACAGTGTCTTAATGGGTCAGCTCTCACATGATGACTGCAAAATGCATAGACTTCTTTTATGGGTACTAGATGGATTATATGTTAGAAAGTAGCAAACCAATTCAACAAGGTGGGATATCACTTAATCATTAACAAATATGGAATATTTGGTTGGAAATGAATGATCTATAGAAAAGCACAGCGAAATGGGATATTGATAATATACTCTTAACTTGTAATCCCCATGAAAATTTTTAATCAAATGCAAGTGAAAAAACAAAATATAATGTAAAATATTTTCATTTTAATATTACATTATTTTTCATGGGGTATGATGGAATATGAAAAGGCATGTAAAGATATGACATATTTTTGAAGGTTGTGGATACATTGGCTCTCTGAATAAACATGTTAGACTTCGGAGCGTAATTTAAGGGAGCTTTTCTGGCAACACATATCCACAAAGGGAATACACACAACAGAGTCAGCAAGACTTACCCCACCATCGCCAAAATTCTTACTCAAACCAAAAACAGAGAAAAAGCAGAAGCCACACTCAAACCATTAACTTTTGACAATTATTTTTTTTAAGCTTTTCTCAAAAGAAAATCAGCATAAAATATATATTTTCTTTTAAATAATCTAAACTATGCAAGGACTCAATTTCAATTAACACCAAGAAAATGATGTGTACTATTTTGTGATGTGATGCACTAGAATCTAGAATCCCAACTTTATATTTAGTATGGTTGCATGTGCTTTCTCTTCACCTACCATTTTTCTTTTAATATATATATTTTTCAACATTCAACTCTACCTATAATTTATGGTTTAGGTTTTGTGCTGCATTGACTTCTATACGTGACATGGATGAATAGATGATATAATTAACGTCAGCAATGATCCAAAAGATTAAGAAACTAGGGTAAGTATTACTTATCTTCTCAGGGTTCTTATTTTCAGGCAGCCGTATTTTTATTTTCTTAAAATATTCTTAAACCATTTTCTTTTTGCAGTTCTTTTAAGTTTAGATTGATTTTTATTTTTTTTGCTTGAATGAGATTTTAATTTTGTATGTTCATTCATTCAGTTTTTCATTTTTTAAAATAATTTTAAAAAAATTATTTTTTATTCTCAAGTCTCATAATTTTTCTGTTAGTAATTTGTTAATTTTTTCTATTATTTAACTATCTAAACATTAAGTTTGATTCTTATAAATTGATATAAAATTTACAAAAACAAGAACAAGGTATGTATACTTTTGTTCTTTTTATATTGGCAAATTTTTAATTTTATAACTTTCAATTTTATTTAAAAATATAAAAATATGATATTATTAATAAATTATATAAATTGACTCAAATAACATAAATGAATAATAAAATAAATATACAATTGGAAAAAATAAATAATAATTTTCGAAAGATTAAATTGAAAATAAATAAAAAGGAAAATTGCATTTTTTTAAAAGTCCAAAATCTCGATTAAATCAACATTTTTTTTATTGTGTCGTTCACGGTGATAAATTTCAACATACACGACAACGTCTTTTATTTTAATAAAATATTAGGTTTAAATTTCGACAAATTAAATTCACAAATGATGTTTAATGAAACTTTTTTTAAAAAATTAATATATTTTTATTCATAACTGTTGTGTACAAATTTTATAAGAGGTTTATAATTTTGAAAATGATATACGATGCTAAGTTGTTATATAAATCAATAAAAAATATATCGAGTAAAACAATGAGAGATAACAGTTAAATTTTTTATAACGTAAAAAATTAAAAAATATTTATTTAAAAGCATGAGATTAGGAAAAAAAAAACATAAGACAATTTCCAAAATCATTAATATTTTAATTATCATCAATGATCAAGTTATGTATGAGGATAATAATAAATATTCTTAAATTCAAGAAAAACATTTTTATTATATTGTACAAGAATAAATTTTAACTTTAAAATGTTTTTAAATTTTGTGAATGTGATTAAATTTGATTTGTATTCTTATTTTTTTAAAATGACATTTACTCATCATTTAGTCATAATATAACATGCATTCGTATATGTTATGTTGGTAATTATTTAAAGGTAACATGCATGTTGCGTTATTAATAAGTGAAAATAAAACTATTTCATTGTAATAACATATTTTTTAAAGTACGGTGAAATCACACATATACACACGTGTGTATATATATATATATATATTATTTATTTATTTATTTTTAAGTAGGTTTTTTTTTGGGTACTCGTCTATTAATACTGATTTCATCTGTTCGTGCTCGATATAATGAAGTTTGGGCTACTTATTCGTTGGACCAAGTGCAGTCACACCCACAGAGAGCTATTACAGCATTACTGCAGTGTGTGAATCTTACAATGTCCATGATAACGATTTTAAAATCCCTCTCAAAATGCTGGGTTTAGTTGCTCTCGTCTCTCATTAAAGTATGTATTTAATTTGAATTTGGGAGTTGCAATCAAGTGTTAATGAAAACTTAACCGTTTAATTTTTTTATAAAACACTTGTAGCAGGATGGCTAATTACAGTTAAGAAAATAATTTTAGGTTTGTAATTTCATTTTGTTGTATTGGTTTAATTTAGGTGAACAAGGTAGTATAAACTAAATATATTCTGTAAGACTTGCTCCATTTAAGATGAACACTGCACATGCTGGTTTTGAATTTAGCTACCATTTACTCTTTAGCTTCATAAGCAAATGAGCCTCCCAAATCCCAACGACATCATGTTGAATGAAAGAAATAAGTATGGAAAAAAGCCAAATTCTCAGAAATCTATGTGATGATCGAAGGTATATACATATACAATACAAAGTTCTGTTCTGAAGTAACTTATATCACAACGCTCCCTTTCAGGGGCAGTTTAAAACTATATTACCACTCACAAATCACTCTTTACAATGATATAAATTGTGAAGATATCAATCAATCAACCACAATAATCTAAGTGTTAAAAAGATGCTTTTATACAACGGAGGCAGCTTAAACACTACTGAAGTCTTCGGTGTCATTCTGCAAAGACGCTTTCGTCATACTGAAAGAGAAACCAGAGACTGTAATTGAGGATCTCATGTTTGTCTTACAACACAAAGTCTACCATTACATCATTTCATGAAGATAATTAGCAGGGAAATTCCTATCAAAAGAGCATTAAAGCAGAGTCATCATAGACGTAATATTTAGCAGTAAAATATTACGGATCATGCATGACAGCAGGTTTCTTCATTCTCTCAGAATTTGCAGAAATAACAACCACGAATCCTTACTGTAACTTCTTATAATCCCAAGTCCAAAAACAGAACAATATTTCAAAGAAGAACTAATGCTAAAAGAAAGTAAAGCACTCGGAATTTGTAGCATAACTAAAGTTCCAACTTCCCAAATTTTGTTTAACTGCAGGAAGAATCATAAAAGGTAGAAGTTCAGATCTATTGAGTAATCAATCAAGTTGAACATGTACTGCAGAATATTTGACAATATTTTCAAACGAAAAATAGCAGCTTTTGTGATTCAATAATAACATCGATAACACTAGGGAGGAAGAAATTGTATTCTTTGGATTTCTATCTGAACAATTTAGCCAAGTTTTGGTTCACTAGAATGGTTTTGACAAGGATGTAAATGGAAAGAAAAGGAATGAGATCATCATTCCTCTTATCATGTTCGGTATGGCCTGGAATAGAATTGATTCTAAGTTCCAAGAGTGGTGGTGGCAAAAGATGTTTTCCTTATCTTACAAAATAAATCGGTGTAATGCCCATTGAACAAAAGTTTAGCGGAATGATGGCCATTCCCTCCTATTAGGATTCTCTCATTTTGAGAGAACGACACTCTCAAGAGTCAAGACAATGACCAATTCCTTCCTATAATTGTTAACAAGCACGCTTATAGCTCTTTCCAGAAAAACCAACTGCCAGTTTATTGAAATACAAATATACAAAAAGTTATTGCATCACTCACTCACTAGATAAATTTGGGAAAAAGAGGACAAACACAAGCCAAAAAGGGACACAAAGGAGGCCAGGAATAGGAGGAAATACTAATTTCAAAATAATTATCGGTCTGCGAAGGCCATTGATGAAGAAGGACTAACTTCATCTTTAGATCGGGATAAATCAGGTTTTCATGGATTCATAGTGCACTTAAAATTCTTGTGCTTACTTGGGCTTCATAAATATTTACCGTACAGTAAGTAGATGTTTATTAATAAACAAGGCCTAACTCCCTAAAAAAAAACTAGGTATTGCCTAAGCTTAATAAAGAGTATTTTGGCCATATTCCTAGCTGGGACATCTTAACTACGTTCTATCCTAAAATTCATTAAAACAAACTCAAGTACATAAAATCTAGCCAAAGGATATTCAGAATGGCAAAATGAATAAACATGTAGGTATGGCAATGCAGAAATCGTTCTTCATATCGCACCATAATCACAATAATAAGCATTGTAGAGACCTTCTAAAGTGACATGATTTTCCTTGCAAACAAATAACAGACTTTGTAGATAGTGAATCATGACATGGAATTTAACATCAGCAATAAATACATTAGAAAAGATGGTGAATTGCATCCAAGATAATAAATCTAAGCAAGCAATAAGAAAGAAAGAAAGATGAATACTTTCGAAGAATCGAGTAGAGAGTGAGTTCAGTCGGAATGGGAGTGGTAGTAGTAATCGGAAGAATCATCGGAATCGTCAGAGTCAGAAGAAGGGAAATAGGAATAGGGATAGTAGGAATCGGGTTGAGGGAGGCAGAAGAAGGAGCAGAGACAGAGAGCGAATCTACTCAGTTGATGGAAAGGGAAACAGCAAATCAGATCCAACATCTGCTCGCTGCTCAACGCACTTTCCCTATTCCCAATGCATGACGCCCACTGCCACGCTTCCGCCGACACACGCGCCACCGTCAGCACCACCATACTGTTCAACACCATCTCTCTCTCTCTCTCTCTCTCTCTCTCTCTCTCCGCGTTTACACTTCCATGGATTTTCCTCACTTTTCTCTACATAAATACGCCGATTAGAAATTTCCTAAAAAACGCATTTTTATTCTACCTTAAATTAAAACTCTAATTATAAAGCATTTCTTAATTTAAGATTTTTTAATTTAAATTTTGACAATACTCGTTTAATTTCTTTTAATTTTTATTTATATATTCTTTGACTAAAATTTATTAGAAAAAAATTGACAGGGGTACTGCTTAGCAGAGTGGATAGTGTATTTCAATGTTCATTAGGGTTGTGTGATATTAAATATCATAGGCCAGTCAACTCCAGTTAGGCACTTGGCAATTTACATTAAAAAAGTAGCCCAGAGCCCAGCCTTTGTTGACTTACAAATCCACACAAAAACTTAAATTTTCTCTTCAATTTCATTCTGTGATTGAAATTGTGGAAAACAAGTGTAAGGGAGTGAAAGATATTGATGGAATCACAAATCTGTCACACAGGATGTTTCACATACATTTTTATAAAACTTGACGTTTAAAACACTTCCCAAATCCCTTTCTGCTAGTCATTTTCTATTGCTCATTTAAAACATCTAAGGTAGTACTTGAATCTTTATTTTGTAGATTGTGGAATTTGCAGGCTTTGAAATTAGAGGATTGTCTATGTCTTCAAATGACAACAGTTGGTTGAGGGTAATTGTTAGAATCGTAGATACACATGATTTTTTAAACTTGGATTATATCAAAGGATACCTTGATTCATGATCCAATAAAGTATATAAAAGCATGTGATATTCTTTGAGTAGATTTTTGTCTATGACCGGCTATTTTAGAAGACATCATATTCAAATAAGGTTGTTTTAAGATTTGTTTTAATGTGTGTTTAAAGACAACATTAAATATATTCTATCATATGTTTTAGATTACCATAAAATATATATTTTTAATTTTTTTAAATGATTTTAATAATTGAATGGATGATAGTGAACCAGTCCCCACTCCAAAAGAACATATGGAAGGAAGACTCCTATTTAAACAGTTATCCCATATTTAACAACAATTGTTATTTGTTATGTTTTCTTTATCATGTTATCAAACTTTACATTAATGTCTTTTTTGTTTATCCATGTGATTAAGTAAGATAATTAGTAAATATATTAAAAAAAAGCTCTAAGGTAGATAAATGAAAATATAACCCATCCATTTATCATGCCAAAATGTTTAAAGATGTTAATAGGTTTGTATATTAACAAACAAATCGTCATGCGGGGATAGCTCAGTTGGGAGAGCGTCAGACTGAAGATCTGAAGGTCGCGTGTTCGATCCACGCTCACCGCATTTTTCAATTTTTTTTTCATTTGTTTTTTTTTGGTCCAGAAATGCTTTGTGATCACTTTTTTTTTGTTTGTTTCTCTATTCAGATTGCAAAAGTGGGACTTGGGCTTTTTTCTCTTTATGGTGATAATGTTGTTTTTTTGAAAGCTTCTTCTTGAAGACCAAAATATTTTTTTTTTTCTGACCCTTACTTTCTTGCTCTTGGGCCTTGTGGCTTTGTAACGTTATCATCACATTTTTAAGCGGCCATGGTCGTTATCATCATGTGCATCGCATTAATTGCTGCATGCAATGAATGAGTTCTCCTTACTAAGCATGAAATTGGAGAGGGGACTATACAGGGCAGAGCTATAAAATTTTATTGGGGTGGCCAAGTAGATAAAAGATTATTAAAGAAACAAAAGGTTTATATATATAGACATATAACAAAGGAAACAATTTTGGGAATATAGTTTTCTTTGAGTTACGTACAACTTTTTTATACCATGATTTTGATTCCAAATTGATTTAACTCCTTATTTTAGAAAACAAAATCCTAAACTCAAATTGGAACAAGTCAACCAAATGATTTTTCACCGCACAAATTGGAAGGAAAATTCCATTTAATTTTACGTTCATTTCGACACATTTCCTTTTCTTTGGCACATAAACTAATATACAATGGTTTACAAAACCTTGGGTGTGGCAGTGATGTTGTTGTTGGTGGTAGCTGCAGGTGCAGACCCAAGTGACAAGTTACTCTTTTCTGCTTGTTTGAAAGAATGCATGTCCATGTGCATGAAACTAACGTACTCAAAAGATTCACAATGCCAAGAGGCATGCGCTATGGGATGCCACCAATTGCAAGGCCAAGGTTCTGTGCTTTTTACTAAGACAAGTAACAATCCATAGATAGCCCATAATAATGTATTACTTTCATAATAATGTATTACTTTTGTTTTATGATTTATTTCTATTATGGATTTCTAATGCCTTTTTGCTGCGTCTTTCATCATGCTTTTTCGACTCACAACCATTGTACTCATACAATCCTCAGATCAAAATGTGTTAAATGTTTTCTTTTACAGAAAATTTCCACATTATCTTTTACTAATATTTTGGATTACAAATTTAAATTACAATTTCTTTAAGGCTTACAATTCCTTGAGTGGGTTATGATTTTTTCACATCTAACAATTTGTTTCTCTCCATCTTTCTCATTTGTCATTAAACCAACCCTTTTGTACATAATTTTTTTAATGTATATCTCATGAATTAAGCCCCCAAAATGGATGCAAAAGAACAATTACTCATTCATAATAGTGGAGAGAATTAATCCGTATCCATACAACCCCACACCTCCACCAGATAATGCTTACTAAGCATTAAGAAAAAGTTGGGAAGGAATAAAACTTAAACGAAGCCTTGAAAATAGTCTCAATAGTGGGGCAGTAGGTAAAGGCACGCTATTGTGGAAATCCAGATTTAGTACCTGAATTGTTGCTTGAAATGGTCATATTCCCTAATTAGACAAATGATGAGAACATGAATGGATTATATTTAGATATTTTAATAAAGCTTCCTCCAAATTGTGAAGATAATAAGAACATTTCTTCCTCACATTCATGATGTAGAGATTGACACGATACCATTTGTTTAAGATAAAACAATCTTAATCACACAGGTTTCAATGTTGAACAATATTTTCAAAACGAAACTACTCATCTCTTTCTCGCCGCCTTTGACTAGGAACAACTCTAAGAGCCTCATAACTTCATCGTATAATTTGATTCAATTTATAACACTTCCACAATCATTTTATTGAAAAGAATCGGAATATATACTAAATTATTCACGTTGGAAAAGACAAATCACTTGTTAAGAATGTGGGTATTTTTGCAGTTTTAAGGTTAAAACTACAATAACACTCTATTTCAATCCTTTGAAAGAGGTTAATTTAACATTTAAAAGTGAAAAAATATCTGAATAACGACAAAAGAACTCATCATGATCGAAAGAGAATTAATACTCTTCACCATTTTATGATAAAGTCAACCGCATTCTTGAAATTTTAAAAATTTAATATTATTTACATAATGACTCATCCCATAGAATTTGAATCGACAGAATTAAACAGGATTGAACCTGCAATTAGGGGCTAATTACGTGTGTGTTGGAGATAAAATATAAAATATTTTAACACAAACTTTGAAAATACATTTTTATAATTCTTGAAAGCCACTGCTATTTTTATAAACAATAAGCTTTATTTTCAATAAAGTTTTATTCTCAAATACTTTGGTTATTAACATAATTGTTTAATTAAGACGTAATGAAAAGGGTTTTAGAAAGAACAAATAAACGAGATGATGAAATTATTTATGGATTGAAACAATTGTGTCCACTTCATTTATTGCATGAAATAATGATTCAAGGTTGAAAATAGAATACCGCAAAAACAAAGTATACGAATGAACACAAGCTAACACCACGTATCTTTACACCACCAATCAATATCAATATGACATGGTTTCACAATTTTATTTTCAATACTTCAATAATATGCACTCTCTTGTGGATAACCACTCTTTCATGTTTTCATTTTATCTCATTCAATTTTTTTAAAACTTCCAACCTTTTATACAATTGTTTTTTTTTTTCCAAATAAATAAGTGTGCATAACTTAGTTCGTGTTTAATTTAATTTATTTTTAAAAATATTCACTTTTTTTTTTGTAAACTTTTGAAAAAAATTATTTTTTTTGTTATTATCCCCTTAAAAAACTCTCCCCAATCTGCACATAAATTTTCGTTAATGGCTTAAATAAATAACTATTAGTTTATCACAAAGGTTGGTTGACAATGGATTCAGCTAAAAAATGAACTAATCTAACCTGACTCATTTTATAGTGAGTTAAAAAAATGTCAACATGACTCAATTGGCTTGTCAAATAAAAAACTTAAAATAAAAAAATTAAAATAATAATATCTCATAAAATTTAATTATTGTCGCTCATAAAATATTTTAAAAAGTTAAAATAATATTAAAAAAAAGAAAATATAACCTATAAATTGACTTGACTCATCACAAGTTAGCTCACCTGGTTCAAAGACTGAGTGAGTTGGATAAAAAATAATTTGAGATTCTTGTTCATGATATCTTTTTTAATCTGACTCATCTAAAATTTGTAGGAAGTTAGATTAACTCACGAGTCATGACTCATTTTGATAGCATGGTTTATATATATATATATATATATATATATATATATATATATATATATATATATATATATATAATCTATTGCAAGTTTTTTTGTATTAATTATTTTTTTGTAAAATTATTTTTAGAAGAAATAAAGCAATTAATTATATAAAAACAGTATCACAGCGAGTCCAAGAATTTTAATGGTAGTCTTGAAAAAATTATCTAAATTACTAATAAGTTTAATGTCATTAATAAAGATAATCACATTTCTTAATTACTGATAAGTAGTTAAAATGATATTATATTTAAATCAAATATAGTAAATTATATAATTTATAATATATTATTTTATACTAAAAATTACTCTTAATATTTTTAATATTTGTTAAATTAAAAAAATAGTTAATATTAAAATTAATTTAAAAGAAAACTCATGATAACTATCTCTTCCTTATCCCCCTGGCCCTCTAATTTGGGGAAAATTTTATTTAGAGTGAGTCACATCATTTTATCTACATTTCCTTTTCATCTTTCCTCAACAAAATAGAAAACAAGATTTAGGTTAATGTGTAGATATCTTTTTCACCATACATCTAGTTAGGAGGTTAACATCAGATGTGGATCCTCTCAAGTGAAGAATTTTCAGTCATTTTATTTAAATATTATATTTATTATTTTAATAAAATAAATTAAATATTTAATGGTCTTGATTTTATTCAGTGGTTCATTCACTAGAAAGGATCTTCTTCCGTTTAAAATCAGAACACTCCAGATGCGTTTGTCACCCATTTGTCCACATCAAAACGTGTCCTTACATCTTTCACTGAAAAAAAAAATATAAAACTAGATTTCATAAAAAAGAAGAAACTAGCACTATTTCCTTCTGTTTTCCCCTTTTTTATGCATAAACAGTGTAAAATAACATATGCAAATTTAGGTATAGACTACAAATTATTCACCACTACACATGAAATTGATTTTAAACTGTTTTAATTGAGATACATGCATAAATTAATCTGAAGTACAAATTTTATTGAAATATGTACTTTTCGTTAGAAAGTAAGATACTTAACTTTTTTTTAACTTTAAACTAAACAAGTTATTGTTATTACAAGTGGTAAAAAAGCAATTTTTCTTCTTCTTCTTCTTCTTCTTATTATTATTATTGCTGCTACACAAGGTTATGGTATAGCATTCATCACATAAAGTGTCTAATGGCAATGTTATATAGGATACCGTCCCAAGAAAGAGATAAGTGCATTCGTGGCTGTGTGTTATGTATCCCACTAAGCCTTTGCTACTGTTTTATATATACCCCTTTTCCTTTAGTGCTTCCATTTGTCGGTTCACTTGGAGTTGGAGATCTTATATCCATATATACAATACAACTTTGGTAACGTAATGTTTTACCTTCTTAAATTATTGACTGAATTTCACAATACCAAAATTAATCAGTGCTTTAGGATACTGATTTAAAAAATTAAATTTATTTTTGTTTATTCATTGCTTTTTATATTATCATTTGTAGGCCATAAGTTTTATGACATTAATACGAAAGTGTCACTTTCATGAGGCGTACCAAATATTTTGTTTTAAAAAAATCAGGATGAATAGAAAATGAAAGAGAATATGCTATAGTTGTTCAGAGTTTGAAGGCCTTTTAAGTCTTCCTTGTTGATTTATATACAGTTTCGGTGGTTCAGTCTACAAAGAGCAAACTCGCTCTGTATTTCATCCATCTTAAACCTCAGTTTTGCTGGTTCCTAGATTTGTCTCTAGTTTGTCCTTTTTTTTGTGCCCTTCTATCAATAGTTAAGGACTATATACTAATATAGGCTAGCTATGGTGGTGACCAACCTTGTAGTCTTGCCAGCAGTTATACTATTCCTTGTCCTTTGTCTACATTTCATCATAAAAATTGTCAAATTTAGAAAGCATGCAAACCTGCATCTTCCTCCCGGAAGTTTAGGATGGCCTATTGTTGGAGAAACCTTTGATTTTATGCGTACATGTCTTGATGGAAGCATGTTAAGGTTCATAAAAGAGAGAATGGACAAATATGACTCAAGGGTGTTCAAGACTTCAGTGTTTGGAAATCCTATAATTGTGTTTTGTGGTGCAGCTGGGAACAAGTTCTTATTCAGCAACGAGAACAAGAATGTCCAAGTGTGGTGGCCTAGCTCGGTGAGGAAGCTGCTGAGGTTGTCTCTTGTTACTAAGGTTGGTGATGAAGCAAAGATGGTGAGAAGGTTGCTCATGAGCTTTCTTAATGCAGAAACACTCAGAAATTACTTGCCAAAAATGGATAGCATTGCTCAGCGCCATTTAGACAAACATTGGGAAGGTGAGAAATGTTGTTGGGTAGGTCATATGAGAATTATGTTAACAAAGATTTTCAATTAGATTAATACAAAATGATACTTAAATGATACATTATTGTTTAAATTTATGAATCAATGATCAAGCGAAAGATTGGTAGCGTGATTCCACTCCGTGTCAGAGGCAACTTGCTTTTGGTGCTATTTATATTAATCAAAATTATACTTTCACCTCAATAATACATCCACATTTAATATTATCTCATGTTACAGATGTGAAACTCTAATTTTGATTAATAAACAACACTAAAAACATAAAATGAACCAGTTGAGTTTTGGCCTTTTTCAAATCTCTCACATCTCCCACATATCTTCTCAGTCTGAAACAAAACTTGACATATCTATCGATATAATAAATTAATTGTCCTCAAAGAAATTTGGGTTACATCCATCACGTGTAACTGCATATATTATTAAGCATTAGTGGGTAGGTACATAATGATTAAGCATTAGTAGACAAGTAGAAAGGGTTCTTTTACAAGCTAGTAAATTTTGCTTTTCACATTTATCCTAAAAAGAAAAAAATTATTAGATTTCTAAATTCTTAGATCAGAACTAGTCATAAGAGGGTCACCTGATTGATGCACAAGTTTTTTTGTGATGAAACAATGTTGATTGACTATACTATTTTGCTTTGGCTACTAAGATTGGTTATTCATTAGAAATCAAAGGGAGAAATAATATCATGATCAATGGTTTAATACTTTTGTTACTTTGCAATTTGAAGGAAAGGAGCAGGTGCATGTCTATCCCATAGTACAGCTATACACGTTTGAATTGGCCTGTTGCTTATTTTTAAGCATCGAAGACTCTATCCAGATAGCAAAGCTTTCATTAAAATTTGATGAATTTCTGAAAGGGATTATTGGCTTCCCCATCAACATTCCTGGAACAAGGTTTCATCGGGCAATGAAAGCTGCAAGTGCAATAAGGAAAGAAATTAAAATGATTCTAAAGAAAAGGAAAGTGGATTTGGAAGAGAAGAGGGCATCACCAACCCAAGACCTTCTATCACATATGCTTGTTACGTCTGACACCAATGGAAGGTTTATGACCGAAATGGAGATAATTGATAACATACTTCTTCTACTTTTTGCTGGCCATGACACTTCTAGGTCAGTGTTATCACTGGTCATGAACTATCTAGGACAGTTACCTGAAGTTTATGAGAATGTGTTGAAAGGTTAGCAATAAAATCCTTGAACTTGTCTATTTTTCTAATGTATAAAATTATGGTAGCATGCTGTATACTCTTACCAAAAACATGTTCATGATGATGTTGAGGTTGTCTTTATGACAGAACAACTTGAAATTAGTCAAGGGAAAGAGGCAGGGCATTTTTTGCAATGGGAAGATGTTCAGAAAATGAAATACTCTTGGAATGTTGCATCTGAAGTCATGAGGCTGTCGCCACCTGTAGGTGGTGCTTACAGAGAAGCTATAAAGGATTTCACCTATGCTGATTATAACATCCCTAAAGGGTGGAAGGTATGTTTCATCTCTTTTGTAAAGCTTTTTTAAACTATCATCATGCTTTCTGCGCTCTGCATTCATTGGAATCACAACTTGTGGCTTGAGAATATTTCTTGTTCCTGATTGCTAATGGCCAAATAATTGCCCATCTGTAACTTTTATTTCACATTTACGCATTGAATTTGTATTTTCACATACATCGTTAAGCTCCAAGTGTATCATAACATATTTGAACATCAAGCCTACTGCCAACTATAAGTATTTGCTTACATCTGACCAACAACTTTTTTAAATCAAGCCACTAATTCAGTTTCTAGAAACTTTTTCATTAAACTTCTGCAAAAGCTAGGATGCATAACTTGATTTTTAGAGAAATTTTATTCATTTTCCTCCGCTTCTTCGCTTTCAATTTTTGAGGAGGTTTAAGCATACTGATTGTTGGTGATAATAGCTACTTTCATCGTTACTTAAGGCAATGTTTCCTTACAAATCTAAGACCGGTAAAACAGGAGCATGTGTGCTAAAATGATAGAACCTTGTCTGATGTTGCTCTGTCATATAAAATGATTTTTTGGGCAGTTGCATTGGAGCACTGGTTCATCACACATGGATCCAACACTCTTCTCAAATCCTGAAATTTTTGATGCCTCAAGATTTGAAGGAGCAGGGCCTACACCCTTTTCATATGTTCCATTTGGAGGAGGACCGAGAATGTGTTTGGGGCAAGAGTTTGCAAGACTAGAGATACTTGTGTTTATGCATTACATTGTGAAACGGTTCAAGTGGGATCTGGTGAATCCCAATGAGAAGTTTAGGTATGATCCCATGCTAGAACCAGAAAAAGGACTTGCACTTCGACTTCACCGCTGTCATTTCTAGCCAAGTTCCTTCACCATTCACATAGTTGAATTTTGTTTTTGTATCTGCTTCCACATGTTCTACAGTCTAGTAGCTTCAATAGAACTTCAATTATTTTGATATGTACTCAGCATACATAGTTCATATCTATGCTTTCTTAACATTGGTTTTGCAGGAAGGAATAATAGAAGCAGTTAACAATGTGTTTCTGTTGTGTTGTCTTTGTAACTGTGCACACAGAAGTTGATAAATGATTTTGTTTGGACAATGATTTGGCAAAAATTAGATTTTGAGTATCATATCTCAACAATATCGTCATTTCGATGCACAAAAGAAGATTAGAGTAATTTTGTCGACAGCAAAAAAATAAAATAAAATTGAGCATCAGATCCTAACAACAACAAAAGCTACATATTATGCCTATGCATTTCATAACCATGTTGTTGTCATTGGACTAAAGAAAATAAATCCCTTGATTCAAGCCTCCAATACCTGGCCGCTTCTGAGTGAACCGAAGAAATAATATCCAACAAAGTAAGAGGAAATTGACAATTTTATTGATCATAAGTTTCTTACAATATAACTTTATTATACTAAGCCACTAGTACATAAAACAAGATCCCAATGAAGGGACAAAAAATGAGGGACCTGTGGTTAACTATAAAGTAGTTATACATTGGAAATAATTAGCATATTGCTCAACCAACTCCTTAGTCAGCCAAACTATATGCTTGTGTCCACGTAATGGGTTATTTCTTACCAAATCCAAAAAGAGATTTAATGGCATTGATGGCATTCTCATTGATAAATGATTCATCGAATCTTTTCAATAGTAGGTCAAAATCTTCTGATGCCCTTACTTTAGCCAGATCAGGATCAGTTCTCATTCTCTGTTAAAATAACAACAATGTTAGATCGCTTGGCCAAAATGAAAAATTGATAACGTAACTTGCCTTGGATTGATCACCTTAAAGTCTTCAAAACCAGCATTCAGAGCTTCTTCCAGTGAAGAAAGTGCTGCTTGAATCTATTAGAGAAATTTATTACCCCATCACCATGTTAACAGATAGAGAAATCATAGATCAACCGAATCGTTAGCTGACAAGAATAATGGAGTAACAAAGTATACTGTCCTTAGTAGCATAAATATGGACATATAATACAAATATATATACTAAATTTGATGCTTTAAAAATAATAATAGTAATAAAATTGAGGAATCAAATACTTCCTCAGGGACTAATCCAAGACCAAATTTCATGTTTCAAGCAGTGAAAAGCATCAAACATATACCTGGTCTAGCTTAGAATAACAACAAGCAACATTGTAACTTGCAACTGCTGCTTCCTCAGGTTCTGGCTTTGATCCCAAAACAGACTCAAATTTTTCTAGTGCTTCCTCATATTTGGCATTCCTTCAACATTTAATCCAGGAACAGAGTGTATAGTAAGAAAATTGGTGACATAGGATCAATTCTTTTTAGTCCTTTGATTGATATATAATGCAAATTGAAGCTTTTTCTTTAATCATTTAAACATTTGTTCCCACCATGTCACTTGTCAAACAAAAAGCAAGTCTCCTGTCCCTAATTTTATATTTTTAATTTATATGCAACTGAGTTATAAAGGAATAATTTACTTAATTTAGCACAACCTTGAAGAATATACTTGCATTATGAAATGTGAAGGGATAGAAAAAAAAAAAAAGGAATACAGGACAAACGAAAGGGGATCAAAAGAAAATGATTTTGAATTGCTAAGTCATACTTATATAGTCGTAATCCTTCTCTCAAATCCCTTGCTCTGCGCTCTTTCTGTTCCTTTTTCCTCAATGCATTTTGCAACTGAAAATTTTACAAGTTTGAGAATTTACAGTGGCGTTTGTACCCCAATGGAAGTATAAGTGACTTTTTCTATAGAAGAGAAAAACTTACTTGAATTTCCCTCACTCTGTTACTGATTACACCAGAGTTCCTCTCAGCTCTGATAATCTCCTTTTCAGATAACTCACCACCACTATCTATACTCTTTCCTATCAAAAAGAGCAGCCATGGCTCAGGGATCAGTGAGTAAAGTTCACAAGCACTTTCAGGACACAGAAGAATGAACTAACCATATCTCTTCTGCATTCTCATAAGTAATGGGCCAATTCTTTGGCGAATAGTGTACATTGTCCTTCCATATTCCGCAGCTGGCCAAATTTCGGTCCCAAAAACTGCGCTGCAGATTTTGAGCACTTTGATCATATCTCAATCATCAAACATAAAGTACATAATTTTACTTTTCAAATTTCATATCACATATATAAAAAGACAACCCATAAATAAACACAAGATAATTTCCTGACCATACAGAAACATGAATTGCTCTAATATGCCTAAATTATTTTGAACTTGAAGTACTGAAGTCATATTCAAAGAGGTAATTCATCACAAGATTTTTAATGCAATATCAAAATCCACAACCTTAAGCCAACCCTGATTAAATATCTTGAGCGTCACATGCTAGCACTAATCTCCAAGTTATACTAGAACATCTATAAAACTTCCATCTAATTTTCCCAAGAAAGAAACTTGTGGAAAGAGCAAACTATAATGAAAATAGCATACCTTGTGGCAAGTACTTTATCCCCAACAGCGACCACTCCAGCCTTATCAGCTGATCCTCCAGGTGCAATAGCATCAATGTAAGTTCCACCATCCCTACCCTTTGCAAATTTGAGTCCAAAGGGCTGGTCCAATTCCACCTCATACTCTTCATATGGTTCCTCTTCTCCCTCACTGTTTTCACTCTCTTGTTTGGATGCTTCTGACCCAACCTCAGATGAAGAAGCCTTAACCGCCAAAAGGAAGGGTCTTGACAAAAGGGTGTTTGAGAAACAGCAAGAAACAGCCAAACATGAGTGGTTTCTGGAAGAAAAGAACTTGCTTGTGGGAAAAAACAAGGTTGGGTGGATTTGGGTGGTTCTTGGCAATGTAAGTGCAGAGTAAAGAGATGAGTGACCACTAGTGGTTGTAGATAATGACATGGTTATGCACAAAATCTTTGCTAGTTTCTCTTTTCAGCTCTATGAATTGTTGAGAGTGGTGAGTGGAACATCCTTTGACGATTGAAGTTGTGCATAGTTAACAATGAGAGCCTCAGTTGTCGGGGCCACAAACACTTGGATGAGAGGTTGTAAATGGAGATTGCTGAAGTGGTTTCGAAGGCACATCCACTCAGTTCACTAGCATGATGCCACGTGTACTTTTTCGATTTTGCTATGTTTGAGACGTGGCTGTACCGCTACGGCTCCAACAATTTCGATTAGGGATTAAGAACATTGATCAGGATTTGTCTATCTTTTCATAGACAATCATTAAAACTTTTTTAAATTTTTATTCATATTACATTCTTATGCAATAAGATTTTCTAGGAATAATATTGAGTTTACACTTGTAAAATCTTTAATAATTTGTTTTTACTTAAATCATTTTGATTATTTTTTAAAGAATTTTATTAATGATTGGTTTAAGAAATTTAAAATTTTGCTTTTCTCCGTAACAATTGCTGCTGTCTTTTTTATGTCCTAAACGTTTGTCAAACAAATCGGTCCAAATGCTAAGAAATTAATAAGTCCTTGTAATTGTTTTATGTTAATATGATTAGTGCGTTTTAAATTAACTACTTATGGTCACTACAACTTATTGCCTATTTTGATTAGTTATTTACTCTGGATTAACACAAAAATTAACTATTTGAAAGAAAAGTAAAACAAGATAGTTCAAATACATATTAAATATTTGTAAGTTAGATTAAAAGGGTTAAAATATGATTTATTTTCTTAAATCATTTTTAATTTATTTTAGATTTTACTTTAATTAAATATACACATTTTTATATTTTAATTCATATATTAATATTTTTAATTTAAAAATATCTGTGTAATGTAAATTACCTGCTAGTTTCACACACACCCAAAATAGAGAATTAAAATCAATTGCTTTAAACTTCTGTTCCAATCGATCATCAGTATGGTAGGTAGCGCTTTTTGGAAGAAATGGTGTGGAAAAAGTACCCAAAAATTGTATAACATGAAATTTGTCATATACATGTTCATATGCAGCCACTCCCAGGCTAGGTAGCCTCCAGAAATCTGTTATTTTATGCAAGAAATATTCAGATAAGATATGGACATAAAAAAATTGTTTTCTCCAAATATATTGGAAAGATATTAGATTTAAATAAAACAAAAGGAGGCCTAATAATATATCATGTTTTGCTGCTATTGCTTGTTTGTTTCTGTTTAAATTGACATCATCAGTTCAAACAGTGATCCAGTTGCATATATGTAACAACCATGTAGAAAAGCAAAGAAAGGGGTAGAATAGAAAGAAATTGCCTATATGTCATGTTAATAAACACAAGAAGTTAAGGCAAAACCTCTCCCTATGAACATGAGAAGGGAAATTGATAACCTACAACAATACCCAGTTTCAGTCATTTTGCATCTTTCCTTTTCAAATCAGCATCAGGAACCTCACTGATTATGGTCAATGTTTTTTCAATAGAGATCTCATTGTGTGCCTGCAAAGGCTCCAATGAATCTACAATATCTCGCATTAGAGGCCTTGCTTTTGGATTGCGGTTCAAGCAATGATATGCAAGCATTGCAGCCTTGTGAACTGCCTTAACTGGATAATCACCATCCAGCCTTGGATCTATAATGTTTAGAAACTTCTTCTTTTCCTTCAGCAAAGGAAGAGCCCATTCTGCAAGGTTCTGCTCTCTAGCCGGCCTTAACTTCTCTAAAGATTTTCTTCCTGTGAGAAGTTCAAGAAGAACAACACCAAAACTGTATACATCACTTCTAGGAGTTAGATGACCTGCACAACAGATAACTATGATGTCAACTTATATTTATATTGAACAACCACAATTTGTTTTTAAGGAAAAATGATTTAATTTTTGATTGATCTATTAGTGTTCGTATGATTCATGTAACTAACCTCATTCAATGCGTTAAAGCTTAGTTGTTGTTAGTTGTAACCACAATTGCTCTTATTAGAGACGAATCATGCTTAACTCACTCTCACAAGTAGTTTAAGAGAAAATGATTGCTCAAGTCTTAATCATAAGGACTATTCTAGTCAAACTCTAAACTAGTATATTTAACTGACATTGAATAATTTTGCACAAATGAGTACTGAATTCCACCTTCAAAATTTGCTTTACCTGTCATTATGTATTCAGGTGCTGCATAACCATATGTTCCCATTATTCGAGTAGAAACATGGGATTTGTCTCCAACTGGTCCATCCTTAGCAAGGCCAAAGTCAGAAAGTTTTGCATTATAGTCCTGTTTTTGAAACACAAAATGATTAGTTAAAAGCTGACTTATTTTGGAAACATTGTAGCCTTTTCTGTACAAGAGTAGAAACTAAAACTTACTATGCAAAAATTAGGCATGTATATAGCATTATTTTGCACACATTGTGCTATATATTCATTATAAAATAATACCTTGCTAGGGTCATCTTTCTTAGCGCATGTGTGGTTTACAATGAAAAAATATGACAACACAAACTACAAGTATGATCTATTTTTTATCTTGAAGAACACTGCATCATGACCTCAACAATAACTTAATAGTTTTTAGTGGCCTTATGAACAGTGAACATCAGTGCATGTCAAGATTACCTATTCTGTGCTAAATCCAAAATAACAAGCAAATTATGGAAAAATTTATATTATACACCGCCCAAAATATGTTAAATTTTAATTGTCCATCTGTCTACATATTTTCATTATATAAATACATATTCAGCGAAAGAAATTGTATGATTTCTTGAAGTGCACTGACCTGGTCCAATAAAATATTTGATGTCTTAAAATCACGATAGATGACAGGTTTCTCTGCTTCATGAAGAAATGCAAGTCCCTTTGCAGCGCCAAATGCAATCTTCATTCTTATGGACCATGGCATGGGAAGCAGAATTTCTGCAATATTTAAGTAAAGATACATTAGATAAAAAAAATCTCTTGTTTTGTTCAATAAAGACACACAGTTTTGAATATAACTAGTGGACTTTATGATCCTATCATGGAATATTAAACCAAAAAACAAAAGCATTTAATATTTAGAGACTCCATAAAGCCTTTAATGCCTTTTCCATTAGTTAATTAGAAGGATTTAAAATTTTTCATCAGCTAATTAAAGGGTGAGTCTTAACGTAGCGAGGTCATGATTTCACAGTCTCTTTTACTTGTAATGATAAGAATTTTTTCCTAATTGTGAGATGTTCTACGTGTGAAAAATGACATGACCCATGAATTCCTAAGAGTGAATGCTAAGTGTGACAATGAAAAGTATTTATAGTGGAAGCGGTGAAGGACTTCAAATGATCCCCACAGTCACCAGTGGAACCATTGAGTCATTTTTAGGTATAGTTGCTAGAAGATAATATTCACTTTACCACTCATTTTGATTTATGTGTTATATCAATTACCACTCATCTTTGTAATTTAAAGGTTGTGGATTAAAGTTAAACACATTGACGATCCATATAATTGAAATGGCATACATTGAGTGGTTCAATGTAATAATATTATCTTACTTAGATTCATTAAAAATGTATTAAAAGATAGTTTTAAATTTGACTTGATTTATTACAAATTCCTAAATTATTATTTGACGTGTAAAGTTGTAATTTGTAAGAATTATAATAAAAATGTACTTAAGGTATTTGGAATAGTAACTTATGTGGGAAAAACTCTATTTGAAGTCCTTAATGGGCCTCAGCAAAATGGGGAATTCGAGCCCATAAGAAAACACTTTTGAAAAGGTGCCTTGGACCATAAACAGAAAAAGGGTAACTCGAACAGGAATCTATCTTCTGACCAAAAACAATAAAGAACAACAATTTATCTACCCTTGGGCTTTTTCACTGATGATCTTTTGACCCAAAAAAAAATAAAGAATTAATCTTTCATTAAAAAAGTTTTGTAAAACCGAAAAAGTTCATATTACTACTTGGCTCATTGCAATGATAGACAATGGGGTAGAATCTACCTATTTACAGTTAGAAATCTCAGCTACTCACGGAGGTAATTTCAATGATCAAATCATAAAGGAATTTTGAGTTGGTCAATTAGTCACAATCTTCTATTATATTGACATCTAATAAGGTTGTAGTATATCTAAATAACACTTTTTTTCTTCTGTTGCTATCAAACTAACGTCCTTATCAAATCCATCTAAATTAGATGTCTTAAAGAAGTGACAAAGAACCATACGTCTTAAGCAATAACTGGGCATGTTTCCACGAAGCTACAAAATGAAACCAAAATCGTTTCATATCTTATTTTCTCTGTCAACATTGTCGGAGACAACTTAAAGAAGGAAAAAAGTAAGGGGAGATGTATCTGCCAAAGCAAAATAACAAATTTCTAGACGTTGTGTAATTAAATTCCTTGTTAACCATGGTTATATAATATATGTAATGGCACCCTAGTAACATGTTCCATCAATGTCCTAAGCTTTAATATCAAAAAGGGTATAAAGAATTTCAATATACAAAAAAAAGTGGCATAACATACTTACTGGAGAACAAATTGTGTTCCACACTTCCCCGGGACATGTACTCATATATTAGTACCCTATGCTCGTCTTCGCAGCAGTATCCAATTAATTTCACTAGATTTGGATGTGAAAGCTGCCCCAAAAATATGACCTCTGCCTAGAAAGCAATCAAAATCTTAATTAATCTTACAACACCAATAATATAATTTTATTGTTACATCAATTTACCAATATTAGAACAGTTATAGCATTATTTTTCAATTAGATAAGTTCATATAAAAATAATGTACATAAAGACATAAACAATTAATACCAGCCACTCTCTGTGCCCTTGATGACTGTTGTCACCATCATGAACCTTAACAGCTACTGCAAGAGTAGGAAGGCCCTGCCTTAACTCCTCAGAAATAAACCCTTTATAAACACTTCCAAATCCTCCTCCACCCAACACACGATCTGGCCTAAAATTTGCAGTGATTATTTTAAGCTCATCATAAGTGAATGCAATCAACGGATTTGCAGCTGAGTCACGCCTTAGGTCTTCTACTTCTTCAGGATTCGATGGTAATTTACTATCATCATTCCTTTGTTTCGTTGCCTGGTTTTGTTCTTTTGGTGAATCAATAAGAGAAATGAGAACAAATTATATGCACATTTAAACTCTTAATAGAGAATATTTGTGCCCATTTATACTCATCAAAATATTATCATAAAAACCAAGTTAAAAAACCAAGGAAAACCAATAGGAAAGGCGAAACAGTTAATCTAATGGTATATTATACAGAAAATTATCATCAAGCTCACCACCTATAAATAAAAAATTTAAACTTTCATGGTGGGAATATATTATAATCGTGAAGCAACCAATTAAAATTTTAAAACCCACCACCAGTTTTCATAGAAAGTTTAATTAAGATAATACTCAACGCACTAGAGTTAAGAGGTTTCCACTATCCACGTGAGAACTACAAGCCGACCCACTTTTGAAGCAGACACATAAGGAAAAGGTGATCAGGGGTCATATTAACGGGTTCTACATTCAAGTAACTTTAGAAAAGTTTAAAGATTTGAAGACAACATGTAACTCATATATGTAGATTTCTGTTTTAATGTTCTCTTTGTCTTTTAATGTTTTGCAAGAATATCTACTTGCCTACAAGGATGAGATATTTGAAGCTATCACTAAATTCAAATGATTTAATAACCGTAACATAAAATTTTTCAATGGAATACTACAAAACATGAGAGGCTTAATAATAACATCCATCAAAGACAAAATATAATTAAAAAAGAAGAAGAAGAAAGCAAGAAGAGATGAATAAACCATTTCAAGAGAGAGAACAGAATCCAGAGGAGGAATACAGGATCTATAATCAAAGGTCTAACATAACGTACACCAAATACACTAATTCATCCCAGTCAATGATAAATAATGGATATCAAACTCCAGATAATCATTGGATGCAAAGAAAGTCAAGTTTTTTGGCAAGAAACCAACCTGATTTTGCATTGGATGAGACTCTATAATCTGATGACTCCCACCTATACCAGCAATTACCCATTATACCAAATCCAAACACAGCCTTGTTGCAGCATGTACCAGCTCCTTTATCAACACCCCATCACAAAAAACATAACTTCCTTTCGTTAATTTATTTTCCCTGTGTCGTTTTCTCACTCCTCAAGAAACATGATTTAGATTTAGGAGCAAGGAAGAGAAGAGAGACAAAGACAACAAAAGCAAACAAGTACAGATGAAAAAAATAACATGGCATCTAGTGGTTAGTGTTATGATCAAATGTCCATTGACAGCAGTGTGAAAAGGGACATGTCTTTTTATGGCAGAAAGGGAAGAGTGGAAGATAATTCAGTGATGGCAATGATGGGTTGAGTGTGAAGTGTTGATGAGGTGGGTGTTGGCTTGGCTATGGGAGAAGATGGAAGGGCCCACAACGACTGGGATGTAGTGATTCAAAATATGGCTTGGTGCACTTTGATGTTAGTGCGCATAGAAGGTGCATGTTTTTGATAATGGATATCCACCAATCTTTTTCCATCACTCTCTATTCCAACACACTTTGTTTAACTTAGCCTTTGCCTATTCTCTATTCTCTTTGTATCTGTTCTCACTTCTCTCCAATCCTTTCTCTCTACACACAAACTTGCAATTGCAACCACCACATCCAACCCAACCACTCTTGTTTTCATTCTTAACCTTTTCGTTTCTTCCTTAAAATATTTCCTTCTTTTCCTCCTAAACCAATTAAAAGGGTTATAACCAATAAAGTGAGTTTATTTGGTTACAAAATCATATTAGAATAACTATTAGTGTCACAACTCTTACTAAATGCAGAAAAAAGACATATGTCCACTAATTATGATGATGAAATTGTATTATCTTTTTTACCGTAATTATTTAATTAGAATGCATCCCTTAAACCATATACCTAATATTATTTATAAGCATCCACCATAGAATAACCACCTATAATTTTTTATTTTAAATATGATAATATACGCATAATCCAATAATAAACGGAAAGAACAGAGAATTGAATAACATTATTCGATTGGAATAATGTTGTTTATTCTGCATGACATTCTCATGAAACATTTTGCAATAACGAGAGAAGAGATTTAAAAATATTGTAAAGAAAGTGTTTGAATTTTTTAAATATTATATTATTGGAATTTTCATCCACTTTAGACATTGTAATTGTATTGATCAGACGAAAAAGAAAATACTGGCACTGTAATTTTCTTCCATTAACATAATAACGTAAACTTCATACATTACTTATCAATTTATTTTATTTGTATCATTAAATTAAAACAAAAATCATTAATGCATATATTGGCGCTGCAATCTTGTTTTAACTATTAAATAGGGTGTATAAGCAAAGACCTGTACCAATAAAGGTATTTCAGCACCCAACCATTAGGTTTCATCTGAAGTAGTAGTCACCGCCACATTTAACAATTTTTGCCTAATGCTTCTCCTTATGGTAAGTGGTTAATTATTGATCAAATTGTTTAAGGAGAAAGAAACCCAAGATTTACATAAGAATGATTGTATCTCACCTCAATGAAGCTAAAGTTCATAATTTTGTATGACTGAATATCGTCAAACTGATTTATTATTGTGTTTGATTGCCTCTTTTTATCTACTAATTATAAACTTTATATTACAATTTTATTTTTTTAAATTTGAGTCATTACTATTTTAGATAGCCCCTTACTTGCACAGCTGATAAAGTTTGAATTTGTATAAAGTGATAAACATTAATTAAATCAAGAAAGCAAAAAAATAATAATAATTAAAGCTCGTGCTAATACAATTATGATGTTAATAGAACTTGTCTTACTCTTGACCATCTTAGTTCACAAGTCGGCAGGTGATTCAAATTCAAATAAAAATGTAACCTTTAAATTGGGTCAATGTTATATACATATTTTCCAATGCTTTATCTTCGTCTTAGAGTTGCTATCAAGTAGGGTGGAATTTTATTGGTAGGTGGGAAGTATAGTCTTTTTGTCTCTCCCTCCTCACTCTGTTTCTTGCCTTTTGCATTCCCAAATCTTAATCTTACCCAGAAAAAGTCTCTTCAGTTATGGTAAAAAGGGTTGGGGTGCCCCCCTTTGTACGGATAGGCAATGTTTAAAACAATGAAAATACAAAATAAAATAAAACTAAACAATAACAAATTTATTATTTATATTAATTCTAATAAGATTACTTGTAACAAAATTTAATAAGGATTTTTTTTTATTTAACACTTTTTATTCTTTTTTCTAAGTTATTGTTTAGCTTAATGTTTTTCTTTTTTTAACGTTATAAGCTATTCAAATTTACTTTTATAACATTTTGTTTATTTAAACTATAAGTTTTTTTTTAAATCACATAGTTAGATCAAATTATTGTAAATATTAAAATTCTTTCTCTTTTATAATAAATTATAATTTTTGAAACTTTTTTTTATAAAAAATATAACACAACTCATTTAGCATTCATATTTGTTAAGGTTAAACTTAGCTTGGGTAATTAATGTCTGAATGTTATATTTAATTGGCATTATTTTTTATGGGATATTTTTATCGAAAATATAATACTCATTTAGCATTAATATATTAATGCTATCTTTAATTGGAATTTTGGAATATAAGTTTGGAAACTGAAATATACATTAATATAATGCTCATGTAACGTTATTTTTATTTAATTATGAATTCACCTTTCAACTTTTAATAAAAAAACCTGAATAATGTTTATTCTATTAATTTGTGTATGTTTCACTGATCATACATTAAATAGTATCTTTTATTATTATTTAATAATAAGAGATACTACTTTTAAATTTCATGGAGATTAAATCTAATAAAAATTAAAAAAAAATAATTTAATTTAATCATATTTAAAAAATAAAAAGATACAATTAATCCATATATAATCTACTCAAAAACATATATTTAGATAGGACCATTTTATATACTGGCAGGGTTGAATACCCTGCTTACTAACTAATTAGATGTGGTTATGCTAGTCAGAAAATCATGTATTTATTTAGCAAGAATCCAACTATAACGAGTTTCTCATCCATCCAAAGTATAAAAAAGGCAAACTACAATAAACGATGAAGCAGTAGAATAATTTATGGCAGGGAGCTATTTATAAAATTGCACTGGTTGCACCATCAAAGTAATCAGCCAAGTTCTTCATCATATCTTATAATTTATTTATTTTTATTAACGAGCTGACCCATTAATTTGCAAATTCACACTGAAATGAACTGAAATAAAAAATTAAACCTACTTTAAAAAATAAAATAAAATAAAATAAGCTGACACAACACTAATATGAGTGGGGAAAAATAAGGAGAGGATGGATTGTTCTCTCTCTCTCATCTGGCTAGCCTTTGAAGAGACACTATCATTGTGGAACCAGGATGGTATCTCAGTGCTATTTCACCTTTGAAATGCTTTTAATTGGATGCACATGCACTGTAAATCTAGCAAAGACAGTTGAGTCAACCTGTGGGACATCATAAGTCAACGCACCATAGAACACGATACATATTATCCTTTAACCTCATGTCTTTGGATTGGTTCCTATCCAACCGTGTGATTCTTCCAACGTAGATTTCACTGTTATCTGGGCCTCCTCTCATTTTCACTTCATTTTGTTCAATCAAACATCAACTGCTCAAGTAAAATTATTTCCACCAAATGTTTCATCATGTTTTTGCCCCCATCTGCAGCAACAATAATATATCTTCTGTTTGAGCCACAACCATATTCACAAACTCATTTTAATATATATACTGCTTTCTTCCAAAACTTTGTTATGCTGACGTTACATTATATATGGGCATGCATTAATTGTATATATGATATGTTATATGATCACATGCTTGTTTGACACTTGGGCTTGATTTCAGGATCATGTTCTTTAGTTGTTGCATACACTGTGTAAGAATCCTATACTACTGCTGAGATAAATAAGAAAATAAACTTATGTTGTTTCTCTTAATATTATCTATCCTCTTGGTAGTTGTTAATTATCCTGTGCACTTATTTATTTATTTATCTTTTGTTAGTCATTTTTCTTGCTGTGGGAAAACGCGAAAGCTATAAACTCGACCTTTTCTTTCTTGGTGTGGGCTCAAAGCATGAAATGACAGATAAAGCTTTTGAGTCAAGTAAAATTTGTTTCTTAAATGAGCTTTTATTTAAACTAAAAATTGGAGAGAAGAGAAAACACAGGGTAAACAAAGCGATCAAATTCTGAAGAAAATCGCAAAGTCTGTTCTCAGAAATGTGCCCAATCAAAATTTTTAGCTTAAATAATCCATTTTACTAATAAACATTTACTTTTTTAAGTAGCTATAAATACTCAGTTATTGATAATTTGAAAATGGTTTGAATCGGAGAACCAATGAACAAGACTATTACTGTATTAAGATCTATTGAACATAACCTGGATTCTATTGTCATATGGTCGAAAATTCTTGTTTTGTTATTCTTATCATAAAAATCTGCATGAGCATGATCCACTATATAAGTAAAACTTTGCAAGTCCGTTCAATTGCGTACATAATAGCCCAACTCGATCCAATAAAACCTTTATATACTTGTTCATCTCAATGCAGGTTTCTAGAAGTTTCTTCCTTTAACACATTACACTTTTTATCTGTGGGAAAACTATGCTTCTCTACATGAACGTCAACAATGGAAAAGACAAAAACAAGTTTTGATATGAATGCAAAGATTAGCCTTTTCTTTTCCCTCTGCACATAAAGATTAACGTCAATTAATTAACAGACAATAATAAATTTATTTTGTTTGTTTCGTTGGATGAAAAGATAATATAAATGTTGAGACTATTTTTTATCTATAAATATGGTCTTATTAAATAGAAAAGAAAAAAAATGTTATTTGAATGGATAAAACTATTTTTGTATTCACTTTCTCTTATATATAGAAACATTTAGACATATAGTTATATATCTTATTTTTCAACTCTTATATTTCTGTATTCACTTTCTCATATATTTTTTATAATTGTGTCTATCTTTCTTCTTTTTTTTATTTATCATTTCATACTTTTCTTTCTTTCTTTGACCCATTTTACACTCTAAAATGAGATATGAAATTAACAAAAATATTATAGATTTTTTGGTAGGCCCTAAACCCAATCTTGCATTTTCCCTCTCCCTCTTTCTTGAACTATCTTCTCCTGAGTCTCCAGCACCTTCTCCCTAGACCTGAAATCTTGACCATACATTTCATTTTCTTTCCTTGTTTGTAGTGTAATAATCAATCCAACACTAAAAACTTTGTAGAATATCAGCTAGACAAAACAACAGAAGATGTGAGGTGTCTCACATACCTTCTTTTTCTCCCTCCTTCTTCCTAACTAAACACGCCTACTATCTTAGTAGTCAATAATCACATTTCATCTCAAAAAGTCGTGGCAACATTTTCCCACTTTCTTTTTATGGTTATCACAAAAGTTTCGTACCAAGTTACCTAATTTTAATAATTTTTTAGAAGTTACATTTTTTTATAGATTAAAACGAACCCTTGTTTCTTTGTTTTCTTATAAATTCTAATAAGTTATTTCGCTTAGTTTTTTTAAAATCTGAAAAAATAAGTTATTTTTATTTTATAAAAAGTTTTATTTATTTTTTATTTTAATTTTTTCTTGTCTAAAGATTTGTCTATAAATTTGCTAAAATTATATGATAATAACTTTCCTTTTCATCCACCTTTAAACTAAGAGATTAATTTAGTTTATAATCTATTATAAAACAAATTAGATGCAAAATTTGACAAAACTCATACAGAAAATTGAATAAAAAGTAAAAGATAAAGGTATAGATAAAGCAAATAAAAGCAGATGAAAGAAATTTAAAGTAAATAATAGATTTTTAAAATGTCTACTTTGTGTTTTGGATGTTTTAGAATGCTAAAATTTATTGCAAAGTAATTGGCACGAATTTATAGTATATACATTTGTTACATGACGCGTAACTATAAATTATTATAATAATAAAAAGCATTGGTTCTGTGATTATTAATTTAAAAAATACATCTAGCATGTATTATCGTTGATTGAAAATGTAAATACTATTACTATGAGTCTATGATAGTACAATATTAAAACTAAACTTTAGTGGTTATCAATATGTTTATGCAAATAGTTGTTTATGTTAAACTTGTTTATCTCATCTTACTTTCCATAATCCCACACTTTATGACGATGTAAAGCTTTGGTGTACAATAATGGTATGGTTATATAGTTGCCATGTTAGCTAATCTTTGATATTTGCTTCTCACTGATATTTAAGATTTTCTCTTCATCTTAGCTTGAACATTTAATCACAACTTCAACTAGCATATATGTTATTCTCCAATTGATTTTGATTCTCAACCATACTTAACATGTAAAGGTTGACAAGGAAACTACTAATTTTAACTCAATCTTATATATAAAACAATTTTCAGTGACAACATTCAAATGCATATTAATATAGTTATAAAATTGTTGTTTTATATAAGTAACTTAGTCAGAATATTTCTATTGATTGCACTTGTATCTTATGATTAAATTACAACAACATAAACTTTATTTGTTACAAGCAATTAAATAAAAAACATATAAATTTATTGTTTGGCTGTGTATTCGAAATTGAGTAAACACGTGAAATTTGTTTGTATCATTTTGTGATGGATGTCATACGAACACAGTGTAATATTTTTAAAATGATATATTGATATAATATTCTTATAAACACATGATATAATAATATTTTTTGTTCGTATGAAAACATTAAATGTTTCCTAAAATAAAATTTTTACCTATATAAATTTTAAAATTTTTCAACGTCTCTAATTGAAAGTTCTATTGATTTCTGTATATAAAAATATAAAATAAAAGTTCAAAATAATCATACAATGAAAAAGATGATTACAAGAGATGACATTTGTTTAATGCATCAATCACGAGCATTTACAATTTATTTCAAAGGAAATAGATGAAAAGAAAAAAAAAAGTTGGCAGTGTTTTTGTTAACAGATAATGATTTATAAGGTGATTTATTCATAATAGATGGATTTGATTATATTTTTTCTTTTTCTTGTCAAATTTAAATTAAATTAACTCAATTAATAACATTTTATTTTGTTTGAAATACAGAGTTTGGATGACAATCTCTTTTAGTCAAAATGATATTATACTTTTTTTAGATAAAAGGAAATCGGATTTTACTTATTAATAAAAATAAAACAAATGAAGTTTAAGAATTAATTTGAAAATTTTATAAATTAATTTAATAATTTTATCAAATATATATTTTTTAACTTGTCAAAATAAAAAAGCCTTCCTCGCACACGCGCTCGCACATTCGCACTCGCGTGCCTTCCTCCTCTTTGGTAGGATACTTTGCTGTTGGCGTTCATTTTACTTGTAAGATTAAGTCTTAACATTAAACTTTAAATCTTGTGATTAAATTTATAATATTATTTTAAAAAATGTTTAATTAAGTTATACATTTAAACACATGCAAAATTATTCAGTAAAAACTTAAGATTCAGTTTAAATTTGTTGGTATAACTTATCCAAATGAGTTATTTAAACTAATTATAATAAGTTTTTTTGTTAATTTTGAATATAAGTAATTGTTTTAAAAGGAATGTATTGAATAAACATATAAATAAGTAGTTATTTAAGCACACCAGTAATCAAGTTTTAAATTATTGAACCAATACATTAAACTAAATTTTCAATTATTTTGGTTAGGCAAAAGAGACAAACATATAAAATAAACTTAAATTATTTTATTTGATTTTTTTTAGTGTTCATATTGGTCTGAATCAATGGACCCTCCTAATAATGTATAGACTAGTTTTTAAATATTATATTCAAATTATTACTAATAAAATTATTGTTATAAAATAATGTTTCACCTCTGTTTATAAATAAAATAATAATAATAACAATAGAGTAGAGCAAAGGAAATGGTTATTTTTTCGCCCGTTCTATCTTCTGCACAGTAAATGAATTATTAGCAATAACATTTTTACTGTATTAAATCTCATTATTTTAAAATATATTAATATGATATTATTTAATTAACTAATATAGTTTAATGGTTAAATGTAATTCTCCGTATTGAATATGACACTTAAAAAATATTTCAATTTCTACTATAGATATATAATTATAATTGCAACAAATAATAATATATTAAAAGGTATTTACTGAATTTTAAACTTTTAAAAATGCAAAAAGAAATCACATCATATGTTACAATCTTGTCAACAAATGGTGGAACACTGGAAGCCTTACAACATTTAAAATTATTTTTAAATAATATATTAAATTCAATTACATGTTTTATCATAATTAATTTACATAAATGTTTATTACATGGATAATATATCAATTTTTCATATTGTTGTTATGTGTTATTTATTAAAAATATAAAATGAATAAAAATTTCATATATATATATATGTGTGTATTGGTATGGGATATCTATCAACAAGACATGTATTTAAATGTCCACCCCCTCTATTTATGAAACTCCCACCCCGAAAGTTCAGATAGGTATGGGATCTGATCTTTCTTTTGCAATTTCTAAAAGAAATATTAATATTACGACTCTATTGTAATTTAAAACATTTTTTAATTCATTTATATTAAAAATAACAATATATTATAAATTTATAGTTTACTTTAAAAAATTCACAATATTAATTAGTATCTTATATATTAAATAAAATAATTTCTTAACTTATAGAGATACAGAATGAATATATTATTAGCACAAATCTATATATTAAAATTATTTTTTATATTATAAAAAATATATTAATATTTTTTTTTTATAAATATGATCAAATTGATACTACTCTTATATAAATGTTTATATATAAAATATAATATTTTATCAAATCATTAAATCAACAATATTATTATTTAAATAAAAATTTAAATGAATAACAATAGTATGCATATAAAAATGATAATAAACATTCGTTGCATCGGTACCTCGTACTGTATGATAATATTAAATTAAAATACAATTTTAAATATATTATATAATCATTTAAATTTTATAATGAAAAATTATTATTATTATATAAATAAAATAAAATAAAAGAGATAAAGTTTTTCAGATTCAGAAATGAGTTATGGGAAAATTAAAATGAAATTGAGATAAAAAAATGCTGAAAAAGTCATATGATATAATAAAAAGATAGAATTAAAAATTAATAAATTATTATTTAAAATAATTTTTTAAATAATTTTAAAAAGTGATCGTATTAATAGATATAAATAAAAACAAGGTGAATATATGGGATTGGAACTAATCAGGTCCTCTATATATATCTCTCTCTCTCTATATATATATATATATATATATATATATATATATATATATATTCGATTTTTAGTTAATTTAAATTTTATTTTTGTAAAATTTCCATGAATCAAATACAAATACCCAGAAAAGTTAGCCTAATCAATTGTATGAGTTCTCTAAAATGTTTTTTGATATACATAAAAATATATACCTATATATAATTTAAACAAATAAATAGAAAAAATAGATTTAGAATAAAATTATGTGAAGTTATCTGTAGTGTAAGAAAAAATAAAATTACAAAGAAAAAATAATGAGTAATGTATTGATAAAGATGAATAAAGAGGCGATATGTGGTGGAGCACATGACAGAAGAAAAAACCGAAGAAGGGTTACCACAAGTCCAGCTGGACGAGGACATCCGTGTCATTTTCTAATTAGGGTTTCCATCTTTTGCCCAAAGGCCGCATCTACAAGATTCACAAAAGGAAAAACTAACCCAACTCACCGCCTTAAAACAGCACCCACAACAGACCAATAGTAACGCAGCAATTCAAATTATTTAAGTGATACTGCGTCCAATGGAGAGACACCACGTGTTCGGATCCGCCAATGAGGAACATGCAATGAGATCACGAGGTGACCCGCGGGTGAGATAGGGAGAGTGCGAAAAGAGAGCGTGGTGGTGCTATTTGAATCACTGCTTTTGAAGGAACAAAACCCTCTCTCCCCAAAACCCAAACCCTTGGCGGCTGCGAGACCCGTTGTGTTCTCTCTCTTTCTATACCCCTTTCTCTCTCTATTGCTTCTTTTAGGGTTTCTCAGCTCTTCGATTTGGGGCTTAAACCCTCGATTCAGATTCGGATTTAGGGGTTCTGTTTTTGGATTTTGCATCTGCAGAAGAACCAGATCTCGTGGTTGATTCGACATGGCCACCGTTGCTAATCCCGCAGATCGTATCCTTCTTTGCTCTGCAATTTCTCTGCCTTGCTATTTCTTTCTTGATCTGTTTTCGTCAACTGTGGATTAGATCCGACGGATTTTTGTTTCTTATTTGAATCTTTGGTTTATGTGAAGGGGTGATCTTTTAGGGTTTGTTCAGTTATTTGCTGGTTGATTTATTGATTTGTGCTATGTGCGTTGCGGTGCTTTTCTGTTGTTAATCTGCTTGAATTTTTTTATTGGTGTTGACTTTATTGCTCGAAATCCTCTGTGAATTGAGTCGTCTGAGGTTGGCTTATTAACTTTGATTTTTGTGAGAGGTTTGTTTTCCTTCACTGTCTTGTTTGCACAGAAGCAACTGATTTGCTACAGAAGCTATCGTTAGAAACTCAGCCCAAGGCCTTGGAAATTCCTGAACCTACAAAGAAGGTAAAAACTGGTGTTTTTTTTTCTGGATGTTGTTAGAATTCGTGATTGAACTCACTCATGATAGTAGTATAACTCCTGACATGTTACAGAAGTAGCAACTGACATTGAAGGGAGACAATTTATACCTTGTTTTGTGTTTTCTTGTGGATTGTGTGGTACGAAGTTAATTTGTTTAATTCTGTGTAGGCTACTGGCAATCAATATGGATCAGTTGATTCGGGAAATGCTGCAAATGGCCAGATCCCTTCTTATGACCGGTCTGTGACCCCCGTGTTACAGGATTTTATTGATCCCACCATGTGTTACCTCCCAAATGGTTACCCGTCTACTGCCTATTATTACGGTGGTAAGTTTTTGGACAAATGCTGCTGAAAAGTGACATGTAATACCTGTCAGAAAAAAAGTTGTATATGCAATGTGAACATTGGCTGAATTGTTTGTTTCTTGTAGGTTATGACGGTACTGGTAATGAGTGGGACGATTATTCCAGATATGTGAATCCGGAAGGAGTTGATATGACTTCTGTAAGTTACTTTCACTTTTTTCCAATTTTTTAATACCTTTTGACCCCATTGCTAATGTTTTAATTTTGCATTGTTTTTGACATCATGTCAGGGAGTTTATGGGGAAAATGGGTCTGTACTGTATCACCACGGATATGGATATGCACCCTACGGGCCCTATTCACCGGCAGGGTCTCCAGTTCCAACCATGGGAAATGATGGTCAATTGTATGGCCCTCAGCACTATCAGTATCCTCCCTATTTTCAACCGCTAACTCCAACCAGTGGACCATTCACGCCTACCCCTGCTGTCCTCCCTCAGGGTGAGGTTTCTACCTCTGTAGCTCCTGATCAAAAGCCTCTTTCTGTTGAAGCAGGCAATGGAAATTCTAATGGAGTTACAAATGGTGGAAATGCAAAAGGTAATGGTGCTTGTCCTTTTAAATAGGCCTGTTAGGATTCCTCTGTTAGTATCTTTACTTAATATGAAGTTGCTACTGTGCCAGGTCGTGGTCCTACTTCAGGTTATCAGGATCCAAGATTTGGTTTTGACGGAGTACGCTCCCCTATCCCATGGCTTGATGCCCCATTATTTTCAGATGGGCAGCCAAGGCCTGTAACTAGCACAACAATCTCCTCCTCAATATCAGGTGGCAACAATTTGACTGCCTCAAGGAACCAGACTTTCCGCCCTAATTCTCAATTTATGGTATGCGTAATATTTTGAAGTGTCTTTTGTTAATTCACTCACCTGTTCAATGGCTTTATAGTTTAAAAGATTTGTTACTTGTTCCATCAGTTGTGAGGGAACTTTCCACCCTAATATATATTGGAATGTTTGTTGGCTAGGGCTTGCACCATCCAAGACCAATGCCTGCCATGGGAGCTGCCCATAGCTTCATAAATAGGATGTATCCAAACAAGTTATATGGTCAATATGGGAATGCTGTTAGATCTGGAATGGGTTATGGAACTCATGGGTATGATTCTCGCTCAAATGGACGAGCTTGGTTAGCTGTGGAGAGCAAATACAAAACTAGGGGAAGAAGTGGTGGCTACTTTGGCTATGGCAATGAAAATGTAGATGGTTTGAATGAACTGAACAGAGGACCTAGAGCCAAGGGTGGTAAAAACCAAAAAGGTTTTGCACCAACTGTTCTGGCAGTCAAAGGTCAGAATTTGCCAGCAAGTCTAGGCACAGATGAAGAGAAGGACAAGATTAGTACTGTTCCAGACCGTGATCAATATAACAAATCTGATTTTCCAGAAGAATACACTGATGCCAAATTTTTTGTCATAAAGTCTTACAGTGAGGATGATATCCACAAAAGCATCAAGTATAATGTTTGGGCCAGTACACAAAATGGCAACAAGAAGCTTGATGCTGCATACCAGGAGGCACAGCAGAAACCTGGTGGCTGCCCTGTATTTCTTTTCTTCTCAGTAAGCATCCTTTGCATTGTGTTGATTGAATTTCCGTTGTTTATTATTTTGTAATTTTTATCTCATCTATTGGGTGCCTGTGCAGGTTAATACCAGTGGGCAATTTGTGGGGCTTGCTGAGATGATTGGTCCTGTTGATTTTAACAAGAGTGTTGAGTATTGGCAGCAAGACAAGTGGAATGGTTGTTTTCCTCTTAAATGGCACATTGTTAAGGACGTTCCTAACAATTTGCTGAGGCACATTACCTTGGACAACAATGAGAACAAACCTGTCACTAACAGTAGAGATACACAAGAGGTAGTTATGTTCTATGCATGTTCTTGTAAATTTCGCATAAAATGTTGTCTTTCCATATGATCAACCAAAGTTTATGTTTGCAGGTAATGTTGGAACCAGGGCTGAAATTAATCAAAATTTTTAAGGAATATAACAGCAAGACATGCATTCTGGATGATTTTGGGTTCTATGAGGCCCGCCAGAAGACTATTTTGGAGAAGAAAGCAAAGCAACAATTCCCAAAGCAGGTAAGACACATCTCAACTGGTATAGTTTTGTGAAACTAAACCAATCTTGTATTTTTAAGAATTTTTTCTTATTTTATTTCTATTGATGCAGGTATGGGAAGGGAAACCTACTGATGAGAAGATAGAGGTAAATGGGGAAGTTAATACTCAAAAATCGGAAGTTAGCTCAGAATTGCTCAAGGAGGCTACCCTTGCTGATAAGGATAGTGACGACCATAAAGTACCTGAGAATGGATCTGTTGCAAAAACTGGAGATGCCCCAAAGGGTGCTAAACCAGTTGTTTCTGAGAGTAAAATTGTAGCCAATGGGGTGGTTGCTAATGGTTGCTAAGCTGTTCTGTGTTTAAAGGTGGCGGGTCCAATCCATTTCAGCGGCATATATCGGTCCTTAGAAATATATTACTCAGCAACTTGGTTCCGCCTGTTGTGATCTGTCTTGCCTTCTCATGCAGTCTGAAGATAGTGATTGGTTGCCTAGTGAAGATATAGATCTGTATATTGAGATTGGCATGGCGGAGTTAGTTAATAGAATGCTAGCACCAACCCCTTTTCATTGGGTTTTGTTTACAAGTGGTTAGCTCCTAACAGGATTTACTCCTAGGGTTTTTGGGTTTTAGGGTTCTGCTTAAGATGCTTATATCTTTTGGGTTTTTGTCCGGGCTTTATCCTTTTCTTTGCCTTTTTTTCTTTTTCTCTTTTTTTACTTGGTTGGTCGTTTCCTGTCTTGTAAATTTAGATCTACTTCGTTGCAGAGCAGCTTACTTTGTTACTTTCAGCAGGGGTAGAAGCAAGGTGGGAAATACTGAAATATAGTTGGCTTTTTAAGTTTTTGAGTTCTTCGGCTTAATTTAGTCTTGTTTATTTTCTATCTGATGATTGACTTGGGCATACTGGAGAAAGAATTACATTTGTGGACAATCTATTATGTAATTGGGTGTTTTTCTGGCTATGAAGGTCACCATATTGTTTAGTTCGATTAGTCTTCCTGCTCTTATTCGACCATTTTTCATTTATTTTTTTCCTTGCAGCTATTTTGTCAACTTCATTTAGGTTAAATACAATTGCAGATAAATGGGCCTAAAAATTCTTCCGTTTGGCTCAATTTTTATTTTGTGATCCATAGTAACGTTCCTAACAATAAGCTATACACATTATTAATGCGTCCCTAACGAACTACCCTAGGTCGTGAAAACAATCCTGCCAATAACATCCATTTATTTGAGAAATTTTGCATTGGTGCATGGAATAATTCGTGGAAACAGTTAATTAATTAATTAGTGAATCAGTCGAGGCAGGTTTATCAGAACAATTCATTGTATTTTTTGTTACTTATTTTAAATTTACTGTAATATCATTCTGTTGACTTCGTGCTATACTCGCAAACTACCTACACAAGGTTATTAGCAAAATTAAATGGACTAAATATTTTGAAATATTGTGTATGGTCAAGAAAAGCATATATTACACATAAGGAAATATAACTTCATATCCCGTCTTTGTTCTCATGTGTTTCAATAACAGCAGTAGTTACTTGGGCAGTTCCAGATCTGGTCTCCTATCAATCACTTCTCTAGCTGAGTCTTCAGGAAAGGCGTCAGGATAGGTTGACATGATTTTTGACTTCATACTTCTGCGATAAAGAGTGAACCAAGTTTTAACGTTTGTTTTCATAGGCATATAGTGTAAATAAATAAGAATGTAAGCCAATTTCATTACCTAATATAGAAATCGCCTATACTTTTCTAAAATGAAGATAAATTCATAACATCAAAACTTAGATACTGTCAGTCTAGATTAGGAAACTGTGCTTGTTAAAAATTTGAAATGACACTTCATCTCTTCATTTATTAGGAAACCTGTGCTGCATTAACTTCAGCAAGGAGCTAAATGGCTTGCCTTGCATGAACTAGAAAGGTGTCCCTAAGGCTACAGAGTATACACTTCACTGAAGGAGCGCCTCAACCTGCAAGAGGTGCTGACCCCTTCAGGTGCCTTGCCTCAGCACCTTTGGCGCCTTTGACTACAGCAGGAAACATGTAAATAAAGACATGCATTGCTTGTTTACGTTTGATAACAAACATTATAGGGAGGAAACAAATAAAAAAAAAACATGTCTTTCTGTACACATGACGTCAGGTGCTGAGGAGTTTTCATTCATATGTATTATATTAGGAGTTTTCATTCATAGAAAATATTTAACCATATCCTTTATTATATTCCAAGCATTATGTTATCATTGAACTTGAACACAGATCAGGTGCATAGATATTTATAAACATGCATAGTTGCACAAACATTACACATGCACATACTACACTTGAGTATTTCTCTCACCACCTAAGTAGACCCTGGCCATTTTTTCCTAAAATCACAGCCGCTGATTGGTTACAGTAAGTTAGTTAAACCTGATTTAGGGGCACTGCTCTTTGAAACTACTGACCAGCGCCAGCTAACTGTTAAGCCAGATCAGGTCCATCTCAAGAAAGTTAGGAATCAAGTAGAGAGAAGGGAGTGTTGAAACGGTGAAACCAAAAGATACATCCACTATATGAACAAAAACTGAAATAGCATCCATTCCCTTAAAGAATGAAGCTAAGAAACCTTAGAAATACAAAATTTTAAAAAAATTCAGTGCAGAAGGAGAGAAAGAAACGGAAATCAGGGAATAAAATAATTAAAATAAAAGATATAGAAATCTCAACCACTTAGGAGTCAATAAAGAAGTGGAGAAGCCTCATGCTTATGTGATCACTATCAAAGTCCCCAACTCGAGTATAACAATTCAACTAAATTAGAATGTGGGATAGGGACATCATTGAAATTTATTAAGAAACTAAACTTAGTTGTTACACAACAGTAGGAGACAAACATGATTTGCTAGAGACCACTACAGGTGTAATAACAGGAGGTAGAACAAATAAAAGAATATCAACCACAGGAAATAAGAGGGACCACTACAGCGGTCTATAGTAAGGAATTTCTTTTCAGGCATCTGAAAAAAGATTATCCGAGTAAAAGGGGGCTATGATATGTTGATCATGTTTGCTTCTTCCTCCTTTCTCTCAACGATCATTTTCAAATCCCGCGTGTTAAAATTGATAAAAAAAAAACTTGAAAAGAGATGAAACAGAGCAAAATGGTACTAGGTTCCACTACTTGAAAAAACTCTGCACTCGATTGATCCAATTTTGCTTTCCCCTATCTCATCATAAACATATCCAAATAACAAAATAGCCATTTCATTTTCACTTACCATTACATATCCAAACATAACGTGTCAGATGCGAAAATAATGAACGCATTACGGAGTAAAATCAAGGAATACACAGCAACAAAAAAACTGAATGGAAAAAGAAAACCTGAGTTTCTGAAAGATATAATCAAGGTCAGATTTGACAGATTTCACGACACAAGTGTTTCGAGCGATGTCGCCAGAAATCTCAGCATAGCAATGCTGAGAGAAGTCATTGAAATGTGACAATACCGCATTGCTATCTTGCAACCTTCCCAATCTGAACCACGAAATCAATCAATTAACATTCGTACATACACATCAATTAGTTGATTATAACGAAATTTGATCGCACGAAATGACGCGTACATGGTGTTCTGCATGTGATTGAGGGAATTTAGGTCATCGGAGCTAACTAGGGTTTTGAACTCGCGTGATATCTCTTCCGAACCCAATTTCCTCGATTCTGATTCTGATTCTGACATTCTCGTCTTACAATTCTGCACCAGCCCCGTGTCTTTCGTTGCAGAACATAACCACCCAAAACGCACCGTTTTATTAGCACAATTTAATGGGCCTCTGGGCCTAATAATGCAGAGGCGGTAAATAGTGTATATGGTTTATTGCTTCCAACCTCTATTTTTTAGTGTGTAGTTAATTTAGTTTATTTTAGCTTTTTACAAAAAAAAAGAAGGTTGGTTTATTTCAAACACAACTACTTTTTTATTCCTTGGAAAAATTATTTTAAAAAAATAAACTGATCCTAAATAAAGTATTTTAATAACTAATCAGCATTTAGTTAAAACATTTTAATTGAAGGCTTATACATGTATAACAATAATGACATATATGTGTGTGATATGTTACAATTCAATGTAAATATTTAAGATTAATATTTTAATTTTGAAAATATTACAAAAAAATTGTCTCTTTTAATTATTGAACGTTGGTCATGAAAATATAATTAAATAGTTGATGGTTGCTGAATGCTTATGTACATAACGTGGATTCAAGAATCTGTGTATCTGTTATATTTAAGTGAAACCTCACAAATCACAGTTTTCTATTTCTCTATAGGCCTCAACTGTTATAGATTTCTAACATATTTAATTGTTGTGATTTTTGGTGACTAGTTAATATACGATATAAAATAGTGAAAAGTGTTAAAATAAATGTAACTAAAATGTTATAGTAAAAACTAAAAGTTGATATGGTGACTTTTCGAACCGAAAATCCCAAAAAAAAGAATTTTTAACTCTACAATCCAAACAAACGCAACAATCCAAAAAAATCAATCCATGGCATCTTACAATAACAACTCACCAATTCTCACTCTATCAATCACAATCAACACATATTTTTTGACTTCTCCATCCACTTTCCAATTTTTACTTTTAATAAAAAATACACGTTTCTCTATAAATTTGTAATGAAAATTAATGTAAACATAGATTTTAATCACATGACCACTGCAATAAATTACAAGATGAAAAGAACAGACTCAAATTAAACAGAAAATTTGAGGAATCATTTTTATGTGTGATGCTTTTGGGAGCAATCCTTTTGGGAGCAATCCTTAGGTAGATGCTGATACCCTTGTTGTAAATAGCTATAATTTATTTTAATATTATAATATCAGACTTATTTCAGTAAAATTATATATGTATCTATATAAATATAAAAATATTTATATTTTATAACATTTAATTTTAACACACTAATTTATCTCTCTGTGCTCTTTCTCTGTAATTTCTACACCCTCTAAGCCATCACAACACTTTTCTTGGATTTTGAGATGCTGAAAGATCTTTCACACTGTTGAGGAACCAAACACAAAATCCTGCTCATTTTGTTTTTTGATATCTCACTATTTTAATCTATTAATATTGCCAATTATTAAAGTAAGATATTTTAAGGTGTGTTGTGAGGAAGATAATTGGTCAAAAACATTACCACAAAAAAACACTATGATTCGGATTTTGTATGGAAAACAAAATTTAAAACATCTCCTGTTTCTTTGTATTTGTGTTAAATAATATATTGCTATATTATTTTAATTTTAGTTTGCACTATTGATATTGAATTGTATGGTATTATAAAAAAAATATTAATGATACACCCAAATTAAATTCCTTTTTAGAATAAATTAGTCTATTTATTTAATTGGAAGAATAATGAGATGGTCAATTTTATTCTTAATTTCAGCCTTATCATTAATAAAAATAACAATAAACTGAGAGAAATGTTTCAAATAATTCAATAAAAATTAGTTTAAATGTATTTGTTTGCATTTATTATTATAATTTCTAATAAGGTTCTTAATTTGTTTATAATTATTTTATACTACAAAAATAAGGTCCTGTAATTAAAAGAAATAAAAAAAAAGTGCAGCTACATCATCGATTCATCATACATGATAATATAGAATGATGCATGGGGTGTTTGTGACATGCGCATGCATAAATATATGGGGTAATGGTACTTAAAATGGCTGCTATTACTATAACTGCAGCTGAAGGGTGAAGATCCAGTGGGGCCCACTCCTCGGTTCAAAATCTTTTTTGCATTAAATTTAATTAACTTTTTGTGGCAGCTAATGCAGATGCTGCATTCTGGGTTCAGGAAAATTAAAAATGAATTAGACACTTATTTTTGCCTAAATAAATATGATTGTGTTATGTTTTTGACCATATGAAAATTATATATGTTTAATTGTGATTGACTTGCTAAATTTCTTGATCTAAGTTTAATTTGATTTGTTTAAATTTCCCTATTTATTATTATTAATGTGTTTAAAGTATATTAATAATATGTTGTCACTAGTTTTAATCAATGTTAAGGTTCGAATTGAAATACTATTGTGGTTCATATGTAAGAAAGCTCTTATTCTAGTTTTTTTTAAGTGTGTATAGTAGTTTAAAAACTTCTTTTATTTTTATCAATATTATTCTTAGGGATGGCAATGGGTAAATTACCCGATGGACACCTGCAAAATTTACCCACAATGGGTAGGGTATTTACCCGCTATATGGGTACGGGTATGGGTGTGGGTAAAAACTCGCAAATTTTAATAGGGATGGGTGCAGGTATGGGTATCTAAGTACCCACCCTGCCCCATACCCGCATATATATATATATATATATATATATATATATACTTGAACTTTATTCTACAATTATGAATTGATTTTATGTATTATTATATTACTTATGTGAAGTTATATAAGATTAATATAAAAATATATTTAATAATAAAGTAAACCAAAAAATTTATTTTGGTTTATATTTTTAATAGAAAAATTTATTTACTATTTTATATCATTTAATTCGGCTAACACAATTTAATTATTACATAGTTAATATGAGATTGACTTTTTTTAAAATATTATTTATATATGACACACATAAAATATTTTTACACAAATATTTTTGTTAATAAAATTATATTGATGTTTCAATCATAAAGTAAATGATAAATAATAAATATATTATAAATATTTTATAAATTTTACAATCACCTACTATTACCATAAATTTATTATTTATTAATAATATTTAAATTTTATTTTTATATTTTAATTTAAAATAATAATTTTCTATGCAACATATGTATTATAAGCACAACTATAATTTATTGAATCTAAATAATATTATTCTTACTATTTATTCACATTCAAAGAAGTTTTTGAAAAGATATAAATATAAAAAATTATTGTTAATTTTTATTTGTTAATTCTTTTAAGATAAAAAAGTATAATTTTTTAATATACACGTATATTTCTTTATTATAAAATTTTATTGTAACTATTTATCTTTTATTCATATCCTTTTTTTTTAATTTATATACATTAGAAATATTTAATTCACTAAAATAATTTTTCAAAAATTTATATTTTTGATAAAATACTTTCGTATAGTATATGAGTTAAAAAATACTAGTATTAATATATATATATATATATATATTCATTATATTATATTATTTTAATTAAATCTATTATTTTTCTTACAATTTCAAATTCAAAAGTTAAAAAAAATATTTTATGTATCAACTTTCTATTGTTAGTATTGAACTTCTCTACTTTAACTCTATTCTCATTCTCAATGTATGTCTCACTAAAACTTAATAACTATGAAATGTTATTCATTAGAGTTAGTTGTTAATGCCGTCACAAGAGGTTACTAAGTGATCCCACACGAAGAGACAACCATTGTACAGATCTATTGCATTGTTGTTCTGACATTACCAATCAATCAAATCTCACACAAGATAAGATTATCACTGACAAATAACTTGTGGGTTTAGTTTTGCTTATTGTTTCTAAAAATTTTAGTTTAGAAAATTATTATATTAAGATACATTTAACATTTATGATCTTTGAATATTTATTTTTTTATCTATATTTGTACCTTGTTCGACAACTACATATTGAATTTTTGTATTATTATGCTACTTATGTAAAATTATATAAACATATTTTTCTTTATAAATATTTTTTTCTCAAACAAGCGCGGGTAATGGGTACAAGACGGGTATGCGGGTACTCAAAGGGTACGGGTACGGGGATTAATGTTCATACCCACGCGGGTATGGGGCCAGGTACGGGTATTTTTTTAAAACGCAGGTATGGGGATGGATACTGTAGTACCCTACCCATTGCCATCCCTAATTATTCTAATTTCAAGTTAAGATAGAATTTGATTTAATAATTATTTTTTAAGTAAAATTTAATTTGAAGTGAAAACAAAAATTAAAACATTTATTTGAGAAGTAGACACGAGTTATGTTTGGGGCTGAACTAAGATAGACCAACTTTTCTATTCATCTTCTATTATTTTATTGCATTCATATTATTTTTACATTATAATCTAAGGAATCAATTATATGATGATAAATAAATGCAATAAAATAACAGAATACAAATTTATTGCAGCAAGAATTTTCACCATTTTGTTTTGTACAACACAATACAAATTTTGGGTATTTTGTTTAATATGATATTTGAAAATATTTTATAAAAAAATTTAGAAAAAATTATAAAAACATGAGAACTGAAATGTTATCATTAGTAATTTTTATATTTCTTTAGTTTTTTACAGTATATATATATATAGGAGTGGGTAAAATTTAGTTAAAAAAGTGTAATTATTGAAATAAGGTAAAATGCTGAATTTTGGAGGCATCGCATCACAGCCCAATGAATATTGTCAGACATCACTGTACAACTAAGACCGTAACAGTAATGATATGTAAATAAATAATTTTATTTGTAAACATATTTACACTTTGTTGTGCAAATTGCAAATTTGATAACAAAAATAAGAAAAAAATTATATGAATTTTTATTCTAGTGAATTTTTTATGTACTTTACAGATATTCTTAAACTAAATTATTTTAAAATAATGATAAATTGTACAAATAAACTTAATAATTTATTTGAATTTAAAATTAATTATTTTAATATTTAACGATAAATATTTTATAAAATCAAATTTGAGGAAATAGAATATTTAAATATAAAAAATAAAAAACTTTAAATTAAATTAAAAATAAACATTTAATATAAAAAATGACATGATATAATAAAAAAAATAACTCTTTAAAATATTTTACTAAAAAATAAGTTTTGAAGAAAAATAAAATAAAATAAAAAGTACCAATTTTGTAGGATGGAGGGGGAGATTCTATGGGCTCCACAAATCTCTGGCTATGCAGGAGCGTTCAAAAGTCAAATTCCAGCACTGAGAAGTTCGTGTTTCTTCATAAAGTAGATAGTGGTTCGTGTAATAAATATATCATATAATATTATATACATTTTATAAATTTAAACTCTGTTGTTAATTTTATTTATTTTTTTAATTAGGAGTAAAAAATTAAATTAAAATATTACATGTTTAATCTTAAGATTTTTTTGTCCTATTTTAAACTTTTAGTTTTACTTGAATGAATAATTTAACGAATTAGGTTAATAAAAGAGGGACTCATTCTGGTTCGTGTAATTTTTCTTCACAAATTACGATGATTAAGATTCGAATCTCAGCTCTTGAAAATCATCATATCCCAATTAAAACATTTAATACAGTAAATCTAGTAATCTTAATCAACACTTACCATGATCTTTAAAAATTATGTTTGATGTAAGATGTAACTTGAAAAAATATTTCATTACATTAGCAGAATCTTTTTTACATCGAATTAAATTTTTTTAAATATATATTTTAACATGCAATGTGCTGATTACACGGCCACCATTATTAGCCACTTTACCATTCCTTGCCTCCAATTAATCGTGTCATTAAATTTGGATCAAATTTCTTTACCCCCAAAGAAAAAGTTGGGTAATGGTTATCAACGTTGAAAATACAAAGACCAAAATAGTACAATTGTATTTATATGAGTGTCGAATTATAAATACTAATGATTTATTGCAAGAAAAATTAGTATGATTGTATATATGAGTTATCTGACAAGTTAAAGGGTTCATATTTAATTACATAATCCACTGACAGTGGACTAATTTTACTTGCATGAAAAGAACGAGCGATGACAGATACTTTAAAATGAATATTTTGTGACTGAAAATAGAGATGAAAGTGATAAATGTGTAAAAAGTTAGTCATAAAACATTCCTTCATAAGACCTCATTAGATTTCTGTTGAAACCAAGGCACACTTGCTTCACAAACAAGTAAAACACAATCATGACATGTTTGGGGAAGAATAATAAAGCAATCCTGCTGGATCTGTTGTCAAAATCAAAACGCCTCTCAAAAGTACAAACACAAAAAATCTCTATCAAGACATTACACCTATAAATCCAACATAGCAAGTAACCTATTCATTAAATCTTGCCCCTAATTTTAAATCATTTTCAGGCACCTTTTCCTAATATATAACTATATAATGCAATACATTTTAGATTCCGAATATAAGTTTTCTAACTGTTCAACCTGTGTATTTATACTTCTTGCATCCATCATTTAGGCTGGCGTAGATAAATTGGCAGATATAAAACCAAACTGCTAATGAAGAATAATTTCTAGGATTGAAGACCCATTTAATTTAAAGTTGAATAACATTATTTTCAAATGATTGAATGAAATTAAAATGTTCGCATAGATTTAACAGTCACATTTTACACTAAAATGTGTGCGTAATGGTGAGGATTTGATCCTTGATATAAAACAAACAGCTGATGGTTAAAAGGGAATTTATAATGAGAAAGGTACACACTGGAAAAAAGCATAAAGTAAAGCTGACGGCACACGCAACCATGCATTCATGGAATCCAGACATTAGTTACATTTGTCTGCGTACAGTATCTGACAGTAATAAAGTACTGAACATAAATTAATAGACATAAGCATTAACAATGATGATTTTCTCCATTAGACAAACGACCAATTCATGAACATGAAGGCTAAGCAGTGATTGGAATCATCATCATCCAAAACTTTCCATGCAATTGCTTGCTCATAGGACACTGGTCTATTCATACTGGACACACACATTCCTGCTGGCAGATATGCAAACCCCTGAAATGAAAAAAGTGCATAAGAGTAGTAATAATTACATTTATGGCTCTTAAAACATAGTTGTTAAGAAGAGAAAGATATGCTAGAAATCGCATATTCTAATGGTCTATTTGAAACTGCACAATTCACAAAGTTGACCAGAGTTTCCAAACATCAAGTATTATAATTGAATTTGTTCAGAGTTGGATGCTACAATAATGCAGAACCATTTTCATTTCAATCCAGCACTCATAAGACTATGGCTTTCACCTGTTGCATTATTTTGGAGAACTCAATGCAGAGAATCTTTCTTCCAGCTTCATCAAGAACTTTATCAAGCATTATATCTTGAAGGGCAACTAGGGTGGTTTCAAGCATGTCGAGTCCAGCTTGGTTTGCAAAGGTGAACACTGGAGATGCCTGCATTGTTTTGCAAGTCAATAGATTACTTAATAATAGAGTTTATGGGCTAAAGACAAGTACTCTGAATACTCATTGGTTAAGTGTAGGCTTATAATGAGACTCGGTGATTACATTTGTCTTAACAGAACAACACAATATTGCATCTGAATGGTGCCAAAGTTGCTTCAAGATTGCATCACCAGCTGTGGACTCTACTCGAAAAAGCTCTGTGCAGGTGAGGATCCTGAAAGAAACATTATTTAATATCAGACCTGACACGGGGAAATTTTCTCTTATTAGATTCGTGCAATTTGTGTCTTAAACTGAACCTTTTCCAGACATTAAAAGAACACAGTTAAATGGCAAATTGCAAGTTGTCTATAAATTATGACATTTATAAGTATTATAACTAGCCTTCAAGATTAAGAAAATCAAAGCTGTTGAGGAAGCTACATTAACCACAGAAAAATAGGCTAGCACTCAAAATTTACAGAATACAAACCTGTAGCTTGTACAGATCCATCGGGCTAAAGTAAGAGCCTCTGGTGGACCAGGAAGTGATTTTGGCCCCAACTGGGTACTGAGTCGAGAGGGAGCAATTGCCATGGCAACCCTCTGAACAGACCGCACAACACTACGCACATATTGGCGGGCCATAACAGCCACATTGTCCCGCAAATGGTTCTCAAAGGTAAATTGGAATGCAATTGTAAGGACTGATCTAATATTGTAGTCATTCAAATCACCTTCACCAGCTGGACGAGTATTACCAGATCCTATTTCCAGCGATGATGCTAAATCCAATGTTCTACTTGAAGCTGGACCATCCTGAAATGCAAAATATACAAAAAAAAAAAAAAGGAATCTTGTTAGCCAACATATGCATATAGGCTTGTGATTACCTAGCCAAATCACTTTATTGAAACAAATACAAACTAAAACTTCAAGATATGAATTGCAAGAAAGAACCATCAAGCCATGAAAAATTTAAATTTTCATAACCTGGATAGTTCTAGATTAAGACCCTTGTGTTAAGTCACTAAGGTAGTAAAATGACAATGAAATATTAAAAAGCAATCTAACAAAATAACTTCACGACCAAACTCCTTCAAAACTATTAAGTCACTAAGAAATGTCACTGAACTGCTTTTGTATCCAACGGTATGACACGGAAACCAGAAGGCAGTGAGAGAGCGTCATCCGCAAATGATTCATCAATAGGCGCAAACACAAGCTGTGCACATGCTCCAATAGCATTTTCATCAACTCCACTGCACAGCTGCCAAATCAAATACCATAATGAGAAAGTTAAATGACAATCATCCACAGGAGATAGGCAGACCAATGGCCAAGACATACACATAAACGACTTTACCTGCAGTAGAAACATATCACGTGCCGAAGTCACATCTTCAGGAGAAAATGCATGACCCTCAATACGAACTACCTCCAAGAACTGAATCATTGCAGAGAGCGGCAAATGAGCATGTGTAATAGGAATATAAAATAAACTTCAATCAATCACTTAAAAGGAGTAATACCTCCTCATGCTCAATAGTATGAGCCAGTGGTAAAATGACCTGGCTGCTGGGGAAGCCACTGGGTCTAGCACAAGGAACTGCATAAGGACTAGCCTTATGACAAGCTGCAGAGTATGCATCAACCCCATAATCAGCCCACTCTGAACGATGCTCCCTCAAAAAACGAACAAGCAATGGGGGAGGAACATTCTGCAGACCACCATTTTATAATTAAGAACAATGAAGATAAAAACTACGAAAATCCAGAAGAATCTGGCAAGTAGAGACACGAAAGTGAAAGAAGGGAGAGTTATTGGAATTGATTGCTATTATTCTACAGTTAATTTAAGACAAAAAGATAATTTCAACCCAGATTTGTTAGCTTAGGAAATACCTGCAACAGCATCGATGCCTTGGCACACAGGACCCCACCTCCAAAGGCTGGAAGCATTGATGAATTGTAATGGGAGCCAAAAAACTTGTTAAGAGAAGAGTTTATGGCTAAGGTCACATCTTCCACCCCATCATTACTTATCAGGGACCAACCATCATCCACAAATCCATTGACAGCATCATTGAACCCTCTAAGAATCAAATATAAAAATAATTATTGGTCAATAAGGTATAAGGATTGAGGAAGACAGAGTGATTACTCAAAAGCCCAACATAGCAGTGATCCTGGACACTGTATGAAGGGGCCTTACCTGCAAAGTTTCTGACTAAATGTCCTCAACACAGCAGGCTGACGACCCCCACCATAATGAACTTCTCCACTTGATTCTTGAGCAATTTGTCTCACATGTCGCAGGGCCTGTAAAATATAATATGAAATGTTAATCAACAAATTTTGACACGGTCAAATATATATAAATGATGTGACTAGCAAGAAAATGTACAGCAGTAGTCAATTTCTGAGCCAAGAATTTTGATGATTCATAGAGTGGCCTCAGTACTTCAGGAACACTCCAAACCTACATCAATAACAAAGTAAATATAGTTGGAAGAACAAAGCTCAAAGTTACGTAAACTTCAAAAATGATTTGAATTGCATAATCTCCCTTACATCTAAATCAACGTGATCAACAATGTGAACAATAGATCCACCACCATCACAGGATCTAATTAGATAGCCACTAGGAAGCATTTCAGCTCTTACGAAGTTTGATGCAGAAGGCCCTGAGGGGCCACCAGTTGAGGAAGTCAAGGATCTCTCACAAATCTGCAAGGCAAATAAAAGATATATGTCATTTTGTCAAGGACAATACTTGCTTAAAAGAAGCCACATCCTAAACCAAGAAAACACAACAGTGAAGATTCTGCTCAGTACCACAAGACTTCCATCTTCTAAACTTGTAGTGTATCTTATTGTCCAGAAATCTCTTGCTGCTGCCAATGTTGTAGGTGCATAAGTCTGATAAAAAGCAAATTTGAATATCAACACAACAGAGCAAGGAATTAAAGAGCAATTTAAACTGCAGTTCAACTTCTTTTGTAGATTAAAGTAACCATTAGACCTGCATGTACATGAGCTCTATTGTACCCCCATTTCCTGTGGGGACTATGCTCAATACATTGAGGCATCGACAGTCACGATACCAAGATGGGCGATCTTTAAGAATCTCGGCTACCTGAGACAATTCAGTATGCATTGGTTTCATTTTTTGGCAAATGAAAATAAATATGCAATAAACAAGCATCGGTACAGCTACTTACCTTCGTGGGATCTAGGCTCACAAGGCCACAGGCTCTTGCTGCTATCCCACTACAGTTGCGGGAAACAGCGATGATTCCAATAGAATCCGGACCAGGCTGGATAAGGTAGAAAAAGTGACAGAGAAAATATAAATATACAAATTTATAATTACTACAAGCAATGACCGTGAATAACTATTGGGTAGGTCATACCTTCATCCCAATCATTTGGACCCAGTTGACAGCAGTTCCAGTAGCTTTGGAAAGGAACTCTGTCAGGGTCTCCTCAGCAATTGAGAGAAGACTGGAATAATAAAGAATTAGGGGATCATAACACAAGTAAACAAATATATATTCAACAAAATTTGTTTGCATAAACACTTACCCAGCTGGATTGTTGGCATCCCACTGGGGGTGGGACATTTTTGGGTTTTGCTGTTGATTCTGACCACTCATTACTACAGACTCACAGCTATTGTCTGTAGTAGTAGATGCCTGTTACAAAACCAGTAAATGAGATTCACCAATAACAATATATACTTGTACAGTATATAGATAGAATGGTGGCATCAATGAGCATTCAGAATGAGAATTGAGAAGAGCAATCACCAAGAGGTACTTACAGTCTGTATTTGTTGTTTCATGTATCCATTTTCATAAACCAACTGTGAGACCTGTTTCTGCAGACGGTCATTCTCTTCCATCAACAACTTATTCATTGCAGTCAGCTTTCTATTAACTGTCTGCAGACGAGAGGCTTCCTTTCGCTGCTTTTCCCGACATCTACGGAAGAAAATTAGTGATATCAGTCTCATTAAAAATAAAAAATAACGTTGAAGGTTACATGCAGCAATTAAATTTCCATTAGGAAAAGCATGCCATGTAGTTACTCTTCATCACAACACTGTATGACAGTCATTCATTTTTGTTCTTTAAGTTTCCCACTTAAGTTTGGATAAAAATTAAATCAAGTCATTTGTATTCTACAACTTAGTTCTGAAATCAAACACGTGAATATGTTTTTTTTCAAAAAAGATTACGTGCATTGTTTGTTTTGAGATGTATGTGTGTGTGTGTTGGGGTAAAAACAAAACAAAAATTTCTCTGTTCTATAATTCAGAAGGAGAAAATATTAATTAAATGAGAAAAAAATATTAAGGTTGAAAACTAATTAATCTAGCGCGGAAAAGTCATCCACATCAGCTGTCATTATTATCCTTCATATTATCCAAAACCAATTCCACCCCCTTTCCAATAAAAAAAATCAAATGATCATATGGAAATTTCTGTTACAGCATCTTTCACAGAAACATCATAAAATGGTCTAAATAATGTTAGCTCAGAAGAAAGAAGATGAGAAAATAGTTCAACAACAAAAGTGATCAACTAGCTGTCATTGTCTTCCATTTTACTCTCAATTCAAGAAAAGAAAAAGCTTTGTGAGGAATAAAAAAATCAATAACGATCGATCTTGACAACTAGGATATTTAGAAGGAAAATGACAAAATTAAGTACCTTTCCCAGTAGATTTTTTTTTCTCAAGAGGGAATGATATCCTCTTTTCTTTCTAGCAATTAAGAACATTTCTCTAAAAAACTGAACCCAAAGAGCATATATCAGAAAAACAAAAGGGAGGGGGGCGGGGGAATGAAACACCCCTTCATGACATCCCATGTTGCAAAAGGGATAAACAAAGCCAAGAAAAAAAAAACTAAATAACAAATATACTAGTTGGGAGAAACAACCCAGATAAAAGGATAAAATACTTCATGCTAAGAAACTCAACCTCACAAAGAAAAAGAAGCTCAAAAATACCCTTTGAGCAAAAGGATACACAAGGAAGAAAAGAAGAATGTCATCTAAAGAAACACACATACAAAAACAGAAAATAGTTGTGAAACCAAATAAAAAAAATGAATGGCAAGCACTATCTAAGTCTTTACCTGCGATTCTGAAACCACACTTTGATCTGTTTTGGTTCAATATTAGCAAGGATGGGGCACTCCCTAACGAGTTGTTGCCTTCTAGAAGAACATGGCTTGGGACATTCAGCATACACTCTCTCCAAAGCTTCCACTTGTTCAGGTGTATACCTCACATACTTGCTAGAATCCATGTGCTTATTTGATGAAGAATCTGTGTGCATAGAAAGTGCCATAACAACAAAGTGAAAATGGAAAATGGGATTTCAGAAAGAAACTTGTTTTGGGCCCTCTTCTTCTTTGGTGTTAGTCTCTGGTTGGCCCTCTTCCCCAAGAGAGCCTTCACTCTCCTTCATCAGAAGATACTGAAAAATCGAAACTTGGAAGAGAGTTTGAAGAACGAAAGAGATGGGGTTGCTATTGTGACCTTTTATCTTGTTACTCACCAATCTCGAGACAGTGAAAGAGATTGAACAAAGAGCTTTTTGTGTCACAGTGAATGCAAACACGAAAAAACAAACAGCCACTACAAAATAGAATAGTATAGTTGTTGTGTGGTGCCTCCTTTTCCTTCTTAAATTCACTTGGATTTTCTGCAAAACCGCTCTATCTATTTTTGCTAGTACCTTTCTCTCTTTCGTACTGTGTTATGCCAAAATGAAAAGCAACAACTTTCACGAGAGAAAAAAAGGGTATTATTTTAATTATAAGAAATATAATTTTTTTAAAATTAATTATTTATATTTATATTTATATTTTTGTTTTATTGTAAAATTTTTATCAAATGTAAATTTTTTATTTTTATTTAATAATTTAATATTAAAAATATTTTAAAATATAATATAATTTTGTGACATATTATTATTTTTATTTTTTGTATAACTAAATAAGATATTTTTAAATGTCTTTTCTTTAATTTAAGATGTATTTCTAAAATACATATATGTATAATATTATATACGATGTAAATCTTATAGTGATTAAAAATAAATTATGAAGTACAAATTAAATTTCTTCTGTCTTGATGATTATGTATCATTTAACATGTATTACTTTTTTTAATACAGCTAAAATATAATTTGATTAAAAATAATAATGTATAACACAATTAGGATAATATATACGCAATAAATAAATGGAATAAGAAAGCCAACAAAAAAAAAAGGTTAACATCATCTACGAGCAAGTATGTTGTCCATCGACCAAAAGCAATGGTGAGCACACAAACATTCACTAATTCATTAATTAAAGATGTTAGGTAAGTAGTTAACTCAAGAGTGTGAATGTTAACAAAGAAAGAAAGAAATGGAAGCATAAGAATTAAGGGTAATTGTTGGATAATATTAATTTATTAATGATGATGTGGGATGCATGCATGAGATGGAATGGTATGCAACTATGCATGCATGCATGCATGAGATGGGATGTGATGTGATGAGATGAGAGAGTAGTACGTTCAGCGTGGAGGGAGATAGCAGACAGGAAGATATGGACAAGCGTTTGGTATGCTGGTTGTTGCAGATTGCAGAGTGCAGAATGCAGATTGCAGAGTGCAGGTTTCCAACCTTTGACCCCCAAACAGCATCTACCCCTTTATACATACCCCTCCATGGAAGAACACCCCACAATACTTAAGGGCTAATTATACAAATTTTTCTTTTAAAAGTATCATACATATAAATTTTTACTTTTTAACCCTATAATAATAATATTAAAAATTATAATACATATAAATTATAAAACGAAAAATATTAAAAATAATTTATTTTGAATACACTTTTATTTGATGGATGAAACTTATAAGAGAAATCTTAAATAGTACGAATTATAATATCAAAGAAGTTATATAACGTAGCCATGACATGATTAGAAACTTAATAAATTCATGATTAATCACATTTAAACGTAAAATTTATAACTTGTAACATTGAAATATATATCCATTTTAAGTGTTTACTTTTTCTAAAGCATCTAACCCATCATTATAAAATCAGTAAACTTCTGTGCTGAATTTATATTCGTATCATATAGCAAACCTTAAATTATAAAGAAAAATACAACGAAAACCTTTTGACGACTTGACCAATAATTAAGATGATAGAAAAAAAAAATTATTGACATTTTATTTTGAAGTGTGAAATGGATGAACAAAGATATATATAAAGATTAAGAATGGATGGCAGTTTTAGACCAAGTTTATGAGACCAAATTTTGTTGTTACAACAATTTAATGGAAGACAACTTCACAATAGCAGCGTTGTATGTTTATAAAACAGAGAAGGAAAAATCTGAAACCCAAACATTAGATGCGAGGTTGATGACAATAGACTCACTTACTTTGAAGTATGGAAATCTAAAGGATTAACATTCTGTAACCAAACTTAGAAAGCATAATAATAATCTAAAGCTGCTCTACTCTCTGAAACAGCTTTCAACCTCTCACGAACGTGTCCAAGTTGAGTCTCAGCAGCTTTGAATCGTTGCGCCCAATATTCCAGAGACTTGTTAAGTACACCAACATTCTCCCTTAAACGTTCCTCGGAGCTCACCACCTCCTGCAGAGACTGAGCATCAAAACAAGATTCAGCAACAAGGCGTTGTTCAACGGAATCCAACCAAGGACCACTGAAATCGTAGAAGATCGGCAAGGCAACAATAGGCATTGAGGCGCATGGTCTTGGAGGAAGGATCTTTGTCATTGTAACGCAAACATGCTTCAGGATGGGAACAAAGGAATTGTGACACCAAGCGAGCATCTTCCACAGGTAAGAACTTTAAACAATCATCGCCATCACTACCGCTGCACACCTTACCTAGGGTTCACAACTGCACCCCATTTATACATCTTTCAACTAAATTTCTCCATCAATTTCAATCAATTAGTATTATTGTCCAATTTCTAATATATTTAATAAATTAATATAACTAATTTAATGTGTATATTTAATAATTTTTATATATGTAATTTATTAATTAATCTATTGTTAAATGAAACATGAATATTATAAAATTTATTGATCATTTTTATTATGGATTTTCAAATTATAAGTCGATTTTTATTTGTCATGCAGGCGATTTTATGAAGCTTCGAAATCTGTCCATTTGGCTGTTATACTTCATAAAAATGACTCAACAGAATAGCTGAATGTATAATTATCACGCCCTTTAAATTAACTTTACAGGAAAATATCAAACAATGTTTGATAAATAACAAAAACTAATTCACACCAAGGCATGATTACATCAACATCTATAAAATACCCAATGCCTTTAAAATAAAATTATTATGAAGTACCACCAATCATTCCAAAATTTGAAAAGCAATAAAGCATTTCGGCTCAGTAAAACTATTCTTCCCAAAATACTACAGTTGTTTACATAATGTGTAGACCCCTGGTGGCCTAAATTAGATAAAAGGAACAGCAAAAGATAAACCACGAGAATTCTGAAATTAGAGGAAAAAGAACTGAATATTTGAGGTCTCGGAGAGCAAATAAGGATCCACATCAGTGAAGTATCTAAGATCCTCAAAGAAAAGTTTCAACTAAGAGATGTTCTTGAGAAGGAATAATCACCAAGCAGGACTAGTCAAGAGAAGATTACATTTGTACAATCGTGAGGAGAACCATGACTAATCAAATGCATTCAGCATTGAACATTGTTGCATCCAATACTGTATTACTTCATCGAATTCAATAAATAAATAAACTGCACATTGCATTTCAGTCCATTCGCAGAATTTGAAATGCTAGATCATAAACAATTAAATGCCAATAAAAAAGCATTGCTAGTATTCATAGAGAGAAATTTAACTACAGGTTTTCATAAACTATGTGTGCATTTGAAGATGTTTATAATGATATTGAAGTTGCCTATCTATATTTGACACACAAGATCCCACCATGATGAGAACCCCGAACATTTGACGGGCCCTTGATAAAAGATTGCAGTTACAATACAATATCTTCTTATTTTGTTTTTCCTTCTATCCCCCTAGATAAAACCCCATGACGAGAACCCCGAACTTGAAAAGCTACGTCATAAATGTTTTTTCTTATTAATTCGTGAGTAAACATAGTTCACATACAATACCTTATTCAAATCTGGAAGCAAAATATGCTTTGCCTATATAAGGCAAGAGCATGTAGTAACATGGTAGACATAGCAGAAAAAGAAAGGAAGAAATAATAGAAAAAGGAGAAAACAAGTCTTAAGCCAATAGCATATATTAAGATGACATAGTTATACACCAAATGACCAAAAGTTTTCCCAATCGAGCAAGGCATATTGGCCTGTTCATATTCAGGTATTTCTCAGCAAAGTAGTCCAAGACATAATTTCAACCAGGTTTTTATGTTCAACCAATAAACAAAAGTTGTAGTAGTAAAGTAAAATGAAATCAGGAATACGAACAAAATCTGACATTAACATTATTCAAACATAAGCTAATGAAACAATCATGAATAAATTCCCTGTAGGTTCCATCTCAATTCGGTACAATTTTCAGGCACATAAATGCACTGAAATATGGCAGGAGATATAACAGTCTAGACGAAACTGAATAAACTCATTATTTAAGAAAGTCGTGAAAAGAAGCAACATGATATGATAAACTCATACTCTACTTCCTTAACTAGTAATGCAAGCTAAAGACACAATTAATAGATGGAATAATTCTCACTAGCCCCAGGCCAGAAGTTTTTATAGATAGCCCTGGCAATTGGCAGAATAGCAAGAAGGGCAATCTGAACCTGGTCTGAGCTACTTGTTCTCACAGTAATCTGTCCACTGAGCTTGTTGTTCAATGCTGCACGAACAGCCATCTTATAACTCCGCCCAACAGAAAATTGGGACTGAAGATTGGCCCCCAAAGCCAGGTCTCCTCTCCACTTGACCAGAGAAAAGCTCAATGCAGACTGATCCTGGCCAATTGGAAAATCAGCTTCTCTCAACCTCACTTCAAAGTTGGCTCCACAAGCAGAATCAGTTTGAGACCGCACAATCCCTGTGCTACCCACTAATACCAAACGTTTCCCGAGAGCAATCTGATCCTCAACTTTCAGCCCAGTAGACACGTTTTCACCTAAGAATGTCATAGAAACCCCAGCAGCAGTTTTATTTCTTTTGAAATTTTTGAATTTAGTCTCCCCTCTTACAATGTATGCTAGCTGCTTTCCAATATTTTGAATGTCAAAGCCTGCCATGGCCGATCCATTGTCTGCAAGTTTTGCAGCAACTGAGGAATCCAAGTGGATGCTGAAGTCTTTCTTATCCTTTGTTACCTGAACCGTAACAGCTGCTGGGAATTGATTGATAATGGCTAGACTCTGTTCAATGTTTACACCATCATAACCACAATCATGGTCCCAACCATGGTTGTCTAAGACTGGCCTTGTCAGGAGCTGGGAAGTTGGCTCTAAGAAACGGTATCTATAGGCTGGATTGTCACTGTCAAAGGATGGTGGTAGGACCATATCAGGCAATGGAACTGGCACTGCAGCTGGAGCTCCATTCTCTTGATCATCTTCTTCCATGTAACCATAATCACTTACTTTGCTCTTACCTTTTTTCTTCATATCTCTCATCCTTTTCAACTCCTCTCTCCATTGCTTCTTCTGTAGAAGTTTGACCCGATAATCATACTCCTCAAAATATGCTTTCTTCTGCTCTCTATTAAGCTTAGCAATCTGAGATTTCTTCAGAGGCTTAAATGGTGGGAGCTGGTCATATTCGTCCTCATCTTCATCTAGATCAGAATCAGACAAGTCAGCCATTTCAATATCAGAATCACCATTGTCAACCCCACCTTGATCAGCAGGGAGTTTTGGGTATGTACGTGACTGCAATAACCAAGACAACAAGTATGGAAGTGGTGGGGAGCGAGAACGAAAACCGAACAGCCTGCGGTGATCAAATGATGATTCTTGAGATTTTGAAACGTTACCAGCTTCAGAGAGAATTTTCATAGAGTAGCATAAGAGCAACAAGAGAGGTCTCCAGCTTTGACCATTAGGAAGCACCTTCTGGCCATCTCTGTTTTTTCTACAAGAAGGATGGTTTTCAACAAGGGAAACTGGATTCATTAAACTTGGATTCATAAGTCGTAGGTCACCAACAGCTTGTCCAATGATCTGTTGAACTATATGAGATCTTTGAGCAACAAATACATCATAACTCAATGGAGCACCGGATGGCCCATCTGGAGGAGCAGAGGCACCATGGGTCAGAGTGACTATAACATTTCGCCATATTGATGGACCCAGGGCACTTGTAATTGATCTTAACATTGGCAGATCATTCATATCCCTAGTTTGTAAGTCCAGGCGATCCACATAGAGGACAATATCAGGGGGAGATTTTTTAGTCAATTTCTTCACCATAGACAACACTTTTCTGTTGGAACTCTGTTCAAATGCAGAAGACTTCAGGCCCGGCGTGTCAAACATCCTTATCTTCACTCCATCAACCACCCCAACAATTTCTGTCACAGCAGTAGTAGCAGGACCATATGCATTAAAGCTGGTCTTTGTTTCACCAAAAATTGAATTTATTGTAGCACTCTTGCCCACACCTGTTTTCCCAAGAACCAGTATATTTATAGAAAAATCAAAATCCTCTCTTCCCTCAGCTTCAAGCTGGGAAGCAGTCTCCTTTGCAGCATCTAGGCTAAATAATTGACCAGTTTGCCTGCCTGCAACAAGTGACAAGCGGTACAGCACCTGTGCTGCAATTGATTCATCTGGAGTAAAACCGAGTCTATGAACCAGTCTTAAGTATTTTATCCTAATCTGCTGCAATTTCTCCAGTTTCTTTTTCTCCTCATCAGTCAAATTGCTATCAGAAACAGCACTAGCTCTACTAATGGAAGGATTAAAAAGACTCGGACGATTTGGCCGCACGGCAGGTTTACCTGACTGGAGTGATGATCCCAAACCAGCCGGGCGCTCAACAGAGAAAAGCCTCGATCCATCCTGAGAGGTTATTGTGATACTGCCACCATCCTGGTCCGCACCAGATGCTGCTTTCAAAAGAGCTGCCAAGGTAGCAGTATCAAACAGCTCCTTGCCATCTCCCTCATCATCACTCTCCTCTTCCTCATCCGAGTCAGTAACAATCTGGCCATCAATTCTCGCATCCTGCAAATTCCCACCGCCAGCCGAGTGCCGTTCCAGCTCCTCCAAGTACTTACTAGCAGCATCAGAGCTTCCAAATACCACTCCTTCATCCTTCCCATCCGACATGGAACCATCAATCTCCCTGTCACCACCATGAATAACTTCCTCTTCATCATCCTCACCAGCAGCCTCAACCTCCAAATGGCTCCCAATTTCCCCCTCAACCCCATGACCCTCCACCTCCATGTTTATCCCATCTTCCTCATCCTTCATACTCCCACTAGCAAATTCTGAACCACCACCTTCTTCAAGAGGAACAATGTCACTCTTGTGTTCATGTCCATCATCAACACCAACGTCAACATTTTGACCAGACTCATCAACCTTATCAATAACACCCTTCTCAATTGGATCAAAACCGTTATCCAAACTCACCCCACGCGGCGGCGCGTCCAGCCCCTTAATCTGAGACTCCTCAACATCCACCTCATCCCCAACAACAGCAACCCCAGAGTCCAACACATTAACCTGCACGCTATCAACAAGGGAATCTCCACCATCAACAGAATCCGAATGATTGGTTCCACCATCACCCGCATGTGAAAGCTCAATGCCTTGCTCCTCAACAGCATCCTCTTCTTTCTTCGTTGAGTCGTGCAATTCCACACCATTCTCCACATCAACCCCTCCTCTAGGCTGAAACCCTTCACCATCGTCGTTCTTCAATTCGACGCCGTTTTCCACAACAACAGGTCCTTTATCATCGTCAGCAACGCCGGAAGCCTCAACGAAAACGTCGTTAGTATCACCGAAATCAGCGTCAGCACCTTTCTCTTGGACGGCCTGGCTGAGCTTCTCTTTCTCATCGTCGGCAGTAACGGAACCGTTATCATCGTCTTCGTCATCGGCGGTTACCTTGGCAATGGGCCTGTGGGCCTGGTCGTCGAGAAGAGGGTCGTCAACATCAACGGGGGATTTGGAAGGAGGGTAAACGAGAATGGGCCGGGTGGGCTCAGGGTCCAAGTCACCCTCTTCGCCGCTGAGAAAGCCATCGCTCTCAGAGTCGGTAGCAGCAGCACCGTTGTTCTCGTGAATTTGGGATGGCTTAGTTGATTGGTCAGAGATTAGAAGCGAAGTTTGGGAAAGAGAAGGGTCAGAATCCATTTCTGAGATACAAAGGTAGAGGAGATAAGGTTTTAGGATTGGGTTGGGTTGGGTTGTGTTGTGTGAGGCGCAGTGAAAGGGTTTTAAGCTGAAAGCAAAACTTCGTATGCAGCAATTGCAATTCCAATATATATCTCTTAGTGTTATCGAATCCAATCGCCCAACCATACAACACTTTCCCCCTTTTATTTATTTATTTATACACAGATATTTTAACTCTATCATTATTTCTAACTTTAACCACCCACTTTTTGTTATTTACTAATAAGGTATTTGGCCCTTGTACATTTTTATTTTATAATATCATAGTTTTATTGATAAATTATATATTAAATAATAAATATATCTATTTATTTAAATAATGAGTGATAAACTAATGAAAAGTAAACTCATCTCAAGTACAAGAGTCAAGAGCTTTACACTTTGCAGGCATCTTCTTAAGGATTGTTACTCAAGAAGTATGTAATTTTGCATCTCAGCCTCCAATATTTTTATGATGTTAATGTGATTACCAATAATCACTCATTGTGTCTTATGTTTGTGAATTACCGCTGTTGAAGTTATAAAAAAAAATTTGTGAATAAATAGCTATAAATGATAAAAGGAAAATGTATAGTTAAACAAATTATTTTTAAAAAATTATTTCGCCTGTGATAATAAATAAATAAATAAATTATATTGCAAAATACACATATCTAAACTTTAAATTTTGAATAAAATAGAATATAATTTAATTAATTTGTTAAGTTTAATGATTTACAAATATTTCATATACTTAATGTTAATCGAAAAATTTTGAATAATGATTGAAATTACTAAAAAATTATTTTTTTCTTATTAGATAACTAATTGAAGAAAAGTATAATGATTTGATAAAAAAAAAAAAAAAACTCATAAAATATGTGCCAATAAATAAAGAAAAATGTGATAACATAAAAGTAAAATTATAAATAGAGATCATATCATCTTTAAGAAAGAATTCGATCTTATAATATACTAATTAGTATATTGTCAATTTTACAAATATTTTAATTTGAGTAAAAAGGAAATTGTTTCGTGGTATGAAAATACAAACATGAAAAATTGATACGAATTCAACTACCCTTATTTTTGCTTTTATTTTTAAATTTATAGTTTTCATCTAATGGAATATAAGCAAGTTCTTTGCACTCTATTCGTGTGGAACATTTTTTCTACTAACTAGCATTGCTCAAGTGCAAACGGTGTAAGTATATTAAACATATAAAAAATAATAAATTTGAAATTTAAAATAAAATATTTTTAAAGTATTATTAAATAAAATTTAAAACACTATTAAACACGTAAATCAATCAATAAAATTTGTTCTAACTAATAACATTATTGAGTTCGAGTAACATTATATGTAATTATTTTAAATATTTGTAATAAATTAGTAAAAAAAATTCTAACTTAACATCTAATCTTAAATTCAAATATTATTAAATATAGCTGTGTTAAATAATTAAAAATACAATTTATTACTTAAAAGTAATTTTACCAACTTGATCATGATCGGATCAGAATTGTGTTCTTCAGTTCAAGTTATTCATTTGAAAATAAGTTATCTTTCAAAAATCTTAAAATGTTAAATTCAGCCATCTGATTTAAAATTTGCTTGGAAAATCGTACCTTCAACTTGTTAGAAGATTAAAGCATATAATAATTTCATGTAAAATATTGATCATAACACAATAGAGTGTTATTGTATAAGAGATTATTACATAAATTTGAATTAAAATTTATTAAAATAAAATTTAAAACTTATTTTAATAAGATATATTAAAAAATTATAACGGTAAATTTAAAAATATATATAAAAATTATAAATTGCTTTCATAATCTCTTCCAAATATCTTATATATCAGTATTCTTAAATTTAATTAAAATATAAAAGATAAAATAAAAATTAATCTAGAGAAAATTATAAAATTAGAAAAGAGATTGTAATTATTTAAAGAAATAATAAAAGATACTTTGAAAATTAAATTACTCAAAATATGCATAATTAATTTTAAAAATTTATTTTTTTTAAAAATAAAAAAACACTGATATTATATTTTTCTTACACGTTTGTCAAATACTAAATTATTGTATCAACGAAAATTGTTGGCTTTATTGATAATTAATTTAAAATTATATTAAAAATACATTCTAATCGATCAAAATTTAAGACAAGCTGATTAGAGGAGCTATAATCCTTCACAAGTCACAACTCATCCCAATTCCACATCTCGTCACTTCCATAATGTGCCCACAAAATTTTATAAAAACAAGTTTATAAGTAAAACTTTATGTTTAGTATATTCATTACATGATTTAATTTAATACTTGTCGATATACATTTTTTATATTATTAACTAATTCAAAATTATTATTGTTTTAATTTAACAATAAGTTAATGTAAAGACGTCATTAATATATATTTAGTTTTTATCAAATTTAAATAAAAATATATTTTATCAAAAGATCTTTTAATAAGATTTTAATCACAAGTTATTTAATTAAAAAAATAATATGAATAATGTGTTTTATAAATTAAGAAGGTATTTTATGTCTTCTTACATATGCATCAATTATTATTGTTAATTTTCATTAATAATTTAATTTTTAAAATATATAAATACTCCTTAATATCCAAAATATAAAATAAATATATAAAAATAAACTTTAGTTTACGAATATTTTTAACATCAATAATATACAGACACTTGAATAAGCTCCTTTTTTCTTGGTTAATGTTTCCTTGGATTTGTCACGCAACCAGAAAGAGTAGAATTTGGTTTATGTTTGGTAGCGTAGAAAGGATAACGTAATGGATGTGATTTCTTATGGAAGTTTTGTTTTGATATGTTTGTGTTGTTTTTTTGGGGTTCGTACGTGTTTCTGTTTCCTTCCTCTTATTCCTCATCCTAATTGAAAGGTCAAAATTATATATTTTAAGAGAGTGTAATTACATTAAAGTATAAATTGTAGGAGTTGAGCTTTTCTTTAAAAAAGGGAATTTTGTTCCAATAAAGATTTTTAAATTAATATTTTTTCTAAACTAAAAGAAAAAAAATGATAAACTATCATAAATTTAATGTTTAATTTTTTATTATCTTTATAAACTATATAATTATCTTCATTTAAAAATAAAAAACTCGTTCTCTCTCTTTCAAAACTTCATTCTTAAACATGCTACTCAATTGTGCAGAGTCAATGAATTATTTATTCAAATTACAAATCGACTAAAATGTAACAAAAGCATATTAACTGAACACTGCTATAATGGGACAAGAACATACTTTATTTTAATTGCATGAAATATAATTCTTATATATTTGTTCAACGAACGTACCTATTTATAGTTTTTGAAACATAACACGGTGGTATTAATGGGCTTGGGTCCAACAACACAATCCAGGAAAATTTGGCCCATGGATCAGAAGTTAGAGAATAATGACAATGGGCCGAGTCTAAAAGTATATGGAGTGTTTGGGAATCTTGTAGGTTCTCCAGGGCATGCTTCAGTGCTAGTTCTGGTTGTGGAGCCAATTAACATAATTTTAGGACATATACAACAAATGCCAAACTATCAAATGTGTTAAGCCTAGCCGTTGAAAGAACTGAGAGTTCGGTCTCAGAATTCAAGATAAGTTTATCATGAAGAAACTGAGTTTCCTTATTGTAGGAATTTGCTTCTTGTTGCATATGTAAGTGATAGTTGATGGATGTAATAGTTAGAAGTCATTTGAGTTACAGAGGAGGGTAATTTAAGTTTTCAACGACAGGGTATTCTTTCGAAGGAATGTAAACTATATCAGTTTCAATGATATAGATTAGGATTAAAAAGCGAAGAGATACATTCTAATTCTGACCAAAAACAAGATTCATTTCAACATCAGCAACACATGTGAACCTTATTTATCTTTCTATCAGCTATTGAACAAACAACTACCAATATCCATCATCAATCTGGTTGAAAGTCTATAGCAAGGTATAAACATGATCCAAACAAACGTGGCTTCGGACAGTCTCTAATCTCTCTGCGGTACCAAATACAAATAAATGCTCACAAAAAAAAAAAAAAAAAAACCGCCTACCAAAGGCTAGAAAAGACAATATTTCATAAAATTACTTCAATTTACATTTTACCTGCATCATGCGATATCCTAACGTTCCTATTACACAAAACCTATGGGATTGTACAAAGCCAGAATGAAGCACTAGTGAGATATCTGAGGCAGGTATTATTGATCTTGGGGCATACAGTAGATCCCTGCTGTCTAAGGTATCATCATTTCAGCAGTTTTAGGATGTCCTATCTGACGAAGTAAGATCACTTTTATCAGAATTGAGATTGATATTCGATTGTGATTTATCTGGTGATGCCACATCATCATGTTGATCATCATTTTTCTTTGAATTCAGAAACCGACCACCACATCCTCTTGCTCTTCTCAGTGCATGCAAGTGTCGAGATTCATGCAAGTATGGCTGCAAGATACATTATAAGAACAAGTAAATACCACCACAAGAGGCAGGAGTGGATGCATGAAGCATGCGGGTGTATTAATCTATGGAGACACAATTTTGATATTTATTAAGAAGCTAGCAGCTTAAAACAATAACACAACTTTGGAGATCCTTCATCCCTTTTTCCTGTCTTTATATTTTTCAATTTTCTTAATCAATTTTTGATGTCATTGAAAAGATCCATAGCCGATACAGAGAATGATATACCTTCCGATTTCTTATAACTTTATTTTCTGATTCAGCTTTGGCACGCGATTGTCTACGCCTTAATATACCGTGATATTGTTTTGCATTAACAAACACAGGCTCCTCAACTGCATCAGTTGGCAGAGGAACACCAGCTTGCTGAATTCCCATTAACTGAAGATGGACCTGGCACAAGATATCGTTCAATAATTAGAGGATCAGAAAAGGACACAAGATGCCACCGCAATATAATAAAATCAGTATTGAAGAATTAAAGCAAACCATTGGCTGTCCACCATAGGTTTGTGGGGGATAAGATTGTGTATCATAGGGCGCAAAGATGCTTCTGTAGTAAGGATCTGGATATGGATACACAGGTGGTACCTTCATTTAGATAAAAAGCAATATAAATTGGTAAATGCATAAAAAGTTTACATTACAATATTAAATACCATGAACAATGTCCAAAAGAGTTTAAATCCCCCTCCTCCCCAGGATGCTTACAGTAATTCAATGGCGTGACAAAGTAAACCAAACTCCAAGCTATAATTACTGGTGCAAACAATGATTCTGAACAAACTTCTTTAATATCACATCTAAATAACAAAGTGACACCAGTACTTGCTTGGGCATCTATTCATTTACCTTCAACAGCCACAAAAAAAAAACTCTGGTTTCTTAAAAATCAATGTCAATTCACCAAACGCAACTTCTGAAGAAATCTTTTTTATAAGAAAAACTTCAGATTGCAATGTAACTCATCACTATTTGTCACACCTACTGGTAAGAAACACAAAAGGTAGTATTTCATATAATATAACTACTTTTAAAATAACTTGTGGCACATGAAAAATACCCACCTTCAGGGATAAAAAAAAATGTAGTAGGAAAGCCAATTTATTCATGGATTAGAGGAAGAATAAACCTGGGAAAATTTTCATCATGATTTGCTAATTGCTTCAATGATAAAACAACAGCAATGTATGTCTATCTTATATACCTACAACAGGTAAGACGCATCAGATGGTATCCAATGGATATGGCCTATACAAAACAAAACATTCCTCAGTATTTCTGGAACTAATTAAATATTAGGATGCTGATTCAATGAGGAATGAGGATGTCAAATCATTGAAGAACCATGTTTTGTTTTTTAAGAAAAAAAGTCAGAAGAAATCCCAAAGAAACTTGAAGTTCATACCATAGCATGCCCAGTTCCAAGCTGGCCAGGTGTTGCATACTGAACTGTCTGCGTACCAATACCTGGATCAGAAATTCCATTTGCAGATGAGGACTGCATTTGTGATTCTGACTGCTGCTGCCCATCATCTTCATTATCTGAATAAGCATTTTGCCACACACATTCAGTCATTCACAATTGTGCTTCGGATGGAGTGAAGGAACAAGTAAAATGCACCAAATAAAAAAAAAAACACCAATAGGATAGCAAACAAGCTCAATCTAAAATTAGCTTAAAAATGAATCTAGAGAAGCTAAATTTGAAAATAAATGGTTACAGGATAAGAGGAGCATGGGACATGCTAAATTTGAAACAAGGGAGTTTTGAAGTTCAAATTATGAAGCTAAAATATGATACTTCAAAGATAGAGTAATATGTAGCTGTGTGCAAAAAATCTAAAATCTAGGATATCTTGATTGTAGTCCCTGGGCATGACATCAAAAGAAAGATGCTTCTAAGAAACCCTGAGCAAACACAGTTACAAACAACATCAAGTTCCATGAGGTTTATAAATATGCCAAAAAAAAAAAAAAAAAAACAAATCATTACATGCAGCTTCTTTGGAAGACTGCAAGAGTATGAGCTCAATGACTTACATGATTAAGAAAAACTTAGGCTAACCAAAAAGATGTGGAGTCTACTCTACAATCCTGAGTGGTCAAAATATACAAAGAATATTTTTCACGAGGCAACAAATACAGAAAGGGGCCAATGAATTGCAGCCAACATTAGAAGTTACTGGACAGCAGTGCAAGAAACATGAGTTTTTATGTGAATTAAAAGCTCTAAGTTTCTGTACCAGTAAATTATCATTTTTTTAAGAAAGGCACTTTATACCATATCTTATGATTTTGACAAAAGGATAAATTCCATCACACATTACTGCTCTCACAACAGTAGTTATTCATCTCTTCCATTTTCAAGTTAACGGATTTCTGTTGAATAGAAAATTCTCTATTAACAATTTCATTAGAGACAAGAATACCAATGACATTGCTCCATAGGCTGTTAGCTAAACTTGCAATATGAATGTAATTCACTCATTATAAATGGAAAGATTACATTAAAATAATAAATTGGATCAAGGAATTTGTTTGTGTAAAATACCAGTAAGGTCATGAGCAGAGGTCATGATTTCCTAAATCACATGCAACACCACGCCCAAATCTGGAAGCAGAACAAAAATTGTTAACATAATTGACAAGTATTCAGCTACATGCTACACAGAGAAAACAGAATGGTAGAAAGAGAAATGAAAACAAAAACTCCAGAAGCCAATCAATAGCATTTACAATTATAGTTCTTCAACAGAAAAAATGTATTTATGAATTAACTATACCATATGTTAATATATCCACAAAGCCAGAATACACACACATGTAGCCCCACATGCGTGCACACATTTATGGGCGTAAGACAAAAACAAATATCAAAGATGGGATGGACAACGAACAACACAAATCAGATTACAAACAAGATGTGGGTACGGTGGAAAAACATTGATTGACAGAATAATATAATCAATTTGCTACTATTTGTCATAGTTGTTTGTTAACTCTTAGCGTAAGTAGAAGGAATAAAAACATACAGATTCCAAATAAAAATAAAATAAAATCAGATAATGGAAAAAAATATAAAAGACACAGGAACATACAACAAAATGTTCCATTAAAAATCTTCGTAGTTCTAGATACTCATTTGCATTTATTATGCATGCCACAATAACAAAATGGAAGCATATAGAATTCCTTAATAATGGCAATCTAATTTAAACAAAAAATGACATTACTTTGCAATTATATCCTATAATCTGGTTTTCAACTACTTGAGATGAAATGAAATGTACTTCTTGGTTGGAGTCGCAGCTCAAATAACATCTTTTGGAACAAGAATTCAGAACTTGTTGGCAGAAAAGTATAGGAGGGCATTCAAATTTCAAACAAGCTGAAGGACTAATGGTTTACAGCATCATAATCCATCAACTTAAACCTACCATCTATCAACTTCTCTGCACTTTCACAGATAACTACGCAATATTTTAGGTCTACTGAATTTCTAATTCCTTTACTTCGCAAAGCAAGTTTGACTACCAAAGCCCAAGCATGCTTTTGTCTTACCTCTACAAGATTCCTGTAACAGAAATATTCAATTATCAAAAAGCAAAGTATATCCCGGTGCATGTGGCTCAAGAAATACATTGGCATGAGTAAAGACCTGGAAGCATGCATGCATCTAAAATGCTCAACGTTATATACTCTGATTGTAGCATAGTTGTTCCATGTACGTTAAGAATAAGAACCCTCTTGCCACACATTGATGCATACAGCATACTTAGCAATCGTTCCCAATTGCCAGGAATCATGAAGAATGTATCTATCCAACACAAGAGGTGAAGGAAACTTTTTCACAACATCCCAAGCATAAAAGCAAATCAACCTTGATTCTTCACAGTAAGTTTTAACCTGATAAAGTAAAATCAGGGCATAGACTTACCAATCTCATCACAACCAGAGACAGAAATAACAGAACATCCTAAACAAGGGAATCCCACTAAACAAACAGCGAAGGTCAAACACTGTAAATGAAAACTCAGCGATTTGGACTCCATTACCAAGCACCCAGAATTTCAAAATAATAATTAAAAAAACAAAATAATAATAAATAAAAGGTAAAGAAGAAAGACAACAATAATTCTAGAAACAAAAAACTTAAAAGAAATCGAAAATGGGAAAACGTAATATCTTTTGTGGTTGCTTCAGCTGAATTGGAGGAGAAATAGGGTTTAGGAATTGGAATTAACCTCTTGATGTTGGAGCAGCTGAATTAATGTTGTTGAGGAAAAATGGGTGTTGCGTAGCGAGGAGTGAACCAACACTGAAACTGCTACTACGCTGGACCCTCTCTAGTCTCTATTTCTCTAATCCCTAATCCCTATCCATTCCCACCAAATCCTCCATCTTTCTTTCTTTTCCTTCAATTCCCGGAAGATTCTTTTCCTTTTCCTCTCTCTCTCTCTCTCTCTATCGCTGTGTGTGTGTGTGTGTGGTTGGATCGATGCTCCAAATCCCAAACAATATTCTCTACGAAATAACTTTTATCGTTAGGCTTAAAATTTGCATTTGACGGTAGAAATATGCAATTTTTTATGCCATAGTAAGTTAATAATAATGTGATATTGTTCTAGAAAATAATAGCTATAGCTAAAAATTATAACACTATTCTTTTAAATTTTGACAAAATTCAACCTTAACTGTTTTGTCTTAAGTAAATATCTATAAGTAAAGGCAGAGGAAAAATCATATTTAATTCGACAGAAAAGGGCATAGGGGTGTATTAAGGTTCAAAATACTTTAAACAACATTAATGTTTCACACAAATTTTTTTTTTGATAATTTTATTATTTTTACATGCACATATTTTTAAAAATTATATAACAAAAACTGTGCTTAGCTTCAACACCAATAATTCTTTATCAATATTCGTTCTATTTATGGTTCATTTGAGCTGGATCAATCAAACTACCAAATATGTTAATTGCACTTAGCTTAAACATTTGTCATTTCAGCAGCACATTTTATTGATCAGTTATTTCATTGCTAATTTAAATATCATGGTTTACATGTTAAGCCACACTAAAGATAAGGTTGAAGTGTCATTTCCTTAAAAATAAGGACACTATTCTGTGGTTAGTTTGGAATACAGATTGAATTTGAGCTGTTAAATGAAACCTTAATTATAAATCAGCTGACATGACAATTGGTCTTACTGTTTTGTCCATCGTAATTTTACACTAATTGCAAATGTGGATCTAATGGGTGTAGGATATAGAATAGACAAGTTTGATGGGACTAGTTACTTGTATAAATTTATAAATATTAAGCATATATATATATATATATATATATAATAACTTGTAAAATCTCTTGCACACTCAGCTGAAAATAATATATAAGACAGAAATGAATAAACAACTCTATAATTTTTATTTAAATTTCTCAACAAATTTAGTTGAGTTTCACTCTAAACATTCTTTGTATTAATGTTTAGGAATACAGGTCTTCTGTAGGCTTAATTTTATTTTTGTTTAAATAAAAATAAAAAATAATTTTTTTTAAAACAACAACAGAAAAAATGTTTAACCTTTTCTTTTTTTTACAAAAAATATACAAAATTTTATGTAATTATTTTTATTTAAATAAAAATAAAGCTAAACATATAATTTTTATTATAACAGAAAAAATTCAGATCAAATATTTAAAAATTTATATATTATTATATTTACAATCGTTTAATTTGTTAGTTGATTAGTTAAATTAATAAATTTATATATATATATATAAATTATCTCATACTAATATAAATTGAATTTGAATTTTTTTTTAATTTATATATAACAATGAGTCAATAAAATGATTAATTATAATCTGTTAAATATAAATTAAAAAAAATAAATAAAATATAAAATAATTTAAATTAAACATACGTCACTTTAAAACGCTATCAACATCTTACGATTCTTATCTATCTAAGTGACATATGCCTAATTCATGCTAACATAGCGACTACTTTCCGTATGAAAAATTGAACATCGTTTATCCACAAATAATTTTGGGTCTGGAAACTACCAAATTAAGCTTCGTCTGTGAAAGTGGGCCCCAACAATATGCACTCACTGCTCATTTCGTATACTAAAATGGAAAGCTTTATAATACTTTCATTATAAATTTATATAACAATAAAGTTTTATCCTTTTTTTTGTATATATAACATTTCTCCGATGAAATAAATAAATAAATTTGGTTAATAATATTTAAAAATGTCAATAAAACAGTCGTGTTCTTCTAAGCTTGTTATCTCATTCTTTGGTTTTATTGCTTTTGTGCGACTTTTATTTCAGCCGATTTCTCACTTATCTTTTACTTGCAGGAAATATATTTAGTATTTTTAAATATTCTATTTAATCTAATAAATCATAACAAGTCAATAATCTTACTCAATCTCGAATAAAATTCAATAGATTTAGTCTCCTAAAGTGACATAATGTTATTTTTTTAAGCTATTACTAATACATATTATTCTACAATTTATGTTGAAATTTTATAATATTTATATAATTTTGATCTATATTATATAATTAATATTATTAAGATATGATATTTGATATTAATTATAAGTAAAAACAGGAGAAGTTAGCATTTGTCTCTTGAACTTTTAAGATAACTACTAAGTAATTATTTTTAATAGTTACTACTTAGTAGTTATGTTGGTAACTATTAAGTAGTTACGTTTCATGATCTTTTCTAATAAGTTTCTCTATACATATAGAATTTATGTTATATTATAGATAATAATAAAAATTATAAATTATTGTTATTAATCTTCTTTTTATCAGATACTTGCGCTCTTATAAAAAATAAAATATTATTTTTAAAAAATATATATTCATAATCATATCGTTAAGTATCAATTATTATAAATATTATTTTCTTTATTTACTTAAAAGTTCTAACAATTTATTCTATTTTAATAGTTATGAATATTGTTTAAAAGTTAACTTACAAGATTATAATTACTAATTAGAAAATAAAAACAAAAATTTATGATTTCATAATTTATTTTATATATTTTTATAATTTAAATTTTATCTTAAAAGTACATATCTCAACTAAGGTGAGTTAAATTTTTTTTTTTTACGTTGAGACGAGGTGAAATTTAATAATTATGTACATTAAAAATTATAATCAAACCTTTTATTTTTCGTTTATTTTTCATTGCGCTTTTTAACTTTAAAAATATGTTGTTTTTTTAATATACAGTATTTGGTTAGAGAAAAATTGAGAAAAGATAAAGATAGGAATTTTATCTTTATTTTTTGTTTTCTTTAAAAAATTTTAAACCAGGAAAATAGCCGACACCAAAATCCTGTTTTAAATTTGACTTTTCAAATGTTAAGATATTTTTTAAAAAAATGAGAAAGTAAGTTTAAACTATTTAAAATATATTAACGAAATTATTTATATGGTTTAATCCTTAAAAATATTTTAAAAGTACAGTAATAAATTAGTTTTATTTTTCCTTCCTTTCTTCCCATTTGTCCAAATTTGATAATTTTTTTTATCTCCATTAAAATTTCTCTCCTCAGCTCATTTCAATCAAACTCTCGCAAAGATAAATAATAAATATATTATTAATGCATGGGTTCAAGCGATAATACCAAAACACAAATACCCATCAAAAGATCAAGGAACTTAAAAACATAAAATTGTCAAATTCTTTTGGATAAGACATTGACATACACTATGTGCTATATATAGGCCTTGCTTTGTTCTCTTTTTATCTGATGTACTGCAAAACAGTGCCTTTTCTGGTGCTATAAAGTGAACATTCTGTGCGGACAACCAAATTTTCTGGTGCAGCTACCTCTCAGCCCTAACAAAGTTTCCATCTACAAGCCAAACCAAATGGTGGTTGAATTAGAAAGCATATAGAAATAGTGAGACAAATGAATGGTAGCTTGGACATTTGGTTAATTTGAAGTGGTTGCAATCTGCAAGTGAAAAGCACCATCATCAAATAACAACAACATTACTTCCTTCCATGCACATAGAAACAAGGAAACAGCATCATGGAGAAAATGCATGGCAGCTTTAATTATGCTTCCCATGTGTTATATAATCAGCATTCAGCAGCATATGAGGTTTATACGTGAATATATATATATATATATATATATATATATATATATATAATGCATCATAACGAAACAAATCAATGCTCTTATATGTTGAGTGATCGTCACCCAACCAACAGTAATGATTGTTTATATGACTATTTCAGTGATGTTTTGTCTCGTTATTTATTTATTTATTTATTTTGCTGTAAATTACAAGTTTCTCTTTGATTTTGACAATTTAATATTCAACACAGGCTTATTGTTAAACTACTTGGAAAGAAAGAGTTATTATAATTCAAAACACTCGTTGAATGCACGAATTACTAACTAGTAAATGTAAAATGAAATAAAACCATATATTCATAAATATATTTATATTCTGTATAAAATACAAATTTTCCGTTAATTATAGCTTTATATTTTTTAGTTATTATTGAGTTTTCATCATTTTTGTTTGAAAACTAAACATTTTTAAAATTTTAAAATAAGTAATGTAGTGACTAAAATAAATCGTATAATATTACACAAGAGATTTTATACTAAAATAGTAAAAAATATTCTTATTAAAGTATCAGAGATAAAAATAAAATAAAATGTAAATTATAAACTATAAGTTTAAATATTACTTTAAGTAATAAATTTTGAAATATACTTGCTTCTCATTATTTATTATGATCAAAATAAATTTGTTAATTAAATAAGTTATAAAATAACTATTTAAATATATATTTTTTGTCCTTATGTTTTTTAAGTTTTAATTTATCTAATAATTTTTTATTTTAAATTTGACACAATTGATTATTTATTAAATAACGAAGTGACTAATTGAAAAAATGACTATACATAAATTTTGTGTGAAATTACATCAATGAAAAAGCCTTAAGCTTAAAGTTCATAAAGATATAAAAACTAAATATATAATTAAACTTGAATTAATTAAAATAATCTCTCAAATACACTCTAAAATCATGAGTAATCATGTAGGGAGAGAGAGAGAGTCATGGAGGCACCCACCACGGATCAATTCTTTATTTGATACTTTTTAGGGGTACATGAACACGGATCCATTGATGATGTGGTGTAGAGAGAAGAAATGAAGAAAGAAGAATGAAAGAGCTGGTGAGGAGGCAAGTGGAATAAAGGCCATAGACATCTTTTATATATATGAAGCATATAATCTGCAAAAATACTTGATGACACTAAAACTAGTGTTGTTGAACTTGGGAGTGTATCTTCTTTTCTATTTTGTTTGATACATGTATTGTATCTTTTTAATTCATATTCGAATATGGCTTTGCTTTGTTACTTTTTCTTTTTTATTTGTATGTTCTTTTATCTTTTATACTATTCCTTCCTTCCATAACTTTTCTTCACAAAAGCAATTCTATAACAGGAGTAAAACCCGCCAGCATCTTAGGAATTTTCCTTTGGAATTTATCGTCGCATTCTACCTTTACTTTTCATATTTTTCCCTCTTTCCTTCTTGGTAGGTTCACACTTTCTTCTGGTCATGGCTGAAACTCATCTTCCTTACATTTTTCATCCATATGGTATAAGAAAAAAGTGCACACTTCAATTTTACTTTGAATCTTTATTTTTGTCTGTTCGTCCAGCTGGTAATCTTTTGATGCATTGCAAGAAACAGATCTTTTGATGCATGGCAAGAAACGATGGCAATGATCTGCTAACATGTGATTCAAAATTGGTAATTATTCGTATGTTATATACTCGTATTTAAAATTTTAAAAATATATTAATATAATTAAAAGTATAAACTAAAGAGTATGCATAATTAATTCAAGTAAAACTATAAATAAAAAATAAAGTATAACAATGTATAGTTAATTTGTTTAGTCAATTGCACTAATCATAAAAAACAACCTTCAACAATAGAAATTAGTGATGGCTCCATCCATCCAATTTAGGAAATAAAAGTAAATGGATTGGATAAATTGAGTTATTGTGATCATGTATATGGCTAATGGTCCATTCTCTTTTATTTTTCAATTCATTGAATTATTAAACTATTAAAAATGAATAAAGTATTTCTTGTCTCTCCATTACTATATATATGATTCATTGAAATATAAAATATAACATGCTTTTAAATGAATAGATTGAACATTCATTCATTTTTAAATTGATTAATAAATTGTTAATGGTTTCAGTTAAATAAAATTTAATCAAACATGGGGTTATTTTTCAATTTCTAAGGGATCATAATAAATTATTTTCTACTTACCTAAGCCAAACTTTATCTAAAGCATACAATTGACACCCCTAGCTGAAGTGGTCTTCACCTTCATACTCAGATAAATTGGTCTTCAAATAAGAAACAAAATGTAAGGAGTCAAAAACCAAGTTACGTATCATATTCTTCATCTGCCCCTCCCACTAACTCGTTGGTTACTGTTTGTTTTACCTTTTTCCTATAACATCGTTCTTTAATGTAGAGGAGGATGCAACGATTTTGGCCTACTGTGACTGCAAATTTTTCCAAAAACACCATTTTTATGAGGCGCTTAATTACAATATCTAAGTTCTAACATTCGTTGCAGTCACTGCTTATTTAGGTTTCACATGCTATTCCATTCACTCATTTGTTTTGTATTATATCCAATGTTTATAAAACAATTAACCTGACCATCATGGACCAAATTTCAACTCTAACACATCAAAATCACCTAAAACATCTAGAGTAGATAAATTGCTATTCAATATTTTAGAGGGGAAGGATGAGAAGAATATATTTTTTAATTTTTAATTAAAAAATTATACATGATGACAAATGCATGATTAATATATTAAATTTATGTCAATATATCAATTTATATCTTTTATTTAACAAAAAAATTAATATAGAGATTATAATAAATAAGATATTTCAATGCTTATTCTTTTTAAAAAAAATTAAAAAAATATTTAAACATAAATTTATACTAGCTTGGTAGCAACTTAAAATTTGTACCTTTACCTACCAAGTACATGCACACACATGAATTCATTAACTACAATTTTTAGTTAACAAACTAATAAAATATAAGGGTTCGTAGTACTCATTTATGAAATTTTATTAGTAACTTACCTGTATATATAGATCCAAACCATTTAATAAGCACAGTTTTATTATTATGAATATGTTGGTTTATTAAAAATGTGTGCTGTAGTACATCAAAAGTTTTTTTAATTATATATATATATATATATATATATATATATATATATATATATATGTGTGTGTGTTAACATTATATAATGGAAGATCTAAAAACAAATATCTTTTTGCAATATATAAAAAAATCATAAGAAATAAAAAGTCAAAATATTTTGATAAACTATGTGAGAATATTTAAGCAACTGAGCTTAAAGAGAAAAGTGAAGAGTAAAAAGACAAAGGAGAGAGCGGCGAGAGGAAGGAGAGGACCAACCTTTTCCTCCGACAAATTGTCACACAGTTTTCCATATTCAAACAAAACGCACTGTTCCTCTTTGACGTTCGTTAAAACCACTCACTCATCACACTCTCGTCGTCGTTCATTTCCAAACGACACCGTTTTCTCCATCAGACTTCTTATATATGTATGCTTCCTCTTCCGCTGACACTCTAAATTAACCAACCCAGCTTCATTCTTTAATTTTCATTATGCCTGTTCCCTACTCCCTCGCCGTCTTCGTCGTGCTCATTCTCGCCGGAGACTCCTCCGCCAGGGAGCTCCGGCCATCGGATCACGGTCTCACCTTCCAGACACTGTCCCCGGCGGGGGCGCATTCCTCGCCGGAGATGAGATCCTTCTTCAACAGCGCGAACTCCTCGCCGACTATGTCCTCCTCCTCCGACGTGGCGCTGCCGAGGGCCATGGATTCCGGCGAAGCCTCGCCGCCGTCGTGGTGGAGATCCGGAGGCGGAAGCGACGGAAGAGACCACGTCGGAAAGGCACTGACGGTGGCGAGCTTAGTGTGTGGAATTGCAGGTGCGGTTCTGCTTGTGGCTTCGGGTTTGATTTATGCATTAAAGTACCGAAACAGAAAGCAGAATTTAGACGCAGCGTTTTGCGGTGAGAATGGGAACGAAGGTGAGAATGACGATGACAATAACAAATTGCAATTAGTGGTACGCAACCCTTAATAGTGAATAGTGTTCTTCGATTTTGCATTGTTTTTTATTTTTAGTGTTCTATGATTCCACGTTGCATGTAAAGAGAGTAGCGCTTTTAGATTTATGATTATATAAATGCGTTATATTTATTTATTTATTTCACTTTTCTTTTTCTATTGATCTCGTGCTTCTTTTCTTTAGATCAGCAAAACGGTGGTTTGTTTAAAAAATTGGGTCACGGGGTGTCTTGTATTGATTAGGTGAAAATATATTTACATTTATAGTTTAAAATTAATTTTACTTTACCATTTTAACAAAGTGAACTAATTCTTCTAATTTCACTTTTAAAATGGGTTACTTTTGTTAACGGTGATTATTATAAGATCTTGAATTTAAAACATTCAAAGCCTGAATTTTAAGTTACTCGACCTGTAAAGTGCATTGCTGATGAATCCACACTTTGTTTAAATGAACTTTTGTTAATAATACGATATTATATGATGATTGGATAGTAATAATAAAAGATTTTATGTAAATTCATCGGAAATCAAAGTAAAAATTCAATTGTAACAAAGTAATTAAATTTTCATTTCATATATGGACCAAAATTGCTAACTTATGCTCCTGTTCTTTCTACAGTTTGTAGCAAATAAAAGCATAAATCATATCTACAGTTTTACCTAAAAGAGGCATAAACTTGAAACCGTGTCAATGTAAATAAATTTATGTGAACGGTTGATGTATATATATCATATTGATTGTTTTATTTCATGTTTTTATTTATCTCTTTGTATTTCAACTTTTACTGTAAAAAAAAAATAATTATAAAAAAATATTTTTCTTTGTCAAAGTACCATGGAAAATGGACAGTGTAATCTAAGTAGATGTAAGGCACGTGTCCCCGTCACATGTATTATTGTAAAGGAAATTGATGTTATGACACCTTAAAACAGAGTGGAAGAGGAGGAAAATAGGAAAGCAAATAAAAAATAAAAATAGAAAAATATAAGTACGCTATAATAAACTCTCAGTTGTTGTCCAGCATTTCTTTACAAAACATAAGATTTTGCAACTGCTGGCTTCAACAAAGAAAAATTACAAATCTTCATACGATATTTTTCATCAATTTTTTAAATATTTAGATGAAATATTATATTTTATATTTTAAAAATATCGAATATGTTTTTTAATAAAATATTATAAAAATATAAAACCACATAGCATTAATGTAAAAAAAAATAAAAATACGTCAACACTATCAATCATTTCGCATTTTATATGACTATGATGAACCGTAAGACCATCAATCTTAGGAGATTTGAATGAAAATTTAAAGTCATAATTATTTTTTGTCAACAAATCTTTCTTGATGTGGATAATGTTGTTGCCCACCCAAGCTGCAACTTGCAAGTATAAGGAGATGTAAACAAATTTGATGTGGTAATGAACGTCGCAGACAATGTCGGTTAAATTGAAGCTGAAAAAATGAGTTAATCCAACCAACACTCAAGACAACTTTGTTAAACGTATTAAAATATAAAATTTGTACTTTATTTTGTTTGAATTATTTTTTTTCAATTCACTTATATCTTTTCAACGAGTTCAAATTAGTCTAATTTATTTAAATCTAACTCCAAAAATTTGATTAAATATAGGTTTTTCAGTCCTTATTCGTCAGAATCAAAAGTCTTGAAACAGGTGAATAACTTATTTTCACTGCTCTTACTAGTTATTAATACATACTTTCACGTTTATACTCGAATCACGTGTTCATATTCCGACCAAAAAAATCAATCGCGCGTTCCTATGAAAATGGTAGTTATTTAGTCAAATATTTCTCAAAATTAAAGATATTCAAAGATTTTCTTAATCTTTTAAAAATTCATAAATGGCTAATATTTTGAAACAAAAAAAAAATTACGAAGCAACTTTGGGAGAAACTGAAAATAGTGTCCTAAAAGTTTTCATATTTCACTCAACATAAAACATGGATTAAAAAATCAAGTGTAATATAATTACAGAATATATCATGGTTTTGATTGAGAGTTAACATCATATGTTTTTTTATATAGACCAATTGAAACAGATACATGCAGACCAGCACGTGCGCACACAAGTTTGGTCGAATAATTTAATTGTAAAAATTAATTAGAGAAAAGGACATAGAAAGTTTAGTAATTCATTATGGGATGATAGGCCAAAGTGGAATAGAATTAGATAAATTTCTTTAAGAAAATGGGTAGATTAATAACAGTAATTTGCCTAATGAACAAGGGGTATCCACTCGAGTTCTAAGTCTAATTCTCCACATTCGACGTTTTGGAGCTTAAGTGACATCTCTTGTTTAACCTTACCATCAATAATATTGACTGAGCTATCATCTATAAGTGCATTGTCATGGGATTTCAGCCATTTTCCTATCTGCATATCATCAAACATTCCAGCATCTCCAAATGCCAAAGCAGATGTAATCAGGGGCTGAAGATCAATATCTGCTTCCCCCATTATATCATCAGCTGAAAACAAGTCATGATCATACACTTTCTGCAATGCAATGCAGCCAGCTGTTAAAATAAAGTACCCTGTTCTCATACCAGAAATTAATTTTGTATCTTTTCGTAGCCAAAAATAACAATAATAAAAAGAAACACACACAAAGACAGACAGAGACAGCTAGCCGCATCACACATGAAGATCCAAATATCCAACCACCAAACAAGAAACCCAACAGGAGGCTATGAAGAGAAACCTAGCTCCAAACTAAGAATTTGATATCCAGGAAAACTTAATACAATTAAGGTAAGATTTTCATTGAATACAAGCTAGAGAAAAGTGAAACAAAAAAGAGGCATGAAGTCGGAGGTTGTTTTAGTAGTTTGTAACTTTTGTGCTTATTATTTTCTTGGTTTTTTCAGACATTTGAGCATGTTTATCTTTAAATTAGAAAGTGGTCAAGTTATGTAAGAATGTCTCAGAGTATTTTATAATATCTTAGTAAATCTTCCTAAAATCTTTAAACTATATAGTGAAATCAATTATTTATCTAACTGAGGAGGCAATTTTAGCATTTATTTGTAATTTCACTATGTTTTATGGTTTGTGTGCTTATTTGACTAAGGGATTAGGTTTGTACAAGTGCCGTGTGATCCATATAATCGACCATAGTCAAATAAGGCTTGGTGGTGGTTGTTAGATTTGTATCACTAATTCTAGATTAGTATTTTTTTTTTTTTTTATTATTATTATTATAAATAGTAATATAAGTAAGACCATAGGGTTTGAGGATGGTTGATGAAGAGTAGTTACTTGATAGCCAATGTTGAGAAAGGATGTAAGAGAGAAGCATTGAATAGGGTTTGGTTTAAGTATATAATACATGGATTTGGTCTTACAATCATAAAGGTGTCATGCATCGTTGAGGAATTGGGAAGGCCTAGATTTTCTTCAGTGATTTGGCTGTATATAGCAGGATACATAAACAATTTGTTTCTGTTTTCTAACAAGATCATAAAATTCAACCTTACCAAATTTAATATTCCATATTGCTGAGGTACGGACAGCACAAGTTCCTCATTCCAGACTGGATTCAAATTACTCTTTATTACCGTTGTCTGAACAATCTGAGGGCATAGCACCAAAATCAACTCAGAAATAAAATTATCAATGTCTATTACTATTCAACTAAAAATAAAAGATAACGAGCAAAAGTTTCCCTAGAATATATGCCAATGAGAACAACCAACCTGTTGGCCAAGATTCAAGATAACATATGGATCACTTGTCATTATATCTCTGATAGCTAAGTCTGTGCCTTTGATCACTTTAACCTTCAACGTTCCAATAAATTCTACCATTCCTTCCTGTTTTCACCGTAGGTAATCAGTCAAACATCCATGAAAATAATTTCATTGTATTTACTACCAAAGTAGTAAAGTTGGATGCATACAGCAATCATCGTTTAAATAGAATTATCTCAATTAGAAGACTTTCATCTGGGTACAACATCAAATTTACTCTTTGGATTTCATTTATATGCTAACTCAACTTATGGTAAACAGACAAATACATCTACTCTTGAAGGAACTAAAATATAAAATATAATTACCATATTCTGTGAACTACTAGTACTTCGAAAACCAACCACAATCCCTTTGGAAAAACTTGATGAGGTATTGCTTTTTCCTGACACAATGCGCAAACTAGGTTTCAAAAATTCTTGTTGCTCATACTTTGATCTGCAGTCAAAATTGTCACAGTTAAAATGACACTCTTAACTTGAGCATTGATAAGATTGGTATCATTGATGATGCTACCATGAACAATATCTCAATGCCATGCTGATTAATCGGTGGTCAACCAAGGACAAAGTACTGTGATTAAAAAGAGTAGCAGAAAAGAGCAGAAACTCAAGAAAATAAATGACTCAAGTAAAGCCCATTGGTTAAAAAAACATGAGAAGAAAAAAATTGTGTCGAGAGCACAGAAATTCATATCAATATCATCCAATGTTGCCTACAGCTTTACCCACTTTGTGATGATTAGAAATATAATAGATTTCTAAAACATGCCAAGTGATGCTAAGTTTGGTAGATTACATACAGTGCAAAGTGGAGATGAAAATATATCTAACCGGATGAATTTTGCACGCTCCTCATGACTGGCATCTGGTCCAGGTTTTGTATATCCTTCTGGAATATAAGCCTCATAAATTGAATTGGCAGAAGAATTTCCTCCAACTTCAATCATTCCATCTATTTCATCAGTTGACCAGTCATCCAATGTCACAGACAAAATCTGAGTGAAAAAAAAAACATCCCAAGGCTTTAATGCATGACAAGACAAACGTAAATAATAAAGTTCTGCATACTATTAACTTGATATACACAACTTATTAAAAAGAGAGTAGGGGTATAATGTGATCCAAAGAAGCTCCTTGCACGTTGACTTAGTGGTTTTGTTACGCCTTTTGGCACCTTTGACTTTATTACATTCATTATATGAAAATGTTAAATCAGGAGTGAAAAATTGGAAGGGCTGTGAATGCACCGGGTAGAATGATGGTACTACCAATCATTTGGTTATGTGTGAAGTTTAATTTGGCCTAATTTCATGTCACACAAGCTGAAATTGAACTGTAATTGACATGACAAACTTTCTTAAAATAGTCATCAAACATTTCATAAAAAATCCAATTCAATAACTTCAATCATCAAAATAGAAAGTTTACTTCTTACCCAAGAATTACAGAGAATCCTTTCTCACTTTTCACTTATTACAGCTAGAAACTGTACCTAGTAGTTGAGTAGTTCTATATGCTTTAAAATAAAAATTCACTAGCACCTTCTATTGAATGAAAAGTGGACACACTCAGCATTAAGATGACCTAGTTTGCCATATTTTTATTTTCACACATAAAGAAAAATATGCATATTTGACAATGATACCCCCAAATTTCCTTTGTATAATAAAGACCAAGAGAAACTCAAATAGCAAAATCCAGTCGCAGAAGAGCACAATAAATTGAAATTTCACATTTCACTATAAAATATATTGGATATACGGGCCTTCAAAAATTAGACATGATGAGTTAAAACACCTTTGATTTTCAAAGAATAGGCATGAGAAGAGACGCCTTCCTTGTGATAATTTAAGTTATAAATAAGACATTATTTTCCATTCCTACCCTTATTTGCAAAGTTTTAACTTCAAAACTCATAGATCACTAATTTAGTGTTTCTTTTGTTTAAATTTCACAAGATATCACATGTCAATTCGGGCTAAGAATAGGCTGTACATCAAGCATGTGCAACATTAAAAAAAATGCACCCAAACACAAAGCGTTCACTAGACTATTTCATGGGTATAGACATATAAGAGTGATTAATTCTTTCTCACCAAATCAAGCTGAACCAATTTCAAACACGTTATAGAAAATAACTCACCACAAATAAAGGTTATTAATCTTTTGATTTGTAAAATCTTCTTTCTTAAGTAATTGGATCATGAATGGGGCTACCTTTGATATATGAGTACCAAGACTTCTGTGCACACCACAACATTTTAAGCATACAAAAACTCCAATATTGGCTGACCTGAAGAATCAATTAGAAAAATGTATTCATAAGAGGTAGTATGCGCATTTTTCATCATAGTACAATTCATGTAGCTAGTTCCTACAAATTAATTACAAGGATGTCTTATAAATCCTTCACCAAAACACTAAACACTCCCAAAATATAAAAGTGAAAAGGTGAATAAACTTACGCCCATTTAGGATCTGGAGAATTACAATCAGCACAGAAGCGATTATCTTTTTGAACCAATAAATCCTTCAATCTTCTTTTACCTGTAAGAGACCTGCCAATCATTCAACTTCTCAAGAAAAAAAATTGAAAACAACTTTGCATTCACAATTAGACATGGAAATAAGCAAGACAAGCTTTGTCTTTAATGGATTGACCAATTTTTCAAACATAAAGCTTGAATACGGTTTATTATCAAATACAGGCCTTTCCTTTAAGTAAGAAAATGGGCCTAAGCGTTGGTTTTCAAGATATATAATAAGTTGAATTATTTTTGTAAATTGTAATAATATGTTTTTGATTAATATAATGAACATATAACGTGTTGGCCCTTGAGCGTAAAAAGATACATTAGAAGGCCCAAGGCTTAGCCAATTTAATTAAATTGTTTTTCTTTTTGGTTAAAAAAGACTAAACCTGATTTGTTCAGTAAACAGGGTCAAGCCAAGCCTATTGCATGCCAAGCTATAGGCTTATCAGTAGGCCCTTGACAAGCTGTCTAGCCTATTTCCACCTTTGTTTGCAATATCTCTTTATTTCTATTTAAAATTCTAAAGAATCATAAGCTGCAATGCTTAAAATCAAGCTCACTGTGAGTCCAAAAAAACAGTAAGACCAAATATCCCCAATAAAGCATGGTATCTCGTCTCTGGATGCAACCATCCAGTCATTATTTGAAACCACATAGGTATGCACAAAATATAAAAAATGGGCAACCACAAAAACAACAGCAAAATGCAACCTAATAGAAAAGATGGGAAAATCTTGTTTTTTAAGTATTCCCTCAATGGTAGGGTGAAAAAACACTCATCAAGGAACGTGAAGTTTGTCAATAACTACTAAATAAACCAGACAAAAAACAATATCAAGGCATATGTCATCAGAAGAACCAGTGGTGATTGAAACATCATACCAGGATGAATCATTCCCAATTTAATAAAGCTAGAAAGTAGTTGTTTTGAGATAGCTATAATATTACTGTCAGTACTGAATTAAAACATGTTGATACAAATCCTCCAAAACGAGCTTATCTTTAAACTTATCAAGTAAATTTACACTCACTATTGACTTAATTTAAAGTGCATCATAATCTTATCCACTAAATTTCTTAGTGCAAATACCCTTATTCATTCAATTTAGAAACAAACCCAATCAAGGTGAGTTCTTCCCGAAACATAGTACTGCTTTTTTTAGTTCTATTTTTCTTTTTTAAAATTATTGTCATTCTGGATTACCAATGAAGTATTGATTATTACTTTTTCAGTCTCATACCCATATTTATTCTTATCCTTAATGAAGAGGGAGAGCGAGTTAGTGGGGAAAAAAATAAATTACATGTAAATGAGTTTAAATTGACTTTAAATAAGGGTAAATCAAATTAAATACAAGAGAGAATCAAATTAAGTATCATTGCATACTTGAGACAGGCCTCCCAAATTCCAACCGTTTATTACTCATTGCCACCGTTGAAGCCCACAAGGATCCAAATGGACCAAGCTGCAGCTCCAATGATAACAGCCAAGCTAAACTACCTGGAATGAAAGAAATATCTCGTTATAGACTAAAAAGATAAAAGCCTCATGAAATCCTATAATAATAAGACTTTTCTATTACAATAGTCCTTGGTTACTTAATCCCCACCCCCAATAAATAAATATTTGAATAACTATATGATCAATAGAATAACTCCTTGCAGATTAGCTTTTGAGGGGAAAACGATTGATAAATGATAAATCAAACGTCCAAAGTGAGAGTTGAAAAAACAAAATAGTCAAACTCTGGTATTATCAGCAGACATCAAAATTGTAATGTCGTATAGGTGCAAAATATTCAACCTTTTTAGATATATACACGCATTTGGATACATTAATCATTCAAAATCAATAAATAAAAAAATATATTTCAATGAGGTACCATCCATGTGATGAAAACCCCAATTTGTTCTAAACAAAATACTAAAACCAAAGCTACCATAATTTTTTCTCAGCAACCAAACCTTAAATTTGAGATATCTTCAGTAGGAGCAAATTGAAGAAGAACGCAGATGCTTGTAAAACTGTCAGAAAATGTTGGATTCTGGTGTTAGTAAAAGAAAAAAGATACATTGACGAGAGCGAAAAAAAATTCAAATATCAACGTTGGCATTAAACGCAAATGTTCACGTAAAGAAAGGAAAAGGAAAAGGATGAAAGAGAGAGAAACAAACAATTGGGTGTCAGGTAGAGAATACAGAGAAAAATAAAAGAGAATGAAAATTGGGGGGAGTGAAAGAATTGAAGGGATGTGTTTTAAATGCAGAGAGAACGAGACACACGAAGGTGGCGATGCGTTTTTCTCATTTTTTTTATGTCAGAATTTGTTGGCACCAACGTGGAAACAGATAGCTCTTTTTTTATTTGATTTTAATTAGTCTTGTTAATGCATGTTTAAAACGGAATAATTTCGATTAATGACGATAATTTTTTAAAGAATCTATTATCTATAATACTAAGCAAATAAAAAATGTAATATAATCAATCACATAATACAATTACGTTTGGTCGTTTGTATAATGATAATAAAAATAAATAAAATTTTTAAAATATTAAAATGTTAAAAGTCATTAATTAAATTTATTAAAATGTAACTTGTTTAAATATATTTTTATTTCTTATTAGTATTTTAATTTTAGTCTTTTATTTTTTAAATTTACTTTTGATCCTAGTATTAAGGTACATCATCAATAAAAATCAAAAAGTTGAATTTTAAAAAATTTAACACTAAAATTTAAACAATTTTTTAAAATATTAAAATATTATAAAATTTTAAATACATTTTAAAATTTTATAAAAAAATTAAATATATTTAAGTTAAATAAATATTACTTTTTTTTATATGTACATATTTTAACTCCTCATGGAGATAATGTGTGCTGACAGATCCTTAATTGTATCAATAGAATTAAAACTTTCGTCAAATATTTTTTTTATTGAAATAATGTCCATACATGAAAATAAATTAAAATTATGCTCACTTGTACTTGTAATAAATATGTAATTTTGCAATCTCAACTATGTAAATAAGTATTTTTCATTCACGCAATGCCACACATATTTTATTAAATATTATTAAACATAAAACTCAATGTATTAAAAATATTTTGCAACTTTGTATTCTATTCTTAAAGCCTAATGAAAATGTTTGGTCCAATAGAAAAAGAAAAAATGATATTACTATTATACACTTATAATAACAAGTAAATTATAATACAAATATTCTCATAACTTTATCGTACAACTCGAGGCTACCAATTGTATGTCATAACTTCTATCTTTTGTTTTTATTGATAGTTCAAAATTATTGTCACTCTTATTTCATTTTTTTTTCTAAATTTATGTGGGTTTATCTTTATATTATATATATTTTTTGTATTTATTTTAATAAATAAATGATTAATTTATTATTGTCTTAAGTCATCCAAATAAAAAGAAGGAAAGGAAGATATTTTCATATTAAATTATATTTTTATTGATTTGATGAATAGGATGCTGTATATATGTTCTTCCAATTAGACCAAAATTCAGTCAATTATGAAATCGTATAACAGGTGAGAGAGAATGACATACTGCACCACCCCAACATGTTATATATAAAAAACAACTATTGTTACAATACATTTAAGATAACAAACGCATTGTGTTAATTATCTGTTTAAAAAATGCACAACATTCTTCTTATTGCGGTTAAATATTCTGAACCTTCTAATGGTTTGTGGTAGCCAGATAACTTTGCATCATCTCAAATGACCTCCACTATAGGACACTTGATCTCTCATACTCCATTAACATTCCACTGTGAAGACTTTGACCTTGTTCATGACACTAATTCGTGCTTCTCATCTCGGATCTTCTACTCTTTCACATACAATGTTCTTGTTGTTCTTTGCATAACTAATAATCATATCTCTTAGTTAAAGTTCAGACAATTGACAAAATGTAATAGGGAATTTTTCTCTCCCACTTTGTTATCAAGGATCTGCAGAGCAGAGCAAACAAATATTTCATAATTTTTTTCCTTAGTTTTTTAAGAATTATGATGCCCCCGGCGGAATAAATTATCATAGTGCTTTGCATGAATAAACGATGTTCTACCAATAATCCCCACAAGAACATGTTCCATTCCTAAAGTGATGAAAGCGGTTAGAGTCTCTTACTACAATCTCACGGTCAACAATCTTTGCGATAAGCTTTATTGCATTATGACAATCGCCACATACACGTAGATTTTTCATTACTGTAATTGTACTGCCTTCCACCGTGCTAAGCAACCCAAATGCAATTGCAAGCCTTTCACTATGGTAAGACAGCATTTCTTCTTTTTGCTCAATTTCAACATCATGTAAAGTGAATTGTTGATCAGGAACATAACCTAATTCTTTTAACTTCACTCCTAACCAGTCTAGCTTTTGATAAATTTTCTCAGTAAGAGGATGTGACCTATCTGCTGAGAGAAATTCATGCTTTAGTCCTTTTATGGTTAGCCAACTGGATCCTGGTTGTTTTACAACTCCATTATGTTTCATTGTTTTTCGTATCTGAGCCACCTCAGCCCATCTGCCTGAAGATGCATACAAGTTTGATAGCAACACATATGCACCACTACAACCAGGCTTCATTTCGAATATCTGTTTTGCAGCTCTTTCAGCTATATCTAAATTAGAATGAGTCCTGCAAGCACTCAGTAAAACCAGCCATACCATTGAATTTGTTTTCACAGGCATGCTCATCACCAGTTCTTCTGCTTCCTCCAGCTCTCCGCAGCGGCCAAGTACATCCACCATACTTGCATAATGCTCAATTGTAAGCGTAACAGATCTTTTCTGGCTAAAGTATCTGTAGAAGCACCTTGCTTTTTGTAACATCCCAGAACGGCTACAAGCAGAAAGCAAACCAGTTAATGTTATTTCATCTGGCTCAACCCTTTCACGCAACATTTGGTTAAAGAATGCTAGAGCCCACATCCCGCACCCATGTTGTGCACAACCAACAATGACTGAGTTCCATGAAACAATACTTTTCTCACTAATTCTCTTAAACACAGACACCGCATCACTAACATAACCGCATTTACTATACATGACAACAAGAGAACTTCCCACATATGCATCAGTTTCCAAACCCATCTTAATTCCTGCAGCATGGATCACTTTCCCCCTCTCAACATCCTCTAATCCACAAGAAGAATTCAAAGCACTGGTGAAGGAAGATTCATTTGGAAGCATCCCGATTCTCATCATTTCTCCAAACACCCTTAATGCCTCATGATGCTTATCATTGAAACCATACCCCGTCACAAGAGCTGTCCATGCCACCACATTCTTACAAACAGTCTCACTAAAAACCTGGCGCGCTGCCTCCATTTGTTTGCAACTTGCATAAAACGTGACAAGTGAAGCAGAAACAAATTCATCAAAACACCAGTAACCCAGCTTAAACACAGAACAATGAATTTGAAGACCCACACGCAAAGCCGATATTGAAGCAGCAGCAGATAACCCACAAACCAAGCTAGTAGAAGACAGGGCGACACCGGAAGCAACCATGTCACAAAAAAGAAGCAATGCTTGTTCACTCTTCCCATTGTGGTCAAGTCCAGCAATCATGGAAGTCCAAGAAATCACATCCCTTGAAGGCATTTGGCGAAAAAAGCGCAAAGCATCATCAACTCTACCATTGGTACAATACCCATGAATCATGGCATTCCAGGCAGCCACGTCCCGATCCATAGGTGGCATAGCCCAGAACAAGGTTTCGGCTTCCTTTACAATTCCCAAGCGCAATAACCCATCAATGAGGGTAGTCCAAGACACAACGGTTGGGAGGGGCATTTGGTCGAACAGTTTCCTGGCGGTGACGAAATCACCGCAATGGAGACACCCCTTAATGATGGAGTTCCAGGAAACAATGTCCTTAGAAGGGATTTGATGAAAGAGGTTTAAAGCTTCGTGGAGTCTATGGTTGCGTGCATAAGCAAGAAGCATTATAGTGTAGAGTGACACATGAGGAGAAGGTATTTGGTCGAAGATGGCACGTGCTTCGTCTAACCTTTGATTTTGAATGTGATGAGAGAGTATATACTTTTGGGATTTGATATTGAAGGAATTTGGGGCGATGGTAGTGAAAAACAAGGATCTTGAGTTTTGCATATCTATGTGAACCGGTTGTACCCTGCTAAACGGTGTCGTATAAGAGTTCGACTTGGTCCCTTGACCAAGGACAAACAGTGGAAGCACGAATCGTGTTTTAGCATTGGACATAGAAGAAGAAGGTGAGGTTCTGGTGAAGCAGGATTTGATGTGTGCATTTGTAATTCAATGGCATATTACATTTTATTAATTGGTAGTTTCTTTAATATTCTAATTTTATATAATTTCGTGGGAATAACTTACCCTAATATAAAGAATACAAATTCTTCTATATAAAAAAAAAGAATACAAATTCATCAACCGAAGGGCAGTATTGGAAATTTGAAAAGATAAGGCCTTTATACGATTTCTCCCACGCTAGCGACTGGCTTCGTACGTTCGCTTTGCGTTTATCCCGCGACTCCATTGACTTGGCTTGTCCGTTCAGCGTTGGCGTTCATAATTTTCATTTTGTATTTTGATTTTATTGTTTGCTTATCTCTTCCGTAAAGATGAGGGTTAAGATCCGCATAAACTTTCTATGATATTGTTATTTACTTATTTTCATATATATATATATAGCAAATCTGATATTTATTAGCTTTTTAATTGTTTGTTATTATTCATGGTATAAATTCTCAGTTTTAATTAGTAAATTTATATACACTTTTTCATGCTCTAATCTATCTGTTACTCTCCTCAGTCTTATCTTCTAGATTTCTCACTACTTAGTAATTCAATCCGTTGACATGATTGCTACTCAAATCAAGATCTAATCTAATAATCAAAGTTGACCATGATTTAGAGAACGGTTCTATCATGATGCAGAAGAGGAGACATCTCAAGCCTTATACAGGTGCGTAGATTCTGGTATTTATCAAGTTTATCAGCTATAAATTTAAGACATATTTGGTTATTAGGTTACTATTTTAATCATAAAGCCTGGATTGTTGCATAAACTAAATAAACATGTAAGTTTAATAAAATAAAATTTTGAATTGTTGTAAGTAGAATTTAATTATTGTCTAATTATAGTTCACAAATTTCTATTCTGTAAAATTTCTTTAGTTCATTGTAAAATTAATGTTTTCCTTGTGTTGTATTTTTCTTCTTTTCTTCTTGTAATAAAACGATACGGCGAGTTTCTAATTTAAAGATAGAGATTTTTCTATAAATATTCTATCAGAAATAATAAATATTGTGATCGTATAATGATTATATTCACGATCCGCATGAAAATCTATCATCATTATCATTGATATTGTGAACTAGTTTTTCAAGGAGGCTCGACATGCAGCACATGAATCCCTGTCTGGGGAAGGCACGTGATTTTCTCAAAAAAGAAACAGAGGGAACATCGACAATAAAAGATGAATTTTCATACAAAGAGGAGCTGTTAAGTTTGATGAGGATAAGGGATTTTATAAGCCTGTTGTTGACTTACCCAGTCAAATTCGAAGAGGAAGGTATATTAAAGGCTTGGACTAATGCATTTTCTGAATGGAAAGCACAGTTATTGTCAAATGATGACGATGCAATGGTTAAAAAACCATGGCGGGTATTGACCGAGAGGGCACTAACATTTATCGAAGGGCTCGTGCCAGTGGAAATAACGAGTCAAATAAAACGTGGGGAGAGATACATCTTCAACCATAATTATGCAGTACCAGAATCTGTTCGTCATTTAAGCAGTGATCTCGCAGTAGAGCAACTGATTCAAACTTTGTTTTCTGGAGATGATTATGCACGCAGCATGCGCCATGTGAGGCTGTCAACCAGAAATTTTGCTGAAAAAATGGATGTGGTGAACAAAATAGCGCAAGCCTTAGAAGACAAGCACCACAGGTTTGGAATTGATAAGGATTTTCCTAGAGCCCTGTGGATCTATGCCTCAACATATGAGAATGAGAGTAATGCAGAGGATCGAATTCAAGAAGAGATCAGTTTGATGATGACAGAAGAGATGGAAAGCAAAAGAAATTTGGTGATTCTAGTAGACAGAGAAGGTGAGAAAAAGCTAGACCTAGACCCCCAAAAAATGTGTTTTCCCCCTGGAATTGTGGTGTGGATAACAACTGAAGAGGAGGGTAATGAACTTACGAATACAGTCACATGCATGATGGATTTGAATATCAGGACCCAGGATCATCTATTGCCTTGGGAAGTCTCCTGTTACTATGTGGGTAGAATCACAAGCAGATTTTCATCAGGGATCATTCCCTTTTTGGCATGTGAAATAGTTGAGCTATGTGGTGGCCATCTTCTTGCCATTGTTCTTGTAGCTAAGTCTCTAAAGAATGTGGAAAATCTTCAACAATGGGAACGTGCCCTCCAAAAATTAGGGAATCCTTGCTATGATTATATTTACCATTGGAGTGATCGAATTGGCATTAGAAGAGTAATGGTCAATGCATTCGTATATTCTGTTTGGGAAGGCATTAACAAGACACAAAAGCTTTGCCTTGAACTCAGTTTGTTTGTTGACAAAATCAAAATTGGGGTGCCAAGTGAGACCTTGATGTTTAATTGGATTAGTACTGAATCAGCACACGTACAGGAAACGGCACAGCCTTTCTTCACAACTGATTCAGATGATGATGAATTAAAATCCACAAAAGAAGCAGATAATCACATGAGAGAGTTTCTGGATCGTTCTATCTTGTTGCAATGTGAAGGTAGCAGCAATGTGCGTTTGCCGATAGAAGTCTATAATATAATAAAATGGTTACACATCTTCAATCCTTCCATCATAAGGTGTGGTGCATCAGCATTGATAGAGCTACCCTACATTGGACGATGGCGTGATCTTATTAGAATTGAATTGATGGACAACAAAATATGCGAGCTACCACTATCCCCAGATTGCCCCAAACTCAAAGTGTTATTGTTGCAAGGCAACGTTGATTTGATGGATATCCCAGACTCATTTTTCGACCACATGCCTCTGCTTCTATACTTGGACTTATCCAACACTAGTGTAAGGAATTTGCCTCCCTCTATCTCCAAATTGACAGAGCTTAAGAAACTTTATCTCAGAGGTTGTGATCTCTTTATGGAACTTTCACCAAGAATTGGACAACTGAAAAAGCTTGAGGAGCTTGATCTTGATGGGACTTTGATAACATATCTGCCAAAAGAGATTCGAGAATTGATCAACTTGCAAAGGTTGAACCTCTTCTTTGATCGGGAACTTCGTCATGAAAAAGGAAGCAAGCAAATTTACAAGTCAACAATTATTCCTCCGGGAATAATATCAAATCTTACTCTGTTGAACTACTTAAGTATCAATGTTGATCCCGAAGATGAGCGATGGAATGAAAATGTTACTAACATTCTAGTTGAAATTTTTGAATTGGAGAGGTTGGAGACGGTCAATATATATATCCCAAAGACTGATTTATTGGAGCTCATACCTGCACACAAACCAATTGATTTTAGATTGGTAGTTGGTCATCACATGCGGCGTTTCATATCGCGTGTAACACCCAAAGAGGAGGAAAAATTTAAACAATGTGACCGTAGTTTAAAATTTGTGAATGGCGAAAATGTACCAAATAGAGTGAAAAAGAATCTTGGACGATTCAGGGCTTTATACTTGGACCGACATATGACAATCAAGAGTCTATCTGAATTTGGTTTGAAGAATTTACACAGGTTGCAAGTATGCTTGTTGGGGGAATGTAATGAAATGGAAACAATCGTTGATGGAAGTTACTCGTACGATGGATATGCACTTCCAAATTTGGAGTTTCTGAGTGTATTTTATATGAAGAGTTTAACAAGTATTTACAAAGGGCCTCCTCGAATGGATCCTTCCTTTTTACATTCCTTGAAGTTTATGGCACTGCACACTTGTCCCATGTTAACTACCATCTTCTCCTTAGATTTTCTTGACAACCTTTCCTTATTGGAGGAGCTCATTGTCGTAGACTGTCCAAAAGTTACTACTCTGATTAGTTATAACTCAATAAAGCATGTCACACGTGTTTTCCTTCCTAGGCTGAGAAATATATCACTTCTCTATCTTCCTGAATTGGTCAGTATTTTTAATGGATTGCATGTTGGAGGGGCTTTGGAAAAAATGGGATTTTATTATTGCCCAAAACTCCGAAGTCTTTCAAAGACGGAGTTGTCAAGCAAATGTTTGACAATCATCAAAGGAGAAAATAGGTGGTGGAAGTCATTAAAATGGAAAGAGGCTGAATGGGGTGCTGTAGGTAGGCCTAATTTTCTTGATCTGATCTTTTCCCCAATAAATGATGATACTGACATAATGACCCAATTAGCTACACGTAACCACGAAGACCGGGTAATTACTCTTTCCCTTCCTTTTATTTATTTACTTTGAAAGGAAAATTTATTTTTATTTAGTAAACTTCCCTCTAAAAAGAAATAAAAGTTTTACCTATAAACTTTCTCCTCTTATGTTTTCACACAGGGTTCAAAATCCATGGCATGCCAAACAAAGCAGAAAATCCCAGAAACCCAGGAAGAGGTCTTGAATTCTACTAAGCAGGCCTTCGAATTGGTACCAAAGCTCCAGAAGTTTGATGTGATAGTCGTACCTGAAAATAATATGGTAAGTGGTTGTGGGGATGTGGAAGGTTCAGATAGATCAACGGTGCCTGAAGGAGAAATGCAAGGAATAGAATCATCACCCTCGCGACCAAGCAAACGGTATGTAAACTTACTATTATTATTACTGCAATGATGGTGAATTAATCAATGCAATTTTCTCTGCATAATTTTTTTTATTTTTAATTATTTGTCCAGAAAGGAAAAATTATTTATTTATATAAAAATTTAAAATGATATTAACTATTATTATTCAATTAGTATTTATCTTTTCATTTTAATGTATATCCAGAAGTGCACACACAATAGAAATCAATAAATAATAATCTTTTATTAAAAATTACGATGTAGTAATAGTAATACATATTATATTTTTAATATATATTAAATACATATTAAAAAATTGATAAAATATTTATACTATTTGAGTAAGTTAAAAGTAAAAAAGAAACCTATTAATAAAAAACAAATCAGTTAAAATGTTTATCAAATAATTAAATTATTTAATTTGTATATTTTTTTTCTGTGTGTATAAATTAGCAGCAAGAATAATGATGAGGAGAGAAAGATATTGGTTTGCGCACCGGTTGGAAGCACAGAGATACCTCCGGAGGATGGTTTCCCTTGGAGAAAATATGGCCAAAAACAGATACTTGGTTACAAGTTCCCAAGGTATATGATTAATTAATTACTCGATACCAAAACTGGACCCATACTTGCCTATGATCACATGAATGGTTGAAAACATATACTAATTAGTTAGCAATCTACTGCAAAGTTACCTTTTATCTTTCTTTCTATTATCGAGATTTCTAGCTCAAGTCTGAAAACGTTGACTGGTTATGTGCATTTATTTTAGCCTCTTCACCTCACTAATTAATCAGTACATTGACTACTTGGTTAACAACTAGGCCCATTTTTAATTACAACTAAAAACTAGAAGAAAAGAATAAACGGAACAAATGCATTGCTGATGTATCAATAAATTAATTGATTCATGATTGTTCATCTTTTCTTTATAAGAATTAACACATTTTTTATTAGCTTAATTATGTTTTTTGTCCCTATAAATATATGTCATTTTGTTATTAGTCTCTACAAATATTTTTGTTAAGTGGTAAGTAATTTAGAAATTAGTCTGCCGTTAACTCCCTTTCTGTTAAGTGCTGAGCTGACTAAGAGAGAGTCAGCTCAGCACTCTATATAGCGCCACATGGTCATCTTGAGGTCCAGACATAACCTACGTGACATGTTACGTTATTTATTATTTTTTATTTAAAATTAAAATTTACAAATAAATCCCTAATCTATTTTATATAATTGCATAAATTTATTTTTTTTTCTATTTCTTTTTTCTTCTATTGGCACCTCTCTTCCACCCCTACCCTTCCTCTATTCCCCCATAGCCATTTCCTCCCCTTCTCCTTCCTTATGCCGCTACTCTCTTCCCGTCTCCCTCTTTGCACCCATCACTCCTTTTTTTTCCTCCCCGCACTCTACCTTCCTCACCCCAATCCCAATCCCAACCTCCACTCCCCCCTCCTCTCTCACTCTTTTTCGACACTTCTTTTTCTTTCTATATTTTTACCTTTTTTGGCAATTATTTATTATTCTTACCCTTTTCTTACCTTCACCCAGCACCCCTACTACCTGCATCTAGTTCACCACCAAAGTGAGTGAGTACCCAAGCTTCTCTCGCACACCAAACATATTCCAAAATTGATTGCAGATCCGTGCAGAACCTCTTGTTCTCCGAATGCAATCAAGATGATTAATTATAGGTTTCATTTCTCTTTTCCCTTTTCTTTGACTTTTATTTTCGAGACAAGGTAAGGGGTTGCAGATTCAGAATTATAACATAAATTTATATTTTTATGTAGTTTGATTTAAATTTGTGCAACTGCCATATGAATATAGTGCCCAAATCATCAATCATTTGATTTGTAACGTGAATTTATACTTACTTTGATCCCATCTCGTGTATAGTTATTAAACTATTAACATCTGTCTTTGGACATAGCAAGTGCTCCTTTTGCAAGGCATGTGTTAATGATGAGGGGAAGCATTTGAGGATTGGGGTAGATGCAACTGAGATCGTGAAAAAAATACTTTTGCTCAAATCAAGAGATGTAGTGTAATTTATCACAAACATGATTGTAACAACTACTAGAATAATAGAAATAAGCAAGTAAAATATCCATCTGAGACCCTTTTCAAATTCATCTGGTAGCTTCTTCTTCCAACCTTTTGAAAACATGGTGCTCATGTAAGTATTGGATCCAGTTAATATAACTAAGCCTGTTCTGGTACCCGATACCACGTTTATGCCTTGTAATGTTCACAGCTAATCACTCTGATTTTAATTTGGCGTAATGATAGTGGCATGCTTTTCTTCCCAAAAGAAGGAAGGTGAGAAAGGAGAATGGAGCTTTTTAAGTGTATTTTTTAATTTTATATCTTTCTTGTCCATAGTTATGATTGAAATGTTGATTTGTTTGTTTGCGTCATGTAAAATTGAAATTTTGAAGTTGAAAAAGAAAGTGCAGAGCGAAGGAAGGGAGAATTAAATTGGAGTTGAAATAAATTACTATTTGCTTGGGATATTTCTGTGAGCAATGAAACATTAGTCAGGATTTACGGATGGGTTTCAGTGGAGGTACTACAATTTGTCAGCTATCACCTCCTCTTTACTACTTTCTTGAGGCCACAATCTTACATAATCTAAAACAAAAACTACAAAATGCTAATTCCAAGCTAAAAGTTCTTAGCTTTGTGCATAACCTCATTTGGACACAAGCTTTTGCAACAACGCAATCAAGTAAATTTCTTCATTTTTTGACAGCACTAGTATCGATTTTATTCCTCATTGTCATGGGGTGTGAGTGAGAGAGTGTGGGTGAAGGAGAGGAGTGATGGTGCAAGGAGGAAGAAGGAGAGGGAGTGGCCATGGAGGAATGGAGAAGCGGTAGAGGTGAAAGAGAGGTATCGGTAGAAGAAGAAAAGAATGGAAAATAAGAAGAATTTTTATGTAATTATATAAAATAAGTTAGAGATTTATTTGAAAATTTTTATGTAATTATATTAAATAAAAAATAATAAATGACGTGGCATGTCACGTAAGTTATGACTGAGCCTCAAGACGGCCACGTGACGTTACGTGGAGTCAGTTCAATACTCAACATAGAGAGAGTTAACGGTAGAGACCAACTCTTAAATTACTTACTTTAGAATGACTACTTTCTAACAAAAATATATATAAAAACTAATCATAAAATGACATATATTTATAGAAATTAAAAACATAATTAAGCATTCTTTATAATTATAAGTTGGTATTTATTAAAACATATAAAATTATGTGAAACTCATTTAATGAGTCTCATGTGATTTTGTAAGTATTGAAAAATTTTAGTCAAATAGCAATGAGAATGTGCTAGCATCTATATCTTTCTTTCTTGTTTTGAAATGTTTCTATTTTCCAGGAACTACTACAGGTGCATCTACCGATATAAATGTGAGTGTCTAGCCCGGAAGCTGGTACAACGACTTGACGATGATCCTAACATGTTTGAAGTAACATACCGAGGTGAACATACCTGTCACGCGTTATCAACATCAGCATCATTTCCATTAATTACCACAAAGTTAGGTAATATCTCAAAGGACATGACTCAAACTCAAAGCACCAGTTCTCAAGAACCATTTAAGAGAGATTGTCCACAGCAACAGTGACGGTGTTGATTCCCCTACTTCAAAATGTGGTACTGATTATTTGGGGACTAATATGGCTGGTGAGGTGCTCAGCCTAGATAACAACATAGAATCTCTCTTTCCTCCAACTATAGATGAAGGGGAAATAGATGATGAGATGGGAAGCTGAAAAAATTGTAATTAATTTTAACTATAATTCACTTTCCAAGGATTTTCCCTTATTAATTTATAGATATACCATGGCTTAACAAGTAGGTCAGTGTTTATGCTATATATGTTTGTGTTTAATACTTGACCAATACATAAAAGAGATAAACAAAGTTGGGGTTTACAATTTTTTTTACTCTCATGTAATATTTAGTATTTTGCACAATAAATACTATATGTATTTTAGACAGTTTATACTGACATTAAAATGATTAGGGCAATATCAGTTTATTATTATTATTATTATTTTGTAATATTGATTTATGAACTGTTATTTTATTTTTAAGTGTTTTGTTAATCTTTTAATCTTTTAAAACTTAAAGATAAGTAACTAATAATAGTAAAATTTTAATAAAAAATATTTATTATATTTTTATAATTTTAATACAATAAATATGTATTTTCATAAAAAATATGTTTATGAATATTTAAAATAAAAAAAATCCTATTTTTAATACTATTTTAGTGTTTTTCAAATTTTATATTACTATAATATCACTGTCTTATTATTTTTCATGATTTTTTACAGTACCGAATGACAGTTACTTTTTTTTTTTGTAGGCATAAAATAAATGACGCTATCGTCAAAATAAATTATTATTTTGACAGTGTTTTAATAAAATATTCATTAATTTATACAAAATTATTGTATAATTATAGAAATAAAATATAATTTATAATATTTTAATAATATAATATTATTATCATATATTATATTAATTTAGCATTATATATATTACTATAACAATAAATTAATATTACAAGATCAAAATACATTCATACTTCTTGAAATTTAACATTTTTTTACCCTACAGAAAATCCTTTTAATTTATGTAATACATAACGCTACATATCCTTTTTATTACACAAAATATTCCTAATTTCTTATCCAATTATATTAATTAGAATAAGTTAAAGTGATGGAAAAAAGAGAGAAAGATTTAATGAAATTTTGTTAAATTCGTGAAAATTTTTTAAAGAGAGCGAGAGAAATGTATAAAACAACAATGCTTTATTTTTTATACGAGAATGTGAGAATAAATTTTAATTATTGAATGTTATTATAAATAATCAAGATTAAAAACATATAAGATATATGATTTTTTTTAAAAATTACTAGTATTTTTTTATTTTAAAATTGAACAAAATTAAATCACAAACACACTTGAAAAATATTATCCTTAATTAGATATTAAACACTACTTAAAGTAGTGACTAAGTTTATAAACCCTCTTTTTCTTTCATTTTTATCTTTGTTGAAGGTAAACTGTGTACGTCGTTGGCTAGTCAGGGTCTTTGGCTTGTCAAGCGGGGCTTGTCAAGGTCTTTGGCTTGGTATGTACGTCGTTCTATCAGGAAACATTGTTGATCTCAGAAAAAAGATGGCTTAAACTTACATTAGTGGTATTGTTCGCTCCATCCCAATGACTGTAACTTAAATGAAGATCTGATATAGTAATCAAAGGGGAGCATGATTTAGGAACCCCTTCATGTATCTGATTGATACTCTTTTTTGTACAGGGAGGCAATCTGCAACTTGCTAAGCTTTTCTTCTACTCGGTTTCGTTGATGACGCAGAGGAACTCATCTCAAGTTTAAGATAAAGTGAGTAGATCCTTTTAATACCACTTTGAAGCCTTCAATTCAAAGCTATCAAATTCTGTAGATGGCCCATTTTTTCTGCTATTAAAGAGAATTTTCAATACATTCCAACCCAAGTTTTCTTTCTCTTCTTCAACACTCGTTTACTTTAAAGTTAAATAAAATTAAATTTTAGTTATTAATATATATATATATATATATATATATATATAATTTAGATCATATATTTTCATTAAAATGTGTATTTTTATTAAAAGAAGATGAAAATCTTTTTTTTTCCTAGCTTTTTAACAAATTTAGAATTCACTATTTCCCTATTGTGATCCACAGTTTCTCAAGTCATTGATCATTGGCCGAAGACAGTGGCGGTTTGAAATTATCAATTCAGTGCGATAGAAAATAATTAGTGCTACTTTATTTCAAAAGTAACATTTCAGGTGTGTGTTACCCTAAATTTCTTTTTATGAATATCTTATCAATTTCTTTTTATTTACATAAATTTGAGAAATAATTTTTTTTAGTATAAATTTAAAAATTTTTACAATCAATCTGAATCTTTCATTTAAAATGGTCATTGAAATAATAAATTATAACTTATTAAATTTAAGTTAAATAAAAGATTCAGATTGAATGTAAGCGTTTTTAAATTTATAACCAGAAAATCTTGCTTATATATATATAATTGAATTTTTTATTTTATTTTTAAATTTTAATTTGTTTAATTTTTATTGTGTTTTGTTTTTATTTGATGATTGAATGAATCTTTTTAAATGTAATAAATATAATATTTTATTATTTAAATATGTCTTAATATTATTTATTAAAAATTTTAGTATATAATATTCTAATAATTTTTAAAAGTACTACAAAATTTATCTTCGAATAAAATGTGACACCAAATAATTTTTAATTAAATTAATTTTAAAAGGGTAACAGTTTTAATAATAAAAATTAGCAAAAGCAAAAAAATAATTCTTTCCATTTTCATCGTATGGTTCCATATTAAAAAACATTTTTTTTTTGTGAAAGATAGGATAGTAAATAATCTAAAAAATCTAAAATAGTATTAATAGTTATAAATATTTGTTCCAAAAAGTGAAAGAATTAAATAAAAATAATTGATTGTCAATTAATTAGTAATTTCAAAATTTGTCATACATAGGAAGTAGTAAAGTTACATCATGCTGTTAGTGCATACTGGGAAAAACTCATTCAAGAGGGAAGACACTCTGATCTAAATGTGTAAGGGATGGTTAGTATTAAAAAAATTAAAAAATAGTATTAATTAATACTCTATCCTAAAATTAGTATTAGTAATTAGAAATATTTGTTATTAAAAAGAAAGAATTGAATTGAATTGAAAAAAATAAGTAATCAAATTTAGTAATAATAACAATAAATTGATAAAGTTTTAGTAATTATTAGAATTATAATTATCTATATTTGTTTGAGAAAGGAAGAGATTAAATGGAAATAAAAATCAGTTAATATTTTCTAAAATTGTATTTATCATTCACAAGTAACATACTGTAAAAGACTCTAATTTAATATATAAAGGTTTAGAGGTATTCGTTTCCATCATTATTTTCATTTTGTTTTGTATTTGATGGGTTAATGAATTTCTCAACAAATGTAGTGCTTTGATTTTTTATTTTATTTTTTACTTTAATATGACATATAAGACAAATTGATATGGAATATTAAATTTATAAAATATTATTTTTAATAATTTTTATTACAAATAAATTTATTAATCTAATTATCAATTTATATATTATAAATAAGAGTTAATCGTTTAGAAAGTGAAGTTATTTCTATTGTTGGAATGAACTTACTTTTTGCTCATTTTATTAATTTCGTTCTAAATTGTGGAGATTAAATTGTTACTTAATCTTCTGTTATTATTTTATATAAATTTTAATATTTTTTTTGTGAATACTTAATTTTACATCTATAAAAAATATCTTCATTTTTTTAAATTTAGTTTATTTTTATATTAATTATTGACATTTAATTTTTTTTTTGAAATTATACCTTAAAAATATTTTTTTAAAATATCTAATTTTTATCATTTTGATATATAAGATTCATAGTTATAAAGCTAAGTCAAATTATCATTTTCGATATTTTTTATCCTATATCTATATAATTATTTACAAAAATATAGAATTTTATTATTTTATTATTAAATGATATGTATATTTATTATAAAACAAAATACTTGTGAATTGCACGGTTACTAAACTAGTTAAATATAAAAATTTATAAAGTAAATTAAATTTAAAAAATGTTATATAATTGGAAATTTAAATTATAAAAAATTAATTCATAATTACTATGATAGTATTACATAATTCTTGATGGATAAAATTTATTATTTTAATATATAATATATATTGTATGTAATAGGTAGTTGTTAACTAATATGCTCAAGACATTGTACAAGGACTGGATAAAATAGAATTGGAAATGCATAAATGATCAATTCAAGAGTGGTAAAAAGTAATGATTAGCTTTTTATATTAACTAAAACAGATATATTATGTATGGTTCAAAGTTCTATAAAGCTAATGTCTAAATTTGTATATGTTCATTTGGTCCATTATATAATTGTAACCTCCTCTCTTTTTTTTTTTTTCTTGTTAACATGTTATAGCCTTGAAGTATCACAATGTCTGGGATTGAGCTTGTCGTAGACCCTGTTCTAGCAAAGGTTGCGGCATTTGGTGCTGCAGAACCATTTACTAAAATTCGTGACAAAATTGCATCTTCGATCAGCTTGGATAACCACTACAACACTTTGGTCGAATATACGAAGAAACTAGTTGCAATGAAAGAGGATAGAGAGAGGGAAGTTCAAAGGCAGAACCATAAAGACACCACCAGTGCTTACAAACTGTGGACAAACATGGTAACAGAGGTTGCAAGAGAAGTGCAGCAGTTGAAAGTTAAATACGACGCAAAAAAGCTACCTTGGTGGTGTATCCTACGTCGCTCACGCTTGAGCGAAGAAATGGCTGAAAGGTGCAGAGATATTTATAAACTTTTGTACGATGAAAATTCAAGAGATTTTCTAGTTGATAAACCTCCAGAGTGTGTCCTAAAGCAGTTAAATGTTCCACAGATAAATGGATATCCAACCCTTCAGAGTGCCTTCGAAAGTATTCTGGGTTTCCTGAAAAATGGTAAGATCAAAGTCATTGGTGTGTGTGGGACAAAAGGGGTGGGGAAAACAACAATCTTGCGGAGCCTAAATAACAATGAAGAGGTTGCTAAACTGTTTGATATTGTCATTTTTGTCAAAGTTACAACTGATGATCATAAGCTTCAACTTCAAGAGAAAATTGCTAATCGATTGATGCTGGACATAGAAAACATCAAGGAGCAAAGTGATGATGTCGCAAGAAGAATACACAGAGAGTTAGAGAACAAGAAGTATTTATTGATTTTGGATGAGGTTGAGGACGTCATTGATTTAGAGCTGTTGGGAATTCCAAGTAATAAAAATGGCAGCAAGGTGGTGATTGCCACTCGATTACCTCGCGTTTATAAGTTGAATAAGGTGGAGAGGGTGATCAAAGTGATGGAGCTATCTCACGATGAAGCATGGAAGATGTTTAGAGAGACAGTTCGTGCCATTAGTCCTGTGGTCGATTCCCTTGATATTCAACCTATTGCAAAACTTGTGTGCAAAAGGTGTTCCCGTCTTCCACTTCTCATTCACAAAATAGCAAATTGTTTTAAATTGAAAGAATCTGCTTCTAGTTGGTGGTCGGGACTTGAGGATCTTCAACCATGGCCAGAACTTCAAAATCAAGGTTTAGAAGAGTTGTACTCATGTTTGAAGTTCTGTTATGACGATCTCAGAGATAAAAAAAAGCAAAAATGCTTTCTATATACATCATTGTATCCTGCAGATAGCAAGGTTTACACTAGCTATTTAGTGGAGTGTTGGGCAGCACAACGCTTACTTGGTGATATAAATGATACAAGGCGATACCAAAGTGCACGCAACTGTGGTGTTGACATACTGGAGCACCTTGTTAATGTCTCTTTACTGGAGAAAGGGGAGCAGATGATGTATGTTAGTATGAATGATTGTACGAGACAATTTGCTTTACACATATCATCTAGAGATCCTGAGTGTAGTTTTTATCTCCAAGATGGTGAAGAGTATGAAAGTCATCCAAATTCAAGAGCTTGGCATGAGGCTAGGTGGGTCTCCATGGTTCACAGAAAATCACTTGATTTACCAAGGCAAGATTGTAGCATGGTTTTGACATTGCTGTTGCGCAATAATTCAAAACTAACTACAATACCACCAACTTTTTTTGAGAACATGAGTGGTCTACTTCTCTTAGACTTGTACAATACCAGGATTGCAAAGCTGCCATCGTCTCTATCAAAATTAACTGATCTAAGGGGTTTATTTCTGAACAGCTGTGAGTTCTTGGAATCATTACCATTTGAAATAGAATCACTTCAACTTCTAGAGGTACTTGACATTCGAGATACTAAGGTGACTTTCATACCTCTACGTATCATGTGCTTAACTAATCTAAAATGCTTGCGAATTCCATTCATTACAAGTGACGAACACAATGAAGCTCAAAATGTTCATGTGATTTCAAAGCTTCATAGGTTAGAAGAATTAACCATTCAAGTCATATCCTATGAGCGATGGTGTAGGGATGCTATAAATGTCCTACAACACGTGGCTTCTTTGGAAAATCTGACTAATTTCAAATGCTTCTTTCCCTCTGTCATCATTCTTGGAAATTTTCTTTCGAGAAGTAAGTCATGGAGAAGTTGTAAGCAAAAAAACTCATTCAAATTTGTTGTGGGATGCCAAGACTCAAGACAATCTCAAATACTTGAATGTTTTGAGTATAAAATTTCTAATTATTTGAGGTACTGCCACGGTGGACAGAAGGATGACTTGACAATCAGTGAGATACTACCAATAACTGATGCATTTGAATTAGTTTGCCATAAAGATATCAAAAAGTTGTCAAATGTTGACATTAAGTGTCTGGAACGCATCCGTGGTCTTTTGATTAAAAGATGCAACAGAGTTTCAGCACTTGTGTCAGGCAGTACAAGTGGCAACCGCATTAATGGAATTCAAATTGAAAACAAAGCCATGTTGCCTAATTTGGAGCAATTATATTTAGAAAATTTGCTCAGCTTAAAATGTGTTTTTAGTGGTCCTCTGCCTGGTGGAACCTTTTCCAAATTACAGACTTTGTCATTGAAGAATTGTCCATCCTTAAGTAAAATTTTTAAAAATGAAGCAATTCAACATTTTTCAGAACTACAGAAGCTGACAATTGAAGATTGTTCAAAAATTGAGGAACTTATCACCTTGAGAGGAGACACTGAAGGAGAAAAGGAAGTGCTTCCAAGGTTAGAGATGCTTCAGCTGGTTAACTTGTCTAGCTTCAAAATCATATGCTCAACCCATACATTGGCTTGGTCCTCTTTGGAGCAATTAAGGATACATAATTGTCCTGAGTTGAAAACTTTACCGTTTGACACTGCTAATGCAGCCAACTTAAAGTACATTAAAGCTAAACAAGAATGGTGGGATGAATTGGAGTGGACAAACAATGTGGTGCATCAGCGATTACAGCCCATATTTGTTGCCTCTAATGAGTATTTTCCTTAGATATTATATTTCATGCTTGTAATAATTAATGTTAGATGTAAAAATAAGATGAGTTTGTTGTCTTCCCTTAGCTTATTGCAAGAAACTAAAGAAAAAATGGCTTGGATTGCATTTTTCTTTTTATGGTTTGCTGTGTTTTACAAAAAGTTTGTTGTAACCTATATTTGTATACATGTGTTGTTAATATGATATATTCTGCTCGTTGGTGCCCTTCCTTTCATATGACATGAAGACTTAAGGGAGATTCACTGTTCAATATTCAAGTTTGGATTGTTCAATATTAGAAATCCGATTTGAGAAAGGATTGTATTAAGTGAGAAGTGTGAACATTAAATTTTTGTCTAAATAATAAAAAATATCTCAAAAATGAAAATTGAAAAATAGTTAATCATTGATTAATCAATTTGCATCATTGAAAAATCCCATCTTTTAATTGTTTTTTAGGTGGTGCCCACCTTGGAAAATTTAACAATTGGTAGCCACTGACTCTCTGCAACAAAGCTGCTTTCTTTGTTCTTTTGTGTCATTGCCATGTAGGATTTTTTTGTCTGTATAGGGTTAATGGAGAAACAAATTCTCCATATGGGGCTCTTTTATAACAAATTCTGTGTTTAGGGTGGAGAATGACAGGTGAAAGCAAGGTCGGAAGATACATGGCCGACACAGGAATTATTTTTTTTTTAAATTAATAGTGTCGTCAAACTTAAAACTGATACTTTAAAAAATTTTAACGGACAAATTTTTATAACACTAATTTACGGCTGCGAATTAGACACATAGAAGATCTCCAGTGTGTTGGACGGCTCAGATCCAACTTTAGTGTTGGAACTGTGTTTGACAACACCAGTGTCGGCATGTTCAGGATCGACACACGTCCATTAGTCTACGTGGCAATCTTGCAGGAGTAACGCCGCTCGCCCCTCCATTTCTCCCACTTCTGCTGTGTTGTTCATCTTCTTCATTGTGCAACTGTAAAATTTTAAAAAATTTGGCAAAACGAAAATGCAAAAGAAGGGGCGAACGGTTTTGGCATTTTTAAAACTTTAAAAGGTAAGAATAAAAGATCGTTTTGTATATTAGATAGAAATATGAATATTTTTTTGAAGAAAATATAATTTGTTGCATACGTTTTTTGTTCCCATTTCAGGAAGATTGCAACTTGCGAAAAGGGACTTTGGGTGTGGTCCAGCGTGATCCAGGGTGGTCCAGATTCTCAGCTCAAAGGTTAGCAAAAATTTATATACTAATTTTATGTATGTAAAAAATAAGAAAATACGAAAATAGGTAAATAGAAAAATAAGAAAATATTTAAATTAAAATATATAATTTTATTGTTATTTATGTAGAAAACTGTATTTAAAAGTAAAAATAATGATGATATTATTATTGTTATATAGATATTATTATGTTAAAATAACAAAATAATAAAATTAGAAAAATATATAAATATAAATTAATTGACAAATATAAAAGAATTAAATTAGATAAATATATGAAGAAGAATTATGTGTGATTATTATTATAAGGTTAATAAAATGTAAAAATAATTATAACAAAAAAAATTGAAATAATAAGAATGAAATATAGTATAATTAATAAATTTATATTATTGAAAATCTTATAGTTGTTAAATTTGTAATAATATTTCAACAAATATTATGTCACATAATTAAGAAATAGTAAATAATTTAACATTGTGAAAGATAAAAATATAGTTATTCATCACTTAATTATAAATTGGTTTAATTTGAGAAAAAATTTAGAGTAAAAGAATAAGGAATTAAATGAAAAAAGATGAATATATAAAATTTTAATTAACATTTTATTGAAAATGTTATTTTAAAATAAAAATGACTGAAAATAAAAATATTAGATTAATTATTAATTTAGACATTTGAATATTTTAAAAATTTTGTAGTTATTTATATGATTTTAATGAATAATAATAAATTTGTAATTTTATTCAAGCGAAAAAAGATTTAAATACATTAGTAAGAATTTATAGGTTAAATTTTCTATAATGATATTTTGAAAATATAAATTTTGTTGCAAGCTATTATTAGAACATATACTGTAAATGTACTAATTGTAGATAAATTTAGTTTGATAGAGTATATTTTAAGGTACAAATTGTTTAATAATAAAATGAAATTGTTTTTATTAAATTTTGTTACTTATATTATAGATTTGAAGTTTATTAAACAAATAGTAATAAAAAATATTACAAAAAAATTAAAATAAAAAAATTTACATTTATATTTTCAATAATATTATATTAACATTAAATAATTTAATTAATTCCTACAAATATTTTTAATTTCATCTATTTATAATAATATTAAAATTATTAATTCAAACTTATTTGTAATAATTAAAAAATTTAAAACAATAAATTAATAAAATTCTAACTTGAAATTTCTTCTACCAGACCTTGCTTCAAATATTTGCAACCAATACATATTCGTCTTGCTATATATATACATCTTAATTGGATAAAGACTTTTGGATAAAAGCATGTCTTTTGTTTTGTTCGCTGGATGAAAGAGTGAACGAGATATGTGTCGGCATCAAACCAATTAACACAGAGTGAGTGTCACCATTCTTTTAGCCGACACATGAGTGTCGCCAAAAACATAACTGACACATGTGTCAGACCACTACCAGCGGACACATGTGCCACGTGGCATAATTTTCAATTAGTGTCGGCATTTTCATTGACGACACTTATCAATGTGTTGTCACCATTTCTTACGACACTCGTAAATCATCCCAGGCAGCAAATTTCTTACCAAACAATCCCTAAAAGAGAATTTGTTTCTCCATTAACCTTATGTGGGCAAAAAAGCCTTGCCACATACCTCTGCGGTCCTTTCTTGCAGTTTTCAGTGTTATAGAAAATTGAATCAAACTATTTTTAAATCACTAAATTCACCAAACATAAAAAATCAATTAAACTAAAAATTAAGTAAATTTAAAATAAAAAGCCACATTTTATATTATGGATTGGTAACCAAATTCAACCAAATTATATTTATAATAAATTTATATTAATTCTTATCATTAATATAAAGTTATTTTTTTATCTAATTTTATTATCATATTATATAAATATATCGTACATCACTTTTATTTACTTTAAATTCTTAATTTTTTAATTAAATATATTTTTATCAATATTTTTATTTGTTTAATTATTATTTTTCTCTATTTTTTATTTTTTAGAAATTATTTTAATTTTTAAACTATTATTTACTCTAAATTTAAAAATAGATTAAAATTCATATAATAATAAATAATTTTGAAAATAAAATAATTTAGTAATAAATAAAAACTAAAAAACTTATCTAAAATAACTAATATTTTACCGTTCAGTTTAATTTTATTTTTAAATTAAATTAAATCAAATTACATGCTACTATAATATATAATTCAAATTATTTTTTTACTGAAAACATAACTAAAGCGAACCGCAAACACTCCTAAACCAATTAATGCAGCAAAATAAGTAAAATGAAGGTGGTAACTGAAGAGATAAGCAGTAAACAGTAAAAAAGAAATAAAATTTAAAATTTCTTTCTCCACCATTTTTCAACTTTTTTTCCTCTTCTCCAAAAATCATATTCACAGCACCCTAAATTTAATATCAAATCAAACCATTTTTAAATTATTAAATTAAACTAAAAATAAATAAAAATTGATCAAATTGAAAATTAAAACATATATTTTATAAAATAATTTGTTCAATTTTAGAGAGAAATTTAAGTTAAATTATTTTTTTGATAATTTTTTAATTTAATTTTGACTATCAAACATATGCATTAACTTACTGGGCTTATTTCTTTACAAACAATCACTTCTTATTTATAATCCATTATATGGGCTACCTGCATATGGGCTGAAGGGTTAGATCACAAGTTGCTCTTACACTGTTTTTTTAAAGTGAATATACTTTTTGAAATAATATTTATTTTAAATTAATTTTTTAAAATATATTTTATAATATAATTTATCATCATAATCAATATATGATTCTAAATTATGATAATGAAAATAGTAATGACGGTAAGAGTGAAACAATTATAATTGAAGAAATAAAACTTTATTAATAAAGTTAAATAATTGAAATGCTAGTTGGAATATTTATTTTAAATATTTTAGATGACTCAGAATATATTTTTTAATGATATTTTTTATTTTAAATTTATTGGACAAATATTTGATATTTTAAATTATAATATACTTAAAAATATATATATTATTAATGGTGATGTAGTAAAAATAATCCTTAAAAAATATTTTTGAACGAGTCTATATTGAGAAACAGTTCTAAAATCAGACCTATATTAGTAAATAAGTTAAAAATTGACTTGTGTTTTATTATTTTTATGTTTTATTGTGTTTATAAGATTTGTAACAAAAAGTTTGTATAAGTTTTGAAGACTTTAGAATTGTGAAAAAGATAATTCCAAAGATTTTCCAAGAAGCTTTAAGCAAGTATAGCAATGAAAAATATATGAATTTAGTGAAAATAGAACTGAATTCTAAGTGATTAGCTCCATCTTCAAACAAATATTTCTGCAATTAGGAATGTAGTAGTTCTTGCTAACACTTCCAACATTGTTGAGTGTTGACTCAGTCTGAAGGCTTTCGTCTAAGTAGATCAAGCAAATCAAGCTTATCAATCTTAGCAGCAAGAATGAAGTCATTTTCTGTCAGTCCCCCTGCACCAACATGAATCTGTTGGATGAATGTCCCTATATGATGAACTTTAGCAAAATAAATATTAAAAAACAACAAGGACACATGCTTGATGGAGAGAGCAAATTAATGTTAATCTTGAAATATTGTATGGTTAATCTATAACATTGTAGAAATCATCTATTACATATGCAAATGAGTTGAATACATAGCTACACTCAAAAGCTTTGAGGAGATACACATACATATGAACAATATTAAAGCTTTTAAGCAATCCATCCAAATTTGTTGTAACATATTATCATTTACTACCATCTATGCTACACAATTTTAAATTTCCACCTAAGGTATACAGGTGTTTTTTCTGCACAAGTTAAATTAAAAAAGGAAAAAAGAGGCAAAAAAAAAAAAAAAACCTGGTAAATTGTAATTAGCAACCATTTCTGTTCATTCCTAATGAAATATTTCTACCCAATTACCCAGGACTGAGATGAAATTGCATAATACTAAGGTGAGATGAATACAAATATCCAAAATATGTAATTTTGACCATTCCTCGTCTTCATTAATCTTAAATCCAATATACCATTTGATCTCAGATTATATTTTCTAATTTGTCTTCCCTTCTCATCATTGATCATCCACTATGAAATTTCTCTCTCTCTCCAAAGAGAGGGAAATTCATTTGCTTTCCACAGAAGCAAGTGGTTAAAATTAGAATCCTATGCAAGTATTTGGGCTAACATCTTTGACATCTTGAAGTTAAATCCAATGGTTCCATAATGAAAGATAAATTGGAACGAAGTTAGAACTGTGTTGTTGAATTAACCCACAATGTTATACGCATGCTAGGTTTCAAATTTTTTAAATGAACAATCTCTTTTAATTTCATTGAAACACAATGCTGCCGAATGCATATTACTATGATACTCTTTCTCATCAACCAACTTTTTATCAAATAACTTGAACAATGAATAATAATTCATACCAACAGCATGAGTCCAAATCTCAATGGTAACATTATTCCAGCCAGCAAGGTGTAGATCAGGATGATGACCTGCATTATAAATTTATTGTTTACATTTTGTAGATACCCTTTAAAATCAATCAATAACAAGAAAAAAAAAACGTGGTACCTTCATTTTCAGCAAGAACAGCTACTTTCCTGAAAAATTCCAATCCTTTGGTAAAAGTCTTTACTGTCCATGATCGCCTTAGCTTCATGACACCATCTTCATTTACCAAATTCCACTCATCAACCTAACCACCCAATGTCAATATCCAAGGCAATGAGACTTTAAAAACTTTTTTTTGGCTCAAAAGACTTAAAAAGCTTGATTTGACAGAAACAAACCTGTGGCATTAGAGTGTGAGCTGCACCCTCAGTCATGGGTCTCAATTCCTTTAGATTGCATGGTACACACTTCTTATCTGTCAGACCTAAAAGAATTGAGGAAAATTTATTACACTGCAAGAACTATGAGAATTTAGATTTGAAGATGTGAAGAGCAAAGTAAAAAGGAAAATGGTTAGTTAGACACGATCGAACAAAACGGGCACTTTATTCTAATAAGCAACATCAACAACACAAGGCATGAAGAGAAAATAAGCAGTTCAATAGTATCTGTCTGGTTCACACCACTAGGACTACAGTACCCACTTTTTCTAGACATGGTAAGTACAGTAACTATAAGCAGGTTATGAGTATTTTCAAAGAGTTAAACATTCGTGACAGAACCATGACAAGTGAAACCCATAAACCTTTGAAAATAAGCATTCCAAAATGCATAACACATGGAAAAAAAAGAAGCAAAAGTGATAAACTAATTTAATGCATGAACTAACATGAAGGCGAGAAGGTAGAACCATCCATGATTGGAGAAAAAAAAAGTAACAGTAGGTTGGAGAGAGGGGAAGGAGAATGAATGTATAGATAAATTGATTTGATTAAACAGATAATTGCAGCGCATAATGTGCCGCTTAAATTTGATAATCAACTAACTATATATTGATAGTTTCTCACGGGAATGGATTTTTATTATTTGATTTTGTTTAAAAACCAATGCATGTGTGATTATTAACGTTTAAAATTTATTATATAAAAAATAATCTTGATAAAAATGATATTGTTTGGATGTGCAGATAATAATAAACTATTAGAGTTTGTAATTTTAGTCAAACACACTCATCTAGATTGGCTGTTGTTGGCTAATGTGTTTTTAGATTAGGCTTAGCTAAGTTAATTAATAATTAATAATCTTCTTTGTGGATGAACATGTGGGTCGACTTGTTTTTTCTTTTCTTTTTAATTACTTCACAGTCATACAGATAATATAATGAATTATTACTCACTAAAAAAAAATGATTTTATTAACTATTATATTAAATATAATGATTTGAAAATATAATATTTAGTGCTATACCGATACATTTTTGCTATACTTTATGATAGAAATTATCTTATAAATATTTTATCATATTTAATTTCATAAAAAATACTTAAGAGTTCTCAAATCAATCCTTTTATATTGCTATTTTACTCATTTACGAAAATAAATATGATGATGTTTTAATTCCTTAAGAGATTAATTTATTAAATACAAATCTTTAAAATTTTGATATGGTGATGGATTGACCTTTTAAAGATTGTTTTCGTAACAAAAATATTTGAAGACACATTTCAATTATATCAAAATAAAAATATATTTGAATAAATAACTTTTGAATTCTCTTTTCATAAAATTGGTTTTTTAAGTCCAGCTAAGTTTTTCTGCCTTGGAATATAATACCATCCTCTTATCCTCAAAATGTTTTTAAAAAATTAATTATCTTTTAATTTTATGATTATAAATTTAGGGTCAAACTAACCAATAATTAAATATTTCTTAGTATTTCACCTGGCATTAATATTATTTAAAATGTTTTTATACTTATACACCTTAAGTGACCGCCAAAGCCTAAATTGTGTGAGAGGTGGTGTAGGCTTTACTAGTAACAAATATGATAATGCTTAAAAGCATATGCATGTTTAAAAATTTATGAAATTAAATCATATCAACTTTATTTACGTTTAAATCACTTATATAAAGATCATTTTTAATTATTAAATTATATTTAGTAAAACACAATTGATAAATTAGAAACTATTGTTAATTTCTAAAACTGTAACATTAAAAAAATTAAAAATTAATCAGAAGATAGTTAACGTTTTAGCAAAAATATTTTATAAAAGTAGAAACAAATACAATTTAATAAAATAAAATAATAAAAAGTACAATTGTTATAAGAAAATTGTATAATATATCAAAATAAATTATAATAACATTAATTTATTTTTTTCTTTAGTTGTGTATGTAAAATTCAAAAGTGAGTATATTTTACCTACCATTGTAGTCAAATAAAGTAAAAAATAACTGCTTGAAATGTCCAAATTAGAGTAATAAGTTTTTAATAAAATTTTTAATATAATTTATCAAAATTTAAAGCAAACATAAATAAACAGTTATTTAAATGTATTTTAAATGCTAACTTGTTAACTCTACCCAAAAAAAAAAAAAAAAAACTAACTTGTTAAAAAATTACATAAAAAGATTATATAAAAGTAAAATAAATAACATCAATTTGTTTCAAATAATTTTTATTAAATTTAATATTTTAAGATATATTTTTTAAAGATGCACTTCAATTCATTAAAAAAAGTTGGCAACATATTTTATAGAGTGAAAAGAAGCAAAGATTTTAAATAAAGGTAAAATTTACCCTACCTGATTATTGAGGGAGCTTTTATTGTAAGATTTAAATTTTAAAAATGAATATTAGACACGACTTGTTGTTGGTCATCTCCTCTTCTACACCGCCGTTATCTCCGTCTGGGTCTCCATTTTGCAATTAGGGTTTATAGTTGGTGCTTGAACTCTTCAACTCAGGGCTCGTTGGTTTTGTAGTTCTAACAAGTGAAAAGCGGTTAAGGGTTAGCTTTGGACGACGACACTACTCCGCCATGGCACTCGTTGCGCAAACCCCTGACATTGCCGGCGAGCGACACTCCGGCCAAGACGTTCGCACCCAAAACGGTGTCGTCTCTCTCTCTCTCTCTCTCTCTCTCTCTTCCGCAACAAATATTGAAACGACCATTTCTAATACGATTGATTCTGTGTGAATACAGTGGTGGCGTGCCAAGCAGTTGCTAACATTGTCAAAACCTCATTGGGCCCGGTGGGCCTTGACAAGGTAGCGTCTCTCTCACTCTCTTTCGTTCTCGAGAGATAGATCTTGTATGAAAGTTTGCAAGTAATGTGTGTTTGATGCGATTGTCTCAGATGCTTGTGGATGACATTGGCGATGTCACTATCACGAACGACGGTGCAACCATTCTCAAGATGTTGGAAGTGGAGCATCCTGCTGCTAAGGTCTATCACGAGTTCCTCTCGTTCTTCGCATTTTCTTCTTCTCCATGTTACTCACTCACTCGTGCGCTTTTTTCAGGTTTTGGTTGAACTCGCCGAACTTCAAGATAGGGAAGTTGGAGATGGTACTACTTCTGTCGTAATTGTAGCTGCTGAGCTTCTCAAAGTAACTGCGATTTTCTCTGTATTCCATTTTATTTTCATTTTGTCTCAGATACTCAGGTATAACTTTTTTTTGGGTTTCTGCAGAGAGCGAATGACCTTGTTAGGAATAAGATTCATCCCACCTCAATTATTAGTGGATATAGAGTAAGTTTCTTTTATTTATTTTCTAAATGTGTCTGCAATTACGAAATTTGGATTTCTGGCACATGAATTGGAATTTTGGATAGTTTAACTTCTCTACGCTGATTATTTTTTATAGCTTGCTATGCGAGAAGCTTGTAAATATGTAGAAGAAAAGCTAGCAGTCAAGGTAAGCTCTCCTAAACATACCTTTTCTTTTGCATGTTTGTGTATATTTTGGGCTTAAGTTATCAATGCAGGGACTCTACTTTTTTTGTCTCGCTTCTCCTCTCTCCCACTCTTGTTAGATTGTCAATAGATATTTTTGAAAGGCAAAGGTGCAGTCATGGCTGTGTAGTGTCATTGTATGCAATTGGGCAAGAATATCATACTACTTATATGATATCCTTGTTCCGGTCTTCCATTTTATGTCAATGTTAAAACTGTAAACTAATGTGACAAGAAGTTTGTGACATGAATATGTATTGACTATTGATGAAAGCTTTCATCTCTTGGCTATTGGTTCTTTGTCTTGTTTTCTGAGAAGCATGCTATGGGTCAAGTGGCCGTTGTTTGGTCAAGGTTAATGCATTTGCAAGTTGTTGCGTATCATGTATTAATCAATCGGATTGTTCTCTTGACTTGTAGGTTGAGAAGCTGGGAAAGGATTCACTAATTAACTGTGCCAAGACCAGTATGTCCTCAAAGTTGATAGCTGGTGATAGTGACTTCTTTGCCAATTTGGTATGCTTGTTATTGGAATGACTTTCTATTGAATGTTGAGAGTGTATATCACATTGGATTGATGCACACCATTTCTACAAATAATAGTTAGTTCATGTGCAACTGTATAAAACTTATATGCATTTTTCTGTTTCATGTCTCAATATATTCAGATTAGTAATTGAAATACTCAGTTCAAGTCTGATTATTTTTATAACAAAAATATCACATCACATGGCCTTCTTACTTGATATTATACTTTCTTTTTGCTTGAGAGGAAAGGATTTTAAATATTTTCTTGGTTTAATCACATTTTCTACTGTGTGATGAGTGCATAAAATTGTTAATTGTTGAATGTTGACCATATTGGTTTATTCACATTGAATATTTTATCGTATGTATTGAATTTCTGTTTGTATTTTGGTGTTATGGTCCATGTGATTTTCAAAAGTTCTGGTTCTTATTAGATGGTTTATTGTTTTGAAGATATTGATTAGTTGTGAACAGGGAGCTAACTGTTATTTTTGAACTAGTTTTTTGTCTGTAGGTATAAATACTCATCAATTTTTTCAGTAGTGAAATTAATTTGTGTGTAATTTATACAGGTTGTTGATGCAGTGCTAGCTGTAAAAATGACAAATGCTCGGGGTGAAGTCAAATATCCAATCAAGGTTGGTAGTAGATTCCTCTGAGATCAGAAGGTTCTTTTCATGGACGAAAGATGTCTATTTTGATTAATATGATGAACATCTGTAATATGTAGTTGAATCTTACTTCTTACCTGCTTTAACTTTCATAGGTTTTGAATGGGTTTAATTCTGTTTCTTTTGTGACTCGCATTCCAGGGAATCAATATATTGAAGGCTCATGGAAAAAGTGCTAGAGACAGCTTTCTGATGAATGGTTATGCTCTAAATACTGGCCGTGCTGCACAAGGAATGCCTCTTAGGGTTGCCCCTGCAAAAATTGCGTGTCTTGATTTTAATCTTCAGAAGACAAAGATGCAGTTGGGTGTTCAAGTATTAGTTTCTGATCCCAGGGAGCTAGAGAAAATTCGTCAAAGGTGCTGTCAGTATGATCATATGGCTTTTATATTACTATGATACCCAGCCTTTCTGGATCCATTTTCCTTAAATATAATGATAATAAATCTGTTATGTTATTGAAAATAATCTATGAAAAATGGGCATAACCTGAAATATTCTGGATGATAGGCATGAAGTTAATCCAAAGCCCTGTCAAGCAAAATGCTTGAAATACTATGGTAAATTTTTGAATTTGTAGTTCGTACAAAAGAATACTGTTCTAAGTGTGTAAGCCACCTTGTGTTAAGTTTCATGGTGGGAGTTTGCTTTTGCTTGATCTGGGAGAACTCTCAGCCCATATCACCTTGCAAGATAAAGTAATATGTTTATTATATTTTAACAAATAGTCATTCTTTTCTAATTTCAGAGAGGCGGATATGACTAAGGAACGCATTGAAAAACTACTGAAAGCTGGAGCCAATGTTGTTCTGACTACTAAAGGAATTGATGACATGGCACTTAAGGTATATTTCTCTTTGTTACCTTTTTAATGGTATCTTTTTTTGAGCAAGAGGATTTTAGTTATAATCTTTCATTTTAGCTTTCAAAGAAACTGTTTATCTTTCTTTCTGTTGACTGTTGAGTATGTCATATTTTGATTCTTATAGTATAAACTACTCATCTTGATATCCGATATAATAGAGCAAGCAAACCAGTGGACCAACACTATGGCATCTAATTTAAGTGTTTTTTTAATATTTCTGCTGATGATATCAGATCTGGTTATGTGACAAGATTGAATGATGTAAAAGAATTTGGATTTAGGAGACAAATTAAATGAGGCATTCAACCAAATGATCATGACATGCCATATCAGCTAGGTTTTTACTGAAAATTTTCTTTTTCATTCACTGTATATTTTTGGATTTTGTTAACCTTAGCACTTAGAGTTGAGTTTAAACATCCAAAATTAGTAGGTTTTTATTAGTTGCTTAAACTCAGTCCTAACCTCAATTCGTAGGACTCATAGGGGTTGAGGTTAATATTTTTCTATATATATATTTTAAATTTCTAGATGTGTCACTATTTGTATTAGACTGTTGTTAAAATTGAAGACCATGTAGTACACAAGGCTCGGGTTGTGACAAACTTCTACTTTGATGAAACAAAACTCCAAATATGATAGCTTTAACCTCACATCCACACAAGGCCTGTTTAATCTGAATTTATTAACTTACTACAAAATGATAAAATTATTAATTACTAGACACTATGATTAGAACCCCAATACTGAAGTTACACCAATCCTGTGACATCGATGGATCTTTGAAAATGACTTGTGCTTTCTGCATTAACAGATGTCTTTGTTAAAACTGATGGATGTTGTGGTTACTGGCATAAAAATTCATGAATTTAACTATTTATGTATTTCTTTCTGACTATTTGGTCATGTTTCAGTACTTTGTTGAGGCTGGGGCAATTGCTGTAAGACGTGTGCGGAAAGAGGATATGCGTCATGTTGCCAAGGCTACTGGTGCAACATTGGTAGGACTTTTTATTGATCTAAATTGCGATTTGAGTAAATTTGCAGTTAATCTGAAAATTTATCACCCTCAAGTTTTGATTGACAATGCAGCATTCGTTCTTTCTTATCTCCCTTTTTAGCCAAAAAGAGAAAAGTTGACTATTTTATTAACAATTGCCAGGGATGAATTTGTCATAAATAAATACTACAATGAGTCAAGTAACCATGATCCTTATTTCTAGTTGTTTCAATTTGCATTTACCCTTTCCCCAATTGTATCTTACCTTCCTCAAAATTAATGCCAAACTTCAAGGTTAAAACTCGATTTTATATTTTCTTGTTTCATATTGCATCAACAATGTGTTAGACTATTTTAGTAGAACGAGATGAGATGCAATTATTTTTGAACTGAATTTTGTAATGCTCTTGTTTTGTTGATTGGAAGGATGGAACAGTGTTTATGAGGTGGTATTCATTTGGGTTGGTATGAGTAAATTTTATTATACACACAAACTAATCATAAAACTTTCCACCTTCTTCATGATTAAAAATTTAATGTATTAAATTCATGTGTAATGGTCTAATGGAGAATCTCAAAATACCGTATTTCAAGAATGTTGTCCGTCTAATGAATCTCTTGCATCCTATCCCTTTACTATGCTGATTCAAACCACATTTTTCTTTCTTGTTTTTAATTTAAGCATCTTTATTCATTAGATATTTAGTGATGGGCTTTTTTCTTTTTGTTAAGCAACATCTGTCTTGGTCAGAATACTTTTTTTAATAAAAGTTTTTAATACTATTTCTCTTTATCACTTTGTGTAATTGGCCTTGATTTTTACTGTGATTGGTTCACACAGGTCTCAACATTTGCTGATATGGAAGGGGAAGAAACATTTGAACCATCTTTTCTTGGATATGCTGATGAGGTTGTTGAGGAGCCTGTAGCTGATGATGCTGTAGTTATGATCAAAGGGACTAAAACTACAAGTGCAGTAAGTGACTGTGTTGAACTTGAGTTTTCTTTTTCTATCTTTTTTTTGGAGTTTGGGGGGGGGGGGTGATAAAAGAATACATTCATCAAGACAGATAAAACAGAAGGAATTTGGAGGATCAAGAATTCTCAATTGCCTGAAAAAGGAGACCCAATCCCTTTGTATTTCTGTTAAGAAACTCCCATAAAAAGACCATATGTTTAACATCAAATTGAAGCCAGTTGCCTAATCCTATCACAGATTAAATTGCATGGAATTCATATGCATGCTCATCCAGGTACAAATGGTGGGCAATCACAGTTTTTTTAAAAATTGGATACAGAAAATAAAACAAATAACTAAGATAAATACCATTTTCACAATATTCTAACTTCAGACTATTACTGACATCCATAAAATACATTCATTAAGCAAGCAAAAGATGACACAACCTTTGAAATGGGCCTTCATAGTTTATTGGTGTAGTGTATTACATTTTCGTTAACAAAATAGTAGCAAAATGTGGTCTTGTACTTTGGTCATAATTTCCTCATTGTGATGGCAACTAAGTTGTATCAATACGAACTTGATAGAAGTTTCTTTTATCTTGATGAAAGTCTTTTATGAAAAACAAGAATATAGTCAATGTGACCCAAAATGAATCATGTTCACATAATTCCCTATCATGGGGGAACATTGTAGAAAGTGTGGATGGGAAAGTTATCTGAGTTAGCAAGATGATATTAATAAATTTTGAAAATTATCGGTGATATGGCCGTGAGAAAATGTTTACTATCTGGTGCTCATTGTGGATGCTTATATTTTCACCTAATCCTGTGTTATTCTTCTATAGGTCTCTTTGATTCTAAGAGGTGCAAATGATTATATGCTTGATGAGATGGATAGATCTCTGCATGATGCCTTATCAATTGTCAAGAGAACTCTTGAATCAAATACGGTAGCCAGCATTCTCTAGCTTTCATCTTACTTTGGTTGAATTTGTTGTTTCTTTAGATTCATTTTTTCAAATGTCTTTTTATTTTGTTGTAGTTGTCTTGATATGATTTCTCTTATTTGTTCTTTTATGGTTGACATTTTGTATTCTTGCATGCTTGTACTGTTGATCATTTTACTAAAATAGGTCTCTTTATTATATTGTGAATGTAATATTGTGACTCTGGGTGATGAGAAATAAATTCTCAATTGAATATACACAAAAAAATATCAAGATGCATATATAAAACCAATTTTTTTGAAAATGTGCCCAATCCTGGTGGCTTACAAAAAAAATATTGAAAAATTGTTTTTATGTTAACACTAAATTGAAAATATAGCTTCAGAATAACTACTAATTTTGTAAGGGTCTCTTATCATTTGGAATGTGGCAAATCATTGGTTTGAGAGAATCCAGAGTGTGCTACAGTAAAGTCAACTAATTAATTTGGTTACTTAAAATTATTGCAACCATTCCAAAGTACACTATATGAAATACTAGATTTAATTGCCTGAGAGTCAAGATTACATTTCCATTCATAATGAATATTTCAAAGTGCATCCTATGTTTTTCTGGGGTTTAGGCCAAACATGTTACCTAACTTGAATGCATGGACCATATGAGACTAGACAAGTAATTTTCAAGTAGATTTGTGGTGGAACCATGAAAGTTCAAGGATAAACTTTTATGCCAGCAATTAGGTTTTATAATTTATGAAATGTCAGCAACAATGAGGATTTTGGGTATAGGTACTCCGTCTTTTTATTTCCTATTTCATCTGCCTTGGGCTTGATCTCTCAACATATATAATTCAGGTGGTAGCGGGTGGAGGTGCTGTTGAATCAGCATTATCAGTTTATTTGGAGTACCTTGCTACAACTTTAGGATCTCGGGAGCAATTGGCTATAGCAGAGTTTGCTGAGTCTCTGCTAATCATTCCCAAGGTAAGTTACAAGCTAAATTAGTGGCTCAAGGTTTTGGGTCTCTTATTTTACTTATAATTAGGGTGGTAGGGACTTGTTGAACAAATGGTGTAAAGTTTGATCGTCATCCCCAGTTCAATAATTAAATTTTAGTATATAATTTTATGTAGTGTCTGCACAAAAAAGATAGTTTTCTGTAATTTTTATCCATATATATTATCCTAGTGGGCTTTCATGTGGTGTTAATGTGATATGACAATTAGTTTTTTGTCTCATTATTAAACTTTAAATGTCTTGTCTTTTGTGTTAACCGGGTTTAATAGACAAGATAAGTTCTTGTTTCCTACCAATTTAGCACTAAAAATGTATGTATTGGTACACCTGTTGTAGGTGCTTTCTGTTAATGCTGCTAAGGATGCCACTGAGCTGGTTGCAAAATTACGGGCCTACCACCATTCAGCACAAACTAAAGTTGATAAGAAACACTACTCAAGGTATTTGCTTATGAGTAATAGTAACTATAGTTTCCTTAACTTTTGTGTATGTCTTCTTCATAGCAGTGGGGCAATATGTAGAATTTATCTGTTATGACTTATGCCATATGCTGGATAATGTTTTTTTGTTTGTGTATGAGCACATGTACTGTTTCAAGTTCTAGCATTGCCAATTTTTTCTATTCCATTACAATTACAATAACGTTACATTTTTTGCTCTTTTTTTTTTTTCCAGCATGGGTTTGGACCTTTCACAAGGACATGTCAGAAATAACTTGGATGCTGGAGTCATTGAGCCTGCAATGAGCAAAGTCAAAATTATCCAGGTACGTATTTAGTTACATATCATCAGTGGTTGACTTCCAGAAACAGCTTATACAACTGTCTGAGCAAAATTGCCCATCTCTATTTATCAGTTTGCAACTGAAGCCGCCATTACTATCCTTCGAATCGATGACATGATCAAGCTTGTGAAGGAAGAAAGTCAAAATGAAGAGGATTAGAATATAATTGGATTTAGAAGACATCTACTTCCCAGTCTTACATGGCTTTTGCAGGCTGAGCCGGTGTGGATTTGAAGGCCCTTGATCTTCTTGAAGGGAGAATGCTGCAGTAGCGTTTATTTTATTTAAATATTAACATTTTATATTCCTATAAATTAGCAGCTAATATTTTTGGTCATGCATTGGCTGGTTGCATGTTTGTACATGTCTTTCTGAGGCAGTGTTTGGGTTGTGGAATTTTGATATTTCGTTGGTGACTAGGGTTTTAATTTAAGAACTAAATACATGTGCAAATGGGATTATGATGTCATTTATGGGTTCTAATGGGTCAATGTTTTGCAATTTGCTCTCTTTGCAGTGATAGTTAATTCAATGAAGGAGCGTGGTGAATACTTTTTTTTAATAGAATTTAATTATTATTAATTGTTGAAATTAATATATATATATATATATATATATATTTAAAATTTTAAACAACAATAATAAAAGTTTTGTTTTACTAGACGAGGATGATTAAATTTTCAGAAATACTTATCATGAGTTTTTACCCGTGAATATGGGTATGTTGTTCGAAATCACTAGGAGAAAAAAAATTAGAGAATGCTATGTAATTGTTATCTACCTCTATAATATTAAGGTGAATATAAGAATTAGTATTTTTAAGAATTGTTTTAAATAAGTTGCTCTTAAAATGTAATTTTTTTCTCATTATATCGTCTGTATTAATTTTATAAATTCAATCTTTGACTTAAAAAATTTTATTTTATTTTTTATAATTTTAAAATTTCAATGTCGTTCATTTAATATAATAAAATATAAAACTGGTCATATTTCTCCAATTATAGGAAGTTCATTATTCAAAGCAAATGTATGTCCACGGAATGAAAAAGTGGGCAGAATTTGCATTGTGAAGTGCAAATGCAGCAGTTACCATTGAACACTAAATTAACTTGAAGCTTAAGAAAGTTACCATTTATCACCGCTATCTTAACTTGAACCTCAAGAAAGCCACGAAGAGTCTACTCATGCATGACAGTGACAGAGAGTCACCCAACTTTCATGTTTCAATATATTAATTTTAGATTATAAATTTAAATACACGTTATAGAAATGATCATTTACTAATTATCCTTTAATTTTAAAAAAAATTATATTAAAGTTTTCTCAGTGTCGAAATTCTAAAATTTCAAATCTTAACTTTATTAATTTTGATTTTTATATCTTAATTCTTTTTTTTTTATTTCAAATCAATTACGTTACTATGAAATTTTTGTACGATAAAAAAATCTATATTGCTATGAAATTTATTGTTTTCAATTTTCTCTTTTTCTCCTAAATCAATCTATTTATATTTTGTCACCTAAATTTTACTTTTCAGGTTTAAAATTACACAACTGAAAAGAAAGATTATTTTAAATTGAAATTATGAAATTATAAATATATTTAAAGATAAGAAGCATAGAATATTTTAGATGGCATTTTTTTTTCCTTCTTTTCTAGTCATGGAGAGGGCCACAACCTCACAAACCAAACCGTTTCTTGATACAGTTAGCAATTTCAGCACGGAAACGCCTAATCTTGTGCCCCAAGGTTCATGCTCGTTTTCAAACTACATAAATATTCAACACTTGCTTTCTTCCATTGCTAATACCATATTGAGATTGAGGAGGTACAAGTGCACTGCACAAAACTAATATAACTCAATTACATAAACCATCTTATTTTAGAGGAAATTAATAAAAAAATATGCTGCCAATAGAAAATTTGGTTAAAAAAGGGCTAATGAACATAGAAGAAGGGAGAGATGAATACCAATTCATTAAGAATGGTTTCTTGAAGGGTATGGGATTTATGGGGCATGCCACAATGGTCATGGCTCTTTACAAGAACAATGTTTCCTTTAGTTTGGCAAGGCAAGCTCGTTGGGATTCGTTTAAGATTTTCTCTGAGGCGCTGGCAATTAAATGTGGTGGGGATGCCAATGTGAGGTATGCTTGGTATGGCGGCTCATTGGATGAACTCATAGAGGTTGTCTCAGTTGGATTCAGTGGATGCAAAAATCATGATAATGATAATGATGAGTGTCATGGTGTTGGGATTTCCTTATTTTCTGCCAATTTTTCCATTGATAGGTAAGTGTAATAATATTTTCTATGAACTGATTCTTTTTTTTTCTTTGATATACCAGTTTTATATGACAAAGTTTCTGCTTTATGATAAAATAGAGTTAAGAATTTGTTCATTTCATTCACAGTGCTATGTCTACGGTAGCAGATGAACATGGTTTGAGGCATGTGCTGCTATGCAAGGTAATATTAGGGAATGTAGAAGCTGTTCCTGCAGGGTCAAAGCAGAGCCAGCCTAGTTCTAAGCAATATGACACTGGGGTGGATGATATTTCAGCACCTAGAAGACATATTATATGGACTGCTTTTATGAATTCACACATTTATCCAGGTTATATTCTAAGTTTCAAGTATAATTACATGAAGGGTAAGTGGGGTGACCTTTTTCATCTCTAGCTTTAACTCTTCGAGGATGTATAGTTCATATTCTAACAAGTGCTTGAATCAAAGGATAATCATTTCTTGGCTTTGGTGCGCAGATCAAGAGATAGATGGGCCACTAAAACCTCGATCGCAATATGTTTTGTTTCCCAATTTAGTGGCAAGAGTTTCTAACCATTTGAAACCATCACAAATGTCTCTGTTACTAAAAAGCTACCGTATTTACCAAGTAATAGTCAATATTCTTATCATAATCATAATAATTCTTTGCTTTCAGGTTCTTGTGTTTGTATCTTGTATGAACTGTTTTATCGTGTGAATTTGCAATTACTGATTAACATTAATTGTATTGTTTGGGCTTAGGAACAAAAGATTTCACGAGAAGTATGGATACATAAAGTGAGATTGATAGTGGGGGACAGATTGCTTTATTCAGTGATCACAAATGCGTAGCTTCTTTAATCCCTTTTTTGTTGTTTGTTACCAGAAATTTCTTGGTTTTCTTTTTCCTCTCCCTTGTGTGTGTGATTTAGTTTCATTTTTATACATAGAATACAAAAAGTTCACAGGAAAATTAACGTATAGTAGATATATAGAATGAAAGAACCATAGGAGGAGAGGACAAACTAACAATGTATTTAAATCGTGTATATCCTTATACGTGGTTTCTCTCATCTGTTCAAATGCATTTTTATCCTATCTTGGTCCTTAAAACTTTTTAAAGTAGTAGCTTAAATTGGTCTTCTTCTCTATACAACTTTCATTTCACCGTAATATACTCTACCTGATCTCTTTGATGAGTACCAAAAAGCTTTTTGAAATCAATTATTAAGGATTATCTCAGGATTCACTTACAAAATGACAAATCATTTTATTAATAAGTGACAATTTTTTTAAAAAATACTTCCCTAATTTCTAATGTTATAAATAACTTAAAGTGAAATTTTTATAAAAAATGAAATGAAATTTGAAATAAATAATATATTTAATAACATATTTAAATCATACTTCTATTTCTAAAATATTTCCCTCTTCTCATACCATAAAAGGATATCTATCAACGAAGTCCTTGCTAACCCCAAAAACCAAAATCCATTTCAAACCATTTTCTTTGGTCCACCCTGAGAAACCCACTTCTAATCCTTGACCAATTTTACTGTAAGGGCAAAATCTTTGGTCATTGCTTATTTCTGCAACATGTCAAAATAAAGGAGCTGTAACAAATTCATGTTCCAAACTAAGCGGATCCTGGTACCACAAAACGCTTTTGTTTCAATCAATGTAAAAATGTGCCTAGATTCATTTTCTCTATATTTGATATGGAATTTTCTGATATAGTGGGTTGCTTTGCAGGAGTACTCATACAAACCATGACTTTACGTATTTTGCTTATTGACCAAGAAAGAGTCTTTGAGCCTTTATGAACGGGTTACAACAAGAGGGTTTTAGTCAGAATTCAATGAAGATTATTTTTCAGAACTTTGATCTGGTGAATTTCAGATAAAGTTTGTTCTACCTCTTTCTCTTGTTAGACTGCTTGCATATGTAGAGAGGAGTATGAGAACATGAGTTTCTGTTTCACTATTACATATACATGTCCATTTATAAATATAAATATATTCTTATTTCCTTACTTTATACACTTTTTTTTCTGTGAGGTATGTAGATTGGCGTTTTTTTGGTTTCTCAAAAGAAAAAAAAATTGTCACACTTTGGAGGTGCAAGTCCTATGCATTCTAAGTGCTGGATAACATCCATGAGCTTCTCACCATTTGTACAACAAGGAAGTAACAAGGGGAAATTAAGTCATACAATTTTGCTAAATCTAGAATAATTTTTAGATAGCCATTATTTATCATAAACACTCAAATCATTATGTGAAACATAAATTTATTGGAATTATAATAAAAATACAACTTACTGTATAAGTATTTTCGCATATACAAGTCCATAATTATTTGAGTGCCTATCATGGATAATGTAATATATAATTAATGCCTATTTAAAAATTTCTCCTAAATCTACCCACGGCGAAATCAATATGTTCTTGCCGTCCTATAGAACCAGGCATATATGCAAACCAAACATTAATGTCATACATAAGTCATAATTAAAAAATTGTGCCATGGCCATGGGGGGTGCCAAAGCCAAAAGGGGACCCATATATATATATATATATATGAAGCCTTTAGGCTAAGAGCCAGAAATTTCGCTGAGTTTTTGTATTGAGAACATAGCCTCCATTTTGACCCTTTCTCTGGACAGCAACACAGGTGCATGGGCTGTTCTGGATCAAATACTCTGCTGTGTCAATCGCTTTTATCCCTTTCATTGATCCTCCTGTGGGTCGCTTGTATCTGTCTCCATGCATTCAAATATGGAAGAAATCATATTATGACATCTATAAATCTATCTCTTTAATCAAACAATTTATTCTTGAGAGATGAAAGAAATGATATTAAAGAAAATATGATAAGGCACTGTGACACACAGGCAAGAAATAATACCATGCAAAGTGAAACACAGAAGAAAATGAATGAGTATACGGACCCTAATAACGCTGAAGAGAAACTGCGCTTCTGGCCTATAACTATGACATCAACAGCTTGCGTTTTGCTTTGTGAAAGGATAGTGGTAGCTCTATCTTTTCCATCCATTTCCACCCTCAAAGAACGCACACGAATTTTAGGTTGAGAAACTTTGCATACATTCTTCATTTCTTCAAGAAAATCAACCCCTTCATTATCAGCAGCAGCAGGTCCTCCAAACTCAAACGATACCGTCGCTGAGCTTCCCAATGAAGGCATTTTCAAGAACGTTGAAATAGTGTTACGCCAAGAATTTGGGTTCTCAACATGCAACAGAATCAATTCATCTTGCTCAAGCACTGCATGTGAAAGTGCGTATTGCAATGCACCCGCTGATTCCCTTGTTGGGTCAGCCACCACCATTACCTTGCGTGCTTGTGCACTACGATTATTTGCCATGCCTATTCAGAGGGCTAAAGAGAAAAAGGAATATCAGAACCCAAATATTATTATATGAGACGCTCATTTTTTTGTGATCACAGTGAGCCACCGATAACAGCTAATAAATTCGTTAGCTTTTTTATGTTTTGATTCATAATTAGATCCTTTCTTTGTTTTCATCTTCTATGTTTAGGATGTGTTGTTCTTGTTAATCACCATCCTTCAGACTCGGTCAAATCTCAAATGCCATCGTTAATTATTCATTAATTCATATATTAACTCTTAAATTTCATATAAATTTTGTTAACACATTTTACCAATGTAACTAATCACATCAGACTTTTATTATACACATTAGACTTCCATTTATAATTTAAGTCACAGTGATAGTTTTTAAAAAGTTCTACAATTAAATAACCTTTTATATCTAAAAATCAGCTTAAAAATTAGTGTCAAGTATACAAATTAAATATATGTTTAATTTATTTTATTAATGTTACTCTATTTATTTAGGATCTCTTTCAATAAATACTACAAAATGAAAAAAAAAAAAAATTAGAAGAGAGAAGATAACATTGGGATGAACTATATAATTTGGAGCAAACACACAAAAATAAACTCACATTTTGAATCAAACGATGTCCTGCCCAACTTTGATGAAACGATACTTCTAATATTTTTTTTACCACAAGTAAGTTTAATTAATTTAATTTTTTTTTATAAAAAATGAATTGAACAATTAAATTAATAAAAATTATTTATAAATAATTTTTTTAAAATCATATTTTATTAAGAGTATACTTTGATTTTTCCTTATATATACACACACATGCTCGTAACTATAATTAGATTAATCCTTCCTAAACAATAGTTTAGATAAAGCAGTACAGAATATTCCTTCAAATAATGTTGAGTTGAGATTTGTTGAAGTGCCAACTCAACATAATATTACAAATAAAATTTATCTGAAGTCAACTCTCTTTGGCTGTCACTGTTATATATATATATATATATATATATATATATATATATATATATATATTTATAATTTACAATGCAAAGATAATTTTTTAAAAAACATAAAAATGTCAAGTCAAATCTAAATTTTAAAAAAATACCACTCCTACATCACCCATGTTTATAAAAATAAAGCAAAAGACATGTTGCTGTTTGATAAATCTCTTAATTGCAACAAATATCTTATATTGATTATTATATCATAGGGTGATTTCAATTAAAATGTATTGATAATATAAAAAGTTACATTATTATTCAATCAAATATTATTATATTAATTAAAAACAATTTTTAAATAATTTAAATTTAATTTATGGTATATTTTAATTGATTGCTGATATAAAATTTAATACATTTAATAATAATATTGCATTGTTTTGGCAAACATATATACTGAAGTTAAAAATCATATATTATTTTAAAGTCTTGGTCCACCTACATGTTCTGATAAAAGAAAAAAAAATGAAAAGGTGTAACTGAAAATAAAAAAAGGAATTCCAGAAAAAAAAAAGTCAAAAGCACACTTTAAAAAAAAATAAAAAATTACTCTAAAAAAAAAAGAGTAAAATTACTAGCGTCATTAGTGTCAATATTGTCAACTAAGTTTTGTTTAAATAATGAGGATTGAGGATAATATAGTTATTCCACTAATTATTATATTTATTGCTTTTTAAAATATAGAAAAATATATGAAAAACAAATTATTTTCTCTGAATAACGATGAAAAAATTGATTGTCATCGTCTCAAATATAAATAAAAACATATACACTTATTACATCATTATGAGTATTATATTTATTTTACCCATTCATATTTTTTATATCTATTTTTTTACTAAATTTCAATCAAAATAATAAAAGAGAAAACATTTTTTGTTTACTTTTATTTTTTATATAATTAACTTTGAATCATTAAAAACCATATTTTAAAATTGGGAAAAATGACATTTGTAAGTGTAGATTCTGGTCAATGGTTTGAAATTGGGATATCCAGAAAGTTGTTATTAATTCTTTTATTTATAAAATATTTCTGTACGAAACCGTACCGTTCCGTACTAACTCCGTAATAATTTTTTTTTCGTTTAATTAAACATCAATTAGAACTTTTTAATGAAAAAAGTAGTTAGGTAAGACAAATTAAATTCAAAGGATTAAATTTCCATTGACCCGGCAATAATTTTAGTAATATATTGATTTAACGTTTTACAAATTTAAAAAGTAGTTATTATTGTATTGTAAACTTGAGTAATATTGTATATTCTTTTTGAATTAATAGTTGTAATTTTTATAATATTTTAAAGATTAAAAATATATATTTTTTAAAATAAATTATTAATTTATTGTCTATTAATATAAAACTAACAGATATAAAATATTTTTTAATTTATAAGATTTAGTAAAAATTACTAATTTAAAAAATATCTTTTTTATTTCAGATATATTTGAAACATTTGTACATAAAATAATAAATATTAAGATTAAATGAGACTAACTGTCATGTCTAATAATTTTTGTCCAAAGTAAGTTTGTATTCTTGTAATAATAAGTGTATATAAAATTCTATACAATTTCAATAATTATAGATATGTAATGTAGTTATAATTATTTACTTACATTTAAATAATTTATCCTCTATTAAAATACAATAAAACAATAAGATATTGATTAATATTTAAATTATATAAAATTTTAGGGACTTAATCTCTCTTATAAAAATTTTAAATTAATAAAATTAAATTTAATGAAAATTGTTAAAAATAATATTTTATACTTGATGATATTTGATTTTGAATATTTTTATATTTAAATAATAAATTTGAATAATATATGTAACCTACGTTTTTTTTGTCTTTTTGCTCTTGCATTGAAAGGTACATATACGATGGTTGACGATACAAGGTAAATTTTTTATTAATATGATAAGTTTTAGCATTCCACATTGCTTTGATGACACCTTAAAAAGGGGTATTGAAGGCCAAAATAGTATGGTTATGACATGTATTATGATAAACAAAGTGTATTGTGCATAATTTAATAATGAATAATGAATTGGGAAGCAACAAAATATGAGTTTTTGTGGCTATAAAAAGGGAAGCAAAGTGGAAACCTAGTACAGATGAATTGAACAATTAAGGTACAACCATGGAAGGCACATTGAAGAGTGACAATGAGACAGCATCATATTCATGGGCAAAGGTTGGTCATGTTGATTCCCTCAATTTGGAGGCTGCAAGGATTCCCTCGTCCAAAACCCATTCTCTTAAGGTCTGGTCATCTTCTTACCAGAGGGACAAGTTTCTTAATTTTTAATTGCATGTGTGCATGTGTCTATGAAATTATATATATATATATATATATATATATATATATATATATATATATGGGAATAGATTTTAATTATTATTAACGATAAATAATTAAGATTGCAAATATTAAGTTACAAAACATTTCATTATAATTATTAAATATTTTTATTTTAGTATTGTATGTATAATTGTATGATTATTATTTTTTATTTCCTAATTTTCACACACAAAACAATGTATTGGACTATAATCACTAAACAGCCAATATAATGCTATGATTTAAACTTTTTCGTTGTGTTGGGTCGTTATGACAGCATAAACTGGTAACGTTCTACTCTCTCTCTTTTCTTAACATTGTACTTAAATGCATATAAATGCATTTACCAAGTGCAAAAGTGTGTATTGTTGAACAAGAACGTTATTTAATTTAAATATAAGATTTTATTAATTTCAGCCTTTAGTGTTGATTTTAAGTATTTATAAATTAAAAAAATTATAAAAAAATATATAATTATTTTATTGAAATTATTAAAATATAATAATTTTTTTAAAATAAAATTTTATTATTATTAGCTATTTATTCTCTGTCTTAAGAGTTAATTAATAAAACCCTTAAATATATTATAAAAAAAACACACACACAAATTTATAGGTCACATTAAAATGTTTATTTAATTATAATCAACAAATTATGTTGAATATAAAAGAAAATGAAAATAAAGTTTCATGGAACGACATTTATACTATAATTAAGAATTTTAAGTGTACACTTGATTTTAATTCGTATATAAAATATTGATAGAATAAGTAAAAGTTATTTACCTACACGTAATTGATATTTCTTAATGAAATTCAATAAAAACTTACGTTTTATTTTTTTTAAAGTTTAGTCTTATTTACTTTATTTAAATAAAAAATTTAATTTAAATTTTTTAAAAATATTAATTAATTAAATATGTTATACTTGATTTTAAAAAAATTTATTAAATTTAATAAAATGACTTATTTAAGATTCATAAATTAATAAATTAAATTTTAAAATAAATAAAATATTAAATTAAAAAAACTAACTTTATTTGTTAGAATTAGAAAATACCCTTATTATTACATGCCCCGAGAGAAAGATGACGTCATATTTGTTTGAGTTTTTTATATTATCATTGTTTGATTTATTTATTTTATTATTATTATTATATTTTACTTTGTAAAACTTTTGTTATTTGTGTATTTCAAATTTTTATTTGTTATTAATTTTAGATCAAACTTATTTAGTTGTATTATTATGTTTATTAATTTAAGGTATGAAATTTTATACTACTAAATTTATTTTACTAAATTTATTTTACTTAATGATTTATAGATTAGTGTTATTTTAATTATGTTTATTTTATATTTAGTAATTTACTTACTTAAATAAAATATGTAGTTTGAAGTGATAAATAGAAATATATAATTTTATTATAAATATTTAAATTATTTTTTATGCCATATTTAAATATAAGATTTATGATCTTTATAGAGACATATCTCTTTTAATGATGTGATAGTCTATTTATTAAGAGATTTAATAAACTATTAAAGGTCTCAATACAAAGTAAGTAATTAAAAAAAATTAATAAATCAATTTATGTTTTTAAAGTTAGACTATATATAACAACAAATTTATGACAATTAATAAATTATATTTAAGTTTTAAAATTATTAAATAAGATATACCTACTCAGTGCAAATCTAGCTTATCATAACATTATCCCTACCTAAGATTGCTTTCATTTTGACTATCAAAATGCATGTTACTCCTAAATAGTTAGCTTTAGTCAACAAATAAGGAATAACTCAATTAATATAAAAAAAAAAAATTAATTTAAGGGTTGAATATGATTATTTATTGATGAATTATTCTTAGAAATTTTTCTATATATGTACTTCTATAAGCTCTTGATGAGATTTCTAACATGTTCCAACTTTAAAAATAAATGGATCAATTGCTGTTCTATCCCGTAACTTAGATTTTAGAAAGGTAAAATTAACACTAACTTTTAAGGTTGATTTTATATATCCAAAAATAGAAACTTATTAAAAAAGTTTATTATATACATAATATGATAAATACTTTTTAAAATAAAAAATTATTACTTTTAAGAAGTAATGTTAATAAAACCGTTATTTTGATTACAAAAAGATCATAAACATTAGAGTTTTGAGCTGTATAATTTTGAATGTGTAACAGCCAAATTGGATTACGACACTGAGCTTAGCGTTTCAAAGCATCGGGATCATATATGGAGACTTAGGAATTTCTCTTTTGTACGTCTATGACAGCACCTTCAGTAATGGTATTCAAGATACTAATGACCTTCTTGGATGCTTGTCTCTCATCATCTACACCATTGCACTCATTCCATTCGTTAAGTATATCCTAATTGTTTTGTGGGCTAACGACAATGGCGATGGTAAGTTCACCCATTCAATTAATATATGTATCATTTTTATCATCATTTATGTTAATACTTTTGTATGGAATATTAGGTGGAACATTTGCACTATATTCTTTGTTTTGCCGGTATGCCAAGGTCAGCTTAATTCCAAATCACCAACCAGAAGACAGACAACTTACCCATTACAAACTACACATACCATCCAACCAAATAAAGAGGGCACAAATGATTAAGCACAAGCTAGAAAATAGTAAATTTGCTCAACTTCTGCTTTTTCTTGTCACTATCATGTCAACCTCTATGGTTATTGGAGATGGAATTCTTACACCTTCCATTTCAGGTAAAATCATTTGATCCTATTATCTAATAAAAGAAAATTCTTTTCAATGAAGTACAAGCATGTCAACAAAATGCATCTGTCATGAACAAAATTTCAGTCTCTTATATAATGTGATACAATTGTTTGCTACATTTGCAGTACTGTCAGCAGTGAGTGGCATAAAAAAAAAGAGCCCATCACTTGACCAAGGTAGATGCTTTTTTTAACCTAAAAAATGCATAGTTTATTAACTTGCAACAGTTAATTTTTAGAAATATGCTAAATGATATGAATGCATTTTCGTGGAATGACTTGAGGAGAAATTTTGTTGCATTTTCAAATCTTATGTAAATATTTCTTTAATTATCTTTTATTTAAGTTGCAATTTAATCAAAACTACATGAGGTTAAAATAAATATATTTTTCTAAACTGCTATTGAAACTTTATTTGTAAGTAACCCTAAATGAAAAATGTTTATGATCTTAAGTGTGAAATATCTTGGGTGCTACATTTACATTCAATGTTGTAATATCATGACATTCAACATGTTCAGGTGCTGTTGTCGGGATCTCAATAGCAATCCTGATCGTTCTCTTCGCTGTCCAGCGATTTGGCACAGATAAAGTGGGATTCACCTTTGCCCCTATGGTGGTCGTGTGGTTTTTATTCATCGGAGGCATTGGTCTTTACAACTTGTTCAAATATGACATTGGGGTATTGCGAGCTTTCAATCCTAAGTATATTGTTGATTACATGAAAAGAAACGGTAAAAATGGATGGATTTCTCTAGGTGGAATTTTTCATTGCATTACTGGTTAGTACTAATTATGCTGTCATCATGAAGTGTTTTGCTTGTATGGCTTTTTTACGTTCTTTATGAGTCTTGTTAATTATGATGAAACGTGGAATTTTGTTAAGAAATTAATAAATATAATGTTTATTTTTATTAAAAATACTCTAAAGATGTATTAAAAATTACGATAAAAATTCTCTAAAGATATAAATTTTCATGAACCAGGGAGTGAGGCCATGTTTGCAGACTTGGGTCACTTCAACGTGCGAGCAGTTCAAGTATGTAAATAAATGTAGTACGATACTCCGAGCAATATATCATCACGAATTAATTTTTGTTCATGTTGTTATTGCAGATTAGTTTCTCTTTTGTTACGTTTCCTGCACTAGTATGTGCATACAGTGGACAAGCAGCATATCTTAGAAAGTTCCCGGAACAGATAGGGAATACTTTTTATAACTCAATACCCCGTAAGTTTCTAAGAAAATGATGCTAGCTCTTGCTGTTTAATCGTGACAATCTTTTTAATAGTTTTAGGGAACCGTTTTTAATGTATATATATATATATATACACACACACCACACAAAATAAAAAAATAAGTTCAATTTTCATTTGCAGTAATCATAGAGATTCTTGAATCATTAAGTTAAAAAATAGTAATCATTAAAATCACTTGTAGATCCAATATTTTGGCCAACATTTGTTGCGGCGGTTGCTGCTTCTATCATTGCAAGTCAGGCTATGATTTCAGGGGCATTTTCCATTATCCAACAGTCTCAAAGTTTGGGATGCTTCCCTAGTGTTAGGGTCATACATACCTCTGCAAAGTATGAAGGTCAAGTGTACATACCTGAGATCAATTACTTTCTTATGATTGCTTGTGTCATAGTCTGTGCCGCTTTCAGAACCACAGATAATACTATTCATGCTTACGGTATGCTTTTTTTAAGAACTTTAACATCTCTACAAATTAAATACTACAAAATCAACCCATTATTTTATTTACATGTGTTACTTGATTACTTTTCATCACAGGAATTTCTGTGTGCATGGTAATGCTGGTCACAACATCCATGGTCACTCTTATAATGCTTGTTATATGGAAGACAAGCATCTTGTGGATTGCTCTTTTCTTTGTTGTATTCAGTGCAATAGAGATTGTGTACTTATCATCCTTGCTAACTAAATTCGTTCAAGGAGGCTTTCTTCCATTGGCACTTTCTTTGTGCTTGATGTCCATAATGGGCATTTGGCGTTACACACACGTAAAAAGGTACTTGTTTGAGCTAAACAACAAGGTCTCTGGTGAATATCTAAGAGAACTAGTAAGCAAAAAGGTTATATCTCGAATTCCTGGAGTAGCACTTGTGTTCTCAGAGCTAGTAGAAGGAGTTCCACCACTATTTGCTCATGTTGTTTCCAACATACCCTACATCCACTCTATTGTTGTGTTTGTTTCCTTGAAGTCCATCCCTATTGGCAAAGTTGAATTGCATGAGAGATTCCTTTTCAGACAAGTTCAACCAAAAGAATATAGAATCTTTCGCTGTGTTGTGAGGTGTGGCTATAATGATGTCATTGGAGAACCAAAGGAGTTTGAGGAACACTTAATAGAACATCTAAAAGAATTTATACGCCATCAAAATTTTACTCATGTGGTAGTAGTAGAAGGGGTTGATATTGAACAGACAGACTATCACTCTTTTAAGGATGGAAGAGGTTCTTTCAAGCAAATAACCCCATTACCTTCTTCACATCAAGAAGTGGAAGATGAAAGGGTGAAATCTCAATCTGCTCGACTGCATCCAAAGTCTAACACTGCTGTGAATGTGTCACGTGCTTCATCAGATTCTATTCAGTCTTTCGGAGTACTAAGTAGAATCTCTAACCCGCATGTGCAGGATGTAGAAGAGGAGATAGCTTTTGTGCAGAGAGCAATGGAGAGAAGTGTGGTGTATATGCTGGGAGAAGCCGAAGTGGTGGCGGAGCCCAACTCATCTGTGCTTAAGAAGATTGCTGTTAATCATATTTACAATTTTTTGAGGAGAAATTTCAGGCAAGGAGAAAATTTAATGGCAATCCCACGTTCAAAGCTTCTCAGGGTTGGAATGACATATGAGATATGATGGCACATTAGGAGAAAGGTACAGCAGAGAACATCGTTAGTAATAATACACATGTTGTGCGTGCCATTGGGGTTACATATAGCTCACTTTCTCTGTTTTACTCATCAAAGTTGATTGATTTGGATGCGAATGTAGAGTTCTCTGTTTGCTTATATATGATATGTAATTTTATTAAAGAAAATGCTAACATCAATATTTAGGACTGATTTTAAGTAATTAAAAGTGGTAAGATTTTATTGAGGAAAAAAAAATTATTACATTACAAATATAAAAGTGTAATAATTTTTTTTTCTTAATAAAAACTCGTTACTTTTGAATAGTTAAAATCACTTCTAAAATATGGTGTCAACAAAACTAAATGTTGTAGTTAAGTTGTAAAATGTTTGATTGGTGTGGAATAATGAGTATTCAAGTATCATTTCATTTACTAAATTCTTGAAATTGACATAAACATTCAAGATTAATTGTCCAACTACCACTAACAAGCTCGTTCACACTGAAATGAATTGAAATGTACCAGACTAATCTCACAAGAAAAGAGTAATTTTTAAGATATAATTACTCTTTTTGTCTTATCCTATGTCCGTTATCCAGTGAATAATATAACCTAGAGGGCTAAATTTTTGAAGCTGCTAACGGCATTTTGCATGTTTTAAGGAGCATGCTAGAGTAACAGTTGGAAGTTCCGTAGTTCGACCACCTGGCTAAAACGCTGTCACTGGTTCCAGGCTGCAGCATACATAAGCGCTATGAATATGCGAAATCTTGATCCTGGTGTACAATACTGAATCATATATATACTTTTAAAAGCAATTCTATTTTCTTGTTTAAACAAAAACAATTTTCAACTCATCAACAAAAGCGATATATGTTGACTGCATAACAAAGAAGCGCAAGGATAAAAAGGAGCAAAATAAGAGACAGATTAAGGTAGTTAGCATCCAACAAACTTTCCACTATAACCAGATGAGAAGAATGTTGCAAAAAAAGGGTATTGTACGTTGTACATAAAATTAGCACACTTAGTACCTACGTTAAACATCACGAGCATAATTATATAGCATACAACGCACAGGGCAGCGGCCTTCGGACCAAACAATGGTACATTAAATTATTAGACCGCGGAAATGCCTGTGATCGGTCGCTTTCAAACTCACATCAAGACCCTTAAAAACCGGGAGGTGAATAAGATTAGTAGCTGTTTTGCCATATTTGTTGGGATTGCTTAGGTGGTTGGTTTTGAGAACCAGCAAGGGATGCTTCCCTAGGATTCTGCTGCTGATGTTCCAGAGAAATCCCAGTCTGAGAATGGTAGAAATTAGGGTACCCAAGGGGTCCAAAATGCTGTGAAGGCTGCTGGCTTTGCCTAAATCCACCTGGTTGTTGATTCTGTCCCTGGAAGCTGTAATACGTGCTGGGAGGAACTGCAGACATTGTTCGAGAGCTAGGTCCCTGAACCCACATGGGAGAATTCTCATTCTGACAGAAGAAAATACAAAATCAGCACATTCCTTATTCAATATGATTAAACATAAAAAGTGGCACCATTCCCTATTCTTTCCTCATCTTGTGTACTCCATTCCCTCACGACATATGAATGGGAGTAAATTCGAGGACAACAAAATGAACCACATGATACACATCTTAAGTAAAGCCTCAAATTAGTCATCGAGATTATATAAGTCAAGCATTTAAATTTTAAAAACCCTTTAGTAGTCTCTAACTTTGTAAAATGACATTCACTTTAATTCACTTCAGCACAAATGATAGTAAAAAATAAAATGAAAAAAAGACTAAATCAAGTGACTTTCAGCAAGGTCAAAGACTAACTTGAGGGTTTACTCCATCTTAAACCTTTTGTTTACATGCCTTTAAAGGAACCATGGCTTTTTCCATGCATAAATATAAAAAATTCACAGATAACTCCACCCAGAAAGTAAAAAGAAAAAAAAAGGTTGTACTATTGACACCATATTGGCTCAGCTCCTAAAAAATTGTACAAAGAATGAAAACAGTTAATGTGTAAATTAAAATGAAGATCATTCTACCTGTTGCAGTGAAATAATATGATTGTTGTCCTTAAACTGAGAGTTTACAACATCATCATATCCAATGGTTGTACTAGTAGGCGCAGCAGGTGGATTCAAAGGATAATTTCCTCCAGGAATGCTGGTGGAACTTCCAAAACCATATCCAGATGCAATAGCAGCAGACTGAGGCAAGCTACTGACAGAAATGCTATTTTTATATTGTGGAAGCATGGCTGCCAGAGATTGGTGATATGTACTATTTCCAGCAAAAGCCTGCTGAAATGCTGATGGCATGTAGGTATAGCTCTGTGGCATGAACGGATAGCTAATCATATTAGCAAAATGTCCCAGAGGAAGAGTAGGCTGGGAATAGGGATGCACAGTAAGGTGTTGAGGAAGTGCAGGTCCAGTGGCAACATTTGCACCAGGCAGAGCTTGCGGATTAGGCTGAGGTGTCGAAATGCTATTTGTTCTTAGAGCCTACACATTGACAAATAAAATTATCCAGACTAAATTTCCATGTTCTCCCTCTTACTAAACAATAAAATCAAGATACAAAAATAACAATGAACTATGCAAAATAATCGTTGCCAAATAATGTTGATACAAAATACACAGCGCACATGTAATGCAGAGACACTCTCTAGTTATCTATATTCAATACTGATTACCAATAAAATACATCTTCAATTATACAATTCAACACCCTCAAAGTACTTGCAAACCTCAAGTTTTACATGGACTTGGCAGAGGGTAAAAAGGTGAAGCTTGAGTTAGGATAAGATAATCACATGTAGATAATTTTGATGTAATATTTTCATATATAACCACACTAGGATCTTAATATTTTCAAAAAGACACAAGCCATTACAGATACAGTACCTGTCAACATATAAATACATATATTGATCATAAATTTTTCACCCCCTTTTTAAGGGCATACCAAACTGACTAGTAATGCAAAAAGGACAGATTTGTCTAGTAGTATAATAACTTTCCAGCAGGTAGATCAATAGCAATCTATCAGGCAAAGGAACAAGACAGCACTGCATAAATACTTTGATCAAATCAAACACAGAATTTACACAGGACATGGTTGATGCTGACAACTACACAAAAAATCCAAACTCCCTATCTAATAAAATACACCCTCTTAAGTTGATAACTATTTAATATAAACTTTGTAATTTCATATGAAGAAAAAAGTGATTGGCAAAAGATCAGTTCATACCAAAACATTAATCAGTAATCACTCAAGTAGCTCAAACCAAAACATGCAAAATGCCTTTTTGACATAAGTGATTGAACAAGGATATCATCTTCTCCTTTGCATTAACCACTGTATATAGGGCCAGAGCTTTAACTAATATCACATGGTGGTCAACTGAACAGTTGGTATGTAACACATACAATACCACCATTAAAGCTTACTGTTAACCAAAATATCAGTATGTAAACAGCAGCCCTCAAATATAAGGTACATGTGAATTCCATTACACATTTCTTGACTAAGAATAATCAAACATTCTGTAAGCCATAATACTAAATTTAATTATGATTCAACCTATCTCAAGTTTGAATATAGCAAAACTAAAATAAGCTAGAGCAGAAGCATACCTCTGACATGTTTATAGCAGGACCACCAATTGAAGAAGCAATGTTGCTATATTTTGCAGGCATTGATTGTGTTTCAGGGAAGGGTGAGTATGGAATATCTTCTCTTGCTGTTTGAACATTCGAAGCCAACAGAGCACTGGGCAAGGAATTGGTGTAAGCCTGCTAAAAAACAGCACCATAAGTTTGATGTAGACAACAGAATTGATAGACAGTATTAATATTAGATGATAAAAGAAACTACATTGATATCAGTTGTTAGTACTGCACTAATACAATGAATGGTCAGCACAGTACTGCAGTTTTTGGGGAAAAAATTACATAGTAAAAATGGTATGGCTCATTGTCTTACAAGTTTATTCAGTAAAGCAACTGAGGAGTGAAATTTACACTCAGCTCAAATACCTACACACTGAAATATCGTGGAGAAGGTATTTATATCCCTATTTCTCAATTCCATCATAAAATATACTGTAAATTTGGCCATTCAATAAGTAATTTTAGAATAAAACCGTACTCAACCACATGTTCTTTTGGAGAAAATAAACATGATCTACTCTCAAAGGAATGGTTAGCATCACAGAACTGACCATCCCCTAGTTTTTAGCCCTACATGAGCTAAGATCATTTTAGAACTAACTCTGATTGAATGAACACCAAATGGAAGACCCAGCCTTGAAAAACAATATATATTGCAAATCCAAAGATCTAGCAATTCTATGTATTACCATTACACTAGAAAAGGGAGACAGGTTCTGGATCTGCGAGCTTGTCTGTGAATGAGGATATGTAACATCTGGCTGTTGGACATTTTCATAAGTAAACTCGTGTGAAGAAGAAGGAAATGAATATTGATTTTCCTGAGCAGTTACAGGGGGTTCAGATTTTAAGGCCTCTGATTGTGGAATGGAGGAATGCTCGTATGTCCCAGTATCCACACCAGTTATATGAGTTAAATTCCCATCCGAGGTAGTAGTTAGATGCTCATCTCCGTAATAGTCAGGATTTCTGCAAAAATAAATAAATAAATAAACACATACTTAAGTAAACTAGGAAAAACGAGAATGTTGTAGCAAAGTATATTGTTGTCTAAGCACATGCCTAGCATCTGAGGACCCTATTGTTGAAACATCAGTTGCTCCAGATGTATCCTCCAAGTTACTTTTCAAGGGCCTAGATGCATATGGGCCTGATCCAGAAAGAGAAGCATTGTTTGCTGATCCAAAACTTCCAAAGCTCAGATTTAAGCATTCTGGAGAATGAAGTTGAAGGTGATTTGGAATTACTACAGAAGAATTTTCCTCCTCTTGTTCTGTCCCTCGATCATCAGTGTGTAAATTTAGGTGCTCTAAGTTTGCAGCCACTGATGAATCACCATCTTCAGCTGAAAGGAAGATGATAAGACATTAAGACTTAGAAACTAATGTATGAAGGCATATGTCTGATACAATCATGAACTTCAAATAAAATTGGTACAAATTACAATAATGCTCTCTAAACCATTAGAGATCATACACAGGCACCTGACTATATTAGTAATACAATGATTCCTTCTAAACCATTCACATGTATGGAGGATGAGAAACAAAAACAAAAAGAACCAATCAGAACAACAAGATAACAACAATGATGATGATGATAATGATGATGAACACATCAGATTGACTTGTCAAAATGATATCACAATAATATTTCATTATGCTATTTCTCTGATTCAGATGATTCAAGGCAAATCTAGCACATGTAATTTTAAAACCACTCACTTAGACAACAAACATAACATGAAAATTGAAGAATTTCAAATCCAATATATGACGGCACTGATACCATCAATCTAATTACACGATAATTAAATGAATTTATGGAGAACATGTGTTCAATAGAAATTAAGTCAAAAGACCTGCAAACCGATAAATATCATACTCACCTTCATTATTATCAAATGGATGCCCATGAGTTTGGTAGGAATTCATGTCCTTGTACAAGCTACCATCAAAAACAGAAGTATTTTCTGGATTATCTTCAGATATACTTTTAGCAGATATAGATGCAGGTCCAACATTATCTGGATTCTCAACAGGACCATCTTCAGCTACAAATTCACTTGCATGGGACTTCAGTTGCTGATTAGCTTCACCAGAGTTAGATGAGTTTGTATGGTACTCAGAATTTGGATGAGCATCTACAACAGAGGATCCGCGAACAGCTGGTGGGTGCTCAATAGATGGCCATTCATCATTGTGTTGAACGTTGGAGTTAATAGCAAAGCATTGATCACTATTTGTCTCTGACACCTTGGAAGCATGACCTTGCACTGAATGCAAATTGTGATGTGAAGCCACAGGAGGTGTAAAAACATTCTGATGATTACCACTGTGAACAGAAGAATTAGGCACAGATGCCTTGGCCTGTGGCCTACCCATCCTGACAATGTCAGCCATCGACACTTGACCCGAGTTCACTGTCCATGCAGATTGCAATCCACCTTGTTGTGATGAAGAAGAGAGTCCATCACAGACACGGATGGAATCACTGCAACAGTTTTTGACATTTCATGAGGTGCTAAAGCTTAGCATACATACTAAATGTTTTTTTGTATCTAAGTGCTTACAGGCACAATATCATTTGAAAAAAAAATAGACAAAATGAGTAAACACTTGGCCCCTATAACTATACATGCAATATTATATTGGTGCTTAAACAATAATTGATGTCATCAGATTTGTCATCAAAAAACCAATTTGACAACAAAAATGTTGGTTTGAAAGATTAATTTGATGTTACATATATCTTCAGAGCACCAATTTAAAAAATATTTATAAATAGAGGGGTTATTTTATTAGTTTGGTGTCTATACAAGAACAAAATGGACATTTACTCAGTTATAAATTCCAGGCCACGAGAGATAAAGCAGAACCATAAACCAATCCAGTGAATCAATGGTACAGAATGCACCAACTCTTTGAGAAAAGAATAAAAGTGAATATACATTGAAAAAAGCTTGCAAAAGTTGGATGCTTTAACAAATTACAATTGACTAGCTTTACAGAGAAATTTGAGAAACTGTTTTTCATAAACACCAGAAGATAATACAATTGAATTTTACGCTAAACAGAGGTGGCCATATTTATTTTCTCTTTAAAATAATCAGGTGTCATTCACAAACAGATCATAACATAATCACAAGAATTTCTTCAGTTCTACTCCAATTGTGCAGAAAAATTTTGACGGAAAAGATACCTGTAGGATGGTGGTTGCCTGTTCACATTATTCTCCAACACACTCAATGAAGAAACCGAAGAACCTCCATAAGCAGGTGTTCCGTTTTCCTTCTTGGATATAGGTTTTCCCTGCATCAGACCATAATCTGACCTCCAAAAATAGGTCAAAAAATTAAATAATAATAAAACCAATAGATACATTCATAAACTTGATAGAATCCACAACATTAGACAAATAGCAAATTATTTATGACATTCAAATTAACAAACAAGCATCCACATACCACTACTACTACTGAATTGGATGGCGCCCCCACGCCCAGCATAGCGGTCACTGCCAGCCCTAACACCACCGCCGCCGCGGCTAGAGGTATTGTTTGTCCCACGAGACCTGGAATCTGCCGTGTCCTTACTCTGAACATTCAAAAAGAGCCGAGAAATGAGCATAAGAAGCAAACAAAAATAAAAGCAATCACTAACTCCTCATAATATGCATCTACAAAAAAAGCTTAACAATAGTGACGAAACGAACTCAACAAAACAAAAAAAACGCACGCACGCACGTACCTCTTTTTTCTTCTCTCGTTTGCTCTTCACCTCATGAAAAGGATCTACACAAAGAAGAATAAAGTTATATAAGATTAAATATATGCGTAAAGGAAAGGAGAAGAAAAGGAAAAACCCTAGTATACCTTGGGAGAGAAGGCGACTAACAGCTTCGTTAGGGTCCATGTTACAGTCTTTGAGGGTGGCATAGATCTCGTTTTCAGGGATGTTGCTCACTATTTCCTTCAGACTTTGAACCATCTTCCGACTCGCCGGAGGAATCCCTGCCTTCTGGCCGCCACCGCCTTTGCCGCTCATCCTCCTCACTCTCACTCCGATCTGCCACCGCCCCCGCCGCTCTACTCGCTAGGGTTCCGCCGCGATGTAAATATCTACGCGCGCTCTCGCTCTCTCTCTCTCTCTCTCTCTATGGATTTGCACCCGAACGGAAAGGAAACAAAACAAAACCCCTCCTCTCTTTTTCTCGCTTCTGAGTTTCTCTTTTTTTCCTTTTTTCGCCTTTTTCTCTGCAAACAAATAACCATTAATCAATTGTTAAAATCTTCATCCATGTAAATCACTGATTTCCTTCTGCTTTTTAACATTGATAAATTGATTCATGCGTGTCCACCCTATCTTTCTCTTTTATTTTATTTTCAAACTTTTTTTTTAGAGAATCGATATCACTGTTTATTCTGAGTAAAATATAATCACTTCATTTAATCCGGTCGTAATCTACATGAATAGCTTCATTTCATGATTTTTCAATTTAATTTGCAAAAATCCATATAAAACATGGTAATTAAGTTGGTCTGAAGGATTGTAAAAATTTGATAAATGAAATCGGATATTGTATTTTCTTTTAAACTAATTCTTTATTTGATTGATATCTTTTACAAACAATTGTCAAATTGTTTTTCAAACCATTTTTTTTAATTTTAAATAATTATTTTTAGAAACTATGTACATAAAAGATAAATACAATTGATATATTATTCAAATAAAAAAATATTTGACCTTAATATTTAGGGATGACAATGAATCATATATTTGTGGAGTATTTATTAAAAAAGTCATAATAAATACGGTAATTATTTATTTGATAAATTTAAATTTGTATATGAATAAATATTTACAAAAATTGATAGACACAAATAGGCTTATTATAGTATATGCTTCTTGGTCATATTTTTGTACGCAAAATGTGTGTAAATAGAATCATGATTGTGTTGTGTTGCTAAGTAGTGGCCTGTGCATTTATTAGCGTAGCTCTAAGGTTGGAGCTGAACAACCATGGGACTGTCTCCCTTTGATATAACTGACATGCTTCTGCTTGAACCATTTATGGTTTGATTCATTCCGTGGCCAAGGTGGGGGCTTATTTCTAAACACCACCTGATATGGGTTCTCACTTGGATAACTTGCTTGTACCATTTTTCCCATCAACTTCTCAACCTTTAGTATTTGTAAAGGCACGTGTATGGGTGTTAAGATAGGTTGAAGGTGGATGGGATGATCCACATGATGTGAGGTTGGCAATAGTTTGGTTGGTTCCATGAATACGAATATGACTCACAATATGGTGATACCTTCAAGTGGTGTCATACACTGGGTTGGTTGAGTGGTTCTATCAATGCATTATTATGAGAATTCAAGTTTTAATCTTTGTCGCTACATGTGGGTTGCCTCCTCCATTCAGATTTGGAACACATTAGGATTACCAATTCAACCACAACATGTGGATTGTTTATGCTATTTTGAACAAACTTATAGAGTATTGGGAGTTGTTGCCATGTTGTTGGTGTTAAAGTTGTTTTTTGAACCATTGTTGTTTGGATCACATTTGTCATTCGTTGTTCCAGCCTTTGGTGGAGGAGATTGGATAGGTGTTGTATGGAGTCCTGAATCTTGATGAATTACGCATCATACATTGTTGCCATAATGCCAATCTTTTGGAATCCAGGTTGTGAACTTGTTCTTCTAGCCATGTGCAGACTTAGGTGTTGAAAATGAAGAAAACATGCGAAGGATCTATCACGCCAACAAGAAAATATGAAAGAACCAATGGATACATACAGGAAACAAAGGGAAGAATAGTAAGAGAAAAAACGAGGAATATTTTAGAGAAGTATCACTCGAGCCAATGATTATTCTACTACTCTATATCCTCTAAATATGCATGTACTATTGCAACCAAAAGTTATCCAATATCTGTTACGTATCAATTTATTATTATTGTTATGCTTTATTACATCGCGTGATTCGTATCTTTGTGTGTGAATGTAATTATAAAATGAGAGAAAAATATAATATATAAAATGTGTTGCCACCTCACTCTTTAATGTGAAGATTTAAATTTATAATATTGTAGTAAATTGTAATCATTTAATTTTCTTACTATTAAAAGTGAATATTAATTGGATTAAGTTATGCTTGATAAAGCATAGATTTAGCCTGTTTTCCAAAATAAAAATTCAAGTTGAGCTTATTTGATACAGACTTATTTGATATACTAATAATAATAATAATATTATTATTATTATTACTATTATTATTATTATTTTAGTTAAACTAGTTTATTAAGCTTGAATGTCTTTTTAAATAGCCTAAAATCAGTCCTTTTAAATTAAATATTTTTTAAATGACTTTATTTAGTAAGTAAATTCACATTGTCATACAGGAAGACAACTGATTCATAAAATTTAAGAAAAATTAAAGCATTTGAAAAGTTAATATCAATCACATTAGAGAAGCTAATAAATTTGTTAATTTTTTTGCTCACTTCAGTTTTACTAATAGATCAGGCTTTAGGGTAATTGTTTTCCTCCTTTAGAAATGTCTCAAGTACCTTTTTGCTGAAGTATTAGGAGTTTCTAATCATCGCTCTATCTCATGTTAATTTTCTGTTTTTAGGCTTAGACCCCCTTTTTTGTTACAAAAAAAAATCACATCAATTTGAATTATTCTTGAAATACATTCACATAATTTTCCCTGTATTTAAATATAAAAGCGTATAGCTGCAAATAACCTAAGCATTGCTACGAAATAATAAAAAAATTATAAAACAATCTACGAAAATATGGTTGTTAAACCAACTTGAAGATAGGGTTTGTACTTTGGTCATTGAATAATCAGGAGTGGGTTTCAAATATTAGGCAAAGGAGTAAAAATGCAACCCACATGAATATTAATCCACGAAGAGTACAATAATGATTGATGCTATTATATTTATTTCGTATACTTGACTATCTGCGGAAAGCCCATTACTCAACTGACGCTCATACGTCTCCATTTCGTCTTCTCTATTTTTGGGTCGTGAATTTTGGGTCTTGCATTATTATGACTGCTGCTATCATCTGGCTCTACATCCAAACGAGATAACTGCAGCCACATTTGAGTCTTGAAGTATACTTTTCAACGTAAGCATTCAGGCATCAGATATTTTGTAAGATAAAGGCCTGCTTTAAAATACAATTCTGATATATAAATACCCGTGTCACTCATGTGATATCTCTCATCTATTTCTATTCTTCTTAAATCACATCATAAGTGTTACATCTATCACTTTTCCCTCTTCTCTTCTATTGTTTGCATTCATCAGGGACAAGGATTTGGAAACCTTGAATGAATCTTGTTAATTTCTTCTATTACTTCATACGAGAGCTCGATCTTGCATGCATTTAGAACCTCTTGGAGCTGCCATGATTTGGTTGCCCCAAAAACAGCACTAGCAACAAGTGGGTGTCGCAAAACAAAGGCTGTTTAAAGGGAAAAAAAATAAAGGAACATGATAAATAAGACAGGAAATCTGATACAGAAGAAGGGAATAAACAAATATTCCGGAGCTCCTCACGGATAAGCTCACGGACCCCAATCAATAGCATGGACAATGGACTTGAAAAAAAAGAAAGAAATGAATAATGAAATGCATGAGCAATTTGCAAATGATGAATAAAATTGCATTATCCGTGTGTCATCAATGACTCTTCAATGCTAAGATCACACTAAATTAACCATTTTTTGGTGCCCTTTTAAAAGGGTAAGATATAAAACTCACAACATTCTTTTTTTTTTAGAAAGAGAAGCAAATGCATGGTATCCGACATAAAAAGTAAAGGAGCGATAACTTCAGCTTTGAAGCTACGACTTGTACGAATTTACCAAACCTCTATCAGTATTAACAGACTGCGTTATTGAATTCTACATAAACAGCGATTACATGTGTGTTTTAGTTAAACCAAATGCATAGGATTGAAGAAAAGCAATGCAAACGCATGCGCAACTACCAAACTACTTAAGCTGTTAGCATCCTCTCCTTGTATATGGACGATGTCAAACAATATGGCTGGCCACCATATGATTTAGGATTGCTAATAACTGAGCTATAATTATCACACTCAATTAAAAGGGGGAAGGGGGTTGCGCATGAAGATACAGGAAAAGATTAACAAACCTATAGCCAGGGATACAGGATGAAGACCATACGTTTTTGCAATGTTAAGGTACTCCTGCAAAATGGGAAAGATACAGATATCGTGATTAAAATTATTAAACAGAAGAAACACGAAATAACTTGGAAAAAGAGATTCCAACTAACAACAGTCACCGTAATGTTCTGTTTTAAATGTCCACATCTATGATAAATCAGCATATCGTGAATAAAAAGGCAGAAGAAAGCTGGAAGTCGATATATTCTTAGACCAATAAAAACAGATCAATTCATTCAAATTTCTCACTCAAATTTGGTAACAAGAGTGTACAAAATTTCTCAAATTTTAAATGATAGTGCCCGGCTAGTGCATGTTTTAAGATCTAACGTGATTAGTCCAAATTAAACAATTTCCCTCGTTCAAATAGCATCAAATGCTCCAAAATTAGGCAAACTTTAAATATTCTAATCAGAACAACAAAAATGTGCTTTACAAAACAAAGCAAATATACATTCACATTCCAATAAGCTAATAAAAATATTAGCATTGCAACAATGTTGAGGAGAATCCACTTACCACAGTAGCTGCCTTTATAACTCTATTGGACAAGTTGTATCTGGACTCTCCTTCTGAGTACTTCCCTGTTAATGATGACAATAGTATCAGTTGGATAAACATATACATACCATGAACTTGTCTTATTTTTTTCCCTTTCTTTCCTTCTTTCATGTTGGGAAGGATGATAGAGGGTGAAAAATCTTGATAAAAACAAAACATGTCTCACAAAATGTCAATCAACCTTTAAAAAGATTTAATCGAGCATCTGTTGGACCACCACCGGGGGAAAAATATTTCCCTGAAAGTATACCCATTGCCAGGGGACTGTAGGCCAACAAGCTAATGCTGAAAAGAGAAATCAATTATCCAATGATGAGGCTTTCCAATGCACGAAAATTATTTAGGACAACAAATGCAGTAAAATTTATAAACAAGTTTCCATCCATTAAGCTTTCATTGTTCCTTCCATTCAAATTAAATAAAATTTTACCACTATGTTTCTATTAAAGCTGATAGATTTAAATAACTGTTATGAACCAAATATTCAAAAAGCTTAAATTGTTGGTTGAAGGCACATGAATGATTTTATATCTAACAACCCTTATCTGCAACCTTTGGGCTTAAAGTGTGAACAATGCACCAAGCCTCTAGAAGAATAGTGTCAACACAGATCGAACTCTAGATGTCTTAGTCAGAGGCTCGGATAACTGGGAACACCAACTATCCCAGAAGAAAGTTTTCGGGTGAAAAAGTAATATTAAATACCTCTCCTGATGGCAGCATTCAGCCATTGCAGAATCAAAAGTTCTACATAGCAGGCTATATGAATTCTGTCACTAAACAAAAGAAAACTAGCATCAGAAGTAAACTTTCATAGAGGGAATTGTAGGTCACGTGAGGTTTCCATACTGGAAATAAAACAAATGAAACCTGCAAAGATACTATCTTCGGGCATGAAGCATATTTTTCAGCAACTTGAATAAACTTCATTAAGCCATATGGCGTTTCATTACTAAGACCAACATATCTGATCTGCAAAGAAAATGCAGCGATTTTCATACCCATGAATTGTGATATTGACAGGTTGACGATTGAAACTATTTAACAATAAAACTTACCTTCCCAGCTTTCACAGCTGTGCCGAGAGCTTCAAGTTGTTCATCTATACTGATTGAAGAGTATTGTCGGACTGGGTCATACTTGGTTTCCCCGAACATTGGAACATACCTACAAAGTTTGGTGTAATATTTCAAAGTTAAGTTCTATATAGGTATATGCTCATCTGGGAAAAAATTAGAAAGCTGACCCCCACGTAGTAACGGAAACAAATATACAAAAATTTAAGCTAACAAAAACATACAAACCGATCAGGCCAATGAATCTGATAAAGATCAATATAATCCATTTGCATCCGCAACAAACTGCATAAACTCAACAACAAACCCATCAGACTTTGATACCAGACAGATAATCATAAAATGCAAACTTAATATCATATCTCTTCCAAAAAGGACAATCTTGATATAAAACAAAATTATCATAACATAAAAAATAAAAAAAAATAAAAAAAACAAGGATGTGAGAAAGAGTGAAGAAGGAGAGGAACTATTAACTAACCTATTATCTATGGCTTCAGTAATATTGGTTGCATCCAAACATTTAGGACCCCCTCTAATCCAAGTCATTTGGCCCGACGGGCCAGCAACCTGTGCAAAGTTGAGACAATAAAAAACATAAAATAATAATTCAACTAAGATATCTGTTGATGCATAGAAGAAGAGAACCTTAGTTGCAATTACGAGACGATCCCTAGGGATTTTTCGGTGTCGAATCCAACGGGCAAGGTAGTCCTCGCTCCTGCCACACGTGTGAGAGCGCTGAGGCACAGGATACATTTCTGCAGAGTCGAAGAAGTTGATGCCGGCGTCGAAGGCTTGGTCGAGAATGCGAAAGGATTGAGGCAGCGTGTTCTGCTCTCCAAAAGTCATTGTTCCTGGCAATGGCAGATCAATGAATGATTGATTCGTTCATTCATTGAATGAATGGTTAGAGAATGAAAAAGGTACCTAAGCAGAGCCTTGAGACAGTGAGATTCGGAGCCAGGTTGAAGAGAGGAACAGCTGCCATCTACACTTACAACTACAATCAAACAGAGATGAGTAAATGTGAAGAACATATACACAACAATACGGGAGTTCACTCCAACCAAACCGTTATAGATAAAGTAACCCAGGAATTTTCTGAATTAAATAAAATTTGGATAATTAAATTAGAAAAATAAATTAAGAATAGTAGAAGAATATTTTTTTTTTAAACACAGGATTTGAAATATATATATATATATATATAAACAAAATATGGTACTTTTAAAAAAATTACAGAAATGTAAAATTTAAAAATTATTACTGACAATTTTTTAATGATACAATGAAAAGTTATGAAGTTTTAAAATTTTGATATTTTTTTAAAAAATATATTAAAAAATAAAAAAATAAAAATTGCTATAATAATTTTTGAAAAATAAAAAAATTCATATTTTTATGTTTTTTTAAAACACTATATTTTAATATTTTTATTTTTTCCCATAAAAAATGACCCAATAGTGCTACATTGTTTTAATTAAAATACTTGTTTATACTTATTTAATTTTAATTTATTAAATATGAAAATTTATTATTAAAATCACTTAAAGTAAACTGTTACTTATATCCTTATTATTTTTAGGATTCATCAAAATAAATTTTGAATTAAATAAAACATCATTTTAGTCTTAAAGATTCTTCAAAATAGTCATTTTAGTATGCAATATATGTATATATGTATTCATTAATTATTATTTTTTAAATAATTTTTAAAATTTAAAGTATAGAAAAACTAAATTAATTAATTAAATATTCTTTATATTATCTTTTAATGCTATATGTCATATTTGCTTAGTATTTTGATAAACTGTCAAGATTAAAGAGACTTGAGAAAATTAAAATGGTAAATTGGCTCAATATAAAGATTATTATGATGAATTTTTGAATTAAAAAAAAGATTTTATAATTTAGTATTAATAATTTGAAATTACTATGGGTGGTGTGAGAGAATCGAGGAATGGATACGATGTTAAAGAGGAAGAGTAGTAGTTGTTGTGATGAATGAATGAGGAGAAGATGAGTGGTTATGTGTATCTGAAAGCACCTTCACCTCTCTGGCGACCTCATCTTCATCTTCCCATTCCAACGCTTCGCAACACTCTCCTCGGCGCTGCACTCTCAGGTGCCATTCTCTTCTCTTTCCCAGTCCCCTCTGTCTCTGCTCTCCAACAACCGCCAACTCTTCATTCCCAAACATGTCACGACGTCGACACCATGCTTCCCGAGGTTGTCACCAACGATGACCTTGTCGAGGAAGCATGGCAGATTGTCAACGATACTTTTCTCGACACCGGTCGCCACCGCTGGTCTCAGGACACGTGGCAGCTCAAGAAACAAGCTTTTTTCAGCAATTCCATTAACACAAGATCAAAGGCACACCATGTCATCAAACGAATGCTCGCAAGTTTGGCCGATCCTTATACGCGTTTTCTTTCACCTGAGGAGGTAATTCATTCTTCAATTTTTCATTCTTCAATTGCTGTGCTTCTCGTGTTTCTTACACAATGAGCCGATGACAGTTCTCGAAGATGGCGAGGTATGACATGACTGGTATTGGACTAAACCTGAGGGAAGTTCCAGATGAAAATGGAGACCTTAGACTGAAGGTCCTGGGAATCATATTGGATGGTCCAGCTCATTCTGCTGGTGTAAGACAGGTACATAAGTGTGAAGAAAGAACTATTTTGTATAATATAATAGGTTTCATTTATTGTTCTATTTCTCTGCTAGGGGGATGAAATATTGGCTGTGAATAACATGGAGGTAAAAGGAAAATCAGCATTTCAAGTATCTTCCCTGTTGCAAGGCCCTAATGGAACATCTGTGACTATTCAGGTTTTGGATCCTAATTCCATGTTAGTTTAGCACCTGCTCTAGCCTGTGTTTATAACTTTTTTTTATGTTCAAGTTTATTATTAGCATTACTACTGTCAGGTCAAGCATGGCAACTGTGGACCTGTTGAATTAATACAAGTTCAACGGCAACTTATTGCTCGTACGCCAGTCTTCTATCGGCTGGAACAACCTGACAGTGGTGTTACACCTGTTGGGTACATACGCCTCAAAGAGTTCAATGCATTGGCCAGAAAAGACTTGGTTATTGGTAAGTGGTTTTACACCCTTTTTGTTTCTTTAAACTAATGTTGCTTCTCAGTGAGAGCAATTTTTTAATTGGTATTTGGCTTTTAAAAGGAGGGGAAAAAATTTACCAATCTTCTGTTGCTAATTCTTACTCTTAGTGATGCTATATTCTTAATTTTGAGACTAACTGATACTGAGATATGTATTCTGAAACTTTGATGAGAGAAAAGATAGGATAATGCTTATAAAGGATGGAATACAATATTGATTTATATGGGAAATCAATGATTTGAGTGAATATTAATTTAGAAGCCAATGCAAAATTAGTCAAATATTTTAATGTTTTCTTTTTCTAATGTTAATGCCTTTCTTAAGTAAGGTGTGAGCTTTTTCATGCTTCTTACCTCAAGGCAATGAAATCCCAGCACATTAAGGTTGCCTTTCTCTTCTCACTAACTTGACCATGATCTGCTGGGGTTCTTTTATTTACCTTATTGGTTGGTAGTATAAAAATTTATCATCTAGGGTGTGTAACTCATGCAAGAATAAATATCATACAATGTTAAAAGAATAGTTGAACGGTAAGACTGCTGCTCTTTTGGATCCTTATATCCCCTTTGATGATGTTATTAGTTCTGGATTCTTTCATTAGTTATTTTCAGTTTTTTATGTATGACACCAGAATGAATGAGTTTTGCAGCAATGAAGCGACTTCAAGACATGGGAGCCTCATATTTCATATTGGATCTCAGGGACAATCTTGGTGGGCTAGTACAGGTTGCTCTTCCATATAATCCTATCTACCTCTTCCATTCTGATTCATTTCTTTGACATTGACTACATTTGAGTTCTTATATTGTTTTCCATCCTTAAGTAGAGATAAACTAAACAAAGGTGCCTAAGGCTTCTATACGGTGGTGTGTTAAGTGCAGATTAGAACGGAGAGAATAGACATTTATTGGCCTGCTTCTATTAATGCTAAATGGCCAGATTGTTTTTGTTCTCCAAAAAGTATGCATATAACAAAGAAATATCCAAAGAGAGTCCAGCTCATGTAAAACACGTTTGTTAGCATCTTTTCATAGAAAAACCTATCCAAAGAAGAAAAATGCATTGGAAAAAGGTTCAGTATTGTTCACGTCTAAATCTGGACACATTTGAATTTCAGATGTTGAAGTGACTCTTGTAAAACCATAGAAATACTTGAGAACTGATTTGGAGCTTTGAAGCTCTTTACTTTTGTGTTACTAATTTAGTAGCTTTGAGGTCAAATTGAATATATTTCCATTCACTTGTATTATACATATTTGCCTATTTGCATGTGTGGATAGCTGCTTTTGCAGGAAGGTACTATGACATGGTTACAAGAATTATATTTTCTTATTTTCAGAAATTTAAGTAAATTTGTATTCTTCTGTCAAGTTGTGCTCACATCACATATGCTTTGGTTGATGTAAGATGATAAGAAAAATGATGCCTGCATTCTATTGAGTGTAGCTTTTCTTTTCTTTTTAAAATTGCCTAATTTAATTATAACTTTTAACTCATTCAGGCTGGAATTGAAATTGCAAAGCTTTTTCTACATGAAGGAGACACGGTATGTCAATTTCATGCTCATTACTGATTGTAATGGTTTTGAACTCATTTCTGTTTCTTAATGCAGACTTGTTCTTTTCTAATATCTTCATGACAGGTGATCTACACTGTTGGGAGAGATCCTCAGTTCCAGAAGGCTATTGTTACTGATACTTCCCCATTGATTCAAGCTCCTGTTGTTGTAAAAATTTTCCTATGTCTGAAAATTTTTATCATTGAATTAACTCTAGGAATTATTTCTACTTCTCAAATTCATTTTTGGTTGATCATCAGGGCAGGAATTGTCCAAAGATGTTTCGTTGTCTGAGATTTGAATGAAATTATTTATTGTTCGACTGGCAAATGGTGATTGTAGATGCCCTTTTCATAAACTTTGGTAATGTGGACATTAGAAATAGCACATGACACCTTCCAAGATTCAAAGATAAAGATTATGTTGAGGTGGATTACTGACTTGCAAGAAATTATAAGATTAAGAACCAGTATGGATTTGGGATTAGGTTGGAGTGCCCATTAAGGAGATGATAGAAACTTGTCCAAGATAGTTGGGTAATGTGAGGACTGGGGAGAAATAACATATGACTCTTCGCAAAAAGTGGATCTAATGGAAGATAGGCTGATAATAAAGGATAGACGAAGACTGGAAGAATTTAAGAAAGCATTCAAAAAGATCTTATAAATGAATTTATTGAAAATTTTGTTTTTTATTGGTTCCAATACTTCAATAGCATTATTTGGTTGGATCTAGTTTTCTGGATATTTTCATTCCCCCTTGTACTTGACTACCCAAAATTTTGAATTAAGATGAGATATTTTATATGTTTGATCATTTAGGTAGCTGATCCTTGGTGTGTGATTGAGTGTTTTGAGCGAGGTCACACAAGCAAACTTTAAAATATTCTCCTTTTGAATGGCCTATATATGTCACTGATCAGTAGAATTTTCATTTTGTGGACTGCATGACAAGGCTTATGATTCTTTTTGGTTTGAACCCATGCAGATTTTAGTAAATGACAAAACTGCCAGTGCAAGCGAAATAGTGAGTAGCTCAATTTTGTAATATATTTGTTTGATTTGTCACGCTTAATTCGTATAATGCCAGTATAGGTGTTGTACTTATTTCAGGTTGCTTCTGCACTTCATGATAATTGTAGAGCTGTTCTTGTTGGAAAACGCACATATGGCAAGGTATATGAATTTTTTTCCGTGGCTGCTGCATGGTTCAAACAATGTAGACTTCGATCTGAATGTTTGTTTTGAAAATCTCAAATCCCCATATTTGCAGCTTTACTTCATGGTGTATAGTATATAACTTTTTGAAGGAGTACTGCAAAGACAGTGCAATTTTAAACTTTTTTTTTCTTTGGCATGGCCTAATTATCTCTGTTTATATATATATATAAACGGGCTTCTTCTTTATTCTGCCTCTCTTACTAAACGAAAGATTATAGAAGAAAATCGTATTGATGTCTTTATTTTGCTTGTTATATTTGCAATGGCTGTATTGCTCTTACGCATGTATAATTATCGGATGTCTGGTGTAGCTTTAACAGGCTCTTCATGACTCCTCCATACTTGTAACAGGGTCTAATCCAATCTGTATTTGAGCTTCACGATGGATCTGGCATAGTTATCACTGTTGGGAAGTATGTAACACCAAATCACAAGGACATAAACGGCAACGGAATAGAGCCTGATTTCCAGAAATTTCCTGGTACAATTATGTTTACTTCTTTCCTTTTTCTACTCTGTAGTCAAATGGTAATACTAACATGACTCTTGTGATCTGAGCCCATATTTGCAGCTTGGGATGATATCAGTCAACATCTTAAAAAATGCAGTATGCCTCAACAAGGATAAAACAGTTTCTTTGACATTCCAATTCAATCTTAATCTTTGGCTTTATCATTCAATTTGAAAATTTTGAAGAATCTGCTTGCTGGAAGCTGTGTATATCTCAAGAATTCCAGGTTAATATAGGTATATGGCAGCATGGTCTGCGTAGCCTTCTTGACTACAATGACATTTAATTTATCATACACTGGCTTAACACCCAAGATTAGTGTGCAAGGGATTGGTTTGGAACATTTTTAACTGTTCCATCCAAGATAAATTGAATAGTGGACATGCACCCAGGAACCATGCAAGGGTTTGTATCCAAGAAGTCAGTGTAGAAGCAACTTCTTAATACTTACTAACATAGAGAAACTGTGTAACATTTTTATGAACATTATGATGATACATGTTTCTCTTTCTTCCTTACAAGTTTTTCCTCCTCCCCCCCCCCCCCCCTTCCTTTTGACCGAATTGAAGTGTATGATAATGTATTGAAAATTTCCACCTTATTGGTAAAGAACTCATTACCATATTACTGCTTGTATTTTAACTATTCTGCACATTATTCTTGATGTTAACACGTGCTTTTACTTGCAGTAATGTCACTATCAGCCATTTAGCATATAGTGTTGAAATGTATAACATAAAAGGGTTAGAACATATTAACACAACTGAAAGTCAGCTCATGTTTTTAGTCACAATGGAACATTTAAATACATTCCCTCCCGCTTAAGATGGGAAGTTTGATCTGTGAAGTTTGTAGAACTGAATATTTTCTGGTAACTCAACAAAAAGATTAAACATGTCTTAAAATCATATTAGAAAGTAATTTTAAAGGAGGAAGATTGTCTAAGTTTTATAACAAATATCTTGATCATATTTTTATCTAATGTAAGACATTTTATTTGTAAACTATCTTTATGACTCAATTCTTATTATATATATATATATATATATATATATATAGACATTTGAGAGACTAATTATTTCTATATATATTGAAGCCTTTTTGTTACCGAGAGAAATTCATTTAAATATTAGGAATATATACATAGAAATATTTAATATAATTTTTTGTGGAAAAAAATAGCATAAACCTAATCCACTTTTAATATTGAGAGATTTGGATTATTTGAAATTAATTAGCTTCATGACTCCATATATTAGAAAAAGATAAAAAGAAATTTTTAAGTTTAATGTCTTAATTAATTTTCAATTGAGAGTCTGTTTTAAGTTTTTTGTCATATTTTTAAAAAAAAAAATCACTTTTGAAATTTTTTATTGTGTGAAATTAGAGAAAAATAAAATACGGGAAAAAAATCAAATTTCTAGTTATTCTAAGAATCTATTTTGAGTGATTTTTTTAGAAAAAAGCTGAGACTGTAATTTTATTTTATTTTTTTGCTATAAGAGGGGGCCAAGAGCCCAAAAAAAGCTGATTGTAATTACCTTTTAAAATAAAAATATTTTCATAATTTTAAAACAAAGAAATTACAAGTTTTATCTTTTATTAATAATTTTTATACATTTTTAAATTCATTTTTTTAATAGCAACAAACAGCCTGAATGAAAATAGTTTTTTGATCATGTTAATGAAAAATTGATTATGCATAAATGATAAAAGCATTCAGAATTGAATATTTGGATGGTTTGAAATTTATGAGTCTATTAATGATGAAAAAATCAGATAATAAATATGCATTAATTTTGTGATGTAATAACGATTAATACTAATTAATTAAAATATCTCAATTTAAGAGATTAAGGATGTAGAATCACGTATTCCTACGGTATAAATAATCTGAAGTGAGGGGGGGAAATTGTAGACAGAAAACACTTCAAAATCCTCAAACTGATAAACTTCAACGTCTCCTCTCTCCGCTTTTTATAGTAATTTCCCTGCAATTCTGTTTAACGTTTGTTTGTTTTTTTAAAAAAAAAACAAAAACTCTTTTTTCCTCCCCATCCTTAAATTTTATATCAATTCCTCTGCATTGTACTATTTAGTTTAAACTTATAATAGTTACTCGTGAAAACAAGTCTTGAAAATAATTTATATTATAAATTTATTTTTTTTAAAGCTTAAACAAAGAGGGCCTAGGAAAATAAAATTCTCAGTATCAATGGTAAAAAGAAAAACATTTCAATTCCATTTCATTCTATTAAACGGAGACTCTGATATATATTGTATTATATCGATTTTATATATATACCTTCTATTATAAATTTAGTTTTTATTTTTAAATGACAGTATTTTAAGAGTTATTATCATCTTTATTAAGTTATTTAATTTCTCTTACCTTGAGCTACTTATATTTTGTTTATTCTTTTTAAATATTATCTCTCAATTTTAATTTATTATGGTTTAAATATTAATATATTATATTAAATTGAAGACATGTTTAAAGGTGTCTCGTTGCCAGTAAACTTCTTATTTGATAATGATACGATTACCCCCCATGACTTCTCAATGAGGTATTATTTGTAATATGTTGGGAGTTTGATACACTTTACTGCATTATTGAGAATCTTTTCAGCTTAAGTCACTTAAGTTCTGTAATAGACAACTTAGATTTTTTAAAATTTTTTGTTACAATAGACAAACTAAGATTTGAGACAGGGTAGCTTAAGCATGACAAGATTATCCTAAGTTCTTGTTGGACAAGGCAGCGGTCGCATAACTTGAGTTTCTTAGGAAAGGAATCGTACTTCAAAAACATTCCAGAGGAACTACTTATTCAGAGAAAAGAAAATGGCTTGTGTATTAAGAGGAGAAGGATAAAAACAATATAAGGGAGACAACATTCTTCATTACAAACCCTGAAAGGGAACTAAACCACAGTGCACAGGCTTTACCTTTTGGTTCATTCCCATAAAACAGTAGAAAAGAGTGGCACAAAAGAGAACGGGCGTTGCAGAGATATCACCGTCAAATTAATTACATATATATACTGCAGCCCCAAGCATCAGATTTAATGAAACGGGTCACCCTTTTGTCTTTTTCCTTTGCTATGCACCTTTTTGGCCCCCTGTTTGCACCTTCTCTTGCTTGCTTATTTCAACTATCCAATGCCTCCTTTCTCAAGTTTGCTTATATTCTTCCTTCTCTCTTTGATCCAAGAAAGCTATGATTCTTCAAGATTTTATTATATATAAAATATAAAAAGATGTGGATTAAAAGAATGAAATTCTTCTTAACAGGAACTCATAAGGTGCTGCCCTTGTTTAATAAATCTTAGCTTGTGAACATTGATCCAAATCAAGAATGAAACACCGGCAATCCAAGCACAGAAGCCAACCTGCAGTAATGGGTGCTAGAAGTTGGCACCTTGCGTTGTTCTCCATGTGTCTTTTCTTTGGTTCAGGTACCACATTAATAAGGAGTAACAATGTAGTTATTTATCCTTTCCCATGCATTTATAACCAAAAAAAAATAAAAATTATGCATAAGATATATAATTGAAGCCATTAAGAGCTATAGAATCGTGGACAAGCACAGTTTTAGATTCAACTATAATGAACTTGATTAGGTGCAATTTGCATAAATTGATGGTAAGTTTAGAAAAGGTATATACACAGCTCGTGCATCTCTGTCACATCAGTTCATCCATACTCTGTCACCTTACAGGCAATTGTATAGGAAAAAAATGGGTTGGCTAACATGAATTGAGTTGGTCAATTTCAGTAAATTATTCCCATTTGTCCTATTGAAGAGTTAAAAGGATCTTTTTCCGTTTCTTTTCCAGGTCTAGGTGCAGCCAAAATATTAAGAAATGACGAAAACCAGGAAATCTTCTCATCATCGGAATTGGGTACTCAGTTGGATGACGTTCCTGTCGTCAACCCCACAAATCCAGGCACAGGAAATCCGTATCCTACGGGAAACCCTACAACTCCTCAAGCACCTGACACAGCAGGGCAAAACCCCACAACCCCAAACACAAACCCAACAACACCAACCCCAAACCCAACAACACCAACCCCGACCACTCCTTCATCATCAGGTGGTCAATGGTGTGTTGCTAGCCAAGGAGCTTCAGACACTGCTCTACAGGTTGCTCTTGACTATGCTTGTGGGTATGGAGGTGCAGACTGCTCAGCAATACAAGCAGGAGCAAGCTGTTATGACCCAAACACACTCCGTGACCATGCTTCCTATGCATTCAATGACTACTACCAGAAGAACCCAGCACCTACCAGCTGTGTATTCGGAGGAACAGCAACACTTACGAGCAATGATCCAAGTAAGAATTTCGTAGAACTTAAAAAGCACGATTATCTTCTTGTGGTCATTTCCTTCGTTGTGACCACGGTATTCGATTGTTTTATGCGCCTTAAACAATGGACAAGAAAAATTTTGCGTTCAAAATCTTTGGGGCCGTGAGGCAGGGTAAACGATTCCTTGTGGGCTTCGTTTATTTCATTGTATTTTTAAGGGGAATGGATTAAACAATTCCTACTTGATTCTGTCTACTAAGTGTGCTTTCTACCTTAACAAAGAACATAACATCGAACACCATCGCAGGTAATGGGAACTGCCATTATGCATCACCCAAGTCAACAAGGTGAGAACTTGCATCGCCTATATCTCCTTCACCTTTCAAAGAATATAACATGAAGATGCAATCCTATACGTCCTAATATATATTATCAATGCAGCACTAGTCCGCCAACATATGTCAGCCCACCGAGTCCACCAACTCCAATAATGAACCCCCCAACTGAACCAGGCATGACGATGCCCGGGGGACCAACCGGCTATGGTTCGGAACCAACAGGAAGCCCCAACACTGCGACATCTACTTTTTGTTCCTTGATGTTGTTGTTAACATGCGGCCTCTTGGCTTCACTTCAACATCTAAATTGCATCTAGACGAGAAAAAAGGTCCAGTCATTCTTTATGTGATACGCTGGAATTCACTCAGTCTTCTGGCAGTTTTTGCAAAATTTCAAGGAGTCTAGGTCAACAAGTCTTGCAATTAAAATTACTTTTACCTTTCATCTATGTATGGCTATTAGTTGATCATAAAGCCTAAAAAAGTAATCCAAAAGGATTTATAGGTAGTAGACAGTTTTTCTGCAGCTTTAGCTTCTTACATAGAAAATCTTTGTAATTAATATCAGCTAGCATGCCATTTTATATACTAAACAGAATAAATTACATTAAAGAACTTTAAAAATCATCGTGTTTGGTCTAAAATAAGTTGTTGAGACCAGGAGATGTGTTCACGCAGCATAAACATAGCTTTGCCATCTTTGTTAAACAATTACATACGACCTAACAAATTCAACAGTTTACACTTAAATGTGCTCATTCCGTACAATCAAATGCTTAACTTGCCACACTTAAACAGTAACATTCATTTTTTAATATCGCAAGATGGTTCCCACAAACATAAAACCCACCAACATATAAAAGTGGTCAATTCCTCTTTCTAATTCTTAAGGTAGAGTATACGTGGAACTGCCGAACAATTCAAAATAACTTCCAAGGTGTTGCGTAATGGAATAGACAGACTTTTTACTCTTGCTAGATCAAGACTTGTAATTCCACAAAATATAAATCCAGAAGCTTTTTCTAGTCTTCATGGAACCATCCTTATGGAATAGAATCAGGATACAATCATTTCAACTACGAAATGGTATAATTTTAAATTGCCATCAATAAAACAAAAGAAATTTCAAAGTAACAAGTTAACCCTTCGTATAAAAGATGGTACTGCATAGGGTGTAATATTTTTAATTTGAATGATATGAATACGAAAGAAATGTCAAAATGAATAACCAACAGAGAGACAAGTTTCAAAAATGATAATTTTGAATAATAATAATAATGATGAAAAAGAAAATGTTAAATTGATTAACCTAATTTCAACACACCACTAAAAAAGGGTGTTGGAAGATGATAGCATTTCACCACTTTCTAACACATTTAACAAGTGTTGAACCAAGTCTAAATAAAACAAAATTTTAACATCATTTTTCCGTATGTTCCTCACATAAAAAAGCAACAGCAGAGACAACAATTGAAGCTTATTATGACAGGATATTCTGGAATCCAAAGCCAAAAAGCTAGCTCCAGTCACCAGAAAATTTAAAGAACATCACATTATATATACAAATTTGTATGACGAAAACAAATTTTAACTTCATTATTTGAATTAACAAGTAAAAAGTACAAGATTGAGTATCTAACATAATCCATATCATTTTTTACCCTGAAATATATCATCATTCCAACAAGTATTATTTTTATATACAACATACTGTAAGTGTTTATCATTTCAAGATCAACTCAGATTAGAAGTAGCAAAGATGAAAGAGTGATACAAATGACAGCTAAGGTGGCAACAATTGAACCTTGGTCAAATGATTGCCGTAAGCTTGTTCTTGAGAAATGCTGGAAAGCCAAATACGCTGCAATCAATACTGAAATTATTGCACCTTCTTTTGTGTCCCTGACAAAGAGAGATGTTGGAAGAATTTTATTTTATTTTTATAATATAGGAAAAAGAGGCAACAGCTCAACAACCTAAAAAATATGGACTTTCTTACCTTAATTTCATAGCCTCATAAGGGGCCACCATCACCAAGAGTAATGCCAGAAATGGCAACTCAAGCTCACCTGGAAATAAAGAATATCCAATAGAAAAAATTCCTTGCTTCAATTAATATTCAACCAGTGTGACGAACAAAATACACAATTTATTCGTATTATTAGACTCCACAATCAGGATTTTCCTTTCTTTCTTGTATTTCAAAGTTTATGCTATGAGAAGACAAAGAGCCCATCTTGAGGTTCCAAGAACAATATGTTGATTTACACCAATTTCACCGAGGGCTATAGTTCTTTAGGTCTACAGTATCCATTGTTTCTCCTTCAAGATTTCCTAAATTTCACCTGCCCGCGTGCATGAAGGATAAGAGGACATACCAGGAATATAGAAGAAGAGACGAACCAGAAGTGCCAAGAATGCTGCCCACACACCATATCTACCTCTACATGTCCAAATTTTGTAAGAAAATTTGACCATAAAAGAAAACCGTTGATAAGGGGAACAATACTCTACGAAATTTGTTCAACAAATAGAAGAATTGCTAAACAATTCACCATATAACTGAACAAGAAAACAAAATAAAAGAATTAATGACATACTTTATCCAGGCAACGACACCAGCAGGTGCTTGCAATGCAAACAACGGAACAATATATGACTTCGGGACGGCAGTGCCCTTTGCCAATATTAAAACCCTACAAGATTCTTAATATCCATCAGCCACTTCTCAAATTTTGCATTATTTAGCAAATAAAGAGCGGGAGTAAAAAGCACAACTATAAAATTAAGCTACATGCACGAGAAATCACGACCAGCCAGACCAAATAATTAATATAAGAAATGAATTTGCAGGATTAAGAACTAAAATAGAAAAGAGGACATGATTGTTCGACAATATGTTTCTTTCACTCATACAAAACAAAAGAATAATTAACAAATTAATATATATTAAAAATGTGTATGTGTAGTCTACAGCTCCATCAAATTCAAATTTCCAAATAGTAATAACGTAATTGAAAAAGAATAACAAATTACAGAAAAGAGAGTGAACTGACACGGAGGAAACAGTAGAGATCCATTGCAAATTAGGAGGGGTGAGAGGAGCAGGAGCATAGCAAGACACACGAAACCCTGCGTTTGTGTTGCTGGTCTTGGATTTCACCGTGCTTCTGATTCCGCAGCGACCGATCGAATACCTTAAATGAAAGCAGAATCTAAAAAGAAAAAGGAAAGAAGAATGAGAGAGACTGAAATGAGAATGAAAATACAGTACCTAAGGGGATTGAAGGTGTAGGAATAGGATAGCGATGGCGACGATGAGCGAGAGAGAGAAGCTGAAGATAGAGTTGCAATTGCTGTTGCTGCTGAAGAAGACACACACAATGAAGACATTTCTTATTTCTCTTCTCTTTTCTTTCTCTCTCTCTCTTTCAATCTCTGATCTCTCCTCTCTACTCTTATTTTCTACTTTTCGCATCATACAGTAATCTACCAATGCCACCAAGTGTCTTAAACCAATTCAGTTAAAAATTTTAGAATAAAATATTTCATTAAAATCTTAATTAATAAACATTTAATTATACTAAGATCTTGGTAATTTTACTAGATCCTACTTATCGGGTGGAAGCAACTCCGTGTTCACCACACCCTACAATTATAAAAAATAGCTGTAAGAATATCGACATTATCTCCTACAAGCATAACGATTCAAATTATATTGTTAATGTGAAGATTTTATGAGTAAATAATGTGCAAGTATTTTTAAAAAAAAAATATAAATCTAAAATTTTTTGTATTTATCTGATTTTTTTATTTAACTCATATTTAACAGTGGACTTAAATTAATTATAAAAGTTTTTATACTTATAAAAAGATCTTACTCCATTTTTTTTATATGAATTAAAGTTTTTCTTTCTCGTCATTATGAAGTTCGATCTTGGTTTGATCCGATCCGAAACGTGGTGTTGTTATGCAGATTTGAAAGGGAGAATTAATGAAAGCATAGTTGACCAAAAACTGATAATTTTCAATGACGAGTCTTTCTCGATTTGCTTTGGCTTTGTCTACAATATTGTGAAACATCTTTTCCTATGATCTTGTTGGCATCTGCTTGTGGAAAGAAAAATGGTTTGATCAAAGATCAATAGAATTGTGTTAGCTCACGTAAGAGTGTTATTTGCTCCTTAATTTAGGCATAGAGGTGGTGATGGTGGTTGCTATCGAGGGGTCCATTCTGAGTTATGACACCATCCCCAATGCCTCCAAAGGTGGAGCCACATTTTTATCGACTTTACATTTCTACTTGTCAAGGTCATTGTATTTGAATAGGGATACATTAAAAAAATTTATCTTCTAAATAAAATACTTTTTTTTATTTTTAAAGAATAAAAAGCTTCATTCTAATGCATTAAGGTATAAATTCATATAGTGCAATTAATAAAATATACGGTAGGTATAATTTTTAATTTAATTATTGTAAAAGTTATGAATTTTTTATATAACAATTTATTATTTTAAAAAATATTTACACTATTAATATATTTTGTAGTATCTTATTTTTATTTATTTATTTAATTATAAATTGCTGATTGATGATGTTAAATTTTCATTTCCTAAAGTAAAATTCTATTTTTTTATAAATATTTATTTAAAATTTTATAATATTTAATATGTGAAGTTAATATGATGATATTGTTTTGTATTTTTTGCCTTCTTAATTATTATAACAACCCAATTAAAGTCTTTAAAGATTGATTTTACGATTTATATCCGATGGCATAATAGTCTACGTGCTAATTCTTCCAATTGTCTGCATTTCATATATCCAAAATATGATGATCAATGAGTAAAACAATAATTTTATATGATAACTTATATCATTTATTTATTTTTATTTAAACTTCAAATATAAAAAATAAATTGTATTTAGAAACACATTATAAATATTTCGAGTATTGCTTTTCAATTAAAATTAAAGTTTTATATAGATAATATGTTAATTTTTATTATATAAAATATTAAAATAAAATTTTAATTTAATTTAAAAATACCTATAATAGTATACCGTAATTTTTTTATTCATTTAAATATTAAAAAGAGAAATGTTATTCTATTATCAATATTACCGTTGGCATAGCAAATTTTGTCATTTCCTCTATGGTGGATGAAAACATAACATCTGTTTTTCAAATAAATGTGTTTTTGAAACAAAAAAATTCTTCAAATTATTGATTTTTTTTTCATATTTTAGATGTCTTAAAAACAATATTAGCATAAATGTCACGTTTAAATCAATAATTTAATTAAAATATACTGACAGTGTAAAAAAAAATTACACTATCATCTAATTACATACTCCACCAGTAAAAATTATTAATTTTTATAACAATTAATTAAAAAAATCATATTTTTCACAAACAAAACGTTCAATTCTGCATGCTTAGAAGACATCGATCCATGTAAAGATGAATTAGAGAGAAAAAACAAACTAATAAATCTATGGATTGTCGAAGTATTTCGTTTAGATGAACATACTTATCTTAATAAATTTTAGGGTGTTCTTTAAAACAAGGAGTATTCTATATTAATTAGTTATATAATAAAGTTAGTAATTTATTTTTAAAAACATAATATTTTTAATTTTAAAAAAATACAATGAGTACAATAGCAAGCATTATTTACTTTTGACATGAATAAAGATATTATGGATTTGAACTTGAGTGACATTGAAGATTTTGTGCATAATAAAATGAATATATCTTAAAAGGGCTAATAAAATAAAATTGTTAATTTGTTTGTGTTATTAACCTGGCACATCATCATTCTTATTATACATGCTCTATTTAAATCTGGACCTACACATTTTGTTGTTTCATGTATTATTCTTTAGCCACTGTCCACACACTCGTGTTTAGAGTGTGACATAGTTGTCCATACACGTCTTTTCTAAAAGTTGAAAAACATTTTACTCACTACCACTGTTGTTTGAACAGATCGTTGTGAATGATACAGAAATTTTGACAAGGAGATAAATGGCATCTTAAGCACTAAGTAAAGAAAGGAAATCACTCAACAGAATTAAACTTTGAAACTTTCAAATGATTTAATAGCATTAGATTTGTTTAATATGATTCAATCAACCTATCATGAATGTTTTGATGAAAGTCAAAAATTGAGATTTTTTAAAAATATATTTTTTAATTTTGTAATAAATAAATCAATACAAATATACTTATAACTAAATAACAAATTTAATATTTAAAAAAGCATAAATTATCTCAAATTTAAAAGTGAGATGAATGGACAACATTACATGCTGCCCATGCAACAGCTTAACGAGCAAGTTCAGTGAGAAGGCATGAAAACGTACAGTTATATACGTATTTATAACGTATCAACATATAGCTATTTATTATTGCCGTAATAATTATAAATTGAAAACCTTGCCTTCTCACTTCATTAATTATCTTATTTCAAACTTTTAAAACTCACAAGTAATTAATATATATAAACATTACTAAATAATACGAAGCGTTTCGTACAAAAATTTTACGAATTAAAAATGACCAATCAAGAAAAGTGTGTCAATGGGAGAAAAATAAAATATTGTTAAATAATTACTGATCAATAAAATTTAATTGTGCAGTGTGAATTTATTTTCTTGCCAAATATTTGGTAAGTACAAAATTTTAAAAATAAAATATTATTTAATGTTTTGAATTTTTATAATAATTACAGAACGAGCTTTTGTTACTAACTTTATCAAAACTTTATTTATAAAAAGGTTAAAAGACAGAAATATCTAACTTTCACCTATGAAAGTTGTAACATGTGCAAGACGCATGGAAATTTAATTTATTTTAGAGAAATAATATTTTATATTTATTTTTTTTGAAAAAATTTAAAAATAAATGATTGTTTTTATAAAAAAATTAATTATGCATTTTTAAATATGTATTTGAATTTTTTTTTTATCTAGATCATATATATCATTTAGTGGAGGCATTACTTTGGTTTATTTGTTTGTGTTTTTTTTAATCCTTCTTTAATTAAAAAACATGTTTAAAAATTACGTTAATCAAATGAGATTTTCGAAAATTAAAGCAACCATTTTCAAGCTTTTAAAATTACTAAAAGAACGTATCCAAACATATTTGTTGTCAGAAAGTCCACTAACAATAAAAGAATAATTTTTTTAGAAACGTCATTTTAACTTTTTATTTTTTAATTTAAATTTTTTATCCCTCATTTTTTTCCTTTATAAAATAAAAAAACTAAAAATTATTCATTTAGAACATGTTTGTTTGCATTTTTAAAAATACAAACAAACATGCTTTTAACTGTTTTTTTTTTTTTTTACAATTCTTTCGTTATAAAATGTCAAATCACTTTATGATGATAATGAGAGAGAAAGAGAAAGAGAAAGAGAAAGAGAAAGAATAAAGAAGCTGTTTCTAATAAATGTGAAAGGATTTTACTAGATATATACCATAAGAAATAAAGTGAAAACATTCAGGCCATTCCTTTTAGCATCAATACATCTTGAAGCATAATCAGCAAAATTTTGATAGAACTCAAATAGCATAATCAGCGATTACCAAGCAGCTCCGGAATCCTACTTGAAGACAATAATTTGAAATTTTCTATGCATGGTTGGTGTTGTCTGTGTTTCATCTTGAAGCAAAATTCATAGTACTAAAGGGACTTGGATTGGGTTTTGTTTGAAAACTTCCCTATCTAAAGAGCTGTACGCAATGATGGCTGTGCGTGGATCAAATGTGAAAAGGGTTGCTGAAAGGGTTCTGATTGTTTTTCTTCTTCTTTCAGTCTATGTTACTCCTTCTCATCAAAATACTGACCAGGAAACAACCTCAGCATCCAATGAGACGAAACGGGTTGATACTAATTATCATGCTAAAGTATTTTACAAACACACTTGGCCGGTAAGAGTATTCACTTGACAAATTTATGTTTTCATATATACACCTTTGAGTCAATTCAGGTAACTACAATATATATAGTAAAAAGATTTTATTCAGGCCATGCATGTGAATTGGTGTTTGCATATTAAGGACTTTGAATTGGGATTACCGTCGTAAAAGGGCTCTTTTTTTGGTTGCAGGGAATGAAATTTGGCTGGAAAATAATAGTGGGTTCCATAATTGGATTCCTAGGATCATCATTTGGGACTGTGGGAGGTGTTGGTGGGGGTGGCATATTTGTGCCTATGCTTACCCTTATTATTGGATTCGATGCAAGATCAGCAACGGCAATATCAAAATGTAAGAACTAGTATTTTTTCTCCAATTATCTTCCCCATATTCTTTGTTAAAAATAGCATTGGGTTATGATGAGATGCATGCATGGCATACGCTGGAGGTACTAGCATGCTTCCTTGCCCCATACTCAACGCCAACGTTTTAATGATATAATGTTTGGAATTAAATTATTTGCATGTTTTGATGTGTACCATGTTTCATAAACGATCATTTTGGGGAAATATTTAGTTTTTATGTTATTAAACTCTCTCGGGGCTATCTTCTTAATTAAGTATGCTTGAGTAACACCATTTCGTTAGCTTTCATGTCATCTCACATAATTCTTTATTCTTTTTACCCCAAAAGTAGCTAGTAATAAGCATATTAATAATTGTATATCTACCAAAAATATAGTAATAAAATATCTCCTCTACTCATATTCTTAGACTTTATGCACATTTAAGTAACGTATCTTATGTGAGGATTTCCACATCTTCCTGCTAGCTCTTTTTCATTCATATTGCTGAATTCTAGATACCTTAATTAAGTCGTCAAGTCAAATTTGAGCACTCTTAGCAATTAAATTTTCTCTAGGCTAAGGGTGCATGTTCCTACAATTGTGGTGGCATATATATATATATATATATATTGGAAAGTGCACATTACACTTGCTTCAGATCAACCTCTTTAATCTCTCTGAAAGAGTCCAGTTCATAAGATCGATCCGCTAGTGTAACTTCTAGCTATTGTTTATGGAGCCCGTCATGAAACAATTAACTTTTCATGCTTTTCCCCTTAGATGCAAGGTATGTATCAAATGAAAACAATAAAAGTGTAAATTTTTTATTCTAATTGCCTCACCACATGAAGTAGTAAACTATATGCACCATGATCGACTTACCATCTCCTAACTTGAAAAAGAAGTAAAGTTATGATTTTTAGAATCTCCTGGTAGAGACATTATCCAATTAATCCATCAATTTAGGATGAAGCTTGCTATAAACGGCCAGCATGTTGACACAGTTTAATTAAAATCAATTTAATCCGATCCAAGCCAAACTACTTATGAACTTATTGATGAAATTATCAAGCTAATTCTATCTATACAAGTATGTATTTTTCAAAAGAATTTAATTAAAATATTTTATATACCAGGAATGCTTCAAAATTAAACTCTTTATAATTTTTTTATTCTAATTCATTTTTCTCAGTCATTATCTGAATTACATCTTATATTATTCTAATATTCTCATAGATTTTTCTCAAGTTCTTTGTTATTATATATAACGTTTATATTTTACATTAAATAAGTTTTGATAAAGAATAGGTAGAAGAAACAAAACATAAGATGAGAAATTACAAGTCTGAAAGAGAAGAGGCAATTGATACAATATTATTTGAATTTATGTATCTACGTGTATTTGGATTATACTGTAATTTATGATGAGATATTTAATATCTTAGTCCAGTATGATATTATTTATTCTATATTTAATATTTTATTTAGCAATACGTACTTTGTATTTAAAAAAAGAATTTTGTTAACTTCAATCCAAGAATAATAGTAAAATTTTATTTTAAAAAAGTATTTATTGTATTTTTAACTTTAATATAATAATTATATACTTTTTTTCATAATTTTTATTTATTTATGAATACTTAAATTCAGCCGATTAATAACCAATTTTCAATCCAAATTATAAAAGTTTAGATCAAATTTGACATATATTCAATTTAATTTAAACCAAACTGCAATTTAATTTCGTGAATTTTTACTTAAAAAAATCCAAATTAAATTGCGAGTACCCCTAGCTTTAAGTGCATGTGTCACTTGTAATCTTGGCTAGGAGATGTAAAATACTTCCAAATAACTGAAAAAGTTTGTGTTTGGTCTCGCTAATGATACCAAGAACTTGTTTATGATTTTTGGTTGATTAGTAGAACAAATCAGCTCAACTATTTGATTCTCAGTATTCATATGATACGCTAAGGAAAGGATTATGATCCTGGACGTTGGATGCTTTAAACACTCCAAATAATGTTTGGTTCGAAGATCAACTAACTCTTTTAAGTTTGCATGAAACCGATGAACAAAGATAAAAGCATAAAAATTGTATAAAAAAAGTATAAATAAATGTGCAAATAAAATAATAAAAATAAATGCAAAACATCTGTGTTTGATTAATGGGATTAACTTCCCTAAAATTTTATACAAATGGTATTTATAAGCCTAAAGCTAACTATTAACTCCTATTAAGTTTGCTTATCACATTTTTAATCTTGTAAGAATACAGCTATCAAACAAAATGTTGAGTTCTGGACAAAAGTCCATTAGTTGATAAGTCCATTATATCATTATTTTGAAGGAAGTAGGTCAACTCATGAAATGCCTTAGATATCAACTTCTTATCTTCCATTGATGTAAGTAGCAAACTCTCTAATGGTAAATTTCAGAATGTTTGTTTCATAGTTGAAATTGCCTTAACTTTATGCCTTTCCACCACTAAATTTGTTCAAGTATCCTTAACCCTTCTCATTCAACATTCTTGTAAGTCTGTAGTGCAACGATTTCAACCTAACGGCCCATTTGTCCCAATAACAATATCAGTCCATTTCAATCTAACAATTCTCTTCACCTAATCTAATTTCTTTTAGCAACAAATTTTGCTCACAGCTACTTCTCAATTATATATCCAACTATTGGCCCATCAAATGAACACTCTATAAAAACTCCAAAAATCTGATTTTTTTCCCCTTAATAAAGTAATATAAACACGCACGACTTGATTTAATCAACAAGGTGTCCACAAAAGAAAAATCTTATATAAAAAAATTGGTTTAAACATATTTTTTTTTATCCTTAATATAATATATTTTAAGAATAGACTATTTAATTTTATACCTTAAAAATAACAAAAACCATGTGCTTTTATTCTTTAATGAGGAACTAAATCCACACTATTTCTACTAAATGTAAAGATTACAACTTAACAATAAAATTAAACCATAAGACTTTAAACTTAAATTAATACTTTTTATTTTACATAACAATATCTTTTACACTGATAGAACTTGTTTCCAAACATATATAATAAAGTATCCTTTAGTCATAATTTTATGCTTAAAAAAAAGCAAAAACTATAACACACGCATCTATAGGGTATATATAGTTATAAAAATGCATACGATTTAACAATAAAAAAATATATAGAAAAAGGAAGTTAAGAAAACATGAAAGTGAAATGAGGTATAGAGTAATTCAGAGCATGTAAGTTTCCGTGACAAGTAACTTAAATCAACCAAATAGGACAAAATCCCCTTTGAAACCAATGACGTATGCTAAAATTCATATTCGTTTTGTAACTGTGACAAGTTTTAAGCATGTTTTGACTATGTTGCAAAAGTACTAGAATTGGATATGATACGGGTATGTTGTTAATTTTAAAATATTGGTACATGAAATTTGTATGTTTCTTTTTGTTTGGTCAAAGGCATGATTACGGGTGGAGCAGGAGCAACTGTTTTCTACAATTTGAGGCAAAGGCACCCAACTCTTGACCTGCCTGTGATTGACTATGACTTAGCTCTTCTTTTTCAACCATTGTTGATGCTTGGAATCAGTATAGGAGTTGCTTTCAATGTCATTTTTCCTGACTGGATGCTAACAGCTTTGTTAATTATAGTTTTCATAGGTATGAATTGCTTAAAAATTGAGTCTTTGTACACTTTTATTTTATCTTTTTTTCTTGCCTATCATTTGATGTTGTCTTGATGTGAAACAGGCCTTTCAGTCAACGCATTCTTAAAGGGTGTTGATACGTGGAAAAAAGAAACCCTTACCAAGAAGGTTGCTTAAATATAGCTCATCCTTTATATTAATTTCTTAGAGTAAATATACAATTTGATCCTACCAAGTTACAACTTGCTAAAAAATTTACCCAACCAAGTTGTCAACTTATAAACAATTACATACCTCGAAGGACTAAATTGTAGAAATGTGCATTATTAAGGACTAAATTGTATATTAAAACCTAGTTTAGATAAGCTAAACACTTGCAAATAAAATAAATAAATTGTTTTTCATAAGTTAAAATAAACTTGCGTTCTTCTACATTTTATGAGTTGTTTCAAGTAATTTCTTTAAAATATGATATGTATAAGTTGATTTTAACTTATGAAAATGATTTTATTCATTTTATATTCTTATTTTTACCTCCTACAAGTGGTTGTGCAGAAATTTACCCAAACTAAGCCTAACTAAATTTCTTTTTTGCATTTTTATGATATGGTTTAATTCATTCTTGTTATATTCCAGGAAGCTAGGCAGAATTCACAGTTAAATGGTAAGTGGTTTAATATTATTTATGTTATGACCACCTGCATCTGTTCTTTTAGTTACTAGTTAAATAGAGATAGCGGTGTTTAAACATGTCATGCTAATTTTTAGTGTAAACAGATACTGGAAGAACAGATAATGCTGCACATCGTCAAACAGAAGACAGGGTCAATGAAAGTCATACAAACACCAGCCAATCAATGAAAAAAGTAGTAGAAAAAACAGAAACTTGCTGCTAGTGTTTCATGTCCAACATCTATTCTTTCTAATGAAATATAACACTGCCGTGCAGGTTTCTGTTATTGAGAATATTTATTGGAAGGAACTTGGACTTCTTTTCGCTGTCTGGATCTTGATACTTGCAATACAGATAGGAAAAGTTAGTGTCTAATTAGCTTTTTCCGCTCACAAGTTTTCGTTTTATTGCATGCATTAAGGGTCAATGGTCAAATTAGAATTAATGAATATATGCTCTTTTTTTGAAACAGAATTATACAACAACTTGTTCAGCGTTATATTGGGTATTGAATCTATTGCAGGTACACACTACTAAAGTTGTATTTAATAGATACAAACCAAAGTCGTCTTCTAATATTTTTTACTCTCCAACTTAATCAAACCATTTTGGCCTCATGATGAAGTGTTGAGCACTTAAGAGTTTGATTTGGTCTTGAATTATAATATAGTTTTGGAACCAACGCAATGAACCACCAATACGAATTATCATAATTATTATTTTGATTTTGTTCCCTTATCTTTTAGGTCCCTATCACTCTAGGAACGACTTTATATGAGGCTGTGCTTTTATACAGAGGGAAGAGAGTGATAGCATCCAAAGGAGATCAACAAACACACTGGGGAGTGCATAAGTTAATTCTATATTGCACGTGTGGCATACTTGCTGGCATAATTGGTGGCTTACTTGGTCTTGGTGGAGGATTCATATTGGGACCCCTTTTTATTGGACTAGGAATTCCTCCTCAGGTACCTTTTATCCTTCTCTATTCCCTAACGTCTATAGTGATATGTTGTTGGTTTTATCACATGTTGCCCACTAGGAACTCACTTTATTTGGGAATTTTCCACCAAGGTGTCAAGTGCTACATCCACTTTTGCAATGACATTTTCTGCTGCTATGGCAGTGGTGGAATATTACCTTCTGAAACGTTTTCCTATTCCTTATGGTAAGTATGGATGAATGGAACAATTGCACATACATATTGAGAATATGGTGATAAAAAATATAAAAGGTTGTTACACTAAAAGAATACAACTACTTCCTAATATAGACTATAGTTTATAATGTTGAATGTTTGATTATTTTGCAGCACTTTACTTTGTAGCTGTAGCCACTGCTGCTGCACTTGTTGGGCAGCATTTGGTGAGAAAGTTGATTGCTATACTGGGAAGAGCATCTCTGATAATTTTCATCCTTGCCCTCACAGTTTTTGTGAGTGGAGTATCACTAGGCAAGTGTCATTTGGAGGATTGCTTTCAGGGATTCTTTTGGATTCTACCCTTTATGTGAGGGGTTCCAGTACTTCTATTAACTTGTGGCTGTGGTTTAGCAACATCTTATTTTATCAAAATATAAATACAAAGACTACTTAGTGGGTTTTTATTTATAGTAAGTTGAATATATGAAGACACATATTAATTACTGATTGTTAATGGATATTGTCATATTGATCCTTTCACAAAAAGTGAAGATACAAGAGAAATTTGTTTGTATATGTACTCTCACAGGATATATTTATTTTAAGTTTTAATGAATTGATATTACAATGCATTTTAAATTAAACAAATAATGAGTATATATTTACTTCCTTGCGTTTAAATTTTTTCTTTTCATGCTTTTCGCATTCTAATTAATAGATTGCAAATTTGCAATGACTTAACTTTTTTTCTTTTAACTTACAGGTGGAGTAGGCATAGCAAACCTGATTGAAAAGAAGTCGTCCATGGGATTTGAAAACCTTTGCAAGACCAGGGTTAGAAATTAAAGTTCTAGATGTGTAGTTTCTACTAATATTAGCTTGCCTAATTGACTATTCTGTAACAATTTATTGACTATCTTGAAGCTGCATTAACATCTTTAGTATCGACAAATAAGTTGTTTTGATATAGATGATATTCCGCAATACAATTTTTTAAATTCAATTCCCAGGTTTTGATAAATCTCAAAAACGTGTTACGCATTCAATTAAATGAAATGAGGTTTCAAGAAAACTAATATTAAGAAGAGGGTAAAAACATCTATACATCAATATAACTTTTAACTACTCTGTATTTAAAAATTGAATCTTCAAATGTTTATATGAATTTGATATACATTTAACAAGTAAGCTTTTGGTTTTGGATCCTCCACGAAACGCACTAATTTAATTTATCAGAACGTAGTGGTGGGAGTACACTGTCCACAAATAGCCAAGAAAGTATGTGTGAAATAGCACGAAATAAAAGATGAGAGAGACCAATAAACACAAAGATGAGATAAAATATGCTCGTTATCAATACTACAGGACCTGAGATGTTGTTTTCTTGTACCTAAATTTTGATTGAACTCAAGTAACATCATCAACAATTGCCGTACAGCTCCGGTTTCCTATTGCAAGTGAAGATTTTGAAAATTCCTATATATAATTGTCATGGCCTCATTTTGAAGCAAAGCATAGAAACATCATAGTACTAATTAAGGGACTAGGATTTCAATTTTGAAAGTAGCTTTGTATCTAAAGAGATATAATGGCTATGAATGTATCAAAATGGTGGGATGTGAAATGGGTTGCTGGAGTTCTCATTGTTTTTCTTCTTCTTGTTTCTGTCTCAGCTGCTTCCACTAATCAAAATAAAGACAAAAAAACAACCTTAACATCCAATGAGACCAAAGGGGTTGATACTAATTATCATGCTGGAGTAGTTTATAGACACACTTGGCCGGTAAGAATGTTGTTCACTTTAGAAATACTATCATTACATATGTTATCAAAATTCATGTTTTCATATACTTCTGTGTCAATTTTAAATGACCACAATTCAGGGCCGTGCATGTGAATTGGTGTTTGTGTGTTAGTGAAGTTGAATTGTGATTAACTTTGTATACAGACGATGAAATTTGGGTGGAGAATAATCGTGGGCACCATAGTTGGATTCCTAGGATCAGCATTTGGGACAGTGGGAGGTGTTGGTGGGGGTGGCATATTTGTGCCTATGCTTACCCTTATTATGGGATTCGATGCAAAATCAGCAACAGCAATATCAAAATGTAAGATTTAACTAAGAACTGCAAAAAAAAAATTTCTTTCCAATTTTCCCTCTTTTCTCTATTGAAATTTTGGTGTGTCTATACCAAATATAATGATAAAATGTCGTACACGGAAATGTGTGTGGGACATTGACACCAAACATGTGGGAGTGGTAGTAGGTTGGTTCCCTTTGTCCCATTCTCAATGCCAATTTTTTAATGAGCAGTGTTTGGAATTATATCATTCCTTTTGCTTTAGATTTTAGACCTTATCTTCTGACGTATGAATGCATACAAATTTTGCAACATTCTTAATTATATTTGGTGTGTCTATACCAAATATAGTGATAAAATTTCTCTTCTTCTCAGAGTCTCTGAATTTATTACAAGTAAATAAGGTATTTCTAGTGTGGACATTCTCGCTATAAGCTAGCTAAGATCAGTATTTATGTTTGAAGTTATGCAATTAATAAACCCTCGCTGAGCTCACACCACTAATATTCCAATACTATTTTATACAAGCTTTTTGATTCACATATTATATAAATATTTTTCTTCATAATTTAGAAATCAACACATTTTATGTCAAGTTTTGCTTATTAGTGCATATTTTTATTTTTCAATGATGTGTCTGTATGTATTTTTTAACTCAATTTTTTTAACGATTGCAAGGTGTTTCCTTTTTAAATAATGACTTATTTTTAAATTAATAAAAAATGATTATATCTTTAAAATAAACTAAACAAAGGATACGTACTCAGTTGATTTTGTGTCGAATTTCCACCAAGTAGTCAGTTGACTTGTGTCTTAGGCGTATCGACCAAGCCATCTGCCCATATATTACATAATTTAATAATTTCTTTTATCACGTGACAACCATTATAGCCCCATTTATTTTAAGCAAATATATATTATTTCAACAAATTTAAAATTATAATTTACTAACACGCATCATGTAAAAAATAATTGAGAATATGTTATCAGCAAAACTCTTAAATAAATATAATATTATTATTTTAACAAATTAAAATGTATTATAATAAATTTTAAAAATTATAATAAATAAATATATTTAAAAATAAGTTATAAATAATTTAAAATAAAAAATCATGAGAAGGAAATTTTCATAAAGTAAAAATAAACAAATTAGAAACATTCGTAAATTTAAATAAATAGTTAAGATAGTAACTTAGTTGATTTCGTGTCAAGCACAAGCATTGAAGCAGCCACTAATTATTTTCTTTCTTTAAGAATGATATCAGACTCAATCTCAGTGAATATCTAGAATTTAAGTATGGCTTGAATCTAATTAGATATTGACATCATTTTCTTCACGTGTTTTTGAGTTAGATTCGGGTCATATTTCATATTAGCATGATGTTAGCAGATCACTTTCTGAAGTATAGTGCTTTAAAGTTTTTTAAAAGTGAATAGTAAGAAATTATAAGAGAGATGATTATTCTTCTTTGAAACCTTACACGAATGGAATCTGCATGTTTTGTGAAAGGCATGATTACTGGTGGAGCAACAGCAACTGTTTTCTACAACTTGAGGCAAAGACACCCCACCCTTGACTTGCCAGTGATTGACTATGACTTAGCACTTCTTTTTCAACCAATGTTGATGCTTGGAATCAGTATTGGAGTTGCTTTCAATGTCATTTTTCCTGAGTGGATGCTAACCATTTTGCTAATAATATTTTTCGTTGGTAAGAATTTGCTTAAAATTAACTCAAGTTTTTACTCAATTCCTTTTTTGTTTGTCCTTTGATGTATTCTAGATGTGAAACAGGCATTTCAGTTAATGCCTTCTTCAAGGGTGTTGACACATGGAAAAAGGAAACCATTATGATGAAGGTTGCTTAAACATGGCTCATCATCTTTTATATTAATGTTTTTCATTTTGGTGCTTTGGTTTAATCCATCTCCGTTATAATTCCAGGAAGCTAAGATGCAATCACAGATAAATGGTATGTGGTTTCATATTATTTCTATTTTAGCCTTAGGGTATGTTCTATTAATATACGTTTCAGAATTGAGTTTTAAAAGAAAAAGAAAGAGAAAACAGTTTTTCAAATTAATAAAGTTATGTAATATTTTTAAAATTAAACAAAATATTATGACAATAAATTTATTCTACTTTATTACTTTAAAAAATAAATTGGATAATATTTATTAAAAATAAAAAAATGGGTTTCACGCAAATTAACCCTTAATAAAAATGTCAAAAATAATTTGATTTCTGAAAAATAAATGTAATAATTTGTCTCTAAAAATTATTAATATGAGATATTTTGATGAAAAATTTCAAAAACTAAATTGAATACATACTCTAAAATATTTATTTTTTTTATTTATGTCCTCTAAAACTCAACCTTCAAATCCTCTTTTAGTTAGTAGTTAATAGAGATATATAGTGGCTATGCTAATTTTCACTCTAATTAATCAGATAATGGAAGGACTGAAGATGCTGCACATTATGTTCAAACAGAAGACCTGGTCAATGACAGTCAAACCACCACCAATGAATCAAAGACAAAAGTAGTAGAAAACACACAGTTGCTGCTTCCATAAATGTCCAACATCTATTCTTTTTATCTGATGAAACATAAAACTGTGATGCAGGTTTCTCTTATAGAAAATATTCGATGGAAAGAACTTGGACTTCTTTTTGCTGTCTGGTTCATTATACTTGCATTAGAGATAGGAAAAGTTTGTATCCCTTCAGCTGTGTTACTCTCAATTTGTTTTTGTTTTTTTTTTTTTTTTTTTTTGTATGCATGCATTGGTCAATATGATATGACGATAATATATGCCTCTGTTTTGAAACAGAAATACACAACAACTTGCTCAACGGTATATTGGGTATTGAATCTATTGCAGGTATAAACTAATGTAGGAGAATTTAATTGCTCAAAACCATAGTTGTCTTATGTTTTTTTTTCACTTCTCATCTTAGTCAAGCCAGTATGGTCTCATTGATGAGTGTTGATCACCTAAGGATCATTTACTTTGAAAAAAACATATATACTTTTTCATTTTTTTTAACTTATTACAAAAACATAATTTTTACTGGTTCTTATACAAATCTTTGAATAAAGAAAATAAAATGAAAACAACGTGATATTTTTCAATTAAAAATGAACCCAAAAATATTTTGTGACTCAAGAGTCTTAAAGACAATTTGAAAATGAATATCATGGTGACTATTAATGTAATTATATTTTTTGCATGTATTTCAGGTTCCGGTTGCTGTAGGAACAAGTTCATATGAGGCTGTGCGTCTATACAAAGGGAAGAGAATCATAACAACGAAGGGAGATGAACAAACACACTGGAAAAAGGTGCAATTAATTATGCTTTGTGCATGTGGCACAGTTGCTGGCACCATTGCTGGTTTGCTAGGCCTTGGTGGAGGCTTCATCTTGGGACCCCTTTTACTTGGACTAGGACTTCCTCCTCAGGTTTCAAGTGCTACTTCCACTTTGGCAATGGCATTTTCTGCATCTGTGGCAGTCGTTGAATATTACCTTCTCAAACGTTTCCCTGTTCCTTATGGTAAGTATGGATTAAGGGACTAACAATATTTCAGAGGAAGAGTAATTTTATTTTAACTAATGCTAACTAGTGGTATTTGTGCGTGTTTGGATAACGGACAAACTAGAATTTAGAACAAAATTTATAGACATTTAAACCCAAATTCATACATGTTATTAGTGTGTGCTTGAAAACATGTTGATAAAAAAAGAAAAAGTAAAAGAAGACACGTTGAAAAATTTATCGTGTAATAGTAAGATTAAAGTAAATGAAAATTGATGGACATTAAAAGTAAATCCAAACATGCTATTAATATTGAATGTTTGATTATTTTGCAGCACTTTACTTCGTAGCTGTAGCCACTGCTGCAGCACTTGTTGGGCAGCATTTGGTGAAAAAGGTGATTGCTATACTGGGGAGAGCATCGGTGATCATTTTCATCCTTACCTTCACTCTTTCCATTAGTGTAGTATTACTTGGTAAGTGTCACTTTTTGGAGAACGTAATATTCATTTATGTGGAGTTACTAGTGGTGCCCCAGGAAAATACTGGCTTTTGTTTACTAACATGTCATATTTTATTGAATATAAATACCAAAAATAATTTGCTGTTTTTATACTTCAACTAAGTACATAACATGGATAAATATTAATTACTAATTGTCAAAGATATTGCTACTCTTACTCTCACAAAAAGAAAGGTGGGTGAAAAAATTTCCTTGGTTTTGTAAATGTGCTTTGAAAGAAAATTTCATTAGATAAATTTGTCTTCGAAGTCAATAAGGTTATACATTCTTAATTTTTAGTGGGTTAGTATCATATTGCATTTTAAATTAAATTAAATATAAATATTATTTTATTTATTCACCTTAAAGCTAAGGTTACTTTAGAATGAGTTTTATATCTACATTGGCATTTGCAATTTTTGTATTTCGATGGCTTGATTATTTTAATTTTCCAAATCACAGGTGGAGTCGGCGTAGCAAAAATGATCAGAAGGATTGAAAATAAAGAGTACATGGGTTTTGAAAAGCTTTGCACGTACAGTGTTAGAAAATAAGTAGTAGAGTTTTGGAAACCTCTGATATTTAAAGCATAGTTACTGCTCTTACTTCATAGTAGTTTTGTGTTGTCAGGCTTTGTATTAAAGAAATAGCACGTTTGGCTTTTGTATGTACCGTTTATTCACATTTCGTCTATAAATAAAAAAAAGGTTTATTATTAGGAATTTAATTTTCATACACTATTAGTGAAAAAAAAAATTTACACTAATAACCAATTAAAGATTCCATTAAGTATGCTTTTGAAGTAACTATAATAAAATTTATTTTTTTTAAAGTTATGTAGCAATTTATGATTAAGTATAAATAGTGTATTCTAATTAAATTCTATTATAAAATTATAATTAACCTCATAAGTACAATAATTTTAAAAAAATTAGTTATTAATAAAACTAATGGCACTATGTAGATTGAATAAAACTAACATCATGTCAAAACGTCAGTGTCACTATTTAACGGTGCACAAACTATTTTCAGATATTTTAAAATTTACGGAAACTAAAAAAATTGATATTAATATTTTAAAATAAATATTAGATATTACTATACTTTCATGGAAAGTTTGTGGAAACATATTACTCACTTACCTCTTTGGGAGGGAAAGATTCATTGGTTTTGGGATCTGTTCTATGGTATACTAGCTTTCCTGCAATTCTCTCTTGAACCCACCACATACTTGAAAGTAGAACTACCTGACACTTGAAATACATAAAATCGAATGTATTTGTTGAGATCATTCTCGTGACAGGAAAGCAGTAATTGATATCATTAGTATTATATCACTGAAACGAGTATTGGATGTCTATAGATAACCCCTAAAGCCGGAGTCACAAATTATTTACAAAATCACAATTCCTATATATGTTTGAGTTATCCAAAAAATAATGAAATAAAAAGGAAAAAGAATGCTAGCTAGCATATTAAAGACAACAAATATTGAGTGGTGGAAGCTTCGGCACAAATAAAGGCCTCTGAACTTTATATTTTCACTCAAATCTTGTTATATTATATACACAAACTTACATTGAATGATCTTTCAACTATTATAGTAAGTTAATTGTCAAGCACAGAGCACTATCTCCATCATAGTATGGTACATGCAGGTAGGAACTATTGTTTTACCACTTGGAAACTGCATTGCTTTACTTTTGAAAACTCTATCGCTTTACTTAGGGAAAATTTGGTTCTTCAAATTGAAAACTACCAAGGTTGCTTCTGTGCTCCATCCAAACCATTTTGACTAGAAAAAGGTCCTGCAGTCCAGAATTCTGCATTCTTGTTTTGGGCCAATAACCTGTTTCTATGGTCATCATCCTCGGCATCAAAATCCAAATCTTCAAATATATCCTCAAAACCATCATCATAACCATCTTTAAAATTATCAATTGTGATATTGTCATCATAATCATCATCACTGTCATCATTATTTTGATTAGTATCACTCAAGCTTCTATCTTCTTTGTCAATCCTACCCTTCCTTCTTTCTCTTCGCATTCTCTTGGATTCCCTAGCCAAATCCATCCATTTATCTTGTATGAATAAAACCTTATCCTTCTCCAATAACTCACCCTTCTCACCAAATCCCTCCACCAAGAAAACTGAATGTCGTTGCCCTTTCAAACTCACATAAAATAATTCTGGGTGCCTTAAAATCAACCCTCTCAACTTGTTTGGGAGGCCAAACTCCTTTCTGAAGTGGGTCAAGTGGTCCATTAAAGTCCTCTTTTCAATTGTCATTCCAAGAATCTCTCTTACTAGAGCACAAGATCTCTTTTCTGCCTCAATTGATTCCTTGGCCAAAGCCTCAGCAGGAGTCGTATAAGGGCACACATCTGGCATTTCTTCAAATTTTAGCAAGAAATCCTGGTGACATCTCTTTAAATTGAGCCCCTTTCTAAGTCTCAATTGCTTGAACTTCAAAGGCCGGTCAACTATTAAATCAAGAGAACGGGGTGCAGGAGGCAACACAGGCTTCGCCAAGTTTAAGTCCCAAGATACAAGCTCAAGTGCACGGCCATAGGATGTGTCAACAATCTTGAATTTGTCCGGATGGTCATTGCACAACCGTGATCTAAAATTAGGAGGGAGACCAAGATCTGGAGCTAGGTGAACTAATTTTGCCAGAAGTAACCGGTGATGAGAAGACAGCATGAGAAGTTTTTGGAGTTTGGCTGCCAACGTATTAGAAATGGAAGATTTAAGATGCAACTCTTCGGCTGCAAGGGTAGCCGCAGCTGGAGTTAATCGAACACATAGCTGTGGATATAACTTAGTTGCATTGGGTGGTGTAGGTGGCCATGGGATAGTGAAGAGTTCAAAAATGGATGGATAACGATGGATCATAGCAAGTAAGGATCGAGGCTTAGAAAAAGAAAAATAAGACCGACATTTTGACAGAATGTGAAGTGGAAGAAAATGCTTTGGCTTGGAGAGAAGTAAAGTTTTTAGCTTTTGCACAAATCTAATTTTATTCTTCACGACAACATGCCTGTCAAGGGTACGATCACGCACAAGTTTGATTTTGGAACAAGAAATTGAAACGGTGACATTGTTGAGGGAGTTACGGGTTTTTAGTTTTCTTTTGATAGGAAAGGATAAAGGTGTTGTTCCAGCAAGAAAAAAGCTGGAACTAAGTGAAGTGACTGGTTTGGGATTGTTGAATGAGAAAGGAAGACACAATGCCATTTCTAAGTCTTCAACCACTCACATACTCAACCTGGAAATGAAAAAGAACAAAAAGAATTAGAGGAATGAAATTGTAATGTGATAGAAATGCTAAGGTATCATGTAAATATAGGTATCAATACCCATATCAGTGCTACAAGTACGTAACAAAACAGTTCGTGGGCAAGTGATGAATAAAATTTGAATATTGGAACTCATAAATAACAAAATATCATTATGTCCGTTATTCAGAACACACATCAAACACTTTGTGGGCAAAGTCAAATACACTGCAAATGCGAGTACATAAAGTTTGTGGGTATTTGATTTCATATCATACCAACGCGAGATTGAGATAAGAACGACACATCAAACACTTTGTGGGCAAAGTCAAATAAACAAAGTCACCGTTGCTTAATGCTTGCTTATCTCTTCTCTGGCTGAAGCTGAAATGAATTAAGTAAGGCGTTTGCTGCCAATTGCGTTTGCTGCTTATTGCGTTTGCGTCGCGAGAAAGGTGTCCGGTAAGGGTTTTGGAAAATAATATGATTTCAGCATATTTTTTTTAAAAAAAAGGAGTGATGGATAAAGATTTACTCAAATATTATTTATGTTTAAATATGCTAGATGATAAATAAATTGACTTACTTGCACCACGTGTAATTTTGATTTCTTAATATTTTTAGTTAATTAATTTTGTTTTAAAAATAAGCATATTTAATCTTTTGTTATTTTTTTAATTTTAAATCCTTAAATTATCCTTTTTATCTAAATATTTGAGGATTTATAATGGATTTAAAATATGAAATGTTTTTAAAAGTTTAGAATCAAAATATTTAGCAAAACTTGATAAATTTTGAAATTGTATATGAATTAATATTTGAAGTGAGAAAAAATTATATATGTTTTGGGTGAATTTGATGTTTTGGTTATTAAGTTTAGTTGAAGACACTTCATTCGACTCAATAAAAAATAAAATTTTATGCATTTTATGGTTAAAGTAGAAACCAAAATTGTATATAATTTAAATTAGAAAAATTAAAAATACAAAATTTTAAGACATAATTTTTGTGAGATTTGACAAAAAGGATTATTTTTATATATTAAATTAGCATAAAGATATTTTGGTTTTGTTACTCTAAAGTAAGTTAAGTGCATCCTTATTCTAAAATATTTTAATGGTTTAATTTGATATCCATCATCATTATTTTTAATTAAAAACATTCCAAAACTCAAAAAATACCCAATCCCTCCAAACGCACAACTCTCTCCGAGTCATTAATTTTTTAAAAATCTGCCACAACCCATGCCAGCCTCACAATCTGCAACTAACAAGGTCAAGATCCAATTTGCAGGGAGAATTCATTAGCGATGTCCTAATTAATGAAGGAGCATCCCTTTAAGGCTTTAACTCCTTCGAGAAAGAATGAAATGCGTTAAACCGAATAACGTTGTACATAAATTTGGAGATCAAGTGATAGTCATTGGTTTCAACAGGATATGATAAATTGCTAACAGGCAAAGAGAAGTGGGCTACTTCCTACAAGAAATATAAGTGAAAAATTATATGTTCTTGTCATTAAAGAATATATTCTGTTTTAGCTACGAGAAATTACATGTTATCGTCATTGATCCTAGTACTTCAAATCATGGTCAAAGTGTGTTTGGACTGCGTCAACTCCTGCTCTGGATATTATTTCTTCTCCTTAACTCAATATGCACAGACATATAGATGATAAATGGCACGGCCCTGAGTCCTATACCTGTCCGTTTAAATTTGTCATGCCACCTGAGAATGGTCCGTCTGAAATCGATGATAGAAAACGCTGAGAACTTAGAAAAACAAGATCTTTGGGCCTTTTCACTCCAGGAGACAAGTTTGGGCAGTAAAATTTAATCTTCAAATTTTAGTTCAAAGAACAAAACAAAAAAAAAAAGTTCAAATGATTCTTTGACAGAAGCCAGTATAAATTGGACCCAACAAATCCAATACATTGAGTAGACATTTGAGATAGTTTAGTTAAAGAGCCTAGATTTTATGCTTTTCTTCTATAAATCCAAATTATTATATTCATTTTTTTTGGTTCAAAACTGCCAAAAAATTAATGTTTATTATATAGTGTCGTTGGGCCAAGTCATTGCCGGGTAAATTCTTAATTTTACAATTGAAATTCTGTCAAATCTACAACGAAATGTCACTCTTCTTGGGTAGATTTCTCTTGGGGATGATGCGCAACAGAAGAAACCGACCCATGTTTGCCTGATTGTTGCGATGATATTGTTCCGTGGCCCTACATGACCGAAATACAAAAATCAAAGTGATGTTGGAAAGGGCCAGAAAATAAGCCATATACGCAGCCAATTAAGACAGCGAAGGAATTTACCTACACAAAAACAATTCATATTCCAGCTAAGGATACCAAGATTTTAATAGTAGTATGAAGTTTGAGAGCAGGAAGACAAAAGGAGTGGCTGGGATTTTTAAATATAATAGAATGTTTCGAAGAAATAAATGATGCTGTACGTTTGTAAGGCACGTAAGACAGTTACAGATTCTGTAGTCATGATTTCCTTTTTTATTTTGCAGCTTTTGTTATTTTTGCATTTTGGACCATTAGTTGTGTACTGGGTGGATCTTTAGCCTGGCTAGTAGCTCAGCTGTCTTTGGGGAAGAAAGTGGGTGTATCCTCTTTTCGGGACAAAGATTAATCATGTTTGCAATATCATATATTCACTCTTTTACAGCAATATTTCTCTGTTCTAACTTCTATGTAATCTCTGATTTTTGGTATCAGCCTTTTTCAATAAGAATTTTGATATAACTCACCTGCGATGCCACCATTCCCTGCCCTTGGTCTGCTACAGGATGGCTGCTGCTCTGCAATTGCAAAGGAAGAAAGGAAGTAATAGAATTATAAGTCTACGAGGAGTTCAAAGAAAGATGATCCACAATCTCACTATAATAAAACTGTTCATTGAAAAGCTGTCTCAAGGGAAATCAAAGTGAGAAATGTCATTAACCTTATTGACAGTATACACACGAAACTAAATTTGCCTACAAAAAAGGTCATTCTGTCAAACAAACGACAAAAGACATAATAGTACAAAAGCCACATAATATTTCCCAAACAACTAAGGAGGAGCATAGAGACTGAATAATAGGAAAGTGTTTTTGATATTGGTTTAATGTGATTCTTATATAAAATACAAAGCATTAACCCCTAGTTATTTTCTTAAGTGTCATGTTGTATTGATGGGCTTGGGATTGTAGTTAGTAGTAATAATGTAGTAGTTGGTCTAAATTATAGTATAAACAGGAGTGCTTTGAATTTTATACACACCCAATCAACCCAAGATCAGAAATTCATCAGTATACATAACTTCAACACTGACTGTACCTGTGTTGGTGGCTGCTGCTGCTGAAGGTAAACAGGGTGTTCTTGTTGCAGAGGTTGCTGTTGAAAGTATTGCTGCTGCTGCTGCATAACCTGTTGTTGCAACTGCACTTGTTGTAGCTGTTGTGGGTGAAAAGGTTCCAGCTGACTATGCTGTTGGAGTTGTGACTGTTCCTGCTGGAATGGTTGCTGTTGTATTTTACTATAATGTTGCTGTAGTTGCAATTGCTGCTGCTGGTAGTAATAGTATTGCCATAACTGATTATATTCTTGGCCATTGTGCATATAACCATATTGCCCATTGCCTTGCATTGCATGTTGTAATTCATGTGATGTGGGATTGGTTGGTGATTGAGACTGAGATGAAGTGCTTTGTATCTGAATGTTTTGTACAGGCCAACAATAAGGTTCCACAAAATCAGTAGGAGTAGCAGTAGATTGAAACTGATTTTGTCCTTGATTGAATTGCTGAACTTGCAATACAGATTGAGAGGAGTAACCTGGAGTTACAGCCATTTGTGCACCCCCTCCAGGTGGATGAATCTGTTGTGGAGACAACTGCTGCCGTAGGTGCTGTTTTCTATGTGTATTTCCCCGAAAACCAAATTTGGTACCTCTACGAAATTGCCCAGCATTTCTCACCTGATGCCAGTTTCCACCACTATTTCTAGAAGACCGAGGTGGTAGAAGTGGTTTTCGTGCTTTCTGGTCTTGATGGAGTGCTGAATGTGGACTGTTTATTTCAGTGTGAATTTGGGCAGAATCAGAATCTTGAGTGCTTGCAGAATTTTCTTGATTTGCACTATGACCACCAACTGCTGCTCTACTATTTGAGTTGCAGCTTTCTGGAATTGCATCACACTCCTCCTGAGAGATCATTTGTCCTGAATCAAGGCATGTGCTTTCCCAGGGATTCAATAACATATTTGTCAGAGAAAGTGGTTTCAACTTTTCAGGCTCAAGCTCACACTTTTCCTTAGAAGAAGCAGCATTTTCATTTGACAATGCTTGCAAAGCTTGTGAGGATTGATTTCCAAAAGTTGGTCTATGTAATAATTCCTCTGATGGAACATTAGATTCAGAACAATTATCCTTTAAATTCTTAACTTCGGTAGATTCCTCTTTCACTTCCACTAAATTGGCAGATGACACATGATTTTCTGGATCACTGTCTCTTGGTTCCTCAGAAACTGGGAGAGGTAATCCTCTTCCTTTTTCTTCTGCTTTTTCATTGAATTTCTCAATTTGAAGCTTGTATGTATCTGCATCGTTAGACTGTGTATTATGATTTTTCATCAACATTAATCCTTCATTAGCTGCATCAGACTTTGTATCACAATAACCTAGCAATGACACTTTCTTGTCTTTTTTAGGTAAATGCACATGCAAATCAGAAAGAGAATCTCGAGATGCTTGATTAGGCATGACAACAGAAATCTCTTCTCCCTTGTCAACCAAATTAAGCAATCTTCTACGTCTAGCAGATTGCTGATGTAAATCTATCCTGGCAGAGTCTGGAAATAATTTTATGTGCCGATTCCATGCCTTCCTTACATCATGTATGGTTCCACAATAGTCAACAAACTGGTATTAACATAGAGATATTAGTATCAAAATTTCAAAGTACTTGTGCTTAGTTCAAGTGGCAATGGTTTACCATAAAAATGTAAGTATGAAAAGAATCAATCCCTAGTAAAAGTAAACCAAACAAACTATCAAAAGTTTAAATTACTTTTTATTTCTATTCAATAAACTAGATACAAGTTAATGAGCCTTTTGTGGCATGAAAGAAAATAAAAATTATTAGAAATAATACATATAGAGTAAAAGCCATCAATTGATTTTTTTCAAAGGCAGAAGCACTCTAGTAAAATAAATAGTAATTACCTGCACAAGCACAATTTTATGAAATTTTCTAATATTAACTAGTTGAATTATAAGAACAATAAATGATAATTAAAAAAAAAAAGATCAACCACTCTATATTACTTTACTCTGAAGTCATAATGACAGACTGCAGTATAATTAAGTTCATACAGAAAATACAACCTCTAGGTATAAGTTTGATATGTCCTCTGCATCTTCTGTACTTAGAACTTGAGATACATCAGACCTTGGAGATATTGCATCCACAATAATTGAATCTATTACAGCTGTGTGCTTTTCACCTCCATGCATCATTGAGAACATTATCAACTCCTGCAAAAGTACGTAAAAACAACTGAAGAAATTTTATCATAATTTAAATTCAAATATGATGATTTTATCCACACAAAAAAAACACATTTGTGAAAATAAAATCATTCCTAGGCTTGTACGTTATAGCTCAAGCTTGACAGAAATAAAATCACTCTCAACTCAACGTTATAAGCTTTGATCTTGCCAATTTAAACACACTAGTTAATAGTGAGCCTATGCTTCGCAGCAGCTCAAAAGAAGTTTTGCATGATGGGGATAGGCAAATGGTTTTCAACAATGCTACAATCTTAAGGGAATATGAACTGCCATTTTCTAGTTTGTAATTTTAGTTTAATTGGAAGCCCTTAAACCCATAATTTCTTCCTCGGCACTTGTTTGGCTTGGGGGGGGGGGGGGGTCTCTCACTATGCATGTGGATCAGTACCAACTAGATTGTTTGACTTGTTCTGTCAGTATGAATTGGCCTCTTTCTGAATCTATCTAACAAGTAATTAAAAGGCTTGCTTCTCAAGTTTTCCAGTCGCACTAAAACAGTTGATAAGTTGATAACTATGCCTTATAGACATGCATACTTATTGAAAGCAGGTCCACATCTTATGTCTATCTCTAACAAAAAATGCATTACATAGACATACCTCAAGAAGCAATTTGTTTTGAGGCAAAGTTCTGATGCCATCAATTAAGACATCTCTAGCAGCATCCACACTGTTTGTACACTTAACACCAAGAAAGGAACAGAAGATAAAAAAAGATTAGTTACACCTGACAACAGCATTAATCATAAAAGTGACATATTTTCTTCTTGTTTTCCATTTTAAAGAACTCCTTTTGTATAATTAAGATATGCCGGCTGCAAACCTTTGTTAGACAATAAAAATAAAAGTAAAAAATTGAATGATAAAAACTGGATCAAAATATAGAAAAGAAATTAATTCTATAGAATATTAAGGCATTTGAGAGAGACTAAAATCTCCCCTCACTCTCTAAGAGAACATTTCTCAGAATGAGAGAAGGATTTATCCCTCAACTCCCGCTTATATATAGGCAACATGCCTTATTCAGATTATTTTGGCCCACTAACATAACTAATTCAGTCTAACTAACTGATATATAATAACTAACTACTAATGGACAACAAACATTTTGTAACTAACTACTAACAGGAGTTACCAAACAAAAACTAATTGTAATGAGTAATGGTAGCCTAAAGGTACCTAAACCAATCCTCTAAATCTTATGAAAGTTATTCTCTTTGAATTTCATTCTACAAAGCCAAATGTATAAGATATGAAAAAAAATAAATAAATAAATAAACAAGGGGGGGAGCAAAAGTGATAGGAAGAAAGACTTCCCAAACAATCTACAAGGAGTTGAGCACATACTACCCACTAACATTCATATATGATAACATCCATTAAATGAAACTGTAAGTCCCTAAAGATCAAAGCAGATGAGCACATAATACCCACCATATATTTTAGCCGAGAAAAATGAACATATAAAATGGGGAGGGCATGTAAATTTTCCTCTGCTGTAGCCATTTCTAATGCTTCTTTGTATATACTGAAAGCTGACTCTGTATTTCCCTGCAATAAAGATACAAAGCAGCACTTCTAGTCACTTTTCAGCATTGGGTCACTGCAGCATTAATTTTTCTTCAATGGTAATAAAGGCTAATTGCATACCAAACGTTTTTCCATATTAGCTTTTGATATAACATTCTCCACAAAGTCAGAATTTGTCTCTTTACCACTCTGAATATATGCAGCACGAGCAGCCAAAGCATCTCCTATTTGTTCCTTAAACCTAGCATTGAATAAATGGATTGCTGGCACCCACTACAACAGACATATGATAAAGCTATAAACATTGCTAAATCATGCATAAAGCTATGAAGTCAAAGCCTAGAGATGAAAGGAATAAGACAAGTTTCAGTGGGGCATGGCCTAGCCATGAAGGTAGAAAAATAATGGGCTTTGAAAGAATTAATTAACCATTGCAAAAAATAGCATCAAGTTGGCGTAAATAGTGGACAAAATTTGACTTGGTTCCTTTTTTGTTTCTTAGTAGCATTCCCATTATAAACCACATGATAGGGTAGAATTCTAACCTACTTTATGTAGAACTATGTGTGTGTTTAGCTTCAATTGGAGCAGCAGAGGAGCAGGAAGAACACCTCAGCTATATTGTGGATTATCATCTAATGGAACTGTAAGAGTGCCTAAAAAAGTATTTATCACTAAATATACAAGCATAACTGACTAAGCCCAGTTTGACCTTATGAATAAATTCTTATAAAAATAATAATAATAATAATAATACGAAAGAATGAATAAAACTTCTCTCATAAGTTAAAAACTGTTAAGATGTCTTACATTTGTTATGAATAGAATCAAAATACTTCTTATAAGGGTTAAGGTAGTTCTGCTCTTGTAAACTAGCTTTAAGGAGTGAGTTAGACTCAAGTTTCTTAACATGTTATCAGAGCTTATTTAGTTTGAACGTTGGACTACTCACAGATGTCTAATCCTGTTGGGTCCACTCATATAGATGTTTAGTTCTACAAATTTCAAGCACCAGATATTCAATCTTGGACATGAAAGAGGTGTGTTAAGATGTCCCACATTTGTTAGAAATAGAGTCAGAATACTCCTTCTAAAGGGTAGGGTAGTCTTCTTTCTATGAACTAGCTTTTGGGAGCAAGTTAGGTCCAAATTTCTTAATAAAAAAATATTTATCTTCTCATGTTTTAGAGAAGTAAAATGAGAGAGTTTCTAAAAAATTAGAAAAACATAAGTTGATTTTAATTTATGGGAAGAGATTGATTCATTTTACTATTTGAATTTTTACTTTTATAAGTACTTGTTGAGAAGTTTATCCAAACCAAACTTAAGTCCAAATAAAAGAAATTGTAGTTCCTACTTAATGATCAGATTAGGAGAAGTTAAATTACAAAATTTTTGCAATAATCTTTCAAAAAACAATATATAGAATTAAGTTCCCCTGATACCAAATATGTAACCTTGTAGAGAAAAACAATTTAACAAATGTCTAAAACCTATTCCCTTCTCATGCTGTTGGAACATTAGAACCTCAGTATTTCTTAAAAAATGTATGATGTCATGATGAGTTAGTTCATACCAAACATGGCCCTATTAGAGACAAAAACCAATATTCGTTCATGTACCTTTACCTACAGCTCAAGCTTTAGGTAAGAGTTTGCAATCAAGGGGTTAAGAGTTTGATAATTTAGCTCTCATTATTTAAAATAAAAGCTAAATTTCAATACAAGGCAGGAAAGGCCTATGCTTTATGCACACTTAAGCTCAAAAGGCTCTTGTCTAGGGTTGTGTTAGAAATATAAAACCATTTATGTGCCTGCCTTCACCTAACAACTCCAACTTTTTTGAAATTGGATCATGACTCCTAGGAAACTATGTTTATCATAAGGAAATTACAAGATGCTCATTTTATTGGAAGAATTAAAATTTCTGAATTCTTGGCAAAAAAATTCCCAATTAGGAACATAAAACAAAAGCCTTTCCCAACATAGAAAATATTCAAAAAGAGGTTGATTTATTAACAGCATATTAATTTGATTAGCCACTTGAATGGTTAATTTCCTAAATTGGAAATTTTGTTGACAAAAGTCTCTAAATCATTATTCTTACTCTTTTTTTATTATTTTTTTTGGTTAAACAACAGAAAAGTTTTTAGTAAGATGAACAGAAGAACACTCAAACAGGTTTGAAAGCTCTGTAGAGCTTTCTGATCAGTGTGCGTATCAGAAAAGAAGACTCCTTGAAATAAAACCTGATTCATGAGCATAGCAGAAAATACAAGCTGATGCTAGACACATTCTGAATCCATAACAAAAGTAGGGACCAAAAATGCCCTAGAAATATAACAACCATTTCTATAATGTGCCAAATTAATTATCTTTGTTTTCTCCCTTTTAATTCATTATACAGAATTTGACATACATTGCCATAACAATAATAAATGCTTCACACTTGCATTCTTTAAAGCCCCTAATCTTTGGCAATTGTTTCTCAGACTGCTATAGAGAAACTCAGGTGAAAAATAAGCATATGCAGAAGCAGATCATTAACACCAAATTCAATCAACAAAACAGGTAATTCGGAAGATACCTTCAAATAAATTTCAGTTGCTCGGTCTAAAGAATAGTTTGCAATTTCTCTTCCTCCTTTGGCTTCCGTGAAGTCCACATAACGCATCCAGTATTCAGGATAGTTGGCACACACAATCAAGCATCTCTCATAAAGTTTCACAGCCTATTTCAATGGAGAAATGGAAGATTGTAGCCAACAAAGTTCAACAAAGAATAAAATAAGTAACTAGCAAGATTTACTGGGAGTACTGTGCAAAAAATTACCCAGTCAAAATCCCCTTGAAGTTCAATAAAATCCAAATAATTATGCCAATTCTGTAACTGATTTGCATCAAGAGGCCGGACATGAAAGTAATTTCTTTGAATATTAGCCTCAAAGAGACTAATTTTCAAATACAACTCACAAGAATTATGATAAAGCAGTTCTCCAATGGCCCTGTACCTTTTTAGGGCTATTGAACCAGTCAATCCAACAGATGAATACATCATAGCATTGATAATCCTATAAACCTCGTCATCATTGCAACACATAGTCATAGGAAGTTCACCATCAAAACATGGTTCTGATTGCAATTCCTTTGGAGAATTGTCCAGGCTTGCTATGCCCTCTTCCAAAAAGGTTAGCAACTTCTTAAAACTGAAGAAATATAAAACTAATATTTGGTAAGGGTAATATTCAAATACATGCATATATAAAATAACACACAACACACACAGCAAAACACTTGTGAAGCAATTACTCTTTATACAGTTTGACAAGCAAAACAATAATTCACTCAAAAACACATTAGACTAAGAAGTAATATCTAAGTAAGTGTGAAAAAAAGTGAATAGACAACATGATATACAACTCAAAAAAATGGCTAGTAACTGGGCAATGATTAACCTCCTGCACATCTTTGATCAACCATTTCTCTTTAAGCCCAACACATATGCTTTCAACTTAGTCATTTACCCTTCTGTACAGGGTTTAGATTGAACCCAACTAAACTACTTTAATAACATACGTGAAGCCTCTTGTTACACTCTTAGGAGGTCTGTTTAACAATTTTTTATAGAAAATTATACATATTTAACATAATTGTTGAGTTTATTTACTGTTTAATATTAATGTGTAGATATTCATACTCCCCATGAAGAATCTATAATTTCAATTATCATATAAACACCCTTTATTGACTTATTTACATTTTTAGTTCTACTTATTGTTTTAAACGTATATTTACACTGCATAATTTCAATAAATATTTATTAATGATTTTTTAATCAACTGAAAATTTTACCAGTTCTATAAATAATTACTCAAGTTTGCTCATGCAAACAATGTATCAGGCTCACCAAAGGTAACAAAACTCCCTCAGTCAAACTGCAAGAGCAAAATTGAAAGCTATCTCCTGACTAGTATCCCCCTCCCCCTTTTTCCTCTCTCTCCCCCTCAATTTGTCCTCAAATTATTACATAAAGCTGCAAGTGTAGCACAGTTACCCATTACATTTCAGATTTCCTGGCAATACATGCTATTGGAATCAAGAATCATCCCACAAACAAAGAGAGGAGAAAAGGAGCAAAAGATAAGAATAATAACAAACTACGACTTCATAGCCTAGTAAAAATGCATTGTTTTATTTAATATCAAATTTCCATTAGCTTTTGAAAGAAATTTTAAAGAGACAGAGAAGTTTCACAATACAAGACATACCTATCATAATACTGATGCAACTTTTTGGTTGGGAACTTAAGAGTTTGGATATAAATGTGAGCAAGAGAAATCCAATGCTGCTGGGAAAACTCAAAATGAATATACTTGTCCCACAAGATATGACATAAGTAATCCTTCCCAACGAAGGAAATGGCTCTCTTGAACAATCTGATAAAAATGTATCAAGAAAATTATCTCATTGCCGTTCAGCATAAGCAAAAGTAAAAGCTTTCAGAGAGTAAGAAGTGGAAATAGTGAGGAAACATATTAGCAGTGGAAGAGGTCCACCAAATCATTTACCCAAATAGTTTCTTCTACAACTACTACTCTGTGTGTGTGTGTGTGTAGTAAAAGTTTTCAGAGTGTATGGAGAGGTAATAGTGTGGAAACATGGATAATAGAAGAGCTCCACCTGTATCATTTATCCAAACAGTTTCTGCTACAACTACTGCATATGTGTGTGTGTGCACACATTTTAACTATTTACCTCCGAATATCAGATGGGTCCTCAAAAGCTGACATACCAAAACTACAGTACTCAACCCACATGCCTACTGAATACGTTGCTGCTAATACAGCCTTTTCAAATACTTCAACAACCTTATCCATGGCGCATATGCATGTCATGTGGGCAGCATACTTCCTCCAATACCCATAACACAGAGGAAATTTGGACAAGAAATGGTCATAAACTAGACATATTTTCTCCACGTCATCCTGCAGAAATAGACCCAAGCATCTTATTGACATTCAAACTCTGTTGTACCCATAAATCCAATAATAACAATAAACTAATATTAAGATGCACACAAGAAAGTTTGATGACTAAGTGAGGCATTAAAGTTAAACCATCTGTCACTTTAATCACATATGTAATGACATTTCAAGAAAGAAAGGAGAAAATACACTTGTAAGTAACACACATGTAAAATGAAATATTATTGAGATCTGATATAGAGGAAACAAGTAAATAGAGAATATGAAATGACAATCATTGCTATGTTCATGTCCATATCTGTTAGGACCAGGGAGGAAGAACAAATGATTGACACTAACAAGACATCTAAAGTATGGAAAGTGTATGTTAGGAGGAAAGGAAGGAAGGAGTCAACGGTTAATTAGTTAGTTGTTATCTGTTAATACCTTTTAAATAGAGTTAGGAGGAATAGGAGGGAATTATGTTTTTGTTTGTAGAGAAATACTGAGAGGAAATATTGTTCAGTATTCAGGGAGCTGTTAGCTCTGGAGGATTCTTGAATCCTTATTCTTTTCAAGGCATTAATAAAGATTGCCATAATTATTCAGTCTTTTATTCATCTTTTTCTGATTTTAAAAGCTTTGACCCTAACAATATCTCACAATTTATTATTACACTGATAACTGGTGAATTAGTTTCATGAATGAGGCTTAAATTACACAATCACCCATAATCTTTGCATATATGAGGTGGTTCTGCCTATGAAATAAAATGGTCCTCCATAAAGATTTGAATTTTTCATTTATATATTCCATAACAGCATCATAGCATAATTTAATAAGCATATTCACCAACTTCTTTATCTTTTTTCTCTTTCCTTTTCTTTTTTTTTTTTGGGGGGGGGGGGGGGGGTGTGGAATCATTCATAACCCATCATTTAACTTACAAGGTAATGATGACAGTAATATCATCATGACATCTGAAACACCTCTAAAATTTGAATATGCAACTTCAGCTTCAGCACTGTCAATTTCCTACGAGGGAAATTTTATATGAAGAGGTACTGAAAAGTTTTTTTAACCCTATTTCCTACTTCTAGTTGCCATTCTTTGATTATGTCCTTTCTTTTCAGTTAATAAAGTCTTGTTTTATCAAACAAAATAAAAAAGAAAGGTCAGAGAAAGAGAATAAAAACAATCAAACTGCAAACTTCCTTAAAAAAATCATCTACAGGACTACCGCAAAAGTTCAGTGCAACTCAAGTTTTCTTTTCCTTCCAGAATCAGGAAAATTAGAAGCATGAATCAAACTGGAACCAGAGAAGAGAGATGAAGTCATCCAACTTTAGATCATCACAACAGCAATAGTTAAATTAAAATCCAAGATAACTCAATTTATTTTGTTAAGCTAAAAATTAAATGAGATTAAAATTAAATTAAGACATAGTCATACATTTTATATCAAATATAAGTTTTTTATGTTGATCTCACGAGTTTTTTATGTTGATCTCACGAATAACTAAGAAACTAAAAGGAAGTCAATTACCATTCAGTTATTGGAATCAAACTTACAGGATATAATTTCTCAATCTCAGAAATCAATGAAGTCCACTCGTCAAAATCTAATGAGCCATTAGAAATAACTTCTTGAAGATCAAGATTGTCATCGCTGGCTGCAAAAAACAAATAGACCGATAACAGGCAATTCAGAGTTTGTGCTACCTAGCTATGTTGTAAATGTTGATTAGATGAAGAAATCAACTTTACAGAACATAGGAGAGATAATTAATTTGCAATAAAATAACTATTGAAAAATATATTTTTTTAATTAACAAGTAATCTTTAAAAACCTGTGATGCAAAAAATACAATATCCCAAAAAAATGGCAGAGAGGGAGCACAAATACTAAAAGCTTACCTACATTTCATTATTTAGATTATAGAGACAGACATGCATAAAGTGGAAGAATAATTTGCAAACAGAATACGATGAAGTGCAAATATTTTCAAAAATGAACTAAAAGTTTTCATGTACATATAATTATGCTCCCGTGCGGACAAAGCCATCATTCATTTCATTTCCATATGCAAAACCTAGAGCTCTTCATTTTGTTTTTTATAGCAATTTAACCTAGAACTAAAGTTACACAAGGGTCAAATTGTCAAAATAAATTAAATTATTTAGTCAACTGCAACACGGTATAGCACTAACTGTGGTTCCAGTCATAAATAAATAGTGGTAGCTTCTCAAAATCTTTATCGGTTACAATCACTGAGTTCTTCTTCCCTTCCCTTATTTTTCGTAGATTCAAAGCAATAAATGCTGGAATTCTTAACATCTTTCTCTTTACATACATGCAGACACAAAAAGTTTTTCATTCAATCAACTTATAATCATTGATCAGCAGTTATGTTAAGTACATTTGTAACGCGGCTTATGCCACTGTAAAGAGATCAAACTCTTCGAAAATGTAACAATGAACCAACCGCTTATATTTCAGATTTGAACAGCACTCTAATCTTTGAAAGTAGTCAAGCAAATAATAACCTTAATAACACAATTCTGAGCATAACAAGCACAGCCTAAGTTATAAGGATAGATCTCTGCAAACAATGAACGGCACGGATATGCGAAATAGAATAAAATGTGCAATAATAATAAGATGAAGATGAATGAACAAATAAAAGGACGAACAAAGAGAAGAAGAAGAAGAAGAAGAAGCAACGTTTACAAAATGATAGTGTCGGCGGCATTAGAGGGCGATGAGAGAGAATAGAATAGCGACAGCGCCGTCGAGGTTCAGGTGAGACTGAGAACAGAAAGGGTGAGGGTGGGGTTGGGGTATGCTCTCTTCTTTTTTCTTTTCAGATATTGAAGAACCGGTGATGAACCGAGGCACGGACGGCTAGCTCGCCCTGAGCACAAAATGTTGGCTTAATTTTAAAATCTAATCATTCTTTTCTATCAAATTCGTGAAAAATATCTTAATAATAAGTTGTTGTTTTTAAAAAAAAAAAGTCATATTAAAAGACTATTAATTTATTTTTTTATTAATTCAGTTTATTTTAAAAACCAAAAGTAATCATTTTTGTTATATTATTTAAAATAAATTGAACTAATACTCCTTTCGAAAAAAAAATATTTGATGTTTATTACTGGCTAAGATTATGACTTTATTTCAAAATTTTAAAAAATATTTAATTAACCTTCTATTCTTATATTTTAATTTATATGTAATTTTAATCATTTTAATTTTAATTAATCACAATTAACATATATTTTTAATTTAATTTAGTATTTAATCCAAAAAATTTACTGAGTAATTGATAAAAATGTGTCAATTTTTATTTTTATAAATTATAAAATAAATATATAAAAAATATTTTTAAAAATATGTTAAATAAGACATATAAAATATATTAAAAATTTTAATTAATTATTTTTTAATTTATATAAACCCATAATTTATTAAATTTTTGTTATACATGAATTGGAGTATAAAAACTGAAATTTTAATTATGGTTTTTATTGGCTAAATGTACAAAATTTGTGAAATTATTGTAAATATTTTTTGTTGGCTTAAATTTTGTTTTAATCGCTCAACTTTATTACTTATGCAACTTTAGTCTTCAATCTTTTAACGAGGCACGTTTTCATCCTCATCTTTCAAAAGATGTAAAAATTAAGTCTCAAAACTTCTTTGACAATATTTTAATTGAAACCATGAGTAATAACCGAAAATTCATTGTATAAAACATTTGACGACTAAATAAAATTAATAATTTTTCTTAAAAAAATATTCATTTAAAAATATTCAATTATCAAATTACTTCCCACAAATTCAAGAGGCTATAAATTAATATTATAATTATCTTAACGTCAATTTTTTCAACATTTCAAAATATATATGTATCGTGAATTTCTTTGCAATTTATTAAATATGAAAAATTGACTGTAGTATTTGAACAACAGTTTATGGATTAATGGTAACTTTAGACTGTGACTGTTAGTTATAATAGTTGTTTAATTATGTTATGACTCTATTTAAATGAAAACAAATTATATTGATTGATTTTAGAATGAATGATGAATTGCTTGATTTTTTTTATTATAATAGTATAAGTATATAGTGGAGTATAACAATAGAGAAGGAATCATAACATTAATTTTTTCAATATTATTTTATAAATGGTTGGAGTTAATTGAAAGATTGCAATATTTATTTTGGAGAAGATGAAGTTCTTTATTTTAATTAATTGTTTTCTTGTATAATTATAAAATATACATTTGTTTAAATGCTTTATAATTAAGAACGGATTTTAGTTTTTGAACCTAATTTTGACATCTTAAAAAAAATAAAGACTAAACGTGCTTAATTAAAATATAGGAGGCTAAATTGAACAGCTAGTAAATTTGAGGGATGAAAAATACAATGAACCCTATTTTTTTATGTTTCAACTATAAAATATGTATTTTTTATTATTTAATGACTCACTAAAAAGTTAATTGTTAAGGATTTTAAAATTCAACACATTATCAAATATTATTTAATGAGTTATAGTGTACTATGAGTGAAAAATATTAATCTAAAAAATATTTTATTGATTTTAAGAATTATATTATATATAACTGTATAAAAATAAAAATACGGAATGGTTGATTTTTAAAAAAGCAATTAATAAAATTTCACTTAATTTTAATTTGAAATTTTTTATTCAATATTAATTAAAATTTTCATTATTAGTTAAAATTATTAAAAGTATTGTGTTTAACTAGATGATTAATTAATAAAATATCAATTAAATTACATATAAAAACTAAGAAAACGCTTTGATGTAAAATAGAAAAAGACAAATAATTATATAACATAGAAAATACGTATAAATGCCACTGTTTTATAAAAAAAATTAAATTTAGAATATAATAATGGATAATATTTGTTTTTCAAAGTTGAATATGATATATGATATTTTTCTCTCGAACTTGTATTAATAAAAATATCACGAGGAGCACTATACCTGAGGATTGCGTTTACAATGCGTTATCTGTGTTTATTTTATCGTTGGCAAATGCAGTGAGCAGAAAATGCAGACACAGGCACTGTCTCCCGCTGCTGCTGTTCTCCAACGCCCGTTTCAGCCTATTGTTCCTCCACTCTCTTTTGGATTTGCTCGCAATTCACTTTTCAAACCTTATTTCCTAACTCCAACCAAACACGTCCCTTTGCACTCCCATGCCACCGGTACTAATGACACTTTTTAGTTCATTCATATCATTTTCGCTTCTGAAATCTGTTAAGTTTTGCTCTGTTATTACGGTTACAGCTACCCACGAGGTTGTTATAGAAAACGACGACGCCAACGGCAACACCGAACCAGGCTTCGTTAACATTGGCTACATATCAGGTGTTCATGGTCTTCAGGGCGAGATTCGTGTCAAACCAGTCACTGGTTTTCCTCAATTGCGCTTTTCCACTGTACAATTTATTTTCTGTTTTTTTAATCTCTTCTTTTGGTATTTGTCTCTGTGGATATTCAATTCGCTAACTAACCTTGAAGAGTCGTTCACTAGCCAGGGAGAAGGTGGTTGAAGCGCAGGGCTTTGGGTGAGGAAACAATTCAACAGGTTGAGCTTGAGGAAGGTAGAGAGCACCCTGGACTCAAGAGTTGGATTCTCAAATTCAGAGGTTTTGACACTGTGGAGCAGGTTTTTCAACCCTGCCTCGTATTATAATTATTATATTTATTTTATAGTCACATTATATTTGGCTCAGTGTTATTTAGGGAGGATTTGGAAAGGCCTGTGAAAATAGCTTATGACTCTCATAAGTTCTTTTGAGTTATTCCAATAAATTGTATGATCAAATTTATGCCATAAGCTCGTGTAGTAAGAATTTATTGAACAACTGTTTTGTTAAAATGTTTATCCGAACGCACCCTTAATTAAACTTGGATGAATAAAGTGAGTCTTGATTACTAATCAGGGTGTATCTGGCTATATAGCTTAATTAAATACTTATTTAGTAAGTTTTTATCAATTGAGAGCTTATGTCATAAAATTGACTATAAATCTAGAGGAATAAGTTAAAAAAAAAGAAGCTTATAGCAGTCATAAACTATTTTTACAGGCCCAAATAAACTCTCCATAAGCTTTTTCAAATATCCCTTATGTCAGTATATGTTAATTCAAGAAAGAGGAAGCTTCTTAGTGAATTCATCTTTCGATTAAATCATATTTCAAAGCCAGTTTGATGCTGCTATGCCAAACACTGTCGTCTGCCTTTATTGTTTCTCAAAAGGGTTCTAGCACTCATGGTTGCAACTGAAAGATTCAGATTTCCCATATTAACATGGCCTGTTTGATCATGTGATATGCATGCTTTTTGGCCTTGGCTAATCCATACATTATGCAGGCTAAGATGCTTATAGGTGCTACCTTGCTTGTGACCAAAGAAGACAGGCCAGAACTTGAGGAGGGTGAATTTTACACAAATGATCTAATTGGGATGAGAGTTTTTATTAAGGTATGTTCTAATCACAAATCTTGTGTGTATGTATAAATACAAATCACTCTCTCCTCTCCTTTTTCATTATTGAAAATTTTAGTAAATATCACGTATTAATAAAACATGGTGAACTATTGTAACAGAAATGCCAATTGTTTGCCACATTAATTTATGGCCTTTTATGGAAAAAGATTAATCCTTTTCTATGGAACACTTATCTAAATATATAATTACATATCTGACTGCTAGCTGTCCTTTGTACCAAGGATTCAGGAGATGAAATGCTAAGTTCTTATATATTGACGAATATGAAAAGGGGATATTACTGATGCCTAAAGATATTGTCATATAAATTTGTATGAGCTTTGAATTTTCGCATTTTGTGACCTTATTGTTAGTTTTAATCCTTAAAATGCAATATCTGAAGATGTTGACCATACTTCTTCCTGTCAGGAAAATGGAAAACTTTTGGGAACTGTTATTAATGTTTTCAATAGTGGAGCCAATGACCTACTACAAATTTTACTCGATTCATCTTTTGATATGCTTGATAAAAGTGGCAAGCCAAGGTCAGCAGAAATAGACGCATCTGTTCAGCTTGTTTTGGTACCTTTTGTTGAAGCTATCGTTCCAGATGTTGATATGAAAAGTAGAGAAATGCATATTACACCACTCAAGGGACTCCTGGAATTAAACTTACGATTTGATGGGAGGTCCAAAAAAGAAAGGCGCCAACTTGTGAGCATACTTTCCTAATACTCTACTGCTAATTTGTTATTTTTAGGGATCATTTTGTCACTGAATATGTTTGAACTTTGAAGTTTTGTGCTTATTCCTGAGACTATATTACATTTCTTAGACTCTTACCTTTTTAAGGTGATATGAGGCCATGGGATCCCCTGCCCCTAAAAATAAAAAAACACAATTGTCTATCATTTAGATTAATTTTTTATTTCTTTTTCTCCATTTGTATGAAAATATGCTGTCAGATTTGTATTATTGGCAACCTGCGTGCAATTAGACTCCCAATAGTTGTAATTGCCTTTTATGGATTAGTTTCTCTGTTCTATTGTGATAAATATTTGAATGGGTACAAATATTTAAATAGTTATGGATAATTCACATTTTGGATCTCAGGAATGGAAAGAAAGGAAAAAGTTTCAAAAGAAACTCATAGCAGCAAAAAAGAAACTCTGTGAAATGGAGCAACAACATATATTTCATGGATATCAATATGGAGAGAAAGATCAGTGGAGCTTCCTTAGTGATCAGATTGTTGGTGTAAACTCCAAATTGCTTCAGGAGGCTTTACAAAGTCTTGAACAACCAGCTAAGAGGCAAGTAATGTAACAAGAATAGCCTTCCAAAGCCTTTTCCCACTAGGTGGGGTCAACTAAATGAATTGAACAAATTCATTGTGTTTTATCCAAAACCCATTCTTCAGCTAGCCATTTAATTTTAAATCACTTTTAATGGATTCACATAGATCTTTCTTGGTCTACTTCTAGCTCTAATTATTGGCTACCCTCTGTTTGATCCCATTTTTATTGCAAAGGAAATTTTCCTTTTATTTATCCCAAGTTTCATTTATTGGAATTTTCATTTGTGTTTTAAATTTTTTAAATCAGATGGAATGCAGCTGAGTTGGTCAGTGCCATAGAAGAAGGGCTTATAAGTTCTATCCAAATATCAGAGCAATCTTTCTCAAATGGATGTGAAAACAAGTTGGTTGGAGATATCAATATGCAAGAGAAGGGACTAGAGCTCATGTCTGAGGGCAAAATGGCTATTGTCTTTCTCTTGAATGAAAAAGAGGATCAAGAGCACCTTTGTGACCATGACATTGTTGAAAGAGAAGCAACTGACAGTTTGGTTCGCATGCTTCAGAAGTTACTACATGATCATGAAAATTTTGTAAAGGTTGTGAATTTGTGTTTTTTATTATTTGCTTTTACTGAATATCCTTCTGATAAAGATAGTTGCAAAAATCTATTTGTTCCATCACATGTATCTTGTATCATAATTTAATTTCTATAGAACAATAATCTCTTCAAAAAATATTCATGAGGAGATCAGAAAAATTTCCATCGGTTAATGTTCTATTCTTGTTCATTTCATTACTACTATTTTAAAGAGAATGCATTATCTTCATTGTTATGGTTCTTCCTTTTCCTACCTTAATGATGTAAGAAAAGCTGATTTGTTAGGTATTAGTTAGTGCCTTTTGGAGTGACTGTGTTGAATAGCTTTTCATCATATAATGAATTTTCATTTTTGGCAGGTCGAATACCGTGCTTCTCTGCCTTTGATTTTCATTTCCTCAGCCCAACAGATTCAGTTATTAAGAAAGCTGTTCACAAGCAACAATTACTTCGGATTTGACTCTGAAAAGGTTCACATCACACTAAGGATCTCCTTTTGTATTTTGTATTAGATCAGTTAGATATTTAGTAAAGTTTGTCTTTGTTGCAATTTTGTATCCTAAATTATATATTCTCAAGCTTTGAATTTTGTTTGAAAGAAAAAGTTCATATTATTTGAGTTTCCACACTACCATTATCTTGAAATGCTACATGTACTTCTTGATCGAACAATGTTTTGTCTTGTCTCATTGTCAATGTTGGATTATAAGTACTATGCTGTACAGCCATATTGGGCTAGTCTGGGGAAGTGTAAAGGGCGGAATATTGTTTGGTCATGGCTTGGAAACGGAAAATTTCAATTTCGTATGGTATTTACCTTTTAAGATATGATTTTGTTTGTGTGCCATGAATAATACTGTGTCACTATGTAGAAGTGAAGTGATGATCCATCTGCACTTGTCTATAGTCAATTGATACATAAAATAATATTTGCCTTATTTTAAGATGGAATTTTAGTGGCAAGCTCTTTTCTTGCTTGTATGATTGGCTTCTTGTGTGATCATATTTTAAATTTTTAACCCTTTTGCAGGTATGGTTTTTGGAAGAAGAGAAGCTGCCTGTTGTTAGCAGTTTGCCAGAAGGACAGAACAAGTATAAAATTTTAATGCAGTCTCCTTGGGAAATACTCCAATCTCCTATTGGATCTGGAGGATGTATTAGCATGTTTTCAAAACATAACATTGCAGATAATCTGATTGACATGGGTGTTAAGTACATCGAGGTTAGACTCTGTTTTCCTTTTCACTTATTAAACAGTTTAATTTTTGAAAATAGGGATTCTTTGAGGCTGTTTGGATCCTATCGTTACTTGCTTGTTTGGTGGTAGGCTTAGTTGCTTTAAAGTGGAATGAATCTGGATATACTGTGCTGAGATAATTAATATTAAACATTGAGCAACTTTTTCTGGATTTTCTATGATTCAGAAATGTGTTTATTCTCCAATGGGTTTGTACATGCACTTGGTGTTTTTCGAAACACTTATTTACATAATGGCACATACTTTCCCAATTTAATTTTTGCGTTTTGCATTCCTGCAGTTATGCTGCCCAAGTGAAAGAATTGCTGGTGGAAACTCTCTGCTTCTTGGTTTGGTAAATTCAATGGAAGCCAAGATGGGGATACAAATTTCACCTACAATTGCTGATTCAGACAAAAATTTTGACATGATATTGTCGATGGACTTTGTAAAGAAGTTGATGAAACAGAGCAACAAACTCCAATTTGATGCGATCCCAAAGGCACATTCCTATGTTGAGAAAGTCGATAAAGACTGGATTACTGTCACCTCATCAACCCCGAATTCATATGAGCTCTCTTGTAGTATATATAGTTCCTTAAACGCATGTTCGTTGGATAAGATTTGTATAGTGGAGGTTAAAGAATAATCCGATAAATTGGATGAGATAGCACTTCGTAACACGAATGTAGAATAGGGAAAAAATAAAAGCCAAAGAGGGGGAGGAGGAGAGATAGGTTATATTTGGTGTATTGTGTACAATAGTGAGGTTTTAGATGCAGACATGTGATTCAACCATAAAATATGAATGAGAGAATTAACAGTAGTTCTGGGTACGAATTTTAGTCGATTACGGGGTATTTTTCCTGTCAAATACATGGATATTTTATTTTGTTCTAATTTTGTAAGGGAGAGAGGGGAAAGGAAATAAGACACAGGTAGATAATATAGCAAAATGATAAAATTTGTGTACTCACAGTTCATGTTTTGCATCATAACTATCTAAGCTGATTTGAGGGGACATTTTATTTGAAACTTACTTTTTAATGCCTATTATCCAAAATTATTTTAAATTTATTAGAGAAAATATAGAATAACTTCAGAGAGCTGTAACTCCTAAGGTTTTAATTGTTCACCGCTTCAATTAGAGTTTTGTAAAAGGGTTAAAAAGTGTTGGTCATCAAACATACTAGGACTTGTATTGGAAGTAATCTTATTCCTTCATTTGTTACATAAAATTCTCTGTAACCAAATTGAATTTATTTTCCAAATAGTATGCTTCACTCCACTCATTAGTGATTACGTCTTCTTGCTCTTAAGATGTCATATGACCTAAAAATGTCTCTTGTTTAGATGAAATAATTTTGAAGGAAAAGAAAATAGGAGTGAATTAATAAAAAAAAATATAAATGTTCTTGATTTATATGTCTTGAAAGTTAGTAGAAGGAAAAGAAAAAGTTATACAGGGTCCCAAGACTTTTTTCTGCGGTTTTTCTATTTTTAATATTAATTGATTTTTATATAATATAAAAATATTTCTTATATAATTTACTTAATTCTTTTTATTCATCTAAACAAATAGATAGAATTTTTTTAAAATTTTTTTCTTATTTTTTCATATCCAAACAATATACCTTTATACTATTTTTTATTATTTTATTTTATCTCTCATTCAAACAGAAAAGAAGGAACTTTGTTTACACTGACATATTCCTTTGATATACTTAATTTGACGGTATTTATTTATTAAAAAAGTAAAAATATATCACATATAATAATATTTAAAAAAAATTAACCTTAATTTTTAAAAATAAATTTAAGTAACTAAAAATAATAAATTTTGTTTAAAAAATATTATTATATGTAAAACTTTGTCACCGTGAAAGTTAACAAAATATTAATTTTAATGGAAGAAGTTTTTATTTTTTTTTTTTATGACATTTTCATAATCAATGGAACTTATAATTATTAATTTAGACATAATAAAAAGAAATAATTTTTTTATATCAGTATAAATTTAAAAAAATTTATATTTAATTTAAAATTTTTATTTAATTTATATTAAAATAATAAATTATAATTTGTTAGATGTAAATTAAATAAAAAATTTATATATAATAAGTTTTAGAAAAGCATATCGTGATACCATGATAAATGGAGTATCGAACTGAGTGAACCGAGCGCTTGTATTGGCACTAACAAGTTACCATCCTGACCCGACACAGTTCTTCGCTACGCAAACACAATACGCAATCAACGCTTTATTCATTTCAGCCTCAGAAACAAACAAGTTAGCGTGAGCTTTTCTGATCTCAATTTCTCGCGTTCTATGATATGAAATCAAATTAATACCCACAAAATTGTTCTATTTGATTTTGCCCACAAAGTGTTTGATGTGTGTACTGAATCATATTTTGCCACCAACTTTGATTTAATTTTATTCATTACTAGTCAGATGTCACCTGCCCCCAAACTGCTTTTCGACTTCCAGTATCCACTGATGATTACATATGTTGACATTGTGAGTCTCACCGGTAGGGTTAATATTAATTTAATCAAATGAAATGCAGATTGTCTAACACTGTTGTGTATTTCTTGGTTGAGTGTAGAAAATAATGGTGGTAAATTTGTTGCTTATTTTGCCTTAAAAAAAAAACTAGAAATTTAGTTGCCTCTTGTCACAGCGCTCCTATGGATTTGTGTTATGACAGTGTTGGCAGACCGAGGAATCTAGAAAACATGATAACTGCATATTTAGCCAAACGTTAGAATGACCTTGGCATCATTCAGTCTCACTGTTCAGTTGCTATTGGAATTGACATCAATTTTAATTATCACCATTTCCCTTTAGCGTGAATAAATCAAGTTGTTCTGAAGTAGTAATTAATGTCTTTGTAAAATATTTTCTCAGACGCAACAATTCATTTAAGTGCGTGTTGTAATTCTTATACATAAACATAGGATCAACTTATGCAGAAACACCCTCCCCCTCCCCTCACTTTTTAGGTTCGTAATTTTTATTTTTTCTGCTAACAAGTGTCCTATTTTTTTTAATTTAAAATATGTCATCCTATGCATGAAAGCAGATTGCAGATATTGATCGAAATAAATGAGATCCGAGGCCTTCCAAACAGCTAAGATCTATCGCCTTCTTCTTAAGGCAGTCAAGAAACACATTGGGAAGGAAGGGAACAAGAGACACTTTTTAGAATTTGTGACCTCGGAGTTCCGTAAGAACTGTAATCTTTCTGATGGTGTGGCTGTCCAACAGAAAATAAAACTTGCACATGATTATACTTTTCTGCTTAACAGTGTACACCATCACAAGGTATTACTCTCTTTTTGTTGTGTTTTTTCTTCAAATAGTCATTTGTTTAAGGCTGTAGTTTAGAAATTTGATTTCAGCAGTTCTGATTGGTTAAATAAGATTTGCCCAAACTCATAACTCGTTCAGTTAGAAAACTTAACAAGATGTCAACGTTTTTGTTTATGTATAACTGTATGTTGCGAAATAAAAATAAGAGGCTTAAAAGAGGATATGGTTTTTGACTAGTGACCAGCATTACCAAGATGCATCCAAAGCCTAAAAAAATTATCTGCAGAATTCGTATTATCATTGATATCATTTTGTTTTGGTTCATGTATGCCTGTATATAATTATATTTTCAAGGAGAACTACATTTTATTGGTCTGGCTTTTCAACCATGCATCATTGTTGACAATTTTGCAGGATTTGCTTTTCTCGTACAATATTGCTGTGGATAGGTCAGATGAAGTGAAAAGGACTCTTGGAAAATCTGCCGCAACTGTTGGTCTTCGGCTTCCTGATGTTTATCAGCCATAGTGATTGGCAGTGTTATTTTTTGCAAGCATGGGACCTGCCTTTGCACTAGTGCAGAGAAGAGACTACTGAATTGAAGTATACATTACTTTTCCTTCACTATTGGAATTACTAACCCAGGAAGTTTTGGTGGGTTGACAGTTTCTTTTAAATGAAAAAAGTGTCAAACATATTATCTAGATCAAAACTTGAGAAGAAAAATAGGAATAAGACTCGGAGCTGATGAATAAACTATATCATTCATGCATTAGTTCCTTTTTCTAATAGCGGGTAAGAAGGATCTTTCTTTCCAGTTAATGTTTGTCTCTCCATGTTTCTTAACAGAAACCAACTCTTTACTCTTCTCAGTTATCTTCTTTAGGGCACACTGTGGTTGTTAGAGGTAATTTGAGTTTCTTTCACTGATGTTTGCAATGAAAGTTTAGTTCTTAGCATAGGTTGTTGCCTTTGGGATTATATGGAAAGTTTTTCCAACTCCATCGTATGAATGCCTATGTAGATACATTTTGTCTTAATAATTCATGATGCCGTAAATTCTTATTTTGAATCATATTTGATGAATATATAACCCGGAGCAGTTTATTGCAAACAGTATTTTTGTAAGCTCAATGCAAGCTTGAAGTCCCGATGTTTGGATTTGATTCAGCTTGAGCATTTTTGTTTTTGTTTTTAATCAGAGAAATGTAAATTTAAATCATTTTTTTAATAAATTAATTTAAACACGTATGATTCAAACTATAATATGAATGGACTTATAAGATATATTGGTAAGTATCATTTACGGAATGATCTTATTGTAAATAATGGATACATTCTCTCTGTCATTTTGCTCTGATAATGTCTTGAACGTTCGAGTATCAAAGTTAGGCATAAAGCTTTTCTGGTGCATTAAAGATCAAAGAGTGTAACAAGAAAAAAACTTCCTAATCTTTTCTCTCATTTTTACTTAACTCCCAACTAAGAGTTAATTATAAATCAACATTTTCCTTTCTTCCATTCCTTAAAAGGATATTCAAATAATCTTAACTTTCAAATAAGGGTTAATTATAAATAAACATTCTTTATGCTTCCTCTCTTTAAAAGAACACCCAAACAAATTCTTAGGGTCTTTAAATAAAGTTGTTTGTTACACACTTTTCCAAACAAAAATGTGCTCAATGCACTACTTTGAAGCGAAAAATAAAGTTAAAAAAAGTTATTTGAATAAATTAAAATAGAAAGTAAAAGAGTGATATTTTTTCTTTTTATTTATTTCAATAAGTGATAAAAATAGTAAAAAAAATAGATTGTATAAAAATATTTTTTTTAATAATAAAACAATAATTTAATAAAAAAAATTTGAAAAATTTAACATAACATTTTTATTATTTATTTTATTTAGCTTTAAAATAAAGAGAGAGAAAAAAATCACGTCCAAAATCCCATTATTGAGGCAAGAAATCTTGCATGTGGGCTTCCTCTCACAAATATACAAACCAGGTCTTTTTTCTAGTTTTTCATTTCAATCCAATATACCCAACTTCCATCCATCTATTTCATGGGAAACAAACAATGCATAAAATAGATCTAAAAGATTACCTAACTGATGATTGAGTTGAGGCTAAATCAACTTAATATTTAAATAATATAAATGTAAGCATTATGTATAATTAAATTATGAAGCATTAAAAAAAGATACTTTATGATAATTTTTTTTTAAAACAAATATATTAATATCAATAATTCAATAGTATCAAGTTAAGTGAAAGATATTGACTTAAGAATTTTTTATTTATAATTAATTGTAAAAGAAAAGTGTGTTTAAACCCTAATAATTCAATTTTATTACGAACATAACTATAAATATAAAGCTTTTATGTATATTAAATAATAAAATATACAATTTTATCTTCAAACTAATTCTTTGAATTATCCTTTTTTCCTTTTTCATGAATTTTTTTTGGGGGGATAGTAACAATTGTTTTAATAAAAAAAAAAAAATCGCTTCAGTATACAAAACGAAATAGGACATTAAATTTATTAGAAACATCGTAAGGTTATTAAGGAGGGATTGGGAGCAGAGTGTTGTGAAAGAGAAGAGTCCATTTAAGTGGCAAAGAATATGACTTGCCTCCGAGAAGGAACAATTGACAACTGCATAGATGTTGCCAGTTGAGAAGGTATTACAGTTAAACAAACCTTAAAAATAAGTGGCAAGTAAGAATCAGACATATTTGAGAGTCAAGTGTAAAGCATCATCATCTTTACAACCCTGCAATGCATGAACCTTTTGAGTTACTAGCACTCTTGTCAAGAAAAGAACCCAAAATTCTTTTTTCATAATCCATTTCTCATGTATAAGAACTCTCACTTGTACATAACCCATGCATCTCCTGATTCTTGAATTAGAAACTTTCCTTCACTACTTTTTGGGTTTTTAAATCCCCTAGTGCTTTTCTTGTTCCAAGCAGCTTTTACCTTATCCAAAAGCATACATTACAAAGATGGCTAACGAGCAAATGAAGTCTATTGCCATGCTTCTTTTGGTGCTGAATTTCTGCATGTATGCCATAGTTTTGGGCATTGGTGGATGGGCTATGAACAAAGCCATTGATAATGGTTTTATCATTGGTAAAATTTCTTCCAGTCTTTTCTCTCTTTGGCTCTAGAAATTATTATATGGTCAGGACTTCCACGTATTCATGGTAGTGCCAACCTCCACATGCACATGACAATTTACAAAATTGTCATGTTTCATGTAGAGATTGGCTAAGATTACGGATGCATGGTGGTCGGAAATCACCTTGTTGTGTTTCTTTCAACATGCTTATGTTGTTAAGAAACTATGAACTATGCAGGTCCAGAATTGAAACTTCCAGCTCACTTTTCACCCTTGTTCTTCCCAATGGGAAATGCTTCCACTGGATTCTTTGTGACATTTGCTTTGCTTGCTGGAGTAGTTGGTGCTGCATCAGCAATTGCAGGAATCAATCATATACGTTCATGGACTGCTGATAGCTTGCCATCTGCAGCTTCAGTTGCTACCATGGCTTGGACTCTTACACTCTTGTCCATGGGGTAATCTTTTCTCTATGATCTGTATTCTTCATGCAAAATGCAAAATGGAAGTGACATTGCTTTGAATTAATACACCAAATTATGTAGCAGTATTTTGCTGCTCTAACTAAAGTTTAATTATTCATTGTGCAGATTTGCCTGCAAAGAGATTGAGCTTCACATCAGAAATGCACGCCTGGTAAGACAAGAAAATTCATTTACCAACTTTCTCATCAGTTTTCTTGTAGTGTTTACACTTCTTTACAAGAGTTCTGAATTGTCCAATTTTGCAGAGAACTATGGAGGCTTTTCTTATTATCCTTTCAGCTACACAGCTTTTCTACATAGCTGCTATTCATGGTGCTGCATCCAACAGGAGATAAACTTGAAAGTTGATGGAATGTGTTTTGTTTTGGTTGGCCATGAAGGATTGTATTGGTGTGCTTGTATTTCTCTCCCTCTCTTTAACTTATTCTTTCCTCTTTGATTTTTGTTTTTTATTCTGTCTTTCCAAAAAAGACTTCCAATTCACAAACGTCCAAGGAGAATTAGCATTGTGGTGTTGTTTAAATGATTGGATTTGCATGAAATAAGACTAAATCATTTGCAAAAGCAATGAAGGTTAACTTTCTTAGTAGTAAGCTGTAGGCATTGATCATGGCAAAGTTCATACACTGTTAATTACTTGTTTAAAGAAAATAAATCCACTACTCTGTTAATTACTAATGTAAGTGGGACTCCACTTTTCCCAAAGCAACGATTGCTTACAGAGAACCGTTTCTACAGCTAACGTATATGTCACTCTTCTTCAACCGTGAAACTCGTGTGAACACAGTTGCTTAATGACAAAAGTTGCTTAACTAGAGACCGCTGAAGATGCTTCTAAGGGCATTTGAACACGACGCATAAGTGGCAAGACTGTACCATATGTTAAAACAATAATTTTGAGTCATGATGGTCAAGTAGTTGTAAGTGGTTTTGCAGGACATTGCGCATTAGATGATAAACACCAAAATTGATTATCTTTAGGATGATTCTAGAATATCGCAGAATCAAAAATTCATATTGCAGAATTAAAAAAATCAGTTTGAAATATTGGTATTGAGCTGTAATTGTTGCTAATAGAATAACTACAAACCTCACTGTAATGTAAATGGTTTCATATGGATTTTGCCCATTATATTTTTTAAAATATTAAACGAGACAATGTATATCAAAATATCAGAAAATTCTCAACGAACTCCTTCTTAGTCTTCACAAGTTTGACCCATCAGTTGAGATACTCGTGCTTGTATTTCTGCAAGAAATGCAGATATTGTCAACCATAACTTGATTTGCAAATTCAAAATGTACACCAAATATCCCCAAATAAGCATTATCCGAAAAAATGATGTAACTTAAAATTAATTCATACAATGCATAGAACTTAGAAGTTCATCTTACCTACGAAAATCTGTCCAAAAAACATGAATAGTTGATAAGGCTCAAACTAAGGTCAACTTGAATAATAACAAAGAACTGCCTTCAGAATATTATGCATACACTGTTGGTTCCAGAAGAATCACGCCCTCCTATGCAACAAACTTTTAGTAATTTTCGTGTTTTTTACACCTTATTTGATTAGGCTTTAATTCCCCCATTCACTTTCCAAAGGTAACTGGGAATACCAATATGTTGTTAAATAGAGTCCTTGCTTAGTTAAATATACTGATATGCATAAAATCATCATCGGTTGTCACCTAATCCTCATTTGAGTAAAAAGTGTCAAGTCCTTGTTGGTCAAGTGGGGATGATATGACAAAAAACTGATAAAAGAGGATATAGCAGAAACGGAGACCTTTTGCAAGCGCTATGGTTTGTCAGTAATAAAAGATTGGGTCAACTATGATATCACAATTAACTGGTTCATGAATTCATATATTCTCAATGCCCTCTAAAAAGTCCTAAACTACCATGTCACGTTTATAAATATTAGACCAAATAGAGGCTTAAGTAATTTTTAATGCTAGGGTGCAACTCTTATTTTGTTTTAAGTGTGCGGTAAAAGATTTAACAAAAAATAACTCCTAATTTTTAGTTTCCTATCTAAAATTTCAGAAAATTAATCTTTGTAGAGCACACTGGGGAGAGGAGGGAAACCCTCGTAAATGCAGAACAAGAAAACCAATGGAGAAAAAAAAAAGTATCATCCCTAAGAACAATTAACTTTTCAGGTTTTGATAGGTGCTATCATGCCTGGTAAGTTGGTAACAGTTAACAAAAGGAACTGATAATATGAAATAAATCTTAAATTATATTTCCGTTCCAAAGTGGTTCTGATATTCCAGATCTGGGATATTTTCTCCCCTTTTCCGCCTTATTATACACAACTAACAAAAACACTAATGCAAAACAAACTGGAAGTTCTTTTACATGAACAGAAAAGTAGGGGTTACGAACTTATTTCATCATAAGAAACAAGACCGAGGGAGATAGCTTGCTCCAATAAACAACTTTTAATATTTTTTTATATTTTGTCATTAAATATGTCCCAACAATCTCAACAAAATATGGGATCAAATTTGTGTATATCTATTGTAAACTCAAAATTTTAAGTTGAAAGAGAGTCCCAACAAATATGGTTTTACAAGGTAAAATAACTTCAAAGGTCAAACCTGAAATTATCTATTGGAACTTGACAGAGCTTCAAACAATCCACAGCAACTCAACCAAGAGGTCTTTTGCACCACATTTGGATCTGATGCTACACAAAGCTGCATATTAATTTAGCAAAGAAAAATAAATTTAAAATGGGCTTTTAACAAAAAATTATAAACAATGACTGCATGATGAAACCTGTAAAGCATATGTGAGAAAATGTAAAACCTGATCTTCAGAGAATTCTGCAGTCTCAGAATCCTTAATATGTTCTGCACCATTAGAAAACTTAGTGAAAGGAGAAGCAGAACGTGAATCTAACACTTTACTTTCATATTCCTCAGGCTTAGGTTCTTCCATATTTGATTTTGTCACAGTCTCATTAATTAAGGAATCCTTATTTATCTTCATAGCAGCATTGATCACTTCCACAGGATGGACTACTGGCTTCTCTAGTAATACACTTCCAGTATCACTATTTTCTACCTCAGACACAGAAGCCATGGCCTTGACTGAATTGACAGACTTCTCAACCGGTCCATTTTCATTAATCGAATTTGAAGTCATTTTGGAAATGGAAGAATCAATGGACTTACCTAACTCATGATATGCAGCTTCCTCTTTACAATTCTCATCCTTTGAGTTTTTCTCAGTGAGGGATTCACCTTTTGAAGTATCGCCACCGTTCCCATTCACGTAATGTGATTCCTGGGCAGCCTCAACATGCTCAAAACTAACACTTTTTCTCCCAGAACTCTCCTCAGATTTCAAACCTCTCTCTACCAAAACAACATTACCTTCCTTTCCTCCAGACACTTGGTCAATCTTAACATCACTAGGGACTTCTTGCATGGACTTGACATCATAAGCATGTGATTGAGCAGCTGATGGGTCTCTCTTATCCACCTCTCCACTCCCATCATTGAATGTATGATGATGCTCATCATGTTCATGATATGCAGTCGAACCACCCTCGCCGCCATCACTTCCTTTCTCATCTTGGGACTTTAAGCCATTATTTCCTAACATAAGTTATACAATCAATCAAAATATTATAAATTAAACCAACCAAATTAGCCCACACCCATGTACCCAACTACCTCAAAATACAATCAGTTAAAGCTGTATATTCCCAAAAATAAAAATAAAATAAAAATCAAATCAAAGTAATGCAAAACAAGAATATTTAACTGACCAAACACATACACAGCACACAATTTGAGAAGGACCCATCTATGATTAATTGCAAGTAAGTTGCACATGCAATTGAAGCCAAAAAAGGGTATTAGACAAAGTACCCTGAGGGTTGTTGGTGATGCTTTCCTTTTCCTTCTTTTTTCTGGCAGCTTTTCTCTTCTTAGCACCTGAAGGCATGATTGGGGCACAGATATGGTCGGGTGATACCCCTTAGTGTCTCGAACTATTCAGTGGGGACGATAAAGGTACAAACTTTGAACACTCAAACGAAATCTACAGAGAGAGAGTGTGTGAAACAGAGAGTGAATCTGCTTTCCCTGCAAATAGTTATGCTCCCTCTCTATTCTGAATTCAATATTTTATGCAATGAGACAGCGAAGGGAACTATTAGGATTGTGATTTGCGAGTAAAAAGGGTGAGAGATAGTGTCATGTTTCAAACTTTGGAGCTCAGCTCACCTGTCACCACTAAGAAAAGTTTCAAACTTGGAAATGATTCAAAATGGAAATATTAAAAACGACCAAATCTTTGCCCTTTTGTAAGATTCTGACTGTTAATTTAAAAACGAGTAAATGTTAATATATTTTTTTTTATAAAATGACATCTTTCAATCTTTAGATTATAAAATATAAAATATCATTTATTATAGGTAAATGATTTTTACAAAATCAAATATTAAAGCAAATGTTTGGTCAAATAAAATACTGAAGTAAACATTTTAAAATTTTAGGTACCAAAATAAAAGTTTACTCAAATGTAAATATGGAAAAGAGTTTAATTTTGTTAAAACATTCTCTCTGTAATCTAATCAATTTCACATATAGTTGAAGGAGGATTTAAAATCAGTTTTTAAAGTAACAAGGGATTAAAATTACTCTCTCAAGGGTCTGTTTAGGATTTTTATAATTTGTAAAACCTACAAATTTGGGAGAAGGAAAGCAAAAGGTCTGAATTTTAAATTAGTTCATTCATTTTTTTTATTTATTCATTTAAAAAACTATTTAAGTAATTGAAAAACCGTATACGTGAACTCCGATTTGAAGCGGAAAACAATTTTAAGGGAAACAAATATTCTAAAATAGGTAAATGGCAATTTAAAATTTAGTGCAATCTTTTCTTTATTGTTTCGTGTAAATACGAACTTTATATGTTTAAATTTCTTATTTAAAATAATTTATATTATAACAAAATATTTTTACATTTAATTTTTATATTAGAAATATATCTCCTCATGAATTTTTATTTATATTAATCCATATTTCTCAAAAAAATTTGTTGATGTCATAGGCATAACTTGTGAAAATTCAACACAATGTGTTCTTATCTTAAATATTAAGAGCTAAATTATGACTTCAGTCTTTATCTTTAATTTTTTTTATGAAGTCTATCTATGGAAGAAAAAATATATTTAAATAATTTATATATAAAATATATAAATTATTTTCATCATTTATTGAAATTATAATGATATTAATATTTTTTACGTAAAAACTAAAATAAAAAAATCCATATGTAAAGAATAATTAAGAAAAATTAAAAAATAAATATGAATGCAAAAAATCTCACCCCAAAATTATATAAATCAAAGTAATATACAATTATCATTTTTTTTCTAATTGCATGTTATAATTAATGATAATTTTACGCAGTATTTTTATATCAAATCACATCAATCTGTAAATAACAAGAATTATATTTTTTAAAAAGTTTATTTTTAGTTTAAAAAGAATTTGAATTTTAAAAAAGTATATTTTTAATTGAAGCTTTTTTAGCACATGAATCAATCTTTTCTCTTTCTCATTACTTATTTTTTCTTCTCCATTATTGATTTGAAAATGTAAGTAGGTGAAATACAATATGAAAAAAAAAATTACTATAAAAATATAAATTAATTAAAGTTAATATTTAAAAAATATAAATTAAATAATAATAAATATATTTATTAAAAATATATAACAAAATATTATTGTATTAAAACATTAAAACGTATAATAAAAAGATTAAATTTAAACATTCTTAAATTTTTTTTTAAAAATACATATTTATTATATTAAAAATATAAAATTAAAATAAATATATTTTTAATAAAATTTTACTATTATTAATTACTTACTTCTGTTTTTAAAGTTTCACTTAAGACTTAACAAGAAAAGAAATACTCATAATATATTTTGACATAGTTTCAATTTTAATTAAATATAAAATTAGTTATTATTTGTATGAGCTGACTTTATGGTCAGATCTTGATGAGCTTTTATGTGTGGAACAATGCCTGTTTTCAAAAGAAAAAGAAAAAACAGGGAGAGAAGGTGAAAAGAGCTGCATAATATTATACTAGTTGGGAACCTTTGACAAGGGCTCTTAGATAACATTGGATCTGATTTGGTACTTTCGGTGTTGTTTGAGAATTGAGGAATAGAAAGCAGAAGCGCATGGACGCTTTGAGGAAACAAGCCAGCAAGCTCAGAGAGCAAGTTGCCAAACAACAGCAGGTTTGATTTCCTCTCAAGTTTGCATTTTTCTTGGTTGTAACTTTAAATGCCATCATTTTCTTCTCAAATTCACTACTGGGTAGGCGAAATTTCCACGTTTTGACTATTGTTTTCGCTGTTCTGAAATGCAATTGCAAATGGGGTTTGTTTGATCTGGTGGATGAAGCATGTTATTTTTTCTGTTTGTTAGGCTGTGATAAAGCAGTTCAGCAGTAGTGGTTATGAGAGCTCGGATGTTGTTGTCATTGATGAAGTTGAAATGCAGAGACATCAGCAGCTAGAAAAGCTCTACAGGGCCACCCGTGCAGGCAAGGTTGAGACTTCTACCGTTCTTGTTTACCATAATCATTTCCTTTGTTATGTGTGAGCTCCAAATAATTTCCTAGTTCATAAATAATATGTATGTTAGGGAATTATGGACTAACATTTCTTGTATGTATTTTTTGTCATAACTTCTGAATCCATTTTGAAAGGTGGGTATTTACCCTCAATGTTTTTCTTGTTGCTACCCTCATTGCTCCTAAACATTGATATCCTGCATCTGACCTTATATCATTTGGAATAATACATCTTAGTTATAGTAGGTCTATCAATGAGCTTAGTGAGGGAGGGGGCATAACTACGTAACCTTTCTGAACCAAACTTGTAGTAAAATCTGTTACTATTTATCTTCGATGATTTGTATTTTCATGTTTGTTCTGTTTATTGATGGCTCCAATACTGTCTTGTGATTCAGGACTTCCAAAAAGAAATTGTTAAAGCAGCAGAAACGTTTACAGCTTTAGGTTATAAGCATATTGAAACAGGTGAACAATAGTTTTTGTTTCTTATTTATTTCCTGTAAATACAGTGCTCTCTGACGAGTCATAATAGCATGTTTTATGGAATTAGAAGCACCTGACAGTTTTGTTTATTTTACTGACTCATGATTTGCGAGTAAATCCTCTTAAACAATACCCATGGTAAACAGGAACAAAACTTTCTGAGGATTGCTGTAGATATGGAGTAGAGAACAACGGTGACAACATGTTGGCTAAGGCTGCATCAGTATATGGTGATGCTCGCAAACATGTAGAAAAGGAGCATGAAGAATTAAACCGGCTTTTATCTTCCCAGGTTGACTTTTCATGTGTTGTTCAGGTGTATAAGTTCTAATGCAAGTTCAACATGAGAATCTGTTAGTTTTATCTCCTAGCTACTCTTGACATCCTTTAGGACAGGTGAAAAGCAAATATAAGTAACATCTATATGTTTTGATGTCATAGAGGAGGTAGGAGAATGAAGTAACTTATTATTCACATTATGAGGCGAGAAACCTAAATCAAATGGTTTCAACTTCCAGGTATTGGATCCTTTGAGACAAATGATCAACGGTGCACCTTTGGAGGATGCTCGTCATCTTGGCCAACGGTATAGTAGGATGAGACAAGAAGCAGAGACACAGGTAAGTCAAAATTTGGAATGAATTGGCAATCTCTCCTCTTAAATCATGTAACTTGAATGCAATTTAAATTCCATACCTCATATATGGAATGGAATGAATAGTGAAGATTTGCATTGGTGTATGTTTGAAGCATTACAAACCAGAAAGGAAGAAACTATATATGTTGAAATTATAGGAAAAAGAGATAACAACAGACTCTGAATAGCTGTTAAGTGATTAGACATGTTGATGTGTGATACAAAACAGTATTACGTACAAGACTTCTAAAACATAAAAGCTTACTAAGCTCCCAGCTTTTTACAAATACATACACTTAAGGCATATGAAGTAAATGGGCTGCTTAAACCACATTGCACGAAAGGCATACATGATAGTATATGCATGGAGGAGGAAGGACTGACTCCAGCTATGAAGCAATTGGAATGTGCTGGATATCCTGCTCATGGGTTCCAATAATGGCATGGAATGTAGTCAGAGGACAGCTAATTGGGAAGTAGAATGTCATATAGTACAGAGACACTGTAGAGAGGAGATGATAGGGAAAGGCTAGAAAAATGAAGACTAACTATAAAGTGATTTAAGAGTCGATCATTTCAAATTAAAAGCATTAACCCATTACTCCTAATTTTACTAATAATTTAGGTCAAGTACTACTGTAATATGACTAGTATGTGCTAAGTCCATGATACTCCTTAGTCCTAACATATTTAGACTCCTGAAATAATAAGAATTATAGTATTCTAATACTGTACTTTCTATATTATGGTTGTGCTCCATTCTGCAGAGCAGAAAACAATGGACTAAGTAATAATGGATGGTTTTGCTCCAATAACTAAGGATGATAAAGGGAGACTGAGAATATTGTGTGTGATTTAACATAGGAAAGATTAACTTCTCACCCCTGTTTTTACTAATATTCTAGGTCATGTACTAGTATAATGCAACCAGAATGGGTTCAATCACGCTAACCTTATAAGACTCCCAAAATTATAATCATGATATTCAGTTAGTTACTGGTTCAGAAATTAGAGAAAGAATGAAATAAATGATAGGATCTTATTGATGAAATTTCCTGAAGTCCTAGATCAGTGATGAACCCTGTTTTGGAAGAGAAAGAAGTGCTACAGCTGTTCCTGTGAGGATTTTGAGAGCTTTAGATCTCTCACTAAAATTTAGCTCCTAGTCTTCTCTCCATCTCTTTATGGCTTTTCTCTATCAAGTTCTGTTAGAATGCTTAATTGACAATCACTAACTCTTTAACTCCTTTTACTGACAGAACAAGACCCATCCCAGGGGCCTTGCCTGACAATTCTAATACTTCGTATCTATAACATTTGCTTTAGAGTTTGATGTTCTTGCTTCTTTCTTCTTAATCTTTTAACTCAAATTGGTTTAAAAATTCAATCAGAGGGAGGAGATTTCTAGAAGACAAATACGGGTTCGGGAATCTCCAACTGCTGAACAGGTTGCCAAACTGCATGCTGCAGAAGCAAAGATGCAGGAGCTGAAAGCAAACATGGCAGTTCTGGGTAAAGAAGCTGCAGCTGCGTTGGCTGCTGTTGAAGCACAACAGCAGAGACTTACTTTTCAAAGGCTTGTTTCCATGGTATGATAGCACATGATTGATATTGTATCACTTAATGCCAAACTTGTAATTGTTTTAGAATTTTATTTTAAAGATTGTCCTTATAATTTTATAGGTAGAAGGAGAAAAGATTTTTCATTTAAGAGTTGCAGCTATTCTTGGTGAAATTGAAGCTGAGGTGAGAAACAACTGTCCTGAAGTTTTAAGTAACTAATAATTAGTTTATATGTTCTTCTTGTGTGTTATCGTTTCTATGAATTGTGTTCATTTTCTTAGTATCAATAAATTTTCATCTCATTGGAACTTCTTCTCAGATGGTCTCAGATAGACAGAAGAAAGAATCTGCCCCTCCAATGGTTATATCTGAGAATGGCTCGGAGAAAACAATGTACTTCTTGGCTGAAGTATGCTGCATATTCCTAAACTAATATTTCCCTTTATTATTATTAGAAAAATTTACTTAGACAAGGGATAAAACTTATTCATGAAATTCTAATTTTGAATCACATGGTCTGACTTATGAACAAACTTGTGTAATTTATTTCTTCAATTGATCTTTGGTGAATCTCTTGCAGGCAGTGCATCCCTTCAGTGCTGAATCAGATAAGGAACTGAGCTTTTCTAAAGGTGACTTTGTTGTTGTGAGAAAGGTGTGTGTCATGTCAACAATTGTTGCTTCTATCGCTGTCATCGTGATTCCATTTGATTTAATCTCTCAATCTTTTTGAGCACCAAATTTACCAAAATTGTACATGTATACCCAGGTGAGCTCAACAGGATGGGCTGAAGGAGAATGCAATGGTAAAGCAGGATGGTTTCCTTCAGCATATGTGGAGAAAAGACAAAGAATCCCCTCTACCAATTTGGCTGGTGAAGTTTACTAAGTTCAACTCATTCTTTGCTTTGTTTCCCATATTTGGTTTTGCACTGCATTGTTCAAAGAGGATGAACAAAAGGGGTGGAGAGGATTGTGGTATTAATGGAAGTGTTGCCTCATATCACCAAATGAAGAGGAAAAAAAAGGGTTGTTAAGCAGTGGGGTAATATACATGTAGTGTGTTCTTTCTTAAGGGTGCCACTTGACACGAGCTTTGCAGACAGTTTTTCTATTTTTTACTTTGGATCACAGACACGAGTTTACTTTTATCTTTTGTATTGTAATTAATTGGAAAACACGTGTCTTTGTTGATGATCATTTAATGTATTTTATGGAAGAATGATAAGATTTGGATTTGTACAACTACAATCCCAAGGTAATGGAGGGGTCATTTATCCTAAAGTGTCACCCCAACATCTTTTGGGGGCTGCTTAATCCTAGTGTCAAGCCATTAAGGTGATGTTATGAATTTATGACAATTAAGTTTTAAAAATGTCCAACTCAGAATAAGTGTTTTAGTTATATTTTTAAATTTCCCCTTACTATGTTCTTCGCATTTTCTTTTCTTTAACTAAGTTTAAATGGTAGTTGCTGGAAGAAGTCATTTGTTTTCCCAAGCTTTAATAAGAATGCTGATTTTGTTTAAAATTTTGAAATCAGTATTAAAACACTACGAATAGGCTGTGTACTAATTTGGTTTAATAAAATGGTATTGTTGACGTTGGTCTTTATGTGAACAACTAATTGGAGAAGATAAAGAAAAAATATTTTTATGTAATAAACCAATCCAATCTATACAAATTATAAACATTGAAAAAAATGGATGTGATTTTAAAAATTGGTTCAATCTAATTCAAGTAGAACTTATACACGCATAATTTTATTTATGAGATTATTATATCACTTATATTTACAAAGTATACATATGTACGAAATTACTATACTAATTTCATAATCTAAAGTATGTCTTACTTTTTAAATTATTTTATAAATTTATTAATTTATATATGTAATAATTATGAAATTACTATACCAATTTGTTTTAATATTTTTCTTATAGTAAGTATTTCTACTTAAATTACATCTACAAAAGAAGTAGTAATTTGTTGCAAGTATTGTTGAATCTATGTATAAACATGTATTTATATTTTTTAATAAAGTAAAGATTACTCTAACTAATAATTTATAATTTGAATCATGTTATGACCTATGGTGATATATTTTATGTTTGAGATAAGTTATTTATTTATTATGCGTTGAACAGAAATAACATAAATAAATAAATCAAAATTTATATTATAATTTGATTCAAAACAAATCGAACTTTATTTTTGTGAACAGATCAAGCAATTTTTACTTTTTTGGTCATGAAACAATTTTTTAATTAAAAAGGATTAACTTGATGGACACAAAAGATGGACATGGCCATTTGCTTTAGAACACCGTAACTGGACCCAAAGTTGTTTCTTTTTAAACCCAAGAAAACACAAAGGATGGGCACAGCACAAAGGGTGCGGCTTTTCATTTTCAAACTAAAAACAGTACCTCGGAATACGCAAAAACGAACAGTTTATCTCTCTCTCTGTAATATAAAGCATTCTCTGCTTTCTTCAGTGAATGCTCGCTCCTCCCATGGCATCTTCCATAGCCAACTCCTCAACATCTGGTTTTTGCTTCAAAGGTATACCCTTTCTACCCTTCTCTCTCTTATCCATTTTCTATTCTCATAGGGTTTTAGTTTTTACACTTAAAAATACTCATTTTTCTCTTTTATCCGTTTGGTTTTTATTTTTATATAATACAATAAAGCTTCTTCTTTGGTTCTGAGCTTCTTATGTCTCTTCCATTGGTTTATTACCAGCATTTGTGATGTAGCCCTGCATTCCATTTTCCTGTGGGTATCTTCTTCTTGTTATTCTTGTTCATAAAGTATGCAGCTCTGTGTCCAAGGATTTGATTTAGTTTATTGCTAATATCTTTGTTACTTCAATGTTTGTGATGTAAGAAGTTTACATATATGATCTTTGGAAAGAGATTGACGGCTGTTCTTTATCTTTGCTACTTAATGGCGGGAGGTGGTGAACAAAAATTTGAATCTATGATGTTGTGCTTAATTAATGTTGTGTGCAGTTCCCATCCTTTGTGGGTTAACTATATGTGTCGATTCAGTTATTATGTTGCTTTCATGAGAGTTGCTGTGAATATTGATGGAAGATTTGACTATGCTGTGTACTTTGAATATGCCATCAACTGCTTTGTTTATCTCTCAAGAATATATAGACCAATAATTTTCTATATTTGGGTGATGGTTCTCACACTTCAGAGTTTTAGAGGATGTATTGGTGGAAATGTTTCTTTCTTAGAGATTTTCCCTTGCCTTTGCATTATTTATCTGTTAAAAGCTTTAATTTTGAGATTCGCCTTTGTATTGGGCTCTTGGTGATAGGTATCATGTTCTTTCAACAACCTTGTGTACCGCATACTGTATTCAACTTAAAGAAAGTCCTGTGATTAGTGTGAAAAGTGATGTGTAATTATATGAGCACGTACTTTTACCTGTACTGCATTTGTGGTGGTCATTTTCTCTCTTGCAATCTGAATGATAGAAAACTAGTATGCTGGAATAACCTCTGGTTTTCACTTCATTCTTTTCAGCTTTCTGCCAATCTAGAGATGATAATTTTGACCTCAGATTCATTTTCACTTTTTTCTACTAGTAAATATTTCTTTCATTTTCTTACTCATTTCTCTAATCATCATAGACTTTTTCTTGATAAACCAATTTGGAAGTCCAAAGCCTTTGAAGTCAAGTCTTTTGTCTAGAAGGCAGTATTGAATAGGATTAATGCAAATGACTTGTTGCTAGTTAGTAAGCCTTGTACTACCCTTTCACCTTATATGTGTCATGCGCAGCATGACATAATGCAGTGCAAAGGGCCACCTGCATAAAGTACTATGTTTGCATAGTGGAAAACAGGGTGGTTACTGCAGCAAAGAAAGCAGCTGCAATGAAAGGAAGGAGCTCCTCTGTTTTGTGACTGGATGGACAAAATGTGTGCTTGCTGGCAGCCATGACTTTTGTCCAGATGCATACTAGTGGTCACTATTCAATCCATTATGGGATGATATTAGGGCACTCTACCCCACAATAGTGAAATGCTTGGCCACAGCCATTCGGAAGGGTGAGGGCTGTGCCACGATACTATAGCAGCCGCCCAGGCTCTAGTGACTGCTTTCAGAAACAATTGGACACTTCTTTTTGCATTGTGAAACAGTTACCACCCTATAGGACAAATTGTTCAAGATCCTTGAATAGTTTTTGGACTGCCTATTCCCCTCAACATAATTTAGGATAGGATTCTGTTTATAAGCTCTTTCCTTTTCTGTGTTCTTCTTTTGCTTTATATTAATTTTTTTCTATAAAAATATTTTTGTAATTTTTTTCTTTTCTCTGACATTACTGTTTTGGTGTCCTCACCATTTTGCTTCATCTCTAAAAACTTTTGTCCTAACTACTTCTCATGAATTTTAGGTTTGGAAAAATCTGTGGTGCCTGGTGCAAGGATTCGATCCTCTTGCATAGCACATGAAGTATTTATTGTCGCTTGAAGGTATTGGAGTTATGGATTAATATACCTAAAGTTTGGAGTAGGGAGGGAATGAAGCCATTGGTCCTAGTAGTTTAATTTATATGTAAAATATTGAATTTTTTGTATATTATTGATGTAGTCTGGATCTATCATTTGTTGTACATTGTTATAGACAAGCAGCAGCAGCAATCTTTGGTCCTCATCACTTACAAGAGGTGCAACAAATAGGATTGGAATTTATTATGTATTAATTAGTTGTTTTCAGTTATAGTTGTGTCAGTTATAAGTTTGAATTAGTATTACAGTGTATGCTATTAGTAAGGAGACAGATCCTAAGCAGTTATTTTATTTTTTATGTAAGTTTGAATATTTAAAGGATTGAGAAAATGAAGAAGGCAGTCAGTTTTCTTCGCAAAAATTAAGTGCATAAGATCAAAGGGTTCTCTCTAATGAGCCCTTAAACATTTTTCACAACAGGTAAACAAGGAAGGAAATCCAGAAAATTAGTTTTAACAACAAACTTAGACAATTCTTCAACAAATAGACCCATTACTAGATCTTAAGTGGGGCCTGTAACAAACATAAATTTGCTATAAATAGTGACCGTTTGAACTTTTCTTACTTTACATGCGTTTTGGTTTCCTGTTTTTTTTTTTTTATTAATTTAAATGCTTCCAGAATTACAAAAATAGCACCATGGTTGGTTTGCTAAGTAGCACAATTGAGGAATATTTTTCATATCTTGGTAGTTTTCTTGGCCCATTTATGGAGTTTGAGCATTGCATTGCTATATCGCTTCTCTTTTAAAACGCTAGAAATATTTCATTTAATAAAAGTAATAAATCTCATGTTTGGAATTGGGTTGATTTGTTCATAAGTGTGGAACATTTTTGCAAAAGTAGATTTAAAGTGTCTTGTAAATCAAATCGCATGCTTAGAACACCTTTAAAATTAAGAGATCGCTTTGCTTGACGATTTTACATTCTCACCTTCAATTAGAATAGGTTAATAATAATAACTATTAAGCCTCATTCCACTTCAATTAAAACAGGTTAAATAAGTAAATAAATAAAGATAAAATTATCAGTTCAAGCAAGTTAAATTGACCTCACTGAAATTCAACCATATTAGAGTGGATTTCCAACTACACAAATAGAAAATAATAAATCAAATTAATTTTACATTTTTACTAATCCCAAACTCAATTCAAGAGAATCTAGAGCGCCTGCATTCACGAGGTCGTCCCTGGGGAAATCGCTTGTAATCTTTGCAGTAGTTATAAATCATGTAATACTTTTGCACCCATCTAAGACTCCTTCCATCATTAGCATCCAAATCTTGAGGTTGCCAAGTATTATCAATCCTGGAAGCTGAATTTGAAGGACAAGAGGATGAACCTTTGGACCAAACACAGGCTTTAGCATCAAAGTTGTTGAAGTAAGCTTTGAAAGGAGCAAAAGACCAACTGGTTTTGACCAGCCCTCCTCTTGTTGCCCACTGCTCTGCACACCATAGACTGGAATATAGCCTCATGGGCTGGCTGCTAGCAAATGGAACTCCCCTGGCTTCATAGTTGTTGAAGACTCTAATAGGGATGTTATCTACCATGAAACTAGCCAAAATATTGAAACATATAGCATCAATGAAGTAGTTATAAATTACAAATGGAACGCAGAGAGTTCCATGATTTGTTTTTAACTAAGGATAATACTAATGTCAATCTTAAGGGCTGATTCTAGGTGTATACAAGAGGTAACTTTTAAAGTGTTATTGGAAAAAAGTGTTTATTACACTTTTAATATTTTTTTTTTTATGTTAATAGATACTTTTTTTAATAATGTTTAAAATCAATCTTAAAGACTAATGTTAACTAAACCGTTGTATTAAAATGAAAATAGAATATTAATTGACAATGTTTCATACATGATGCGTTGAGGGTTCCATACAATAGTATAGGTGTGGAAACTTTTGGTAGGGTCGAACCAAAGATAGAACTGTTGTTCTCTATTCCCTACGCCTTGGGTGTAAATATTGGTATGGACCATGTAGGGCTCTCCACTGAGGTTTCCCAAGAACTCAAAATCTATCTCATCATGATTTGGACCTTCAGAAGATAACTGCACCATGACGCAAATTAAAGCACCATAAAAGTTATAAAATACGACCAATTCTTATGCCTAATCCAATCAACAATTGATCATGCCTTATCACTCTTTAAAATATAAAATATTTGTGACATAAGATCTGTGTAGTTATTTAATGTTGGTTAGTTTAGTGTGTACAAAAATTGATCATACGATATATATGAACGGTATCAATTGTAAAAACAATTAAGTTAAACATGAGACATAAAGAGAGGCTTTCTCACATAATATGCAGTGACTGTGCCAGCAGAGTTACCAGAGACAAGCTTAAGCTGCATGTCTATTCTACCAAATAGATATTGTTCCTTGGACCGAAAGCCAGAGCCAGAGGACTGGTCAAGAGAAAGAACGAGAAAGTTGCTTCTTAGTATTTTTACACTACCATGTTCACCCCAAGTGATGTCAATATCTTTATAGAAATTACCCTCACCAATGACTCCAATGAGACTCATCAAGAGAGAAGCCAGCAACAAAGCTGAAATTCCAGCATAGGTTCGGATTGTCATATTTGCTTAAATATCTTATGCTTTAGTGTGAAAAGATTGAAGTCTCTCTAATAATGTTGGGGTCTTGATGTTGGTAATGGAGTTTATATAAGTGCGAGAGCCCATGATCTTTTAGTGTACTAGAACTTTTCATGCACCGATTAAAGCATTGGAAGGAAATAAGCTGGCAATTAGATATTTTGAGTTGATAATTAAGTGGGTTCCCGGGAAGGTCACATATGGTGTGGTATGGATATTTCAAAGAGCTATCTCTGTTATGCCATTGCTTATTTTAGTAGATTCAATACCTTTGAGTAATTGGTTAGTTATTACACCGTTTGTTAATGCGTGTATAGTAACTGTCTTGGGTACACATAACTAATCAGAGAATGTCCAAAAACGTTGCCTGATTTGAGGATATATCATTTCACATCATCATAATCAATCGAATGAAGGGTGCAATTGCACGATACATGCTTAACTGGCCTTGTTATGGCCTTATGGGTTGTCTTTTCTTCAAAAGCAATTTTAGATTTTTAGGTATATATAAAGGAGGAAACTACACATGGATTGTGAACTTGGCAAAGCAACTCGAAGTTCAAGGTTACACGTAAGGACTTGGACGTAATTTACTCCAGATGCATACAAGTCAAGTATTCTTTGTTTCATCATTATCCAAGACTGGACTAGTAAGAAGTAAGACAAAATAAAAATAAAAGAATGCTTATACCACACGCTTTCTAACACAAGCAATCAGTCCTAATTTTCCTTTGCTCTCACCCTCTTAGGCCCTGTAAATAAGCTGCTCGAAAGCTGAAATAGATATGTTTCAAAGTTTGAGTTATAAAAGGAAAAGGAAAGAGCAATAAAATTTCCATTTCTAATAATTTTTTTAATTTGATAATTATTAAAAATGAAAAAACATAATAGATTTGTATAAAATTAATGACAACCACTTGTTTATTTTTATACATACTATAATTCACTTAAAAATTTAAAAATATTTCTTTTCCTTTTACCTATAGAATTTCACTCATAAACATACCTTAAGGCAGTAGGTAGTAGGTCTACAGGTGCATCCAAAGCCAACAAAAAACATTATTTGGTCCAATTCGACGTCAATCTCGGATCCACTTACCAATTTTATCTCACACCACATTAATTAACCAAGATAGTCAGTTGGTTGACCAAAAAAAAAAAAACAAAACAAAATAGACCACACTCGTGACCAAAAACAAAAAACCAAGAGACCATAGTAAGGACCCAAAAAGAAAGAGACTGCAGTAGAAAAGAAAATGCCTTTCCCAAGGACAATACCAGGAGTTTTTCATGGACCAAAATTTGAACAAGACAACAGATATGTAGATCAATCTATACTGAAGAATAGGCTAAAAAATAAAAACAATCGCATCCGACGCATACAAACATTTCCGTCTCTTCATCCGACTAGATTGCTGTGGTACATTCGTCCAGATCTATTGAAAAGGAATCTCTCGTATGATACATATATGGTGAAAAATATGCAAAAAATCTTCACCATTCTTACATAATTCACATACTGACCCGTGAACCTCAACCCGAGTCGCATAGGTGCCCGTTGTCTGCCGGCGTAACTTAATCTATAGTAGGATGGCAAACAAAGATGTTTACTAAAACAGCATACATGGTATGTTGTGAACCTCTCCTTGTCATCATTTATTCTTGTTTGATGAATATCATAAATTAACCTTGTTCTTCAATTACTCTCGTCACAAGTCCAACAGCGATTGTTCTTCCCAATGATCTCAGGGACACCCTTCCAAGAGCTTTACAACTAGAGAACTCTACCACACAGACCGGCTCAAGTAAAATCACCTAAAAATCAGACAAAACAAAAGTCATTCTCTGTTGAGTCCCTGGCATTACAAACGAACAGAAATTAGTGAAGATCGTCGAAATAGCAAGTTTTGCAGTTTTCATTCACCTCTATTACTGCACTTTGCTTTGCAGTGAGACAACGAGGCGATTTTTTGGTCACCTTACCAGTCTTGGGATCAAGTACTGATAATATTCTTGAAACTTTTGCAGGTTCCTTAGCATGGTGTATATGAAACTCTAACTACACATACAGAAGATGAAAATTGAAATTTCCCCAATCAAAAAGACTGGAAAATAAAGTACGAGGAATGTCATTTGCGTGGTACACACCTGAGCGCCCACCAATATGGGACTTGCACCATCCAGGACTAGCACTTTCAACTCCAAATGCTTAGCAACTACAACAGGAAAGTCAGGATGGCATAGTACACCTCCTGCCATTACATGACTTCCATCAACACCTTGCAGTGTTACAGCTACATTATCTCCAGCTCTTGCAACGGTGCATGAATTAGAGTCACGCTCCAAAGAGCGTACTGTTCCCACAACAGCTGAAGGCATAACTAAGACCTACAATTTATAAATCATACAGCTATAGGAAATTAGTTTCATGTCATGTCATGTCACGTAAAGAAGAGCACACAAAATTGCAAATCAAAGTTTGTGACCTTTTTGAGACATTATTATCTTAATTTTCATGCTAGACAAATTTCCTGAATAAAATTTCTTGGTAACATCCCTTGCTGGCTCAGCATATTCTGTTAGAATATGCTGGGGGGGGGGGGGGGAAATGGCAGTTTGTAAAGAACTATATAAAACAAGTTCATCAAGTAAACATCTGTTTCTTTAAAAAAATGTTTAATAAGTTTTTTGTCCTTATATTTTCACTGAGTCCTTTTTTCTAATCTTTCAATTTACCAATGAAATATAACAAAACACAGGGAATAAAAAATTTAACGGAAAATTATTAATACCTAAGTAATTCAGTTAGTTTCAGATCAGTAAAAAACACTTCTAATTAGGAGAGTTCTAAATATAAATCTATAATTTGATTTTTTTCATTAACATCCATAACACTCCCCATTTGGTATACCTTTGATCCACTTCGAAGAGCTCCTGCTTCCAGCTTACCACAAGCAGACACCTGTCCAAGTGTAGTTGATTTGATGACATCACATATTGGCATTAGTAGTGGTTTTGAGAATTCTCTGGTAGGAGGTTGGAGAGAGTCAATTGCATCTAACAGATAAGGTCCACTACACCTGTTTCACAATGAACAACAACCATTAATTTTTAGCAGTATAAATTGCATACAATTCAAAACCAAAAGGAAAGTGTCTTCTTAATAATTTAATACCAAATACAAACCTAGATTACCAGTATATATAAAACCTATTATGTTATAGCAAAAATGATGCCAGGCTATCAGTGTTCTTTATTTAATATTAACTAGAGCAGTACCCATGCAACAGTATGGGTTCCATCCCAATCGCACAGTTTCATTTCAAAAGTATCCATCTTTCTCATCAATAATTACTATAATAACACCACTGAGGCAGGAAAAATTTCAGCAAATATCAACATGTGTCCATCTACCAGGAGTTTTATTAATAATATAGATAACACCAAGATATTACTTTCAACCAAAAAGATTACATGGCAAGACACATCAAACATCAAAATCTCAGACTCGGAGAGTAATACTTAATTACTTCTAATAATTGTTTCTGTCATAAGATATTGAACATGCAAATAACAGACAATAGAATACCTTAGCATGATAATTTCCATTATCTGGGTGAAAAATAAAATGGAAATCGTGTAGCACATTTTTAAGTTGAAGGACCAAAGTGCACTTGAGCCTAAATAAGGGGTTAAATTGAAGTGTCCAAATTAATATTGGGTAGTACAAAATTGAGAAGCAACAGTAGACTAATAAAGCAATATGGCCCAAGCCTATTTCTACTCAATTGAGACTATAAAGAAGCATTAACATTCTTATGAAGTAATATTTAAACCAAACGTCAGATAAAAATATTCCCAAGAAACATAATTCTCAAGAAACATAATTCCCAAAAAGAGATTATATGTATACTATCAAACGCCCCCCTTGTGTAATCAAAGACATACCAGCTTTTGAAATGAGCATCAGAAGGGGATGCCACCAAATTTTGATTTTCCATGGCACTCATGGGAATCCATGACAGAGAAGAATCTTTGAACCCACATGAGCGAAGAAAAACTCCTAGCTGCTGCCTTATAAAATCAAATCGATCTTTGGAGTATGCCACAGCATCCATCTTATTTACTGCAACTATAACCTGGTCAACACCAAAGCTTCTGATTAATTGTGCATGCTCCCTTGTTTGACCTTTGCTGCCATCCATACCAGCTTCAAATGAACCAAGTGAGGCATCTATAACAAGAATTGCAGCATCAGCTTGTGTTGCCCCAGAAATCATGTTTGGGACAAAATCTTTATGGCCAGGGGAGTCTAGCACAACAACATGATATTTCTTAGTGTCAAAATATGCAACAGCCACTGTCATAGTTATTCCCCGTTCCCTTTCTTCAGAACTTTCATCAAGTGCCCAAGCATAAGCAAAGGATCCCTTGCCCTAATTAACAAAAAAAAATAGAAGCAGAAATTGGCACGAGTTCAGAAGTATCAAGCTTTAAAAGTACAAAAAAGATGACCACACAAAATTACCTGTAATTTGGCCTCCTTTTCATATTTGTGCATCTCTTTCTGGGAAATCCGTCCCAGTAGGTGTAGTAACCTGCCAGATAGAGTTGATTTTCCAGAATCAACATGGCCAACCTACAATTGATAAACAAAAAACTGAGACCTCAATTCCTAGAAATATTTTCCTGCAGCATACAAAAGAACACGCCATTGGCATACAATTGCAAGATTCAGCTGAGTCAATGTATCTTCAGCTTGTTGAGGGAGCATCCATTTTTCTAGCTTATATGAAACTTGTGAACGATGTCCCTTAGCATTAGTATTTTCTGAAGTTCCAGATCTCACATCGAGAACCATGTTGTCGATACTGCTTGAAGAACTTTCAGGTTTTCCATCTTTGATAGAAGAGGGACTAACCGTATCACTTTTTTTGCTTGATTGAATATCAATTGTACCATTTTTAGAAGAATTTATCTTATTAATATTGTGACCTTTGTCCTTTGGCAAAGATTCTGGCAAGCTCTTTGAAGTTTTACCCCTTGTCTGCAGATCAATTGCTACATTTTTGGAAAGCATGTTCTCAGCCGAACTATCCTGCCTGCTCTTTCGCATTAAGGATGATAAGTTGTCTAAACTTTCAACATTTGACTGTACAGGAAGTTCATTCTTCTCTCTGATGTTTGAGGAAAGCTGAGAAGTTTTAGTGTTCATAACTTTGTCTGAAAGAATTACAGAAATAAGATAGATTAATATTTATTTACAAGGAATTAGAATATGAAGATATTAGATATAGAAAAACTATTCAGTTTTCCTCTCTTTTTTTCATTTTTTGGTGAGAGCTACAGTGGTAACAATACAGGTTGAAGACAGATGGAAAAAAATTGTTTACGAACAGGCATAACAAATTTTGAAACTGGCAAGGTTTTTTTTCTTTTTCATTACCCAGCTCAAGTATTTACTTCCAACAAACAAGCTGTGAGAAATGAGATGAGAAGAATTCTGATTTTTCCCCTTATTCGCAAACTGATAATCATAATATACAGTATAACATAAAAGATTACAATAGAAAAGCTACAAAACTAAATCAGGCCTAAATCTTTGAAACAATCTAAATGAATCCCTCCACCTAAATCCCTTTATTTTAGGGATGTCAATCTGATTCTTCTAATCTATTTACACCTAATTTACACTAAAGAACTCCCACTTAAGCTGAGAAATATGTCTTCCATGCCCACCTTGGATATAATATCATGAAAGGTCAAACTGTTCAGCAGCTCTGTTAAATCATCAGCTAATTGATGTTCTGATGCAACACAGGACATATACACCAATCTTTCCTCCAATTTTTCTTTAACAAAATGCCTATCAGTTTCAATATACTTTGTCCTATCATTAAGCATTCAATTATAAGCAATATGAATTGTCACAATACAGCATCACAGAACCTTCCATTTTGACTCTCAAATTATCTAGAATAATTTTCAGTCAGTTTACACGATCTTTGAACAGTATCCCTGAATTCAGATTCCGCTCATATTTTACCACCACATTTTGCTTGTTTCTCAACATTACCATATTATTATCTTCAAAGAAGGTACAAGATCCCATAGTCGATCTTCTACCAACTAGGGAGCCTGCATAGTCAATGTCAGTATAGGCATCTAGTGCAAGAAGAGTATTAGTCTTTTTGAACAAACTTCCTTTCCCCTGTAGATATCTTCAATTGCGTGGACTTCCAAAATCAATGAAAGCTTTCTGCCATTCAGACTTAAAACAACCTCCAGGAAGTAGAAGAAATCTTTGCAATGGTGCAGAGACACAACTTGAATAGGAAATGTGTTGAACAGCTAAAGCCTAATTTATTCCCTAATATTGGTCATTTGGCACCAGATTTTGAGACTTAGAGCCCAAAAAGTTAGAAGAAGTGTCTGAAAGACTTGGAATTTGCATTTGTTTTGAATAATATTTCACTTTCTATGAAGAAATGAAGAAAAAAATTGGAAGGTTTTGAAAAATATTGGAGAAGTAAACCACAAAGAAATGATATGCAAGAGTTTTCAGTTTCAAAATAATGTTTACTAGAGGCAAATTAGATTTGTTGAGGGTGCGATACCTTTCGAACCCATTTTGGATGAATGCAGGCCAGTATAAACCACATCATCAGGGGATGGAACATCAAACTTGAAAGGATCTGTATAGAAAGAAAAACATGGTTTTATATCTATTATTTAGAAAAGAATAAATACGTAATATGCTCTCATGTGCAAGAATTTGCAACTTGCAAGAACTAAATCTTGGCATAACATTAAACATACTCTGATCTTCAACTAAAAAGATCTTTTGTTCTAATCACTGTTGCATAACACTCAAATGTCAAGTTTAGAAGAAACTATTCTAACTCTTCACATGCACATCCTGAATCAAAACTTGTGAAGACCTATGGTTAGATGGGGATGGCTTTGAGTACTAAAAGTCTTGTGAATTTCATGAAATTCTCCTCGGACATTCTCAAGCTTGTCGAAGTTACTGCCATCTGTCTGAAAACCATCACCCTGCTTTGGAAATAATACAACCTCTTTGGAAGTCTGTGGTGGCAATGATTGAAAAAGAGACCTGGCCAACTTGGATGCTCCAGGACTGTTGCTTGTGTCTTCAACTGCACCAAAGACATTGTTTAATAGGTTATAGGTATGTCATGGCCACTGTTGTAAACCTAGCACTATGCAGCCAGATACAAGTTCTCATATTCTTTGACAACACCCCCCCCCCCTCCTTTATCAGATATTGCAAAAAGATTAAATTCCTTGATCTTTATACTGTTCTGGTTTTCATCCATTGAGGACTCTTTATCCCCCTCTTATGTCTTTTCCTAGTAAATTATTTATTGTTAAACCTTTAAAAAATTAAATTGGTAAATTACAGAACAACAACCAGAAATACTAAGGAATCCCATACCTAAACTTCTGAAAAATACAGAGTGTATTCATAATAGATGGGAATGGCTACTTGGATTGGCAAAATTAAACAGGTATCTGCTCTGGCACTTCCTTTCAGTGGATCCTCAGCACGTGGATCACTTATTTTAATGAAAAATAAAGTGTAAAGATAATTTGCAAACTTTGCACCCTTTGGATCTAAACTGGACCTCATGCAGATCTGTTTCCCCTTTTAGTAAAGGAAACCTCCCAAACATGTGATAAATTCACAAGTCGAATGAAAAATTCAATCCTAAAAATGCACCTGTAGAGTATGGTGCTAAAATTAGGGGGGGAAAAGGAAACTAATATACAGAGAAAGCATTAATTCTTTTAACTACTACAGATTTTGTAACTAATAGGGAAACCCTTAATATTCATGGCAGAAACCTTAAATCACCCCCTAGAACACATCAATTCTACTGTTGTCATCACTTCAAAGTTCCATCCCTTGTTCTCAGCTTTCAGTTAAACTGAACAAATTAAATACAAATAATAGCAAAAATATTATTTATTGTAGGCATGACGTTGACAATAGAATTATATATGCAGTTTTGGTTCACCTACATCTCTTTGCATTTAGAAATTCTCTGCTGCATTTAAGCATTAACATAACAAACCCTGTTTCTATGTTCCCTAAAGCAGAAGTAATAACCATATTTACATCATCTTTCTCAATAAGCAATGAAACTAAAATAACTTTTTTCATGATTACAAGTTTGCAATCACCTCCTATATGACTCTAACAAATGAATTATATCATAAAATCAAGTCAGCATTCAGTTAATTTTGGGTAGATTTTCTTCTTTCAGCCTTGTTTGAAAGTTTAGATCTCTATTATTCATCTCTTAAATTTTATTGCAATTTCTTTATCCTCATTCAGTTTTTTTTTTTTTCAAAAAAAAAAAATTTGAGTATCTGGATGGTGTAAAATGATCAGGTTTCAGGCAGAGTCAAATTCCGTCTATGTTGTTAAAACAACAATAATTAATACAGGAGCCAAGACCAATTGCTATTATAGGGAAATCTAAGATAGAAATGACTGGGTCTAGCTCAATACCAAATGCTAACTCAAGAGAAGAGAATTGCCCAAGTCTTGTATGAAGTATGCTAACCATATTCCTAGTTTCCGTGGGATTGCCCTTAACACATACACAAGATTGGATATCTAAAATGTGATGTTTGTAGGGCTAGACATTGTGGTTGGCCCAACATTAATACTGAATTGGTTCTACTGCCATTGCCATATTAAGAGTAATTTGGCCATATTCCTAGTCAATGTGGGACATTTGAATGCAGTTTGGTGTTTCTTCCTACAATAGCCATCTCAACTGAACTAGCACTTGGATCCACCCAAGAGTGCTCCATGAATTTGCTTGGCTGTCAAAGTAATAAACAAACCAGAATTTCAGATAAGCTTTTGATCTCAGCTTATCTTCCTAGGATGGAGGATAGAAATAAAATGTCACAGATTTATATAATTTCACATATCAACTCATTTTTTATATTAGTAGAGCTAAACGAATTTATAGACTTTATACTCCAAGTCCTATCCCATCTCCAGAACAGAATGGCAAAAGAATTTTATGTACCATATCAACCAAGACTATCATAGCCACGAATGGAATAGGTCAGAGAGATTAATCTAGACCATGTAAGTCATAGAAAACAAAAATTAAGCAAAAACCACAGCTAATTATTATTCGCTGACGGGATTACCTATTTTGTTACTGTTGGAAGTTCCAGTGTTAAGCATGGAACGACGTAAAACACCACAAATATCGCACATAGTCATACTCTCATCATTGTCATAAGTGCAAATGGGGCATTGCCAAACCCCGGGCTTAATGGTCTCTTGTTTTGTATCCTGTCCTCCAGCTACAGCAGAGAAAAAGTTATGAGGTTTGTACAATTAAAGTAAAAAAAAAATAAACTTAGAAAATTGCAACTTCCCCAGATACCAACATAGATAAATAATTGCTTAATCCGTATCATTCTTCTATTTAGGTTATACATAAGTTCTTTCATATAACGCATTACTGGTCAAAAACAATAATGAACATTCAATAATTCAAAGTGTCTTCAACGAGCATAAAAATTAACACGGATGAAAACAACAACACACAATCGAAGCAAATCTTCGTGCATCAGCATGACGAAGAAAAACAAAAAGCTAAAACTAACTAACTAACCATAGTCTTCTGCGTCAACATCATAATCATAGTCGTCATAGTCATCATAGTCATCGTCGTAGTAATCGAGTCCATAGTTTACTTTACGAGGCATGGTCACACTGAGCCCGAAAACGATACAGCAGATAAATCAGAAAAGAAAATGAAACAGAGTTGGCAACAAAACAAAAATTCGTACATGTCCTTCAAAACGCGTTTGGCACAATCGGTTAACCGTTCCAGAGATCCATTAGAGATATAGGTGAAGCACTGTGCAGAGGAGAAAACAATAGAATGAATGGAATTAAGTGAAAGAATGTAAATGAATTTATATTCAAATGAAAAATGAATTCGTATATACAAACCCTCAATGGGAGTGAAGAAGGAAGAGAGAGAGAGAGAGAGAATGGAGTAAAGAGGTGTGTGTGGATCGGAGCGAGCGCGCAAGGGATCGATTGGCTTTCCCTACGTGAATGTTCCCCTCACTCCCTCTCTCTATTCCAACTTCTTTCTTTTCTTTTGCCTTAATTAATTTAATTAATAATTTAATACATTTTTATCAATAGTTTTAATATTAAATATTTTGTAATTCATCAAATATATTAATTTGTTATTCATACTCATTATTTTAAATATATATTATTATATTTTATTAAGATTTAATTTTTAACACATTAAAAATTTAGAATATAATGCGTTAATTTTTTTAGTTAATTTTTTTGAAAATGTTGAACTACTCTTCATGAGTTAGTTTATGATTCTCGCATAATAAGTCATATTATTTAATTTTATAATATTTTTATTTAAAATTAATATTTATAAAAAAGTCTTATATTATTTTGCTAGTTGTTGTTAGTGCAACATATTTATATATTTTTAAATTTTAATTGATGGAAGATAATAAAATAATTTCATGTAAATAATTTAAAATTAATAAATGTTTGAGATTAGATAATTCAGTATATGTGAAAGTATGAAGTGGAGAAGGGAAAAGCTGAGGACGAGGGAATATAAGTCGTAGGTTGGGAGTTCGGGGAGTGAAAAAAATTTGAGTTTCACGCACTTCTAAACTTTTATACAAATATAAAAGATGTGTCTAAATACTTATTTTTGTAAATAATATTTTAAAATAATAAAATATCATAAAATTAAAAAATTTGATATGTCAATTGGAGTGTTAAGTTAGTTTTTCATTAACCAGTTTAGTATTTAATGGAAAAATATATATAATAAAATTAAATGTTAACTAATAATTTTATAAAAACTTATTGTGTTATATTTATATGAATCAATCATATATTTAAGTCTTAAAATAATAACATAAAATATCAATAAAAATAATAATAAGTTATAAAAAAAATAAAAAAATAAAAAGATATTCTTTTAGTCAATTTTATACTGGGTTAAATAGTAAAATAATTTTATATAAACAAATTTTAAAAATTGCATTAACATGATTTAAAAAAAAATCAATAAGTTTATTTTATAACTTTATATTTATTATATAATAAGATAGACTAAACTTCATGTAATTTTTAGTATTTTTTTAATTTATTGAAATAAGTTTAAAATGTTTTATATTTTTTTTTAAGTGATGCTCAATAAATTAAGTAAAAAATTATAATCGTTATTTAAAAAATAACATTTAAATTTTGATTAATTATATAATATATCACATATGTACATGTTGAATTATAGTTTTAACTTTTTTTTTTCAGTCAATGATTGTAGTCTTCTATTTTAGAAGATTGAATTATACAATTGATTACTTGAGTATTAAAGATGTCTTAAGTTGTTGATATTTAATGTCTTTGAAAGTTAAGTTGCGTGTTATGCGGTGTTTGATGATTTCAAAATAGTAATATTTTTATAAAATTAATCTAACATGTGAAATTTTTATTAGAGTAAATGCATGAATAATTAGATATCATACTTGAGTCCAATTATTTCTTTCTTATACACAAATATTGTTAATTGAAGTGAATTTACTAGTAATGTGTATTGATGAGTCATTGACTCATATAGAAAATAAAAAAAATTTGGCATATTTTATTGAATTAAAATTACAAGTTAATGAAATTAATTAGAAATTTTAATGGAATGTTGTAATTGTTGGCAAATTGATGAATCATTCATATATTGATTTTTGGCATTTGAATTTTGAAGGGATTAGAAGAAAAATGACAAATGGAATTAAATAGAAGAATTGAACAACTGCATGACACATTTGTGCGGACATGAACTTTTGATTATGAAGACACGATGTTGACAGAGCATATAAAAGTAAACTTTTCTATTAAAGAAATTTTATTTTTTTTTTAATCTTTTGTTACAACTTTTAGTACATTTCGGAGGCACATAATTTTAGGTTTTTGTACGGTAGGAATGGTAGCTAGGGCAAATTTCTTACTTTTTTTCTAGTGGATTCTTGTAGGAACTTGGGTTACATTCCCTTTTTCCTTGATTTTTGTAATGAAAGAGTAATTTTTCTCATTTCACTATCTGCTGTAAGCTCTTTTTGTGAACATGATTTATTTTTCTGCAATATATTTCAGTTTCAGATTATTTACTTTCATTATGTCTAACTAAATATCTTGGGGTTGAGTAAAGATGAACTTATTCTTTTACACTTGTAACGAACTAAGCATTGAATATAACTCAATATACAAGCTTTAATTTAACATTTTGATTCTGAACTTAATGCTTCTCTATTTTACGTAAATGGGTTAATGAAAAAAAGCTAAAGGCTGGAAAGTTGTGGACTTTCTTGGACTGAGATCAATTTGCTTGTTATAAATTATCTATGAATATAAATTTATGATGATATAGTCAAATGGGTTTAAATTTTAATGCTGAACGTTTTTTATTTTATATAAAGAATTAGGAAGCTAAATTCATTTTAGAACTAATTAACCAAGAAATTTTGATTGGGTACTTTAGAAAATTTGACCATTAGATGAAGCTGTATTTTGAGTTATACATATATTTTTATGCAAAAGGAAAAGGATAAGGGATTCTGAACTCACCCTACTTTTTAATTATTTTTAAACCCACTTCCAATAATTAAAACATTTACATTATGCAATTATTTTGGTTATTGTTCCATGTTTTAGTTTCTTAGTTTCTGCTCATTTATAAATTGCAATCTAGCACTCTTAATTAAACTCTTACAATTCTGCATATATTTAATTTTTGTTCTGTTTATACTTTATTTTTGATAATCCAACTAGTGTCATTCTTGTGATTTGTTACTTAACATTAATCCCTGTAAACGGATAAATCTATTTTGTTATTTCAACGATTTAGTGCACTTGTCAAAAAGTTATAATGTATATGACATTATAATTAGTAGGTATAGATGTGCATTTAGGGCCCATTTAGTAGTTAGGATAAAGGTGGAAAAAATAAAATACATGTTGTATTTGTTCATAATCAAGTATTTGTTTAGTCATATGGATATAATTAATTTATCTTGTTACTTATATTATCCTGTTAGACTAGTATAATTGCTATAACGAGAATATGACTAAGTTATAAAAGGAATGAAATGATAACAATTGTTTTTCTCCAAAATACCCTTTATTTAGTAAATATAGCTCAATGGGTAATTTTGTCATTATTTACATATTTATGTCATATATTTTTTTTAATCAATTTTATATCAAACATTTAGTATGATACAAATTTATCATCTTCTTGTCTAATCCTATCTTGACCATTGAATAAGTTTTCATACAATATGCATGACATGTTCAATAAAGTTATTGCCATGTATGTTAAGTAATGAAATAGTGTAAATGAGACATTCGGGTCTTTTTAAGTTATAGTCAAATCTAAAATGGATTTGAAAGATGATTTGGACGAGGTGAGCAAGTGATTAGTGATCACCATAGTTTATGGCTATAATTAGGGATAAAAATAGGTTATGCTAGTGGTTTTGCATTAATAGACCTAACCTATTTAATAATTTTAAAGCCGAAACTTGACCTATTACTTGTCATAAGTTTTTTATTAAATATAGCCTTACCTTTCAAAAGCTTGATTTGGTTTATTAGCCTGTTTAATGACGTTATTCATATTGACACATTAAATAAGTCATTAAGTTTCTTATAAATAAACTATTAAACCATCTAAATAAATATGTCTTTTAAAAGTCACAATATCTAAATAATCTATTAAAAAAATGGTTCAACACCTTGAATATGTATAATAAACATATTTCTATTTATTACTTTTGAAACGCATATTTAATTTAAATAAGTAAATCACTACATATACAAAAAAATATAATAAAATGAACATCAATTTATAAATCATTAAACAAATCTAGTAGCATAAAGTTTTATACATTAAATTAACACACAATAAATAAGTTTTAGACCTAAAATTAACAAATGCAACGAACAAAAATCTAAAATGTACAAATAACAATATTTTTTCATACAAAATATGCAAAAAACTCCATCAAGTAGAGCTTTCTCTTTTAAAGGGTATGTAGTAGAGACATATTTCAATTCTAAGGAAAATGATTAGGATTTTTAATTTAAGATTTTATTATTTTAAAATTTAATCGATTTAATATATTATAATTTTTATATAAAATTATTTATTTAATATATTACTATAAATTTAATAAATTTTAAATAGGTCATTCTAATAATCCTAATAAGTTTTTTTTTAAGCTCAAACATGATTTATTTAATTCATCAAGTTTTTTAAAAAGTTTAAATTAAGCCTATTAATTAAATAGGTTAGGTCAGATTAAGTTTTAAAAAAGTTAGGCTGTAGACCCTGTTAAATGGTCTGTCCTATTTTCATCCCTAACTATAATTAATGATAAAATTAATAAAATTAAATAGAATAAAAATAATATAATAGTGTTATTGAAGATTAAGCACTCAAATTTAGATTAAGAATAAAAGAATTTTAAATAAAAAACATTACTAATAATAAATTAACATTTATAAAAGAAATTAAAGTATTATTAATAAATAAAATTATTTTTATTTTAAACTTAAAAGAAGGGCTTTAGAAGCGTTATCTTTAGGTTTGCACGAAATGATTTATATATTTTTTGACTTTTAAATTAATAATTTGACAATAAAAAATATAATATAAATAAAAATGTCAATTTAATATCTATTTCACCAAATGAATGATTTAATAAGGTTAATAGTTACATTATTCGATGATAAAAACACAGTATTAAAGTATATTATCTCAAACAACATTAGCAGAGCAACCGATAGTATTACATGTATTTTATTACACATAATGAATTATATATTACACGATTAAAATTGAAATCAGAAAAAGTTACAATTTTTATTATTAAACAAGATAAAGAAACATACATCTGAATATATACAGTATAACATCTAAATATTTATAGTCTTTTTAATCATAACCTTACTAAAACTATTTAAAATACGCAAGGTCAAATTTTATAAAAAAAACACCATACTAAGAAAATAATCTACAAAAAATAGTTATAACAAATTAATAAAAA